AACGGTATTGGCCTTGAAGTGATCTGACACTTTGCTAGTTATTTGAAGTGGAATGTTCTAAGCGTAGTCAGCTGCTCTTTGAGCGGAAACATGGAAGTACTGTCAGCTTAGCTACTCTTCTCCGCTGCTAGTTACCATAAAGGTCTTTTCCATGATCATCTATCTATCAAACGGTGAACCAGGAATAATGGCGTTGGCAAGCCAAATTAGGTTGCATTTCCTCGCGTGGAGTACCCTGTTCGCATGTGCCTTGTTACAGCCCAGAAGCTGAGAAGACCTGTATCTGGTTTCAGACGTTGTACATAGAGTCAGGGCTGTTGGCAGTTATAATACAGTATGTATTATGTACGCCGACCTGCGAAGGACCGACTCAACCGAGATCATACAAAGGATTGTATTCCTGACTATCCCGATGAGCCTCCTAACGTTTTAGTGCTGATATGCCAGACATCTGTTGTTAAGTATAATGACGTCGTCGTCGAAGCAGCCATTGTCTTACGATACCTGCGCCCTACCAACACTGGGTCGGATCCTCCTGGTGAGACACTTGGGCAGGACCTGGTCGCTCAAGTATAGTAGTACCTTTCAGCTCCCCAAAATCCATCGATCGAGTGAGTGCGAGACGCTTACTTGCAGCCCGTTGTTGTTCGATTCAACTTCTCTACATGTTCTTTTCGATCCTTATTTGAACTCGCACTCGCGTGGCTCCAGATCTCAGCTGCACTAAGCCAGGCACTATAGGATCTACAGCGCGACACTATTTACCGGATGCAGCGGTAGTGGACTGCGGTATAGTTGATCAAATGATCTGTAAAAATGTAGTTACCCTGTATCTATCAGTATCACTGCATGAAGGATGGGTCATACCTCAACCATGTCTCCCTATTCTGGTATCTCGTCTCGTTCAACTCACAGCTCACGCATCTATGATAGTGCTAAGTGCCCAATATACATTTGGTTGATAGGTAAATTGATTCCAGTTCCTTGGTTCCTCCCAGCGCCGACCCGCCCTTAGCGCAATGGATATTCATCAATTAGACTTCGACCGTCAGCAGCGTTCCTCCTCTTCTTTGAAGTACACCAACGAGGAGGGTGTGAACTATGAAATTACACGTATCACTGCCTCTAGGTATCACTTATCCAAAGTAGAAAACCCTCGAGGTAATCTGGAATGTTACTCCATTTCTTTACTATTGGGTGTTGATAATAGAGACGACATGGATAGGCTTCAGAATCCCCATCAAACCACAGGTGATGGATGGATGGATGACTGACTGACTTTCGTGGGCATGCCAATAATACTACCAGATTATCAATCAGCCATGAGCTCCGACAGCTGTCAGTTCGAAAAGGTGCGGACCGAGAAACCGAAAGGGCAAGTGCAACGCCGACCGTAGCATCATCTAACCTGATGATTATTCCTGCAGTCTGCGATGCTGCTCGTCCTCTTCTTCATGCTACCTTAGTTTTGGCCATCGCCTTTTACGAAGTATCTTGCATCCCTCAATAGGCTGTCATGTAGTCAACAGATTCAAACGACCTCTGTCGTAATTTATGTTTTGTTTTTAATAATCCCAAATACTTATGTTAGGGAGTGCCTTCGCTAGTCAGTCGTCTGAGTCTAATATGACCTCTGTTTGGAGCGGAGAAACTTGCCCTGACCTGTACCCTGCTTGCACCTTTGGGGTACCTCATGTGCCTACGGGGCTCAGTACACTCTACAGGCATCACCCCAGCACTTGAGCAGCCAGCAATGGTGAATAGAGGCAACAGACAAGCTTCAGAAGCCTGTCAGAATTCTTTGTTTCTTTTTCAGGCCCCTCTCCCCCCATGTCAATTGTAACCATTCGTCAGCATTATACTTAATCAGATTGCCTCAGGCGATCATGTTATCAGTCCTGGCTTGATCAATCTCTGTTATCACTCCAGTATGTGTGTAGGTAAATTACCAGCAGGTAATAGTCCGAGGAAGTCCTAGGGTAATATTACACTGTAAAGACCACCTAAAAGATCAAGAATGAATCTACCAAATGAAGAAAGTTCGAAGTGAGCAGTCAACAAAATATAAAAATCCTCAATCTCATTAATATGAACTACTGGTAACTATGAGGTGCCAAATGTAAAAAAAAAAAAGAAGAATCAAATTACGAGACAGCACCTCTTCTTTTTTTTTTTTTTTTTTCTTTCCCCTCTTCTTTTCTGATATCTTTCTTTACATCCTCTCCATTCTGCTCTTTCGCACGCTGTAAATAAAAATTACTCCCTTTTTTCCTCCATTATTATTTCTTGGGCAAACTACTTTCCCCCCCCCCCCCTTTCTTCCTGCACCAGGACTCACTGACCGCTAAAAAGGGCAAGTAGGTAGTACACAGTCATAGATGGGTACACCGCATATTTCTCATTGCTTGTGAAGGACCTTGAGACTACTTCCTTACTCTCAATTGGTGCTATTCCTCTGGCCTGGACATGGAAGAAACAAAGAACAAAGGGCAGAAAATAAATAGAAGACTAAAATAAAACAAGTAAATATGGATCACATGTAGGAAATTGGGGTATCACTGATGCAGAATGCTCAGTTGAATCGACATGCATGTCATCAAGAGCATGAAATCGTTGCTGTCGATTGCTGCTGCCCTTTGTTTTACGAGGCTGTCACTGAATACAACCTGGGGTAGTCTTGTATTCTGTACGATACTCTGCTCGTACTCATACTCAGTTTCAACACTGGTCACAAATCACAATTCATCCGTTGAACTATTGAATTCCAAGCCGGGGAAGGGGAAAAGGGAAAAGGGAAAAAAAAAAAAAGATAAATTTCAATGTATGTATTTTACCAGGCAGTCATTTCCTACAGACTTACTACAGAGTACTCGTAGTCTCGCACATCAGTAGTCGACCAAGGGGTAAAAGGGTGAAGGCAAGACCTGGAGACGGAAAATGAAGAAATAGGTCAAGGGAGGGCGGCGGCAAAAAAAGACCCCATCTGAAGATAGAAACTTACTTGGTGGATGGTCTGAGTCAAGGACTCAGAGACTCAGAGTGATATCTATCATCTCACTAAGTCTCACCAAAACCATACTCTTGGAAAGCCGATCATCCTTGCCCTATGGCCCTATGGGTCTGTCTTTAGCGCGCTTCTAGATACACGCCTTTTGCTGTTCCCCGGAGCCCGGGGCTCAGGTCCATGGGTCAATCTGCGGCGGCGGCTCTCAACTGGGGAGGCAATCACACTGTACCTTAGTCTGTACTGACTCCCGTATCGTTCCTGATAGATTATTACGATTGTTATTCTGGTTTGTATTGTCATTGTTATTTTGGCTCCTTTTTATTTATTTATTTTTCCCTCTGAATTATCATGATTTTTGATCCTCCTGCTTCGGCCAATGTTTTTTCTATTTGACTTTGATCCGATTCCCCATTTTTCGCTTTTCTATTTTTTTTTTTTTTTTTTCCCCTTCCTTTCTGTTTCTTCCGTTCCCCCCTGTTTCCCCGTCAGGGATCAGGAAAATAGCAGTACTTTCACGATCCATATACTACAGATCATCAGGAGCAATCGGGCCTTTTTCCAGGTCACGCTGCTTGTAGTTTGTACTGCGGTTTGCACATATCAAGAAGCCCTCCAGCTACCTTTACTACAAAACCAACCTAACCTAGGTACCTACTCGTCTTACTATTGACGGGATCCGGTCCTTAGCGAATCCTGCCATCGTTTTAGGCTCCATGTCCCTTTTAAGATACTCAGAGTAGTCCTCCTTCATAGGTATTATTCCGGATTTACCTGGAAGGAGCAACTTAGCTTGGTTATGTGGTTCATACCTAAAGGTACACTAAGTAGAGAGGACCCAGTCGGATGCCCTCGATCCATATTCCATTGCCCTTCTTCCGCTTTACTCATAGTAGTAAGAGTAGCCCTGTCTAATTGTCTCTCCAAACTCTCTCGACTCTAGATAGATAGATATCCACTGCAAACATCATAGCTGAGAATCAAAGAGACATGAATGTGGATCCCACTAGTCTTTCCTTGACTGTTTGCTGTTGACTGCATCCTGCATCATTTTCGCTCTGTCGTCTGTACAGTTGTAACCAAAACGGGCTCCATCATGATTCTGGTTGTCCCAGATGCTGGACCGTTGACGTTTTGCCTTTTCCTTCCCCCTCCATTAATTATTTCTTTTTTTTATATTTCCTTTAATTTAATTTTTATAATATTCTTTTTATTGATTTCTGTTTGATCATGATTATTGATACTTTTTTATTATTTATTTCTCTTTTCTTTTATTTCTGTGCTTGATCAATGATCGCATATCTGATCCACTTCCAGATACTTCATTTAATTCCCCTTCCCGTCCAGATCCTCCTTGAAGATTTCCTCTTCTTCCTCTGCTCCCTCTTGCGTATGATTAAGCTCTTGCTTTTATATTCCGACTGGTCGTCCTTCTTCTACCCTTTCTTTGTCCCATTATTGAATCCTGCCAACCTCTTTGTTCCTCTCTCCATCACAATCCCAAGCAAGCTACTATACCCTTACCAGAATACATACATACCTCTATACCTCCACACGCCCAACCAACTACAGCTGCTGTTCATAGTCCTTTACTGCTACTATTCTTCCATCGGATTGAGTAACCTTCTCACATAAGTTCTTGCCAATTCGAATCTCCGTGGTCAAATCCTCCCTTGCAGTCGACTCAGAAAGGAAAAGCGAAGCTAGGGAGTAAAAGGGAACGACACCCTCACGCACGACACTCTTCAACGATTGACCTTCGAAGGAGGAAAGAAATGCTGAAGCTCCTCTAGCAAGAGGCTCCTTTCTTTCTCCCCTAGGCCCCTGAACCTTATCGCAACCGCATTCCCTCCCTTTGGAGTTGACGGCATAACTTCGGCGACACATTCCTTCCGCCGTTGACCTCATTTGAGCTCGAAGAAGATATTACACCAGATTCTGCCAGACTTTTTGTAACGCCCCTTTTTTTCTCCCTTAACACAGTACGAACGACGAGATGTTCAAGAGACCCTCGTTCCTACAAGGCCGGCGGCATGGTGGTGGACGTGATGATTGGTCTGCCTTCCCCGTGCGCCAGCTTTTTGTGCTAGGTATGTTCTACAGACCCTTCGCTATGCGCGAAAACTTCAGGGAGAATGACGGGTTCATGTATGACAAACATGGGTCTGTTCTTCCTGATTGGAGCAAACAGTTCCCCTTCGTCTGCAATTTTCCTATTGGATCTTCAGAATGACTGACAGTTCTTTCAAGCACTCTGCCGCATTTGCGAGCCAATCGCATTCATGTCCATCTTCCCATATGTCTACCACATGGTAGAGGCATTCAAGGTGACGGACAACGATCGCAAAATTGCCCTGTACGCGGGGATGATCACCTCCTCATTCACCTTCGCGGAGTTCTCTGCTGGCATGTTCTGGGGTCGCATGAGCGACAGGATTGGCCGGAAGCCAGTTTTGATTATGGGGTTGATTGGAACAGCTATCAGCATGATAGTATTCGGGTTTGCTCCCAACCTGCCAACAGCGATGATTGCTCGAGCACTGGGTGGCCTGCTCAACGGAAACATCGGAGTTCTCCAGACGACGGTTGCGGAGATCGTGACAGTCAAGGAACATCAACCTCGGGCTTACTCCATCATGCCATTCGTCTGGTGCTTGGGGTCGATCATAGGACCCGCCATCGGCGGTGCGTTGGCACAGCCCTGCGACAATTATCCCTGGCTATTTCAGCGCCATACAATCTTCGATGCCTTCCCCTTCCTGCTGCCCAACCTCGTCTGTGTTGTCGTCCTAGTGTTTGGAGTTATCGTTGGGTTCCTGTTCCTGGAGGAGACTCACCCAGAGAAGAGATACCGCCGCGACCCTGGCTTGGAGCTGGGCCATTGGCTCATCGCTCACTGCTGGGGATCCCGCGTACAACTAACCGAGGAGGACACGGACGTCGAAGCGGAAACAGACGGTGCTGATTTTCTTGACTACAACAATGCTCCTCCGCCTGAATACAGAAGCACGGAGTCCTCCCCTCGTTTATCCCCGGTTAAAGAAGTGGATAGCTTGTCTGATGCGGATGACGTTGAAGGCCAAGTCAAAGGTCAACCCAAGGCTTTTACAAAGCAGGTCATCTTCAACATCATCGCCTATGGTATTCTTGCATAGTAAGTTCGAGCCAACAGCTACTGCTATCGATCTAGTAATTATCGCGGGGTTCTGACAACATGCCACAGCCATAGCGTATCCTTCGACCAGCTGATGCCCGTATTTCTCAGCACCCCTAAATCCGACGACAACGTTGTTCTACCATTCAAGTTCACCGGAGGTCTCGGACTGCCCACGAAAACAATCGGTTTCATGCTTGCCGTCCAAGGCGTTTACTCGATGATCGCCCAGCTTTGGCTGTTTCCCTTCGTCGTCCGTCACTTTGGTACTTTACGCACCTTCCGATTTGTGCTCCTCGTCTGGCCGCCACTGTACCTGGTCGTTCCATACCTCATTCTTCTCCCCGCCCAGCTCCAAACCGCCGCTGTCTATGTCTCGCTCATCAGCAAAATCACCTTCCACGTTATTGCGTTCCCTTCTACTGCTATTCTGCTCGCCAATGCCGCTCCGTCATCCAAAGTTCTCGGGTCCATCAATGGTGCCGCTGCATCGACCGCCAGCTTGAGCCGTGCTTTTGGGCCAACAATCACAGGTCTGCTACACTCCAAGGGCCTCGAAAGTGGTTATTCGATTATCGCATGGTGGGCCTGCGGCATTGTGTGCGTCATTGGCGCTATTCAAAGCTTTTGGATGGAGGAAAGCGAAGCCCGGAAACACAACGAGGACAAAACAGGGGATAGTGACTCGGATGCTGGTCGACCTCTGCGGGGCTCGTTTACTGCAGGCAAGGAGCTCGCTACACCTGAAGAGGAGCGGCGACTGCTGTCCTCTGCGCGGACGAGCGTCGATGATCTTGAGATTGCCAACTTGGACTTGACGCAAGTTGACACCACACCTCAATTATAGCCACATCCGCTAAAATGATCATTGAAAATTATTTCCTTTCCTGGTATTGTGAGGTCAACAATTCTTCTGTCGCCCTTATCTCTACCCGTCATCGTCCCTTTTTCCAACTATGCGATAGTTCCAATCATCGCTGAACAATCGCGCTCGCATGTTTTTGGTTTTTTGCTTTTCCTGCATTTGAGATCTTTCGTCGTCACATTCCACTCTGCATTTCTTCGTTCTTGTTTTTTTCGCTGTACTTGCTTCGTCTGTTTAGATCATGATTCCAAGATCGGGTGATGGCGCAGTTTTCATAGATTGGGTGCATTTTCAGAAGCGTGGGGGTTGGATGTCTTTTTGATTTCTTCATTTGCTTTTTTTTTTATCTCTTTTCTTATTCAGGATCATTACTATGGGCATCATCGGGTATACATCATGTCATGCATCTGGGCGGCCTTTGTCATTTCCAATATATCCTAACACCTTGAGCGCAGAATTCACGTTGTCATCGGAGGAAAGACCACGGTCGATCCTCGTTGTTTCAGTCCTTCAGAATTATTTTTTTTCGCTTTGATACCAATCTGTACCATGCAGTGGATAAACAATACACTTCACAGCAAGACTTTCCCACGTTGGTTGTGTGTTCTGACTCGTAGGTGATGTTCATTCCGTAGATACCATCACTTCCCCTCATGTTGCCCGCGCCTCCAGTGTCTCCCGCTCCGTCCCATCACGTGATTCCACCGTGCGGGGTTTGGACGGCAAAAGTTCCGCCGACTCCATTGAAGGAATCTTAGTCAGTACTAGCAGTACTAGCAATGTCTCAAGAAAACCCTCGGTTCGGCATATTCAGGCATTTATTCATCGGCAGTATATCCTTGGTAGAAAGACCATATATATGGGACATCATTCATTGCATCCAAGGACCAGCAGTTGTTGTATCCGGGTTAAAGAGCCACACCTGGCAAATGGCCGAGGACTTATCACCAGCCAATCAAATACGTATACCTTGCTTGTTTCCTGCTCACGTGGCGCAGCACTACCTAAGCCTTAAGCGTTGTCGGGTATTGTCATAGCGTTACGCTGTATAGGAGAAGCCACCCGGAATCGGTTCTTGAGCCATCAACTAGCTACCTAATGACTTCCCTTCCACTTCTGTTTCTTCTTTGAATCTAAGCTGAGCCTTACAGTTGTAATTACAACAGCAAGGTGGCTCCTATCTAGATGATCGTCAGTGGTCTTTTCTTTCCTCGGCCGTTCATACCTACTAGGTACCTATCATCCTGGGTACCAAGCCTTGGTAATCTCCATACCCGACATGGAACATAGGTAGCGTACGAATACCAAGCATCGGCCACTAAACTTCGAGGTACCGGAGTCACCAAGACACTCCACAGTTTTGCCGTATCTTCAGTCTAGTCTCCAATCTTCGGTTCTGGCAATTTTCTGTCATCTTTCTCCTCCTTCTCTTCAATCTCCAGCGGATACACTATTGAAACCTCACCGTCCTTCGAGGCTTCGTAGTGTTGGTGGTGATTCGTTTCCGTCATGGGCTGCGACTGTGCCCTGCCGTCCAAACAGATCCGATCTTTGCCTTGACTACTATCCTCTCGGAGGCTAAGAAAGCCCGCGGATCGGGATACCACTGAGGAGTAACTTTCCCGTCAAAGACGGTTCCCTTTATTATCGTCACAGCGGAATACTTTGCGCTGGGGAAAAGAGGGCGACGAGAAACACTCAGCGCATGAATTAACATGAATGCTGATTCGTCTTCGAGTCTCCGGCATACAATCTCCTCGCTCCAGTTGACCTGTGCCAGATTTCCCCCGTCGAGACATGGTCGTCGCATCTTTGCGCTTCTCCTCCGCGACTCGCCTATCCCGCCATGCTGAATCCTGCTTCCCCGGTCTCGCCCACCTCCCTGGGCAGGAAACGACCACACCCACCCGCTGAACCCGCACCACCGCGACAGCAGCATGCGTCTCGGGAGGGCGCCGCCAATACGCCCCGCGCCGCCGCCGCCGCCGCCACAACATCATCTTCCTTTCGGAATGTATCTGCCTGCAACCGCTGCCGGCTGCGCAAGAACCGCTGCGACCAGCGCCTTCCACGCTGCCAGTCGTGCGAGAAGGCCGGTGTGCGCTGCGTTGGATATGACCCGATCACGAAACGAGAGATCCCCCGCAGCTATGTCTATTTCCTCGAGGCCCGTGTCGCCTACCTGGAGAAGATGTTGATGGACCATCAGATTGATTTTGAGGAGGCTGTAGCCTTCAACGAAGAAGAGGCCATTAAGGTCGAAGCGGGCTACGACCAGGCTCAGCCACAGATGGTTGCTTCGGAAGGATCAGTGAATGCGGAGGCGGCTTCTACTACCACCGCTACCGCCACATCCGACAAAGACAAGCGGACCCGATTGAAGGGTGAGAAAGATGCGCTTGTCCCGAGGTCTGGGAGGAACTCGGAGAGTGGGCAGGAGTCGGAGAACAACTACCAGGATCACGAGAAGGAGGACAATTGGCGCATTCACAATCTCGTGTCGAATATTGGCATGGTGTCGGTGCAGGGGACCTCTGATCCCCGATATCTAGGGTCGACTTCTGGTATCTCTTTCGCTCGCGTCGTGTTCGCTGCGGTGAAGAGCTCCGTGTCGGGGAATGTAGCAGAGCGCGGTCCTATGCGGCCCAACGAACGCCTCCCGCACAGTGCCACAGGGACCGCAGGAAGCACCATGCGGGACTCATTCTTTGGCCTCCAGACACGGCCGATGATGAAGTGCGCGGCGTTTCCCGAACGGGAATTAGCGGAGAAGCTGGTCAGCCTCTATTTCGAGCACGCGAATCCGCAGATGCCCATCCTCCACCGCGCTGATTTTATGGAAATGTTGGTTCGCACGTACTCTGTCGATGAAAAGGACCGCTCCCCTCGAAGTCTCTATACCCTGAACATCGTTTTTGCCATCGGTGCAGGCATCATCTTTGAAGATAAGGCCGCCTCGGACGAAGAGGAAGGCAAATCAAGCAACCGCAGTCGTTCACCCTCGTCATCTACGTCAAAACGACCGCGACTTTCAGGTCATCAATATCAACCCGAAGAATATCATGCAGCGGCCATCATCCACTTGGAATCATTCCTTGGCGCCTCTTCGACCAACGACGGGTTCGGAGCACTGGAGGAGCTACAAGCTGTCCTGCTGCTGGCCAGTTTCGCGCTTCTTCGGCCCGTTGCGCCCGGGCTGTGGTATATTGTTGGGGTGGCTATGCGGCTGGCAGTCGACCTGGGGCTTCATTACGAGGATGGGACCGGTATCGACTCGGTCGGTGATGAGAATCTGGACCGCTCATCAGTCAAGACGGAGAACAAAGCCAAGCTGCGTGTGCACACCCGCGAGCGTGGACGCCGAGAGTGGGTTCGCGATCTTCGCCGGCGACTGTGGTGGTGTGTCTACAGCTTCGATCGTCTCGTCAGTTGTTGTGTTGGCCGGCCCTTCGGGATCAGTGACCAAGCGATCAGTACTGAGTTCCCGTCCCTTCTGGAAGACAAATACATCACCAAGTCCGGCATTGTGGCACCGCCGGAAGGAACCCCGAGTTACAAACATGCAGCTCACCATTACTTCAAATTGCGCGTGTTGCAATCCGAGATCCAGGATGTCCTCCAGCACCAGCAGGCGCGGTTCGTCCGCCAGAAGGTCCCTTATGCGGCTAATACTGTCATCCGCTCGGACATGGCCTCTCCCTTCCTCCAAGGCTTTGAATCGTTCCGCTCATGGCGCAAGGATATCCACAGGCGATTGCAGGAGTGGCAGGAAAGCGCGCCCACCCGCCGCGAGACCGGCGTGCAGTTTTCGGTCGAATTTCTCGAGCTGAATTATTGGCAAGCGGTCATTATGCTATATCAGCAGAGCTTGACAGTCCCTGCAGAACTTGCGTCGGAATTGACGCCGGCGGATGATGTATCTAGCCCTTCATTCTCAAACGTGGACGACGCCGACGATGAAGACGACATATATTACAAGGTCGCGGAAGCGGGACAGAAGGTTATACGTATCTATAGGCAGATGCATCGTGTTCGGCTAGTGAATTATACCTATCTCGCTACGCACCATATTTTCATGGCGGGTATTTTTCTATCCCTCTTCTCTGATTGACTGTCCTCTTGCTTACCCTGCTTTAGGTATCTCATTCTTATATGCCATTTGGCACTCGCCGTTTGTGCGAAGCCGTTTGGTATGTCTTTCCATCACTAGAGTCGGAAGGGAGAAGAGGTCCTGAAATTTCTAACATTTATCAGACCCTAGATGAAGTGGATTTCACTGTCCTCGCCGCCACATCCGTCCTTGGTGACTTGATGCGCAAGTGTCCACCCGCCGAGGCCTGTCGGGATGCTTTCGAACGAATGAGCAAAGCCACCGTCCAGATGAGCCTCTCGACCACCGGATTTGGGTCTCAGGTCGATTTGAGTCAATCTCGAAACCCACCTGCTCAGCAAAATGCTGGTTATGACAATCGTCTACGGCAATCTGGAAGAGCACAGCGCCCTCATCATTCACGGCGGCAGATACAGACCCGTCAATCTCGACCTCTGCCAAGGTTCGACATGAACCTTGGTGATCTCTTCAGTGACCCTGGCCCCCACCCTGAGCGCGCCAACAGTGGCATAAGGAAGCCAGTGCAGCCTTATCCAATGCGAACCGAATATCCTGAGTCCTCGACGCCCAGCTTCGGCTCTGACTTCCCTCCCCGACCTCACCCTCAACGCACCCCGCCCATGGAATACTACGGCGGTTACGAAAATCCTGTCTCGCCACAAGCGCAGCAGCAGCAATTCTACTACTCGAACTCTCCGCAGCAGAGCGTGTCCCCGAACGGCGCCGGCCCTACTGCGGGCCAGCCTCAATTCCCAGCCAGCGACGCAGAAAATGCGGCCGGGATTGGTCTTGATTTCTTGGAATTTGAGTCCACCGGCGCAGAGAACACCGTTTCCGTTGTCGGTTCAGATGGTAACCCCGAGTCTAATCTCACAGCCATCCCCTCGTTGGGCCACGGGGTCGGCCACAGCGTTGGAATCGATCTCGGATTTGGCATGGCGGTTGACTTCCAGCATGATTGGAGCGAAAACGCCAACTATGACATGCTTGAAGGATACTTTTTTGGCGGGTCTGGAGGGAACCCCCCCGCGGATGGGTAATCCATTCTTCGTCGCCCTTCTCTCCATATTGCCTTGCCTTGGGCTTCTCTTTCTGCCATTTACTTGCACAACATCTTTCTTATGGGACTATTGCATTGGGATTCGAGAAGGAAAAAGGCGACATGAATTCACGAACCATCACTTGTGTTTTTCGCCCTGATTGTTGGTTGGTTTACTGGTTGCAGATGTTGATAGGAGTTCTTCGTATATATATTTTCCCATATATAATCATATACCGCACGAGGACGTCAAAAAAGACATCGCCACCTCGTAGGGCATCCTTCTCACACTGCCTAAAAAATTAATGAGGCCAACACCAGCGAACTATCGTGAGTACTTGGGCAGCAAGCTCAGTTCATGTTCATCGGCGCTTGAGTTGTCCCGGTGGAGAACAACACCCAGGCCCCAATTACCATCCTTCAATACCTATCGGATATATTATTGCAAAGAGCCAGCGCACAACTATCATCGTCAGGTATCTCAGATGGCTGTTGTATGCTACATGCTGTATTCTTGCAGCTGATATTCCTGCTCAGTTCTTGATATTATTGTGTTCTCGTTGAGAAAGCGTTCCCCTTCCAAGAGTCTCTAGGAAGATCGGATCTCTAGGCGGGACCAGCTCAAACAACCTGTTGCCGGGGTGAAGAGATCTCGAACTCCCCTCCCGTTCTTTCATGAGAGACGCCTGGACCATCGCCAGATTCTTCAGGGTATCAAGCTCACCTTCGTCATCATTGATTTGGAAGTTATTTTGCTGTCCTGTTCCTGTGTCTTGAACCCTTGTGTGGAGATTCCTGCCGGTCGCCTCGCTCGCTGCGTCCTGTTCGTTGCTTGTCACACAACTTAACTTACCACGACTGCTAATTCAATCCTTTGAAGTGGCTTCGCTGTGTCATTCCTTGTCTTTCTTTTTCGACGGCTTGAATCCTCAATGAGGCGCAGCGTTCCCGCAAGCCCACAAGACGAAAACTCGAGCGGAAAGCGTGACTGAGTGAAGAGGCGTCGACGAACTTCTCTCAGGCCGAGAAAATCAGATCGATTTGTTTGGAGCTTTCTGGTTACGGTTAGATTTGGTTGGGGAACGGAAAGCTACCTGACTTAGGTATACTTGCTGTCATCGTGTGGATCCCCTTTGCAAAGAAGAAAAGAATATCTCTCCCCCCATCGAGACACGGAGGGTTTTGGATATTGTTTGCTGTGGGCGTGCAGTAGCTCATCTTATTCTTTTTTTTTTTTTCTTTTTTTTCACTTCTGTCTCTGTCTTCGGATCGCTCTCTTTTCTGTCTTTCTTTCTAAGGGTCGACAGTCCTTCCTTTCACTTTTCGGGCCCGCTTTGCTTGGTCTGACATTCCTTTCGATCAAGACCGCTTCATCCCACGGACCTTACGATCCCTGCTTCTTTTACAGGTCATGTGCAACGCGATTCGAGATCTGCGCGACGAGATTGGAATAAGTCTACTCAGCAATACAGGTATCTAAGGCGGTTACGCTGCTTTTTTCACCATGGTGAAGGCGGACGTGCGCAGGGATTATTATGCGGACTTGGGTCTTACGCCTAGTGCAGACGCCGAGGATGTCAAGAAGCAGTTTAGGCGGCTAGGTAAGGCGCAAGGCTTGAAGTTGAAGATCACAGTTTGAGACATGCTGACCGGCTCACGTCCCCCAGCACTCAAGTACCATCCCGATCGAAACCCAGGTCGGGAGTTAGAATTCAACGCCAAGTTCCAGGCTATCCAGGCTGCCCACGAGATCCTCAGTGACCCGCACCAACGGCTCAAGTACGATACAGACAGGCTACGTGCTGGATACGGCAAATTCTACGGACCCCCCAGGGCCAACACATCTCGAAAAACTCCTACAAGTCCCTACGCCGCCACGCCGAATGCCAAACCCCAACCCCCCAAGCCGCAGTTCTCAGGACGCCCGCAGTCTTTCCATAATGGTCCCTCGACGGGTGCGCAACGCTTCGCCAGCTACGCGAGAGCCGCCCCCAGACAACCGTGGGAGAAGATGCAGGATGATGGACAAACCAGGGCAGATGCGTATCGCGGGTTCCAGGAGATGAAGGGCAACTCCACACCGGGCTGGTCGCAGTTCGACCCCCGCACTGGACGGGCAGGGTATTCAGGAGCTGCGCCTCGACCGGACGGTACACCGAACAAGCAGTCCACCAGACCCAAGTCCGCGTACGAATACTTCAAGACGTCTCCTAAGGCGACAGGCGCCGAGTCATCATCCCGCCCGCAATCTACGCGGAAGAAGCAAGGCTTTGCCCCTCGCACTGCCGGTGGTGACGAGCCCATGGCGGCAAATACCTCGTCGTACACGAGTGTCCCTCGGAGGGAGAGATTCCAGACGTCTGACCCTGTCTTTGAATCCGTACCGTCCCCAACCGCAAAGAAACCTGCGACACCGTCCGACCATCGTGCGGAAAGTACTAGAACGCCGGACTTTGAGCGGACGAGCAGCAGATACGCGGGCACCGGCGGTGAGAAGACATTTATCTCGAGTTCCTGGCTTGGACGGGAAAGTCGCCGCAATTCACCCGAGGGTGCCAGAAATTTCTCACGGACGAATCCTCCGAGCCCGACTCCTGCTCCATCAGGACGGCATCAAAGTGCTAGCCCCAAACTGAGGAAGGATAGAAGTCAGCACTACGACTCTACGAGCTCCAGTGGCACTGAGGAGGATGAATTCCTCCCCAGAAAACCAAAGGCAGTGCCCAAGAGCAGGCTCCGAAACCAGAAGTTCTCTCATTTCCGTTCTCAAGCCGATCTCAATTCTGAGAATGGTAAGCTTCCTTTGTTCCCACACGAGAAGTCCTCAATGGCTCGCTATGCCAAGGATTATCTCTACCGATGAAGATACCCTCTTTTTCAGGGGTCCGCGTGCTAACCAAACTCCTCAGAAGGACACAACTCCGCTGGTGCTGCTTCTGACGAAACTCCTTCAACTCGGTATGATACTCTCGCTCTCCTGATACAAGAGTCCTTCGAGCTGACAAAGTTACTCGCGTGTAGGACTTCGGCTTCCAAGACTGCTCACGACCCAGGATCTTTCAAGAGTAGCAGTCATGATGACCTGCGTGGATCGTTTGCCGCTGGTAATTGGGGTGGTGATTTTGGGTTTGACTCCTTTGCTCCAGACGCATGGATCAATAGTCCTAATGGCCGCGGACGAACGTCGGCAAGAGCCAGTCCGACACGCGCAGGTCAGGCTGGAGGCGACCAGTCCCGCTCGGCATCGACTTCCCAGCAACAACCACCTACTCCATTCGCTGAAGCAAAGTTTTTGGCAGACGACTGGGCTGCGAAGCTCAAGGATTTGAAATTCGCCATGCCGGACCATGGCGAAGCACGACCGCAAGCGCAGGCAAATACCCAGCGGCAGCGAAGCCCGAGAAAACAGACCAGGGCAGGCGCCAAGCTGCGACCCACGCCGCAACGGGCCAGTGTTGCTACAGAGGCTGAGGAGTCTCACGCGACTGTTGATGGTGATAACAAACAGGAAACCGCCGGCGCGAATACTGAGCAGGCAGAGGCTATGGATCTTGATGACGAAATCCCTGCGGCAACTGTCGAGACCGCTCCCGCACCAGAACAGGCATCCAGAGATCCTACACAAGAAATGCCACCACCTCCCTCACAGCCACCTACGGAAACCCCCAGCGCAAACGCTGCTCCCAAGGCCAAGACTCGCCTGTTCAACCTGAATGACCTCGGCACCACAGCCCCGTTCACGAGTACAAACCACGGCGGGATTGACGACTTGGAGGACATTCACGCAACGCTACCCTTTGAGTCACGCGCAAAGGCCCCGAGGACAACGGTTCGGGATGTTCGTCCAAGACAGCTGGTCTGTCCGAATCCACCCAAGAGGCCCACTCCGCCGGTGTTGGTCCCTATCAGCGCGGGGTCGCAACAATTAGGTCTGCCCCGAGCCGCGTGGGAGCGATATGTCGCGGAGATGAATGCCTACATGCGAGAGTGGAACGCCTTCAACCGCCGGTTGCTGCGTCATTTCAACGCACGGCAGGAGGCCATGGAGACCGGGATGGCTCCCAACTGGATCGGGGCTGTTGGGGACTCTACGCGTCTCAAGATCGACGAACTGAATGGCGAAGATGACGACCGAGAGGCTCGAGAGGATGCTGGTCAGGAGAACGATGATGATGTTGTGGCTGGAAATGCCAAGGCAGGGTACAGTGCGTATTTGCGTGCACTGGACGAAGACGAACGGGTACATAAGCATTGGGAGGTTGCGCGTGAAATGCACCGCGAGTGCATCGTGAAGCTTGGCCAGATGCGCCAATGGATCTTGAACGGAGGGAAACTGATTTGAAGCAATAGAGGATACCCAACGGCCTTTCTTTAAACTGTGGCTCTTGTTGCATGGCACAGGTGTTGGCGGTACGGCGTTGCACACGGCACCACTCTTTCTACAGTCCGGTAGACTTTGGTTTGCCATTTATGTATGTATTATTATTATTATTATGTCTCTCTCCTTGACCGATACGAATAGAACACTCCTCGATGAGAAGGCAGAGCATAACCACCTGTAGATCATTGCTGACCCTAGCCCTGAGCCCTGAGCCCTAAGCGCCGATACCGGGCTGATTCAATTACTATCAGGTAAGTATAACCCCCCACCTTCCCAATGCAGCCATCTCCCCCCGCTATAGGAGGGATGATAGGCTCAACGATTCTGGTAAATACGTGACAGAGCCTCGAGCACACAAAACAGCGCCGTCCTCCAAGGGAAGTGCACAGTACATACCGTGTATTACCAAACGCAGCCGTCTTGGCTATCCCGCGCTGAGTCACCGGGCAAAGATCATATATCGCCTGCGCCAGTTCCCCCTCCATCCTTTTTTTTCCGTCTTTTGGATCTTGACGGTCGCGAACCCTTCGCTGCTGCTCCATTCGCCTTCCCTTCGGGTTGCGAATTATCTAATATTATTCCAAACTTGCATTGCCGGTCAATTGATTCTTCGGGTCAATTGTAACTTGTTCGAAAATCACCAAAAGAAGTCGATTCTTGTTCGTGCTATCTGAAACCATCCCCGCCCCTCCCTCTTACAAGTGCCGAAGCGGACGTATACCTATTTTCGCCAGTCGATCAATCGAGAAATATCGCCTTCAGACAACTCCTGTTTGAGGTCTTTAGTCACCATGGGTATCACAATTGTTCTGGGTAGTCAGTGGGGTGATGAAGGTGAGGATCCTCGCGTCATGGATGGTTGTGGTTCCTGCGGGATCAAATGCTGACTACGGCGATGTTGTTGGGGAATAGGAAAGGGGAAGATCACGGATATGCTTTCGCAGGAGGCTACGCTCTGCTGCCGTGCCGCTGGCGGCCACAGTGAGTATCACCGTCGCTGTTCTTGATGTGCTGAATTGCGCGAAGCTAATGTGCTTTTCTTTCCTTTTTTTTCTTCTTCCTGTTAAGATGCGGGCCATACCATCGTTCATGACAACATCACCTACGATTTCCACATTCTTCCCTCCGGTCTGGTCTCGCCGAAATGCGTCAACCTGATCGGTGCCGGAACCGTCGTGCACGTCCCTAGCTTCTTCAAGGAGCTGGCCTCTCTGGAGGGCAAGGGGCTGAAGGGCGCCGGCAAGCGCATCTTCATCTCCGACCGCGCTCATGTCTGCTTCGACCTGCACTCCGTCGTCGATGGCCTGGAGGAGGCCAGGCTTGGCGGTCGCAAGGTCGGCACCACCGGCAAGGGCATCGGTCCCTGCTACAGCGACAAGGCTGCTCGTCGCGGTGTCCGTGTCGGTGAGATCATGGACGAGGCGGTCTTTGAGCGCAAGCTGCGGACTCTGCACGCCGGATATACTGCTCGATTCGGCGATCTGGAGTATGATGTTGAGGAGGAAATTGGTCGTTTCAAGGTGACTAGCGCGCGCACCTTTTGGCTATGTTGGATGAGTGAATAGAGTTTTGCTGACCTGCGGTCTCTCCAGGAATACCGCCAACGCCTGGTGCCATATATTGTTGACCAATTGGCTTTCTTCAAGCAGTACAAGGATTCGCCTAACACCCTTGTCGAGGGTGCCAACGCTCTGATGCTTGACCTGGACCATGGTACCTATCCCTACGTGACCTCCTCCTCGACCGGTCTGGGTGGTGCCGTCCAGGCCCTGTCCCTCAACCCTGCCAGCATCACCTCCATCATCGGTGTTGTCAAGGCCTACACCACCCGTGTGGGCTCTGGCCCCTTCCCCAGCGAGCAGCTGAACGAGTACGGTGATAAGCTGCAGAGTGTCGGTAGGGAATTTGGTGTCACCACCGGCCGTCGCCGCCGCTGCGGCTGGTTCGATCTCGTCCTCTGCCGCTACTCCCACGCCATCAACCATTACACCGCTCTGAACCTGACCAAGCTGGACGTCCTCGACGACTTCGACGAGATCAAGGTTGGCGTCGCCTACGTCCTGCCTGACGGCACCCGCCTGACCGACACCTACCCGGCCGACGCCGCCGTCCAGGAGAACGTCAAGGTCGAGTACGTCACCCTGCCCGGCTGGAAGAGCAACACCATGGGCGTCCAGAAGTACGAGGATCTCCCCGCCAATGCTCGCGCCTACATCGAGTACATTGAGCGCGAACTGGGCGGTGTCCCTGTAAAATGGATCGGCACCGGCCCCGCGAGAGACCACATGATCTGTCGGGAGTAAATCCGGTTCTTTTCCCGTACACCCTTGGAATCATACGCCTGCTTTACGGTGAAGCTGGACGCGGATGGCTGAACAGCTATCTACCTTGCAACCTAGAAGTTCGTCCTGGGATATCATTTTGTCTTTTTAAATTATGTTTGTGTATATGAATGAATAGACGAATACTGATGAAATTTGTTATACTTCTTTATTCTGATGTGCTATAATAGATCAGAACTCTTTGGGTAGATCCAAGGAAGGCATCATTAATCACTCGCAAAATCACCTAGCAACTACCACTGGCTCCTGCGTACCTTACTCGATGTTATTGGAGTCACGTCTTGCATCCTGGTAAACTTACAGATCAAACAACATAGCACGCCATTTGAAAAAAGCAGACGATCACTGACAACGATCTCTCTCAATCCCACAGAACTATCTAAACTCCATTCAAACCTGTATCCGAACCTACCGAGGCAGCAAAATAGCCACATCCACGTAGCTCGCTCCCTACATCGGAGCACCACCTTCCGTCTCCTTCGGAGTCGGCTCTGGGTTTTCGCCAGACTCAGCCGAAGTGGGCTTGGCTGCAGGAGGATCTATAAACAGTTAGAGGCGGTGGAGATAGGGGGCCGAGCGACGTCATTCGCTGGAAGATACATACTGGCCACGCCCACGCAGACATAGTAATCCGGCAGGAGAGAACGGCAGGATGGCTGGAGGGAGGTATTCCATTTGTAGAACTGCTCCAGGGAGATGCCGTATTGGTTCGCGATGGCCCAGCAGCTGTCGCCGGCGACGACTTTGTGGAATTTGCTGCCTGTGAGGGGGGATGAGGTTAGAGAATGATGATCAGAGGTGGTGTATGTCAGGGGGATTCTCGTTTTTCTGTTTTTTTTTTTTCTTAAAGGGGAGGGATGGGGTTCATACACTCTGGTGGGATGCCAGGTTGCTCTGGCTTGGGGTGTGCGGTGGGTGTGGGCGCGGGTTTCGGCTCGTCGGCGGTGCCGACGCAGACGAAGTAATCCGGGTATAGGCGTTCGCAGGATCTTCCAATTGACCTGTTTACTCGGTTAGAGTCGATTCGTGATGACTTTTTGTTTCCCAGGGGCTTGAGTGAAAGACTCACGGGTTCCAGGAGTAGAATTCTTCCAAAGTGAAATTGCCGTAGCTGTTCACGATGGACCAGCAACTGTCGCCGTTCTGGACCTTGTAGAAAGCATCGCAGTTTTCGGCTAAGCCGCCCTGGATGGGAGATGGTAGGTCCGCGACCGCAAGTGGGCTTCTGATGACAGCTGAGTGGACTGCACCGAGGCAGAGGAGCTGGCCGATGATGATCGATAGAAGTATCATTTTTGTCCGCGATTTAGCTTCTGTGTGTTGCTGAGATATTGGACTGGTGAGTATCGTCGGTTATATAGCTGATTTTCTCAGTGGACCACAACTATAGCTCTGCTCCCACGTCTTGATGTGCTTGTTATTTCTGGAGCTGTGTTGCACAAGGTTGATAGTAAATCACATACCAGGGACACACGTGGTACAGAATCGCAGTACAACATAGAAGCTCTCGACGTGGATGGAAAAGGACACCTTCTCAAGAACTCCTGGAAGTACGACGGCTATTGCTTGTGCTCTTCTGCAACGAAATTGCGCAACGTAGGGGCCTCGTCTTTCGCGGATTGAATCTCCCAGAGAGGTTCCCCATCATCGTCAAACTCAGCCCATTGGAAAAATGTGCAACCCTTCGTTCCTGGTGTATATCCTGCATAGCACATCCACATGTACTTCCCTCTGTTCTCACGTTTACGTTGCACACACCGCAAGACAGCATGAAAGCCACACCGACAGCGAGGGATGTTACGTGGATGCAAAGAATCGCGAAACCAGCGATAGGTTATATTGATGCGCCGGTTACCTGCCAAAGGATGTGGTGAAACGGTTTGCGCAGGTGCAATCGCATGTTTCCACTCCTCCTGCATCTCAGCGTGCATCACAAGCAGAGAATTATGTGGGAGGTGGATGGAGACTTGTCCCTGCGCATCAGCGCGGGAATCCGAACCTTTCGGCGCTGCTCTTCGTTTCGATGGAGATTCTGCTGTCGCTTGGGTCGGAGAAGTGTCGCTTTTAGAATCCTCATCGTCGTTGTCCGCCACTATCTGTCGAACCCGGAATTCTCTCTCAACTCCTAGGCTCAAGCTTCCAATGATAGCTCGTGGGCCAAGATAGGTCAACTCGTCCGAATGGTAACCCACGCTCTCTGCGGGGCCATCGTAGCAGTTGACAAATGCCGCATTGGGCATCCACTGTTTGGGTGACTGGTACCTAAGTTTCTTCCCCCCAGGATAAAATGCTTGCATCCGCTTCTGGGCCTCGTCGTTCACTGCCTGTTGAACCCTGGCAGAGACTGCACGCAAGTGTGGTGTAAGCTGACGCACATTGGAGCGGAATGTGCCACCATAGGTGTACTCCGATGTTTGCTGGCGAAACTCTTCAGGCGTGGAGACATATATACAGCTTGTATGAGGACTCTCGACTGTACGATCAAACAGCTGGAACCGGTATCTCGAAAAGTGCTCTGACTCGTTCAAGAGTTCCTGGAGTAGCGCATTCGCCTCCTCTGGGGGCAAGAAATTATGGATGATCGTACATGGGGTATGAGCAGCGACATCCTCCGGGGAGAAGAGATGCAGCGTCTTCCCTTTCCGAGTGAGCTGCTTCTTCGGTGGCTGTCCTGTGTCATTTGTAATATGCGAGGTCAAGGACGTTTGAATGGCCGTAACACCGTTCGCTCGCTTTTTGACCGGTTTGTATGCAAGTTGAGCGTTAATCACAGAAGAAGCGTCCTCCACAGATCCCCCACTCGAGAGCAGTATATCTAGTAATGTATCTTGTTCGATGTCGGGAAAGAGTGATAACAGCATTGCCAATTTGACGTCAGTGGAATCATCGTCGAGGCTCTGGCTCTGTCGCTCAACGGGCGAGCTCACCCGTGGCCTCTTCCTAGAAATAAAGCGGTCCATCTACAGGGCCGGAGAGTTAGGAAAAGAGCCATCGAATGTGATGCTCCTCTGGTGTGAGAAGATGAAGAAATGAGGACTGCGGACTTGAGTAATTCGTATATCCGCACGTGATTGCTCTCAATATGACCAATCAGAAGTCATTATTCTCTCACACATGTGATTCGACTACTGTACGGAGTACTACTAGGTATTAGGTTGGCCGTGTCTATTGTATATGCGCACTTTGCTGTTGATCCTAACTCCAATTTCCATGCCCCAGATAGATCTTGTTGGGCTTGTGATATTCTTCCAAATTTCTCCCTTGACGTAGACCATCGTATATTTCCACAAGCGCTGACAGCGCCACAACTGTCCAGCCGGGATAATTCCCCTTCACCGGGTTTGAAAACCCGCGATGTAAGTCAGGGAAGTTCTCCTCAACAACCTTGATGGGACAGCTAGCATAATCCGCATTCTGCTCCACCATGGATGACATATCCACGGTCTTTGTGAGAAACGACAAGACCCCATCGTCGATCATCAGACACATCCGCAATCGCACGGGTAGTTCTATTGAAGGCAAGGACAAAGCAACCTTCCAATCGTGAAAGGCCTCCCGAACAGTTTCTTCATCTACCCCATGGTACTCTTCCTGCGAGTTGAATACCTTGGAGGCATAAGTTCGTTCCAGCGACCGGAGCTGTTCTGGACTTCCCGGAAGACTTCGTGGCAAGGCGCTTTGAACCTGTTCGTTGAGTGCTCGGAGAAAAACGGGCATCAAACGCTGTGAGCCAGGTGCGTAGGTAGTGCGATAGACAATGGGACCCCAGGTGAGGGTGAGGAAATCGCGCTCAGGGCCGGGAGGAAGTGACCGGAGTCCAGGTTCTGAACCGAGGCGATAGACCTCTCTCTGGAGGAACTCGTTGGCAGGAGTGTGGTAATTTTCAGGCTCTGCCATTACGATAGGATCGAGTTGATCAATGAATTAGATTGTCAGTATTCCAGTAGTCAAGAAAGACATGAAGGTAAGGACGTTTTTTGAAGCTTGCAGCGATTGCAAGTCATTGTCGTCAGAGTGACATATATAATAGGAACAAACAGAATTCATTGTTTGTAAATATGCAAATACTGAAGACTTTCTAGGCTTCATTTCAATCAGCGATGGATTGATATATTGTTGTTGAAGGTGTTGAAGATGATGAAGATGTTGAAGAAGCAACTGAGGGACTGACCCTCTCACTAAATCATCAGGCCCATCAGACCTCGGTTCTTCGCATGCGAATCTCCCCGCAATCTTTAAACTCCGGCTTCAACTTCATCCTTCGACTTCTCTTTACAGCAACAACAATGATACCCTCATGACCTGATCCTGTTAGAACTTCTCACTATCTTCTTCTTTTTCTCCGAACCACTCAGTCTCTTACCTTCTTTACAAATATGCTCCATTTCCGCACCGAGGGCTACAACGGCTGTGCGGTCAAATACTCCCCATTCTTCGATAACCGGCTGGCCGTCGCTGGGTCGGCGAATTTTGGACTGGTGGGAAATGGCCGGCTATTCATCTTAGAGCTGACTCCAAATGGGATTGTACCAGCAAAATGGTCGGGTTCCAATTGTGCCCAGCAGTGTTGTGGATATAACTAATAGTGATACCAGGTTCACTACCCAGGATTCCCTCTATGACCTCGCCTGGTCCGAAATCCACGAGAACCAAGTCCTCACAGCCTCCGGCGACGGCAGTATCAAGCTTTTTGACTGCACTGTGGATGACTTCCCGATTCAGAATTGGAAGGAACACAACCGTGAGGTCTTCAGCGTCCACTGGAACCTTGTAGCCAAGGATACCTTCTGCTCGAGTAGCTGGGACGGGACTGTCCGGGTGTGGTCGCCACATCGACCGCATTCTCTCTACACTCTCCCAACACACAGCTGCACATACTCCGCCGCGTTCTCCCCCCATTCCCCCGAGATTCTCTCCTGCGTGACCTCCGACTCCTACGTCCGCATCTTCGACCTTCGCACACCAGCCTCCGCGTCCAACCACCTCACCCTCCAGATCCCCATCCACGCTGCACCCGTGCCGCCCATTCCCGCAAAAGCAGGTGTGCCCCCAGCCGCGTGCGCTCCCGCCGAAGCCCTCACCCACGACTGGAACAAATACCGGCCGTCGATCCTCGCGACTGCCGGCGTCGACCGCACCATTCGCACCTTCGACATCCGGGCCCCGCAGCAGGGACCGCAGGCCGTGATGGTGGGACATGAATATGCTGTGAAGAAACTGGCCTGGTCGCCGCATCTCTCAAATATTCTGCTCAGCGGGAGCTACGATATGACGTGCCGCGCGTGGAGCGATCAATCCACGACAGGGCCTATGGGAGATGCCGATCCCATGCGTGGTGGTCCCGGGGCCCCAGTCATGGGTATGGAGCTGGGCCGCATGAACCGACACACTGAATTCGTGACGGGTGTTGATTGGTGTCTCTTTGGTAGCGAAGGGTGGTGTGCGAGTGTCGGATGGGATGAGAGCTTGTATGTCTGGGATGTGCGAGGAACGATGGGGTAGAGATATGGCATTCTTATCTTCGACTACGGTCCTGTATTGGATATTATAGATTAACGCGAGATACCATGATGACATTCTTGAATAGTGGATCGATCTGAGGATAAGCTTCTCTAAGCAGCAGAAGTGATTCAAAGTGTGGTAAGACGTCATCTTACAATTTTGCGTTTCGCATTGCCAAGCTATAGAATCTATACAACGCTAGTTCTGCTGAGCAATGCGTCTATCTCCAAAAACATATCTCGTCACATATCATCATCCATGTATGCCATGTGTTCAATCACTAGCAACGACCAAATGACTCTTCATGGTCGCATATATCCAACATCTATCCATCTTGGGCAAAAGGCCCGGGTATAGTCTGTGAGAACCGACAGATGGGCAGCGCCGATGCGCGCATCCGCATGTCTCTCCACAGCGCCCTCGCGCGAGAACGAGAGAGGGGGGGAAGTAAAAATAAGAACGAAGAGAGACCAGTTTATCTACCACCCAGTCTGGCCTCGACCTTCTTGCGCTCCGCATCCTTGAGAGCCGCGATCTCCTCGCGGCTGGCGTCGAACGCCACATGCGCCTGATTGAACGGGTTCTCCTCGCTTTTCTCGAACTCCTTCTTGCAGAGCTCGATGCGCTGCTGTCTGCGCAGCCCGGGATTCTCCTGCTCGATCTCCGGCAGACGGCGCGCCTCAAAGGCCGCATACGCAGCCTTGAAACGCCGCTCCGGGTGGCGGTCGATCTTCGACCCGTCCTTGCTGGTCAGCGACAGCGCGTCGAGAGCATTATCGATACCGGACGCGTTAAGCGCCGTGCCCTTGCGGCTGCCAGGCTCGTCATCCAGCTGCGACAGGTCCAGCCCGCGGGTTTTCTTCTGAGCCTGTTTGGCGCCGCCGCCTTTGGGCTTGGAGGGCTGCGAGGCCTCTTCGGCGGCGAGGAGGGCTTCTCGTTCGGCCTTCTTGCGGGCGGCTTCGGCTTTTTTGGCTTCTGCGTCTTCCCTATGAAAGTTGACGATTGCGTTAGCTGCTTATCCTTCTTTTTTTTCCCCCCCCTCTCCCCTTGTGGATACCGGGAAGAGGCACGCGCGGGGGTTATCGCTCACTTCTTCGCGCTGCTCTTGGATCCCTTCTGCCACTGCTTATCCTCCTCGGCTGCACGCTTGGAATCCTCGGCTGCTTTCTTGCTCGCGGCAGCTTCGGCTTTCTATATAGACAGGGAAAGAAAAATGTCAGTCTCGGCTTGCCTCCCTTGATCGAGTATAATCAAAGCTGCTCGTGGCAAATGGCAGAAAAAAAGCGGGGGCGGGGGTTGGGGGAACTCACGCGAGCCTGGCCAGCTGCCTTCTTGGAGTTTTCGCCGGCGGCTTTCTTTCCTGCCATGTTGGCTATATGCTGTCTCCGTGTCCGAAAATGCTCGGGAATAGGTGTACAGAGGAGTTGGGTATGATTTATCTAGTTGTTATGAGAGCGAGTCATCCGATGGAGCTTTTTGCGGTTCCGACGGCGGCGGAAGCCTGATGACTAAGCCAGGGCTGACGTAGTTGACATGTGATCTGGGAAGCCCTGCATGTCGATAGTGTTCGATGGTTTTCGAGGAATCGATTCTCAGGCATTGTACGCAAGGAGATACAATTTCATTGGGTTGGGTTGTAAAGAGCAATTGACTTGAACAGTTGGAGATCATCATTCGAACCTGGCAGACTTGCAATGCACGCTCTAAAAGAAACTGTAACAAAGGACCATAAAAAGCAGACTCCGAATGAACAAGGATAGGACAAGACATTCGTGAACATTGCAGCAATTGAACCCATATCTCATATCGTCATCAGTCTTATTAAAAAAGAAGCTTACAGATTATTTGAACATCTCTTGAAACGTTGGGGCCATCGCGCAAGTCTCAGCCACCAAAGTCATTGCTGCCGTTGGTCCTATCTGGTCTTCAGCAGATGTAGTGGTCGAAAGGGCCGATTCGGACGGCTCAGCAATATCTTGAATGTAGACAGACTTTGCAGAAAGCAGATCCGCCTCCAAGACCAGATCTTTCTCCGGTAATAGATCAGCCTCCAGTATCAGCTCACTCTCAGGGAGCAGATCACTCTCAGGGAGCAGATCACTCTCAGACGGCAGATCACTTTCAGATGGCAGATCACTCTCAGACGGCAGATCACTCTCAGATGGCAGATCACTTTCAGATGGCAGATCACTCTCAGACGGCAGATCACTCTCAGATGGCAGATCACCCTCAGACAGCAGATCAATGTCCGGCAATGAGGGCTTTGGTTCCTCCGCCTGAACAGCAGCCTGAGTCGGCACAGGCTCAACAGTCTGCAAAGTCTCGGAGCTGACTTCTTCACGGACAGAAGGCGTCTGGACGGCTATAGCCTCAACAGTTGTGGTAGGCTCTTGATATACTTCGGGCACGACAGTGGAGGAGCTCAACTGGTCCGCCCAAGCTGTGGTTGAGTGCTGCGCCAGAGGCATTGCAGATGAAAAGACGGACACAGCCTCAAACATATCCTGCGGAAAGGGCCTGAGAGCCGAAGAACTTGTTCGAGACCCGGTGGCAACGGCAAGGTAAGCCACCAAGATACTCAGAAGGCCGATTGCAACATTGCGACGGTCACTGGCTAGTACGCGGACGTAGTTGATGAGCAATGTCTGGATGTCAATGTCCTCCACCGACCGGGGAGGAAATACTGGGATATCTGGCGGACTGTTCTTTTCTGGGACTGCTATTTCCGGGACAGGAGATGAAGGCCGCGGGGCCTTTTCGGGGACGAACAGGGTTGCTTCGTCACTCAGGGGAGTAGGTGTGTTGACACGGGACGGATGTGTCTGCATATCTGTGATTGCGTCCGCGGTCGGCTCCTTCAGCTGCGGCACTTCGAGTCTGGGATCGCCGCGCGAGAAATCATCATCCAACAGCCTCTTCTCCAATTCGCGCCGAATCTCCGAAGGCAGCCAGAGGCCGACCTCCACATCCACCTTTTCCATCTCCCTCCACGCCGCAGCCCAGGCACCGGCTCTCATCAGCCCGTTGGCAGCAAAGACCTTGATCTCCCACTTTCTGCGAGCCTCGTGCCGGACAACCCGCCCGCCACAGTCGGCGCATTCCTCCCCTTGCTCGTCATCGGTCGCACTGTCCTCCGTAGTGGAGTGGTCCTCCTTCTCCGAATCTGTCTCGTGGCCCAAGAAGTGCCCATGGTGTAACCGCGGCCGCTGGAGCTCCAGACTCTCCAGCAGTCTCTCCTCGAGCAGATCATACATATCCTCTGGGTGGGAGATGAGCACGCCGCGGTCCCGGAGCACCCCCGAGCCCACCTTCTCCTCGAGCAATTTCCACCGCCTCCAGTACTCCAGAGGCAGTACCTCCCTCAAGACCTTCTGGTCCGGGTACCCGATCAGGCCTGGCACAGGAAGCGACGGCGGAAGGAGATTGCAGTGAAGCAGCACAAGCGGATACTCCTTCTTCAGCTTCTGTCGCCCCGCGGACCCCGTCGGCGAGTAGTAAGTCGACCTCTTCAGCGGGGAGGACCCCGCCGAGCGAATCGAGATATCGGACATGCGATGCCCAACCCTCCGTTTTGGGGGCGTCAGGAACTCGTCATCGTCCTCATCCTCCGTGTGCATCTGCATCGCGCGCACCGAGCTAGGCTTGCGAAACGCAGCCTCCCGCTGCCGGATCGTGTGTATGGACTTGAGATGCAGCTGTCCCTCCATCCTGCCCAGCCCTGCACTATCGTGGTTGATCCAAGGAGGACGGAGATGCTCGTCTGCCGCGGAGCCGATTCCCGGCTTCAGCTCGGTCGCTGGGTGAATCAGTACCGAGTCGGGGATGGAGGAGATCGAAGAGCGACTGGAGGTCCGCGAATTTAATGAGGCCGAGTCGTCTTCTTCGAACTCTCGGTCGACTCGATCGTTCGCGGAGTGTTGCGTCGAGGATGCCGAGGAGTTGTACCCGCAGTCCTGGCTGCCTAACTGCCCATCCTCGTCCAGGCCGCCTTCTTCGTAGTGTATCGACTCGTCGCGAGACGCCGTTGCTGCTGATTCGTAGGCGAGACGTAGTTCGTCTACCGGCGGGTTGAGGTCTGGATCCTGCTTGCGTGCTGTCAAGTGTGTGGGATCCTCCGAATGAGAGGCAATGGAAAAGTTCCCCATTAGGAAAAAACAGTCCACTGCTATGCAGTAGGCGACATGCGCGAAGGAGAGGAATGTGGGTTCTTGATTGCTTATCGGATCTTAGGAAGTGAAACTGATGGCTGTCAGAAAAGAAGGAATTCGACTCATCATACAACGAGACAAACAACACTGCTAAAACACGCGACCAAACAAGATGAAGAAATATCAAAGATGAAGAATCATAGCGCCCAGGCACGACCAGAGAAGTTGAAAGGATGATATCCTGGACAAATAACCGATCATCCTTACTTCAACCCTTCAACCACTTGATGCTTTGTTGGTGGTGTTGTCACCATCTGGTTGTGCAGGGCAACCATGCATGGGGAGATGGCGGTCTATCGCCTGCGAGTGGATGCCAGATCGCCATGGCTTGGAGAATAATAGATGGACTGGTTGTTTCATTTTAATTCTATCGTTTCGCTTAAGATGGCATCTGCCCATTCGCGATATCTACAATGGCTACGCTACTATCGGTGTCCCTGCGGGTTTGTCCAGGTGAATATACTTCGTTTCCATTAAAGATGATCCATATATACTTACTACAAGTACAAAACTCAACAGGCTCACATATTCCCAATAAATAATATATAACCCCTTCCTAAGGAATCCAAATCGTGCCAGGCCATGCAAAAAGGCGATGCAAAAAAAAAAAAAAAAAAAAAAAATCAATGTCACATAGAACGCTAACACCACAACTATCAATGCTTGCTAGCTGAAACGAAGATCAACGGAGAAGAAACAGACGTGGCTGAATCGCTGTAAAATGCCAGAAGCAGTCTTTCATCCCTCGACCACGCATATGACTGAACATGGCTCATGTAGTCGTCAAGTGTACATGACACAGAAGAAGCGAGATGTTATTGCGGGGGCCGAGAAGGATGGCTACCCGGGCTCATCAAATGGGGGTAGCTCTGGTGCTCCCCAAAGTAATTGAGGACGTCTTGAGGGAGATATTCCAGCCAGGGTAGGATCTCACCACTAAAAGGAAACGGAAAGTGATCTTGTTGTTGGAGAGTAGTCATGTCAATATCTTGGCTCTCTATTAGCATGCCGCCAAGGTCTCCATCTATACTAGGGTGCAGATGGGCCGAATTCGAGTTCACATGGTTGCTACCTGCTTGTCGTTCATTTGCTGCGGGGGCCATTTGGTAACCATACGGCGATGCCTGAGGTTGTAGCTGTGCTGAGGACAAAGAAGTCAGGCTGTGAGTGTAGGTTGACTGAGAATTCGACATTCGATCAGCGGGAGTAGTATATGGCGTGTTGAGGCCTAGCAAGAGATTGGCATCGGAAGCAGCGACTCGACCGGAAGAACCGAGAGGGGCGTATTTCGCAGACCCGATAGACGAGGGACGTGTCCCGTCTGCAGCTCTCGTCAATCCGACCGTATTCAGATACGGGCTCGACTCTTGCTCGGCTTTGAATGACGCAGGCAGATTAGCGTAGCTGTGGCTATACTGGGACGAATTTGTGGGTCTGGCCTGCTCTGTGTCTGTCTGCGAAGCTGGCATTTGGTACAAGAGGCTAAGATTGGGTTGTGAGGAGTTGGTAGCTCCCGTCAGAGCCCATCCAATAGCTAAGATGTCCGTTAATACATGTGGTTGAGCGGCTGGAAAGTTGGCCGGTTTGCCATACCTTGACCAGGGTCCATTCCCCGTTCCCCATCGGAAGGGTTTTCGACAACTGCCGGTTTTTCTGACTCAATCGCAGCGTCTAGTGATGCCTTGGCTGGTCGCCAACTTGGCGCTGTGGGGGGCGGAATTGGAGATAACTCGGCCGCGCTTTCCATCTCCTCCTCAGTATACAATAATGGATCAACAATGCCCTTGGCCTTCTGATCAAGAACCGTGAGGATATACTTTGTCCCTTCCCAATAGGTCTCAAGTGCCTTTAGAGCTTTGTAGCAACGCTGATAATTCTCCCTGGCTGCCGAAGCGAGAAGTATATGCTTAGCACTCGACTTCGGATCTGCCGACGGTTCTGTATTTGGCAATACGAAACCGCTCGACTGGTGGCTAAGGAGTGGTTGGCACGGAGGGGAGCCGGATCTGGAGGAGGGGGACGAATAATAAGCACTTTCCATGAGAAAAGCACAAGCAGCGATATACATCGGTTGGCTCGTAAAAGGGTTGCCAATGAAGCTCTTGCCATCGACAAGCTCAGAAAATGACAGGATGTCTGCTATGGTTTTGGCCGAGGACATCGACAGTTCCCTGCTGTTTGGATAGAGATGTTGTATTGATCCACCAAATGAATTCAGGAGGGTGGGCTGATGAAGAAGGACTATGAGAGTATGAAACCACTTCATGGATGTTAGATGTCATGGAAAAAGCTCAAAGATTACGAAAATCATGGAGCCATCTTACGAAATGAAGAAGTATGAAATTTGTTCCTTCCTTTGCTTTCACGTAAGCCTGGAAATTGGCTGCATTGAAGTGGAGCTTGGGTGATAACCGCTGGTATATACCTGGAAAAGAGTGTTAACAATCCAGGAACACAATCTGCCGGACATTCATAGAAGTACCTGTTAGATCGCTTTCCATTCCAGCCAGCCTCTCGAGGGTCTCTGTTGTGACATAATTTGCATCTTGGATACCATTGATCAAATCCGTTACACGCCCATAGAGGTGTATTATGCGGATCAACGGCGGGAACGGCGCAGGCCAGCCATTTGGGAGTTTACACTCCGGCTGGAGGGGAAAGCACAGTTCGATATCCTCATCACGCAAAGTGACTGGTCTGCCAGTGCCAGACGAGATGACACGGTCCAGAAAGAAGATACTCCAAAATGCATCAACTCTCTCCCGCTCAAATGCACGCTGATCGTTGGCGTCCTCTTTCTTCTGGGAGTGTTGAGTGAGTTCGGGCTCATCGCAATGATCATATTTCTCTTCGCCTAGGTTGCCCGCTTGCCCAGATAGGACTGCTTTTGGTGTCACGCCTTTACGCCCGTAGCTATACCTCAAGCCCTGGAGCTTCTGCATCCCTAGATCTTGGGCCATTCGAATAGAAATCCCGAGGTACATCCAAAGCCCACTATCGTGGTTTGACCCAAATTGTTCGTAAGCGAGCAAAAGACATGCCTGGACAACGGACAGTGTCGGACAAGAAAGCGAGTCAACCAAGGCGCTCATTGCCCTATGAGCAAACGGCTGGCCGCGATCAGAGCTTCTTATATCAGTGCGTGGCTCTGATCCATCAATCGGTGGCGCTTGAGGAGGGCTCAACAACGGATGAGGAGAGAATCGTGCTGATAGGGCACACACTGCGTCGACAAGCATCGTATCGATCTTCTTCTCCTTGAGGTCTCGGAGGAACCGGTCCCGTTGCAAAAACGGGAAACTGCAGCCTAGGTGCACGAAAAACAGGTCGCAAAGATGCAATACCAGATTACTGACTGGCAAGGAATCGTCGCGGTCATAGAATGGAATAGTATTGGCGTCTCGAGAGTCACGGCTATCGGTCAATGCATTAAACTGCGGTGCCACCCTATTTGCAAACCTTGGGCTTCGAAGGGGAGAAAGAGATTCTGCAAAAGAGTTGTGGAATGTCAGCAACTCCCCACGCATGTTCAGAAGAACGACAAAAGAATGATGTATGATGGATCTACCTGATGAAAGCGAAGGGTTACTTCTACGAGAACCGCGAACTTGAACCACCTGCAGAAAAAGTGAGAATTGAGGAACAGCTAGAACAGCTGAAGTGAAGGCTACGAACCATCTGTTTGAAGCCGGGAACGATGGCTGTTGGGCCAAAATATCGAAAATATGGGACATGGGTACGATGACTGGAGCTGAGAGAGGTACGGTCTGCCATAACAAGAATGAGTACACATCCAGCAAGAGGCCACTGTGGCAAGAGATTCCTCACTGCTTTCTGGGCTTGCTCCACCGGCGAGCGGCTCTGGCTCTCTGGTTATTGGTAAAGGTATCTCTCGTATCACACTTTGTGAAGATGGCGGCTCTGATATTTGCGCTGGCGGGCCAAAGTCGTTTCGCAAAGGTTGTTCATATCGTGGCGCTGCGTCAGGACTCTGACTTTTGGTATCTCGAGAGTTCATCTCTCCGTTGGTAGCGCTAGGGGAGGAAATTGTGGGAGTGGGTAGAGCGTTGTCTGACTGCGTCCGAACGTGGGTCAGGGGGTCGTTATATCCTAGGCAGACATGGTTGTATTCGGAGCAAGTCTTGCATACTAATGAGCAACAAATTAGCGATGTAGCAACCAAAGTCAAACGCCATCTGCCTCTCACCTGGTTGTTCACCGGAGCAGCGTATTTTGCGCTTGCGACACGTCCGACACCTATACAAGCCATCAAAAAAGCATCAGTATCGCGCAAATCCGACTCGGAGAAGGCAATCTTACGCCGCATTCACTCGACGGCGCTTCGGCTGGGGTTGACCATCGCTCGAGACGAAACGAATCTGCCTTACGGGGGGAACATTGCTGCCGCTTTTTTTCAGGGGAGAGGAGGAGCTCATCGCGAGCGGATATTCAGCCGTGATCACAGCACATCGGGCATCTGGTTATCTCTAGAGCTAACGCAATGTACTGTTTGCGACTGTGTGTCTTGAGGATGTCGCTGAAGAATGATAGACCGTTTGGCAAGAGTCGCGAGTTGTAGATCGGTAGAACGAAGCACTAGCAGATTCGAAAACTCCATGGGCATGTATGTATCTCACTTTGGTGGTGGACGTAAGATCCCAGGCTAGGGAAGTGGCAGGTGAGGGGGAGGCCAGATTATTTCTTCTTCCTCTCGGAGGCGTCAGCGGAACTAGTTATTCATACAGTCCAAGAATTATTGTCACTAAATTAGTAGAAGCATGAGCTGATGCGATAGTCTGTCTATATGTAATCAGAATAGTCAAGCTTTGAGTGTCTTCATCTGGCAGAAAAGTCGGGGTCACCACTTCTGTGGATGTGGTCTAGGCACTCGGAGCAGGAATTTAGTCGTTATTATGGTGTTTAATGTTCGGTAAGCTCAAGGGAGCATACATAGAAGTAACAATTGATACAAATGCACAAATAACCATTCAATGACAGCAGCGATATAGATAGATAGATGAATGAAGAGAAACATGGATGAAATATCGGGGTATTCTGGTCGACGTCGAGCTTTGAGGGGGAAAATTAGGGACCTCCATGTGACCTTCCCATGGTTCTGGATGCAACATGTCCCGTGATTCGACTCTTGCTGATATTTATCCATCGAACTGTTTCTAATGTCTACGGAGTATGCCTTCTCCCTATGTTCTGTGGGTCTCTATTCCCCAAGATCTCTCGACTAGTCTATACTTCAGGAGTTTTGATACGCTGCTCAAAGACCTAAATTTACTAAAGGTCAAGACTCAATTAGCACCACAAGGCAGAGGGGTTCCCGTTGGACTTGGATCAACAGGAGTTGGAGCGCGATCGCTGTTTTGTCCCTGCAGATGCCAAACTTTTTTCCCCCCAAATTCGAAGTCTGGACTCTCTAGAGTCTAGATACTCTCTGACAGCCCTGGAGAAGACAATTTAGCCTGAAGAATGGAGACCCTTCTCCTCATGGTTGATGGCTCATCCGCTCATGTTCTTCGGCCCCGGAGTGACTCCGGAGTTCCACATACGGACAAGTGACAACAGAGAACCGCTTTCGAATCCACTCTTCAAGGCATGCATCAGGCATCAGAAAAAGCAGCATCCATCCATCAACACGGAGCAAGGCCGATCAATGCCCCGCTGGGTATCTCTGGAGGCTGTAGCGGACTGCTGACAGTCTGACGCTGCTCACACCACACAGACATCTAGACCTTATCTTTGTTGAGTGAACTACCGAGGGTCCAAACCAGGGGCCATGTCAAAAAGAAAAAAAAAAAAAAAAAAAAAAAAAGATCAAGTGGCTAACTTTATCTTTCTCGCGAGTCATGGACTTATCTGGTTATCTAAGTCGCCTGTCGCTCTATCGCTCTATCTCAAGAAGCAAAACTTACTTGGTCTATCTATGCTGGACATGCCTCCTAAAATTTCGGTCTCAAAAGCTCGATAGCGTCCGTAGTCAGTCCGTATGCAATACCCCCTAGCCGACTGATCGGCTTCAGGACTTTCAGGTCGACAACGGCCTTCTCGTCATCAATCGCATCGTCCCTCACCCAGAAACGAACACCTTCGATGATCGCCAAGGTGCCTGTTGTTTTTCCTGTTGTTCTGCTCTGGAACTCCTTGGTTTCAACGAGCTTCCCTTCGATTGAGAGGATGGACTCCTTCACGCGGGCAGCTTGGACGACGGAACACGTTGCTTGATGGAGTCCTGAAATTTCCCACTCCGAGACTCCATATGGTGCGCTGACGGCAGTCGCGTTGGCTGCCTCCACAAAATGCTCCGAGATCAGATTGATCACACATTCTCCGGTTTCGACCATATTCTTCAATGAGTCCTTAGCTTTCTCAAGCGACCCAACGAATCCCACAGTGAAGAGAGGAGGATCATGATTGATGACCTGGGCATAACTGAATGGTGCCAGGTTGGTTGTCTTGCCGTCCTGTGATCTGGTGCTAATGAGCGCAATAGGTCTTGGGACAATCCCCGAGATCAAGAGTTTATAGTTTGCCGAAACTGGTCGTCCTTCCTCGTACGGGTCGATCTCCACGTGCTCCTTTTTCAAGCTCTCACCGCCATCATTCGCACCATCGCCCTGCTTCCAGTCCGGGTTGGGAGGCTTGGAAAAGGTGACTTGCGCATCGCACTTGTAGTCAGGTCGAGCAGCCTGGATTCGGTCGAAGTCGTCCCCGACTTTGAACATTGTAGCGGTCTGGCTGAAAGATCGACGGTATGGGATGGCGCGCCAGAAAGGCAAATGGGAGTGGTGGCCTTCACACTTAGCAATTAGCAATCACATCTTCAGTTCATTGTGAGTCGATCCATTTGTTGAATGTTCTCCCAACCCAACGGGATATCCCATCACCCTGATCCGGACGAAAAGGCGGAAAACGTACGATTAAATAGAGAATGTCTTTGAACGTCCGCAAACAAGGGAATCTGGAATGTGCGAGTCATTACAAATCAACGTAAGGAGTTTCCCCAAGGGGACTTCTTATTGCATAAAATGCGATTAGTTGGGTAAAGTCAGACACCACATAGATCCAGAAGCCTGCGATACTTCCACCCCCTGTTTACTATGCATTAAGGGCTATTTCCACGGGCAGTGTCATACAGAACTGGGCAACTGGCAACCGGGGTTGGGTGGAAATAGGGCGCCACTACCGATCGCCGGGCCGACTTCACCTTGGGAGCTTAGTAGCTTACCCGAGAGGCGACCCCACGTCAAATTACGGCGTAGTCAAAAACGGGCGGAGGAACAAAGAAATAGATACTAGATAGTAACTACTAACTAGTAGTGTTTAGATAGTAGTAGTAGATAGTAGGTAAGTCGTGACGTTGGCTACAAGCGGGTTACAATTCTGCCACGTCTCTCTCTCTCTCTCTCTCTCTCTCCCCTTGAGAAACATCCCTTCGACGTATTATTATTAATTATTAACCCGGTCTGCTTGCGGCTATTTTTCTGACTGCCTGGTATTCTATCTACCGAATGACATGAAGCTATAGCCATCCCTGCATGCTCCATAGTACCCCTGCTTCCGACCCTCCGTATGTAGGTTTGTGGATTTTGGATATGTCCCATGGATAGCCATGCTTGATCTCTGCACGGAGACGTCACAGCAGTTACGTGATTATAAATCTGTGTATGGGATACCTTAAGAGAAATCTCTCCGTCTGTTTGAGTATCATGACGCTGCGATATGTTCACGGAATCGTTGCTGTTCTTGAAGGAAGCTATATAAATGGAGATGGAGCGCCCCCAACTGCACAGAGATAACCAAGAGCGCTTGTACCCCTCAGTCCCTGACTAGCACTGCATGATAAGTGTCTCCTCTTGAGCAGAAACCACAATCAATCCATCCTCCTCGGTGTCAATCAAAAAAACAATATCTTTTATCCAGATCCAGATCAACATGGCCGGCAAAGAGTATGAAATCTTCAAGCTAGGGGACTGGGAGCTCCAGAGCGGAGAGAAGCTCCCGGACGCGCATCTTGCGTATACGACGTTTGGGGACCCAAGTTCCCCCGCAATTGTCTACCCGACGTGGTACACAGGACGTAGGTTTCCGCCGCCAGAGGGGTGATATCTGAAGGAGATTCCGAGTTTGCTGACCCTACCCAAGTCATTTCTGACAACCTCTGGCTCATCGGAGATGACAAAGTCCTGAGCCCTAAGAAATACTTCATCATCATACCCGCCCTCTTCGGGAACGGCCAGTCCACGTCCCCTTCAAACCAGAAGCATTCCGGGCCGTTCCCAACATGCTCTTTCTACGACAATGTGCGCGCTCAGTATAAGCTTGTCACGGAACATTTTGGAATCAAGCACCTTCGCGCAGTCATTGGGTGGTCGATGGGCGGAGCACAGACGTTCCAATGGGCGACTCAGTTTCCTGACTTCATGGATCTAGCGGTTCCCTTCTGCGGAGCTGCTAGAACATCGGTACATAACCAGGTATTCCTGGAGGGTGTGAAGAGCGCTCTGCTTGCACCGAAGTATATCCCATCCGCTGGTTCGGGCAAGCTAGGCCTGATGAAGGCTGGGGAGACGGTCAGAACATGGACTGCCGAGGAGAAAGAAATTGGCCTGAAGGCATTTGCCAGAGTGTACGCTGGATGGTAAGACTGCGCCTATTTCCAATTTCTTTCAAAAGTTTTTTTGAAGCAAAGCTTATTCGTCGGGTTTGTATAGGGGTTTCAGTCAAGCGTTCTACCGAGAGAAGCTGTATGAAAGCGTCCTCGGCTTTAAGAACCTGGAAGACTTCATGCAAAATTTCTGGGAGAAATGGGGCTTGTCCAAGGGTAAGTCGTCCATCGTCCACATGAGCTAAGGGCTAGACATAACCCCTTCTCAACTCCCTTTCTAATTGATCTCCCCTGAACTAGATCCGGAGAATCTATTAGCAATGCTACAGACATGGCAGAGCTGGGATGTCTCAAAGCAGGCACCATACAATGGTGACTTTGAAAAGGCCCTGGCCTCAATCAAGGCCAAGACTTTGGTGATGCCAGGAAAAACCGATCTCTACTTCCCGTAAGTTCTCAGATACACTCTTTTCTAGCATCAGAAGCTGACAAACATGTCCCAGTCCGGAAGATTCAGAATACGAAGTCGCGTGCATGAAGCCTGGCGTTGGAGAGCTCCGTGTATTTCCCTCTATCTGGGGCCGTAAGTCTTCCTGAATCCGACCCTCAAGGAGATCATTCTAACATACATCAACATAGACTGGGCTGGTGGTCCTGGACAAAGTAAAGATGATGTCAAGTGGCTTGATGAGCAATTAGCAGAGTTCTTCAAGAACTAGGTTGGGGGGGATATTTCTGGGAGCAATTGTGTAACTTAACCCAGTCCATAACAAACCGGCAGTTTCTCCTTGCGAGTTCAAGCCACTACCAAACGATATTCTTGCGGAAATTTTTATGACTTGCCATTCAGATTCAAACCCCAAGTTTGCATCTGGAGCAAATTGGTTTATGGTTAAAGTAAGAAAGTGGGTGCTCTAAACTTGTAATCCCTCCTCTATAGAGAAGGTCATATATTACACTAGGCAATAACATGACTATATTCACACACACACACACATTCCCACTCCTACACAAAAATAGTGGCATTGATATTAGAGAATTAGTTAGGGAGTACAGAGTACGGAGTAGAACAGAATTGTATGGCTGAATGATATCACGTGCTAATTCATTTAGTGGCGATCTGTAAATCATGTGATAGGGATACTGTGATAAGTCAGCAGAAGACCGTGATTATCCAATGTCAAATGGATCTCCTCAATCCCATCACTGTTATCGAATTGCAACAACCTGTGGTGGACTTTTGATCAATCCTTTGATTTGTCCCTCTTTTTCCTTTACAAGTTCATTTCCTACTGCTGTTTTGATTTCTTTGTCATTTTGCTGAGCCACAGCTACCTGGTCAATATCCGTTCCTTCGCAGCTCTCTTACCCTCTACCAAGCAACCTCCCGCTGAAGCCCAGGCAACACAAACGCATGCTTCTGTTCAGTTGAGCCAGATAACAACAGCATGTCCACGCCGCCAGTTCGACAGTGGGGAGTCACTCCTCCCATTTCAACTGCTCTTCCTACCTCAGACGAACTCGCTGCCAATGATGATTTAATCTCCGAGCTCAAGACTCAAAATAACTTTGAGAGCCCTGCGGAGACTGAGCGGAGGTGAGATCAGAAGGGGTGCAGACCTATCATGTGGACGGTAGCGCTGATACTATGCTTCTCGCCTAGGAAACAAGTGCTTCAGCTTCTTCAGCGCGTCGCTCTCGAATTCGTCAAGGTTGTCAGTCGCAAGAAGGGATTATCCCCTGCAGCAGTTGAAGCTGCAGGAGGAAAGATCTTCACCTATGGAAGTTATCGCCTGGGTGTTTATGGTCCTGGTGGGTAACGCGGTGGTTTTGGATGCGCATTGTTCGTATCATTGACAATGCGACAGGCTCGGATATCGATACGCTGGTCGTCGGACCGAAGCATGTCCTCATCGACGATTTCTTCTCGGATTTCCCTCCTGTGCTCGAGAAGATGGCTCCCCCTGGGGCTATCGAAAAGATGACGCCTGTTCCTGACGCCTTCGTGCCTATCATCAAGATGGAGTTGTCTGGCATCAGTATCGATTTGATCTTCGCTCGTTTGATCGTGTCTTCCGTTCCTCTCAATCTCGACCTGAAGAATAATGATTATCTAAGGGGACTTGATGAGAAGGAAGTTCGGTCGTTGAACGGTACCCGAGTCACAGATGAAATTCTGGAGCTGGTGCCCCAGCAGAAGACATTCCGCCTTGCCCTGCGCGCAATCAAACTATGGGCCCAGCGTAAGGGTCTTCTATGTCTCCCTTCTTGCATCTGTTTGGCTAACAGGCCATCGTAAACAGGTCGGGCAATCTACTCCAATATCGTAGGTTTTCCGGGTGGTGTTGCCTGGGCCATGCTGGTGGCACGAGTGTGTCAACTCTACCCTCAGGCCACTGGCTCCGTGATTGTCGGCAAGTTCTTTCGCATCATGAACAAGTGGGCGTGGCCTCAGCCTGTCTTACTCAAGCCGATTGAAGATGGACCCCTTCAGATCAAAGTTTGGAACCCAAAGGTGCGGATGACATGAACTCTAGCATAACAATTTTCACGACGCTGATTCGTCATAGATTTACCATGGTGACCGATTCCACCTTATGCCCATCATCACCCCCGCCTACCCATCGATGTGTGCGACGCACAATGTCTCGATGTCTACGAAGGCCGTCATTCTCCGTGAGCTTCAGCGGGGAGGCGATATCGTTGATAAGATTTTTCTAAAGCAAATGACTTGGAACGATCTTTTCGCTCGTCACTCATTCTTTACACAGGATTACAAATACTATCTTAGCATTACTGCGTCGAGTAAGACTAAGGAGGCAGAATCTGTCTGGTCTGGTCTGGTCGAATCTAAAATCAGACATTTGGTCGGAGCTCTAGATCGCAAAAATACAATTGCCGTGGCTCACCCATTTCCAAAGGGTTTCGAGAGGGTACACCTTGTCTCCAGTGAGGAAGAAGCAGAGGCCGTCAAGAACGGCTCTACTAAGTACCAGGACAAAGGCACAAAGACTGAAACCACAGATGAGACGAACGATATTGCGCACCAGGCTGCCGCGCAGAACGGAGTAGAGAACGCCGAGGTTGAACCTGTTGGTCAGAAAGAAAATGGCGATAGTCGGACGATCTACACTACGACTTATTACATCGGACTGGAATTGAAGCCTTTGGAACCAGGTATGATGCATTTGTTGCGATTCTGTGGGGCTTCGCTGACTCTATGAAGGTGCGTCTCGGTCGCTGGACATCTCTACCGATGCTCAGATCTTCAAATCAACATGCACCTCGTGGGCGGGATACCAACCCGGTATCAACGATCTGGCAATTACACACGTTCGCAAGTAAGATATACCTCGTCACAGGGGCTTCTTGAGCCGAATCTGACCTCATATTCAGCTTCGACCTTCCAGATGATGTTTTCCAGCCAGGAGAGACCCGTCCCACTCGGCCCAAGAAGAAGATCATCAGAAGACCCGAAGCGGGTGCTCAGAAACGAGGCATCGAATCAGTGGACGTAAGTGAATGCAAGAGACTCAAAAGAGATAACGAGCGGCAAATCAGTCACCATACAGAAGTGGAATCTTCGCATGATGGATGATGCCCTGCATATTCCGGCATTGGGGATCGACTAATTTCAATCACTCCAGGATCCATCGCACTCCGCTGCAAAGCGCCACGTCGCGTCCAACGGCATCTCCAGCACGCCAACTCCCGCATGAAATATTTCTATCACAAACCGAACTATTCAGCAAGTCGGGGCGGGTCCCCGGTTGGCCTTGGATGAGATAAACCATCCACGGCGCCCAAGTATCTTCTCAAATCGAGAGTCTTAATGCCGATGGCTCTATTGATGATCACTAATTCCAGCTGATTCCGACCCTGACCCGCGATAGGGGATTGCACCGGGAGTCAGATTATCAAGGTTGGTCGTTTCTACCCACTACCCTCCTTCATAGGTCCCTTTTGTATTCTCAACAAATACTTTCAACAAACATTCCTTGCAATGTCTGTCGCTGTCTAGGCGATCTTGCTAGGTACGTTCTACGAGACTTCCAGGAACAACGCATATGCTGCGATGATCTTGAGTGAGTGCCTCTGGCTTCATGGCGTACTGGTTGATACTGTCGCGGGGCATGATCCCTAAATTGTCGCGGGTGATTGTGAACTGAACATATCACCGTTCTATTTCCCAGTTTAGTTTCTCTGGGCTCTGCACCAGTTAGATCTAGCCGAATTGAAGCTACTCATTTCACGTGGCCTACGGGCCACATAGTACAGTATGAGGTCCCACCCGTGTAACTCGATTCTGTTCTATATCCAGCACAACCAGTAAGCTTGGTGTCTATCTCTACTACACGGAGTATCAACTCCACGTTTCCACCAGCTCACAAAGAGTCTCCTCCCCACCCACGTTCCCCGGAAACACCACAAACGACACACCCTGATGTCTGGACGTCGGCTCGTCACACCGCCAGAGCAACACCCCAGGCGCAGCCTGCCCGATAACCACCGCCCGCTTGATACCCAGGCCCTTGCTAGCGGCTTCGGAGGATGTGATCCCACCCTATCATGCATAGTCAGCCACACATCGCTTCCACCCTATGGATTGGGAGGCGAGGCGAGGGGCCCGGCCGGGGGGGGTTGGGGGACGGTTTTGTCGACGACGGCTGCGGCGCTGGTGGGGGAGGCGATCAGGTCCGCAACGTCTATTTCGAGGATGGCGAGGGCGCCGGTGGGCCCGCGGGCGTCGGTGAGGAACTTGAGCTGCGCGGTTGTTTTGGGGACGACGGCGCCGGCGAGGATGAGGGCGCCTATTTGGCGGGGGCGGGGGAGGTCGAGGGCCGGCGCTGTGATCGGGGGGATGGAGCGGATTCCGAGACGGGTGGAGACGAAGGCTGCGCCGGTGCGGTAGAGGAAGTGTTTGCCTTTGGCTTCGGCTGTGGAGGGGGTTGGTGATGGTAGGTTAGTGGAAGGGGGAAAGGTAAGTGCATGGGGGTTGGGGTTGGGGTTGGGGTTGAGATATACCGAGCAGCAAGCCGGCGACGAAGACGTGCATGTCGGACTCGGCGGCGGCGTTGACGATAACGACGCCTCCTTTGGGGAAGCTCATGAGCTTCTCGTAGACTCTCTCGGGACCGCCATTGCGGATGTCGCCTATCGAGATGGAATGCACCCTGCTCTGGGGTGAACCGCCCAGGAGCTTTCTCCATCACATAGTCCCTCAGATTCGAGCTCTTGTATCCGAACGTTGCGTCCTTGGCAAACTGCGTCAAGCCAGCAGGCACCAGGCTCTCGCCCTCGGCCACATAGTGTACGTCGTTGATGGTGAACCGGCCACCCTGGAAGAAAAACGGAGCCAGCACCCACGCATCTGTGGCACCAAACACGGACTGCGCGACATCCGCCTCGAGGGGAAAGTGGCCGCGCAACGTGCTGTCTCCGCGAAGCACAATGTCGACTGTCTGGCCTGACAGCTTTGCTGCCTCTGCGACATTCCCGCAAATTGCACGGATGAGTTTCTCCGCTTCGAGGGGGGGCAAGGCACGGGAGTTGGTGAGGTTGAAGAAGCCGAGGGACTCCTGCTCGAACTCCTCCGTCAGGGTCGGAATATCCCAAACTGTGAGTACGGCGACATCATGGCAGGTCTGGGTCCTCGTAGAATCATCGTCCAGCACAACCAAGCGGCTTAGCGACGATGTTGAAAGAAGCTGCGAGATCTGGTCCTGAGTGTCCGCGGGGAATTCGGGGGGGGGGGGGTTGGGAGAGCGTGCTGTCGCGCGGGAGGAGGGGGTCCTATTGCGAAGAGGACATCTTGGACATCTGCGACTATCGAACGACTCAATTGAGAATATTCAAGTCATCTTAAGTGAGAAAAGAAGGAGATATCGTGCGTCTCATATGCCCCCGTGTGGAGCAACACAACCGTCGTCGTATACTATGCGAGGAAACTCTGGAGGTCAGTTCGGCGAGAATTCCGAGCAGAAAAGCAAGAAGTGTAGAAGAATAGCTCTATTAATGAATACTGTTTGTATCGCACATGCTATCCAACAGAGAAGATCGTCCATAGACATTGCTCTTCATGGCTATAAATCAACAATGGAACAAACGTGGGAAAAATCAGAGCCCACTTGGGGAACACCGCCAGCGCCGTGACATGTGGAGGGAATATGCGAGATGGTCATGGTCGAGAAAGCAGCAATGGGAAGCACAAATGAAATGGATGCTGGTGGTCGAGGGGTTCAAGAAAGAAACAGACATAAGAACAAGACAAAGAACAGAGTTTCCAGCCGGTCATGAACACATATTCTCCTTTTTTGATCCTCCTAGAAACAGAAACGGCCCATCCCCTGGGGCCTCATCCCACTCATTTATGTGTAAAACCCGCAGTGAAAGAGAAAATCCATATGCAAAGAGATCATCAACATTAGGTTAGAGTAGAAGATTCGAGCATGGGAGCAGCAAGATGATGGCAACTCGGCCAAGGCGCGATAGAGAGCGTCGGTGGAAGGAAGGCTCGCGTGTATAGAGCCTTACCCCACGACGCTGCGGAAGCTCAGAGCCTCGAGGAAGCCACCTAGGTCCTCCTTTTGGACTTCAACGACACAATGCTCAAAACTGTCGATGCGCACCCGGGTGTTGGTCTCCTGCACCACCTCCTGGAAAGCGATACCGAATCGATTTCGCAAAAGATGCTTGTTGCCACGCACATCAAGCTCGTCCTCCGATTCCGACTCGGACTCGGACGATGAATCCGAGTCCTCCTCTTCGGTCTCGTCGGCTTCTTCATCGTCATCTTCGGTCCCACGTTGAGCCCGCTCGGCTGCACGTTGCGCTCGACGTTCTTCTCGCTCCTTTTTCTTCTTCTCCTTGGCCTCGTTCTTCTTGCGGCGTTCTTCTTGGCGCTTTGCCATAGCAGCATAGTCGATCACGCCTCCACCTCCGCCAGTACCAACGACAACATATAGGCCACGATCTTCGTCAAGCCCTGCTAGGACTAGTGGGGTTCCCGCAGCGCGCCGTTTCCCGTTTTTGGAGCTGTCGCCCCTCTCGCGCTCTTGAACGCGAATGGCCTCTGCGATCCAGAGTGCCAACTTCGTCAATGCGCCAGGGTTTGTGAAAAGTTTGACATCGGGACCATCCTTGACAACGGCAATACGAAATGCCCGCAGGTGTCGAATCTGGTGCTTGGAGAGGAGGGAGGTGCCGGTGCGGAGAATAGCCCGGTGCAAATGCTGGGCAAGAGGGAGCGCCTTGAGAAGAAGAGTAGGTGACTCCGATGTTAGAGATAAAGCGTCGTATGCACTCCAGAATCGCGGGAGAAGGCTAGATAGATCCGACTCTGTGGAGCCATCTGAATCGTTCGACTCATTTGCGAGCTTTGGTCGTGCGAGTCGTTTTGCATCCCAGGCACCAGGCGCTTCCTCCGGTCCCACCTCGAGAATCGCGCCTACAATGACACCCACGTCTGTGGCGGAGAGGCAAGCCTTCCAGCCCCAACAGCGCACAAACCCCCAACCTTCACGCGAAGATGCGTGACCAGATGCGTCGGCAGGCACAAGGCCATCTAGCCCGTACATCGGTGCATACTTTAATAGTCTTTGCCTTAGTACTCGTTTTAATTCCATATCCATGTGGGTGTAATTTTGATGGCATTGGCTTAAGCTGATCCCCATCTTCGCCAGGAGTTTGTGCAGTCGCTTCTTTCCATTCTCCGTCCAAACATGGAGCCGCGATGCCAAGTAGGGGCTATGCAGCATACTCTCATAGAGTGACCAGTGTCGTACCAGGATGAACCGCGGCTCTGGGGATAGGCGGATCGATTTGTCTGTCGGGGATCGGGCAGTCGTCGGGATAACACCGTTAATCTCTCCTCTGACATCTCGGTCTCTCTCGTAGGGGTCCGGCGGGTTCAGTCGATGAACTTCGTCTCGTAATATTTGGCGAACCCGTTCTCCGCGCTCTCCGCCCCATCCAGCAGATCCTCCAGACTCTGACGAGTTAGAGATGCCGACACCAGACATCGTCCGACCACTGAGTTCCAGGCTAGAGACACCGACGATGGCCAACCAGAGGAGATCATTGTCCTCTCGACCAAGTTCGGACGCTAGAGAATACACGATCGATGATATTGGCTCGGAATATGATGTACCGGCAGAATAATATCTCTGCAAGATAGTCTCATGTTTCTGCTTGAGGCGAATCAATCGGCGTCTCAAGGAACGTGCGGAGGGCTGCTTTGGCAGCGCGGGTGAAGGCGAGTCGGATACCGGGGTGATGGAGCGCGAAGAGTTTGAGGAATCATGGCCGTTCCTGCGTCGTCGGCTCGGTGACGAGGTAATTGAGGATCCCTGTCATAGGAAGGTTAGGGCGAACGGTGGTAATAGCGCAGATGGTAACAACATACTGAATTACTTCTCCTCCGTTGACGAGGAGGCCCATCATCCTCATCGGAATCCTCCTCGTCCTCACGTCCCGACCACGATTTTCGCTTCTTAGACCCTGAGCTCGGTGTATGCTCTTCTTCGTCTTCGCTTCCAGATGCCCCAATGTCGTCGTCTGCGTCTTCGTCGATATCCGGCATTTCGAGCAGTGCGCAGTATGCCTCTCGCTCCCTACTCATCTCTTCCTCAATATCTCCGTCGTCATACACAACAATACCCCCCGTGCCAGACTTATATGACGGCGTGATGCATCCCTTGTCAACACCACGCGTGTTACGTCGTGTGTTGGTAGGAATCCCGTCCGCAGAAACCGTAGCCGCCTCCCCACCAAAAACATTGCTCAGATTCCAGGGCCGCCTTGAGTCGAAAACCCACACTTCTACCCCTCCCATATCTTCCACCTCATCGTCCGGGCTACTCAGGCACAGGATCTCGCTAAGATCCACCAGGCCTCCGACGCCTAGGCATATGACCACGCCTCCGCTGCCCCCGTTATGGGTCTGCATGGGCTTGACCAGCTCCTCTCCGGAGCGAGCGAGATCGCCATATCCGGCTACAGGTTGGATCTTGTGGGGTATATAGTCGCGTTTCAGTAGAGCCGTGAGGATTCGACATGCGCAGAGAGCATCGGGTTCCAAGGCGACGAGAATAAGCACGGGGGGAGATAGCGGATGGTGTGATCGGAGGAGTTGTAGGTAGAGATGCGATATGAGTTGACGAGGAAGATACATTGCAGCTCAAGGGAGCACGCAGCAAACGCGAGGCACGGAAAAGAATGATGACCCGGAAAGAAGAAACAAAATAGCTTCAGCCCCCCGAGAGGCCCTACTCCGTCCCTGAGATCAGTCAGAGTATAATTATGAAGGGTACGAATGCACTGGCGTTATAGCGGCTCCATGGTCTCGTTGTTGATTATCGTCCAGGTAGGTTTCTCCTAGCAAAGGGCGCAATCTGTCGCGAATCTGCAGCGACGCGTCGAGACGTGCCGCACGTGCGGAGACCAGCGCCAAGCCCGGCCTCGTCTATCAATTCAAGACTAATCGTGATTTCAGTGGATCGCGAATCAGCAAAATGATATTTCCAAGAGAGGCATGGGGCTGTAAAGCATGGACCTTGATGTCATTGTATGGTTCTACTCTTTGGGTTGATCTATGGACTTGAGTGTTATTGTTTTTTACCCAAATTATGGTGACTTGTAGTACTCCGTTGTCTTACTTGTAGTTGTTGCACCTTCAGGAATTTCGACTCAAACTGTCTATCAGGTCTGTTTGCCGTTATTGGCCATTAATTAAACCGTCGTCCGGCCAATGATCCCACTTGCCATACGAATCAAAAAGAATTTGGATTCTGGTGACAAAAACGAAACAAAGGAAAAAATTCAAAAAAAAGAAAGTGACCAGTGCCGGGCTCGATCCGGCGACCTTATCGGTGTTAACGATACGTGATAACCAACTACACCAACCGGCCTCTTGATGAAAATAAGCCAAATTTAATGTTATATAATCCCTTTCCAATACTATGGCAATTTAGGGGCATGCTGCATATATGACTTGTGGTTGCCGGTCCATGACATTCTTCTGGTTGATGGGCATGGGCAATGTTGATCGGCTGGAGTCTTAGAGAACTCGCATTCAGAGAGCTTGACCTCAATCCCTTCCGCTGCTTAGATACCACACCAAAAAATCCATCTCATGTGCGCGCTCCAGATGCCAAATATATATACCTCCGTTGCTGATATGTGTCCGCGAATACCTCTCGAGTCAGTGATGCAATTATGGGCACCGGGTAGTACAATGCGGTAAATGCAGGCCATCCACACAGAGGTCATGGCAACAGTCTCCGGTCCCAGTGTCCATGTTTATTTATAGGGCTGCAGTGAACAGCCACACTGCCCGCCTGCCAGCTCATGGTGAAATAAAACATCCAAGCGATGGAGCACAACAGTGTCACCCGTCAACTCGTGCAAAGACATAAAAACAAAGAGAAAAAAAGAAAGAAAGAAAAACACATACCATTGCTACATGCTCTGCAGGCCACATATATGGTTATCAACATAGGTGTTTCCACCATAGGGGGACATCTGATATAGCTCTGGCCCTGAAAAGACCCAGCTGCAGGTCATCTCCATAGTATATACTTATCTGGACCTGTAAGTGATTGTCACCTGGTGTGCCATAGTCAGTGAATACCAGAGCCAGAAAGAGGACAACAGGGCAATGCTAAAGCCAATTAAAACAGTGCAGTATAGTCGGGTGAGGATGGTGGTAGGATAGACTCACAGGTGAACGAGAGCAATCAACCAACCAAGCAGTGTGTACACCAGAAAGAATACTTAAAAGCATGAAGGCCCTGAATCAAGAGATCACTGCGTCTGTATTCGGATTTACCAAGCACGGTTGACTTGCGTATATATCTGTAGGAGTACAGCAGGTGAAGCAAGCCGCTGTCTGTATCGACCTGTAGTGCGAGTAGCTCTTTAATATCGAGCTTAGCATATGTAAAAGGGGAGATGCCTACCGATGTCAGCCACTATAATTACAAGCTAGTAGAGGAGTATATTCCAAACGCTCATTCATTGAGTCGCCGGACAATCACCTCAATTATACCAATCGCAGAATATTGTTTGCCTGATATAGCAAAAACTCAGGCAGTGAATCATAACAAGAGGCCGGTTGGTGTAGTTGGTTATCACGTATCGTTAACACCGATAAGGTCGCCGGATCGAGCCCGGCACTGGTCACTCTTTTTTGCTTTTGTTCGATACCCACATACTCAGCTCAAGGTCCAGTCCTTCGCGAGATCGACATACACAGCACTCTTTTTGTTGCTGCACCCTACAATCATGTTTAACCGGGGGCTGGGTCGATACGGAGCAGCCAATATCCCGTGGCAAAGGGGGAGATCGCCCATGGGTCAAAACGTGGATATTGTAATTGAGCTTCGCCCAAATTACCTACGAAGGCTCATCGTTGCCCAATCCGGGTGATAAAATGACCATGAGATGAATTATGAATTATACAAGTAGTTAAGAGATATAAACGATCAAACCGAGGACCTGCCCAAGATCGATCCAGCGAACCAAATGGCGGCGCATGCGCCCAACACAGAAGCTCCAACCAGCCGTTTCTCCCAGGTCGGCTCCCCAGCCATACGTATCGGCACGACGTTCTTTGACTGCAATATTTGTGAGGGCGAATCTGTCTGAGTGTTGTTTTCAGACACCGGTCCTTTGCGAGCTGCAAGGTCCAGGTCTCGCTTGCGCCATTTCTCCACCAGACGAGCAATCTCGACAAGATCCTCCTTCAAGGAGCCAGGATCTGACGCATTCGCATTCTCAACATCGACGTTCTGGACATTCCCAAAGAAATCGACCACCGTTCTCAGGCGGCCCTCCTGCTCCCCGCCCGGGAAGAGGTCCCACCGGACGCCCGGCTGGGAATGAATCTTGGTCTCGTCGTACGAATCAAAAAGATCCCCCAATGTTGCCTTCGAGTTGGCACTCGTGACCTGAGTCTCTAGGAACTCGAGTACATAGTAGGTCCAGCGGTCGATCACAGCAACCCCGACATCACTGTCCGCATGATGCGAGTACGAGGACTGGTCGAGCTCACTGGATCCCGTCGCAATGATATTCGGCGAGTAGAAGTGCGTGTACATCGTATTGGCCTGGCAGGTGTCGATCATGAAGAGTAATTCATGGTACCGCTTCTTCTCCCACATCTGGCCAAACGCATCCGCCAGATCCCACGCGCCAATTTCCTCGGAGTCCTGGAACTTGAGAAACTGATCCCCGCCATGTCCGGTCATGTACACGAGTACGTTACTCCCAGCGTCCGACCCCAGGCGTTTGCTGCGCGGCACGTCTTCATCCAGCCGATCGGTCAACAGGCGGATGAAGTTCTCCACGGTCACCTCGTAGCCCCGATAGTCCACCTCGATGTTATCTCCGTACAGGTCGACTGCGCGATCTGCGTTGCTATAGACCGTTCCGGGGAAGGCGTTTCGGGGGTTGCAGGCCATATCGTCGGGCAGCATGAGGATGATTTGCGAGTCGGGGATCCCGAGACGCTTGACCGTGCGGTACAGAGAGAGAACATTTGCGAGATGACGGTAGTTGAACCAGAATCGAGAGGTGGAGACGAGAACGGCCCAGTTTGATGTATGCTCAGCGAGAGCGCACCCCGCGAGAAGAGAAAGAAGAAGAGGCAGGACTCGTAAGAGTCGAAAATGGAAAAGCATGATGAGTAGAGAAGATTAGATCATAACCAGGAAGGATGAACTGGGGGTATAAACAGGACAGAGCAGAGGGAACCCAAAGAATGAGACCAGAAAGATTGAAGATTGCTCAGATTTGCATTAGGCTTGTGAAGGAAGGACAGAAAACGAATGTGTTGGACTGTGAAGTTGAGGATTAATAATGGACGCATAAGGCGAGACAATCTAGCGGGGAGGCGTTGAGGTCACGGACCTGGAGTACCTAGTAGCCGGGAGTCCGCTAGCTTGGCATCGATCAAAGAACACCACTCCTACTGTTCATCATACGCACCAGAGTATTTCCTTTTATTCCCTTAAATTGCACATTTGCAAATCAATATCGTTGGCAGTGCATTGCTTCCTTGTAAGAATCTTATGATGACACCGCTTCCTGAAGAGGCAGCATTCCGTGTCAGTCTGCTATCGATGACTCTCAACGCTCGACAATGATATCGACAGGCTCGATATATGATTTCCCCTACGATGGTATGGTGGAGTCCGAGTTGACCAAGGAAACGCTTTTCATATTCAAAGGAATGAAGCCCAATAACCACACCAAGGAAAAGAGTACCGGCTAAATGTCAATGCCAGCAAATATCCAAAGATCAAACAAAAAGGAAATGCGTCTATTCAAATCTATACTACATTCCAGGCAGTGTAAAATACAATTCAATGCGGAGAAAACACTGATCCGGAGACAGGGAAGGTAGATTTTATCTGCCGCGTTTGGCGAAAGTCTCCAGTAGTCGGGTCTTCGTTCCATTCGGCGAGTCGACAAATCCACAACGCTCCATATTGAAGATTTGGATATTGACCGGTATCGAACAATTTTGATCGGCTGGTCAGGTGTTAACCTGGCCCAAACCGATTTCTCCTTCCCCCAACGTCACATCGTTAATTTATTTGCCGATCTCAACACCACCGGTGGCACCGAGGATACGCTTGATGTCACCATAGATGGCGAACTGACCAGCAGTGATGGAACCAACCATGAACAGACTAGAAAAAAATCGAGAATCAGTCACTGTGGAAGACCCTGAGGCGGGAAATGAAAACATACCGAGTACCGATACCAGCGTAGCTGCCACGGATACCGAGGTCCTTGGCGATCTTGACCAGACGGGAGACAGTGCTCTCACCAGGAGCGCCCTGAGTCTTGTTGATCACACTGAGCATGGTGTCGGCGGGCTGGGAGACAAGGGCGGCAGCGAAACCAGCAATGAGACCAGAGCCAAGGTTGATACCAGTCTTAGCACCATCGGAGACGGAGTTCTTGTCGACCTTGCGGTAGACAGCCTCAACGACCTTCTCGAAAACGACGAACTTGGCCATGGTGTAGGGGATCCTGGAGGATAACCATGTTAGTTGACCTGACCCATCAAAAATCCATTTGGGCACCATTGGCGAACTTACTGCTTGAAGAGGATGGGACCGAAACCAGAGTAGAAAGCACCGATACCCTCGTTCTTGAGGATCTTGCCGAAACCGCTCAAGAGGCCGCTAGCGAAGGTAGGCTGAGAGACGAGACGAATACGGGTGGCCTCAAGGGGGCAGAGGGCGATATCAGCGAAGAACTCGGCGGCGGCGGAAGAAGCGAGGTAAACAGCGGTTCTGTTGTTGGAGGCAGTCTCGTAACCGAGCTGGTTGATCCACTGCTGCTTGAAGAACTCATAACCACCGAACTTGAAAGCACCCTGGAGGAAGTAACCAGCGGCGGTAGGACCGAAACCAGTGAGGAGAGCGCCGGCACCCTCGTTGGCAATGACCTGTCTGAAGCCACCGATCATACCACGGTTGTAGGTGGCAGGGTCAAGCTGGATTCTGGTCTTGACGCTATATTCGAAATAAAACGAGAACACGTCAGTCACATTTCCTGATATATACCGCATTGCGCGCCGGGGGGGGGGGATTCCGGAACACGGCGCATTCGATGCGAAGGGGAGCAGTGCGAGGTGAGACGGCGAGACCTACACATCGACAGGGGTGAGAGCACCGTGAGTGACGGAGCAGCAGACAGCACCAGCGAAGGCGAATCTGGAGTAGAGTTGGAAGCTGCTCAACTGAGGAGCAGGGGCGACCTTCTCGATGACGGCGTCGACCTTAGGCGAACCGGTAGAGGGAGCAGCGGTGGCCATTGTGTATTATGTGAGGATGGTATCTAGGGACTCTAAAGATCTAAAAAAGATAGAAAACGGAGGAGGAGGAGGGAGAGGAAAGAGTGGGGATGGGCAAACGAAAGCAATTGAAGCTTTGCAGAGTTTGGAAAAGAGTATAAAAGGAAAAGAACAGGGAAGATTTGAGACCGACAGGAAAAGGATTTCACATCCAGCCCAGGACACAAGGAGCATGGACGCTGGGCACTAGCGGCTCCGATCCCGAAAACTTTTCGCGGGCCAATGCGGGCATCGCTCGGCACCACGACTTGCCAGTTGCCACTGTCAACTCCGATCGCCCGGACAACATTCCAGTATGCATGCATGCATGCTCTGTGAAGTACGGAGTACTGAGTAGTAGGTAGTATTTACTTAGGGGTGGATAAATGTTTTGAATCCAGGACTCCGCAGAGCAAGTAAGTACCTAATCTGCGGTGAAAATGGCGACAACATACACAGCCCTTGACCATTACTACGTACTGTGTAGTATTATTATGAACATACCGCACGCAAACAGGAGGCTAGTGGCGTCACCTGATAGACCTTGGGGAAGTTCACCAATTTCTGATAGCCCAGGAACCCAAGCCAATTTTGAACCATCACTCCTCTTAGGATGTCGTCGCTTATTATTGCGGCTACTACTATCGGAGTGGATATCTGCAAGTTGAGATGGACTCCATAGAAACTCCATGAGATTATTGTATCATTATTGTATGGATAACTCTCAATACCCTGTTGGCCTCAGGCATCAAACCCTTCGACAAAGAGTCTCGGGAACCCTGTCTTCGTCGATAATAATGCCAGAGAAATATCCAGGATATACGGAGTATGATAGTGACGGATTTTTTGGAGCACTCATCCGGGCCATTCCACGAATCAACCAAAGCCATTTCATGCAAAATATCAACAATAGCCAAGAGAAAGGTTCAGGATTTGGTTCTTGTCCTCGTCATATCATTGATTAACTATTGGGTTGATTTGGCCTCCGGATATCGGCAGTTTAGCCGCCTCAGGCATGAAGGTTCAGAATAGGGAGGAACACCTCAGGCATCAACAATCCTTGGTTTTGGATTCTTTTTCTGTTCTCTTTTGTTCTTGAGCAATCGTGGTGATTGCTGACACACACTTGAAACGGGATAGCTAACTATATCTATTCGTCCTCGCAAGGGATCGTCTGAAGATCATATTGGGCTTCAAGTTTGTCAAAACTCAAGGGAGATACGCCACATCGTATTGCTATCTATCACAGTTGTTCCCTTTCGCCTCGAATCTATTTCTGCACCACACTATCACTATTTGGGTCACAATGTCTTAATCCATCCCAGACATCGACAGCACATCTGAACAACTAACGACGAAAAATATGATCTGATCGATTCTATAATTACACCGGGGATTCTTACTTAATCTTTATGAGTGTTGGCTATAAGATCGTGAGACATCGAAACTTCTTTGCCAGTGTTGTTGTATAATCCTTTTCATACTCTCGTAGTCATCCCTTTCCCATCAATATATCAAGAGTTCATTGGTATATCCAATATCCATCACAGACTAATCATCTACATCTTACTTTTCTCCATCCTCTACCAATGGTCTCGTTTCTTCTGAGCTGTTTCTCCGGCAAGAAAAGAGAGAAGCAAAGATGGAAAGAGATCGAAGGTCTGCACTTCCCCCCGCCACCCTGAAACGACTGTATTTGAACCGTGTGTGTTGATATCGTGCCTAAATAGAACGAGCGGAGAATTTAGACAAACTCCCATCTTGGGATGCACCAGACAATGTGCTCTTAATGCAAGGTTTTGAATGGCACATGCCGGCCGATCAAGCCCACTGGCGTCGTCTGCAGCGTATTCTACCAGATCTCAAGGAGATCGGGGTAGACAACATCTGGATCCCTCCCGGCTGCAAAGCTATGGAACCTGAAGGAAACGGCTACGACATATACGATCTGTATGACTTGGGTGAATTCGATCAAAAGGGCACTCGAGCTACCAAATGGGGTACCAAGGAGGAACTTCTGGAGCTCAGTTTAGCCGCGCAAGATCTCGGTATTGGTCTCTATTGGGACGCGGTCCTAAATCATAAAGCTGGAGCAGACTTCACAGAGCGCTTCATGGCTGTGGAGGTCGATCCACAACGTATGCGCTCTCTCCCTTAGACCCTCGTTCTCGCTTCCTGACATCTATCCACAGAGCGAAACCTCGAGATTGGACGTCCCAAGGAGATCGAGGGATGGGTAGGATTTGACTTTCCTGGCCGCGGTGACTTGTATAGCTCCATGAAGTACCACTGGCAGCATTTCAATGGCGTTGACTGGGATCAAGCCCAACAGAAGAACGCCATTTACAAGATCAAGGGTCCCAACAAGAACTGGGCCAAGGATGTCGGCCATGAGTTTGGCAATTATGATTATCTAATGTTCGCCAACCTCGATTACTCCAATGCCGAAGTCAAAAACGATCTTCTTCAGTGGGGTGAATGGATTGGCACACAGATACCTCTCAAAGGCATGAGGCTGGACGCCGCGAAGCACATGTCGGCTGCTTTCCAGAAGGACTTTGTTGATCATGTCCGACAGACACAGGGTGCAGACTTCTTTGTTGTCTCGGAGTACTGGCTGTGTGATCTCAATGTTCTCCTTGATTTTTTGAAGAAGATGGAAGACCGAGTCTATTTGTATGATGCCCTGTTACTGGATCGATTCTCGAAGATGTCGCGGACCGAAGGCGCGGACCTGCGCTTGATTCTTAGGGACACGTTAGTTCAGAAAAAGCCCCAGAATGCCATTGTAAGAACCCCCCCCCCGCTGCTGTTTCCTTGTCAATTGTGAGACTCACTAACGGACCAGACATTTGTGACGAGCCATGATACGGTAAGAGAATAGCTACTGCTCTCATCATTGTTACCCTTATTGACTTGATAACAGCAACCAGGTCAGATGTTGGCGGTATGATGATTCCATTGACTTATTCGATGTTTTTCAGACTAACGAACACTATCAATAGGCACCCGTTGCAGCGTTCTTTAAGCCACTGGCGTACGCCCTGGTCCTTCTCCAGGACAAAGGGCAGCCTTGCGTCTTTTACGGTGATCTTTATGGCATAAGGAAGAATGTGAAGCGTCCAATGGTCCCTGCTTGTCATGGCAGGCTTCCGATTCTTACACGGGCTCGTAAGCTCTACGCCTATGGAGAGCAGCAGGAATATTTTGACGAGCGGAACTGCATTGGTCCGTATTATCCACCGCGGATGGAAACCCGTATTCTTTCTGTCTTGCTTCATGTTGCTAACGGGCCGAACAGGATTTGTCCGCTATGGCAACCGTCGGCACCCCGCGGGCCTTGCATGTGTCATGAGCAACGCTGGTCCGGCGCAGAAGCGAATGTTCGTTGGGCGGCGACATGCTGGGGAACAGTGGACGGATATACTGCAGTGGCACCCGGAAACAGTCACCATCGATAAAGACGGATATGGCCTCTTCCCTGTTTCGAAAAAGAGTGTCAGCGTCTGGGTGAACTCTGAAGCCGAGGGGAGGGATACTCTCAATCGCCGCTTGTAGGTCGCCCATTTGCATTGATTGCACCAGATCCCGCTTCTTGGAAGACTGACTCACATTGCAACAGTGACACGGATATATATAGAGATTGATGTCATGAAAGACACTGACGATGTGGCCGCAGCAGCTAGTGCCACATATCAATCTTTGTTACGTGGATGATCCCGGAACCATGAAAACTTCGATTTCGATTCGAACAGAAGGAGAACTCGACATCATTTTATACCCGCTTGGCGGATGGCTAATCTGTTCTGACCTAGATATTAATACCTGTTGTATAATCTAATTTATGGAAGACCATATGTCTTTAGTTTACTCGCGAAACTTTTATGCGACCTTCCTCATAGAGATAGGCCTGTTCAACGAAACTGCGCATAATAGTCGCGTGGATAAAGCCCAACACATGGAGGTCTGCCACTGTTAGTAGATGTTGTCACTTGCGGTATCTTGCGAAGAACAAAGTCAACGGTTGCCAGGAGGGTGCGAAGGAGGGCCCGAGAACTATGGCCTGTGGTGCAAGCCAAACCCCTGATCTCTCGTCATTCCAATTTTTTAACCGACCACTTCATTCTTTACAACTTGGTCCCAGCGCTATGATCCTTGTTCGATGTTGCGGATACCGCAATGGTTCCTACAACCCCCCCAAGGATGGTCCATGCGAGAAGCGCTTTTAAGCCGGCAATCCCATAATCGCATATACTTGGATCTCTGCCACTTCAAGATAGCATAGCACCTTCAATATCGATTCTCAATGATCACTCTCTAGGGGCAATCTTGTCCTTGTGGACCCGATCAACAGCCAGAGACACAAACTTCGTCAGGACTTCGAAAACATAATACCCATTGGGGTCCTCCAACAACCGGCATGCGTGCAATTACGTGACAATGTGGATCAACAGCTGCGAGGAATATATGTACCGTGCGCAAGTGATGTAGAAAGCGATGATGATCGAGAAATGCTGCTTGTTGAGTTCGTAATGTCAAGGCGGGTCAAACGATCGCCCGCATTTCCGCGTTCGGAACTTGACTCACAATCACTTTGTATGCGGATTCCTTTTTAGCAATTCTACAATCTTCTTTTTCTGTTTGATGCTAATGATGAAAGCAGCCAGAGTAGACAGACATGCTGGACCGGTCAAATGGCAAAACTCGCTTGGTTGTCGTGATTGGAGGTGAAGATACGCTGGCTCTGGGTCATCCTTGACAGGTCGATCTAGTGTATCTCCCGAGTCAATATCCGGAAAGATGATATGCGAGAAACTGCATCTATGAGTACTTTATGACAAAAGAGTAACTATGTGCTGATGATTGTCGATACAGATCCAAGAACAAGGTGGTTGGGATGAGTGGAACGACCGTGTCTGTCGCAAGGGGAGACGATCTATGGAACAACGGCCAACGAGAACTAACGCCTTCATACAGCAGCACGCAGGGCATCTTGATAATGATTATTATTGAAAGGATCTATTATGAACAACTCCTAAGCCCAAGAAACACATGGGACGATTTTTCGAGATCAATCAAGCTTCACCGTTCCAGCCTTGCTCGGCCCACCTTGCCCGCAGACGGAAGGGTTCCTGTCATCTTGAGTCCGTTTGGGTCAATCAAGGTCCGTTCAGCTATTTGATTCAATAGTCGGATACCGGTCTCTGGCATGGAGCAGGTATGCTAGATCCACTTATCTCTTCACCGTCGTCCGGGATCAAACAGAAGGTCGAGGGGCATCCCCGTAGATGATGACGAGTACTTGGACAACACATCCTGTCATCGCTTTCATGGACTTAAGGACCAAGCTGTCATTTGAATCTTGAGCGAATGATAGCAGTCAAGCTTCTGAGTCAAAACGAGACATAGCATCATGTCCGACTCTACTTCTCCAGAAAGACACCCTCAACACAACGACGTGACCAGAGGTACGTTGCCTATACCGACTCAAGATATGATAGCAAAAGTCCTAAACAAAATAAGAAGAGGAGATTACAGCCTCGTCAGATGACTCGCGCCATGAGATGTTGTATTCCAGCTACGGCCCTGTCCAGAGACAGAATGTTCTCCCAATTCTACCACACTACTGCCAGATGGCAACGAAGACAGTAGTCTCCTTTGGGCCGGATGATCCAAGCCATCCAAGTAACTGGTCAAAGGTGCTGTACTGCTATACTGTGATGGGGGTTTACCTTAGCTAACGACCTATCTTTGACATAAGGCGTTGAGGATGTTTGTGCTTGTGACCGGTGCCAGCGAGGTCATGAATAGCACCATTGCATCATCAGTGACCAGCGGGGCTATTGATCAGATAGTGCAAGATTTCGGCCTGAACAACGATGCGATTCTGGTCTTGCCTATCTCCATGTTCCTGATAGGCTATATTCTAGGGCCTCTGCTTTGGGGGCCTAGTTCAGAGGCTTATGGGAGAAGGCCTACTCTCTCGGTGGCCTTTGTCCTTTACACTGTCTTCTTGATGGCATCTGCATTGGCAAAATCGTACTCTTCTCTACTAGTCTTCCGATTGATTGACGGCATGGCAGCTTCAGCGCCCATCACAGTCGTCGGTGGGGTCTATGCTGACATTCAAGCAGAGCCGACAGCACGAGGTCGACTCATGGCGTACTACATGACTGTATGTACGCCTCTTTCCCACACCATACCTTGTGCCTTCTGATAGTTTTCTGTAGGCAACAACATTAGGACCCGTCCTTGGACCACTAGTCTCTGGCTTTCTCTCCTCTTACGGCTGGCGGTGGTGCTTCTGGTTTGCATTGATATGTGCAGGTGTTACGCTGCCCATGGCCCTCCTGATGCCAGAGACATATGCACCAGTGATTCTCCAGCGCAGAGCTAGGAGGTTGCGCAAGGAGACCGGCAACATGAACATTGTGTCACCCGTGGACTTGAGCTGTCAGAGCCTAGGACGCAAACTTGCAGTCAATCTAGCGCGTCCGTTTCAGATGCTATATCATGAAGCCATTACATCTCTCTCATGCTTATATCTTGCACTTACTTATGCTGTGTTCTATCTGTACTTTCAAGCGTATCCTATCATTTTCCAAGGTTAGTCCAAGAATTTTTCCGTACGAGCCCCTCTTTATCTTGTATCGTCCCGGAATCTTACTTAATCCTCGCAAGACATCCATGGCATGACTCCTGCACATTCTGGATTATGTTTTCTTCCAAGTGAGTGACCCCATTGAGTTGAGAGCCAAGGCCTGTCTAAGAAAGTCCAGTCGGCGTCGGCGCCGTGCTCGCCTGCATCATCTTCATCTGGTACGATGGTTTCCTCGCCCGGGCCAAAGCGCAGAATATCAGCTGGGCAAATATCGAAGAATATCGCCGGCTTCCACTTGGATGCCTTGGGGGACCATTATTCGTTGTATCACTTCTCTGGATCGGTTGGACAACCTACCCGACGGTGCATTGGGCTGTCCCGCTTCTATCGGGCATCCCCTTTGGGACGGGGTATCTCTTGAACTTCATGGCCATGACCAATTACCTTACCGATGCATATGAGACGTATTCCGCTAGTGCACTGGCAGCATCTACATGCACGCGAAGTGTCCTCGGCGCCGTGCTGCCACTCGCAGCGAAGCCTATGTTTGATCGTCTGGGGGTGCACTGGGCGTGCACGTTGATCGCGCTGTTGAGCCTTGGGGTCTCGGTCATTCCGTTTGCCTTCATCCGATATGGAGATCGGATCCGAGCGAACAGCCGGTTCTGTCGGGAATTGAAGAGACTCAAGGAAGCCGAGGGCGAGATGATAGCCTCAGCTGTGATGTCGGGGGTTGAAGTTCAGGCGGAAACCAAGGATGCAGAGAGACAGCATGCTTGATATATTGCTTTATCTTCTTGCGAGTTGCGCACGTTAGGGCAAGAGTTTCTGCTAGTAGCAGTGCAGTGTGTAACTAACAGCGACATTGCTATCGGCATACGCTCATTCTCTCACTTAGGGATAATATTCCCGACATGATGCAACACCTCCGTCGCCCGAGTTAGGGCTGCCGAGCCACTGGGTGATATGCTTACATGACGACATGGACACGACAGCAATGCGCGCGTTTATTTATTCTACTTCTATTGACCATCGATCCGATGAACGCGTCTATATGATATAGAACTGAATCAACCAACGAGCAATCCACTCCTCACCATGCCTCAGTATTTGGTTCGTTCCCCCAGCCCAGAGACAGGTGCGAGTGATACTTACTAGCTACAGTTCAAATTCAAGTCGTATGCGACGGTTGGAAACAAGAAGGAGTAAGGTGTTCTGCATCCTATTTTAATTACTATCTAATCAGCTCGCAGGGTCCTCGGCGAGATCGAGTCCCATGGAGGACACTTTGTGAGAGAAGAGCGGTTCCTCAAGGGCTACGTGTAAGATCCCGAGTCCCACTCCCCCTGACTATCTATCTCCCTGCAATATCCAGGTCAAACCTGATTTCTGACATGCGCCTGAAGGTATGATGTCCCAAAGGAAGATCTGGATACAAACAACTTCCGGACGAGAGATTATCTGCTCTCCTCGGAGAGACAGGATTAGATGCAGTGTAGGGCAGTATAGTATATTATAGCAAATAGTACCACTCATTCCTGAGTATCTGGAAATAGAGTCAGCATGATATCATGATGACTTGCCGGCGCCGCTACGTAGGCTATATCTATCTATCTATCTATCTATCTATCTATCTATATATATGTCCAAACTTTCCTCTGGAGAGGAAGAGAAAGACGATGGGTCCACGCATAGTGTAACGCATACCCTTCAGAGACAGGATGCCTTTCCACACGGTGAGTCCCGGTGGACTAACGTGTGTCGTCCTGCATGATATCCATACTGACGTATGCAGGTTTTTCTCCAAGATCATACCAGCGAGTCGGATATCGACCGGTGAGGTCTTTTCTCTGTGTGTTTCTGGAACAAAAAAAAAAAAAAAAAAAAAAAAGGGGATCATGTTCTTCTTACTCGGTGCATATGCTGCAGGATGAAGTCGCTCATCACATCCGCCGGGGCAAGATCATGAAACAGCATGAGAATCATATCAGGTGAGCTAGCCAGTCAAGGCCATCTGTTTTGTTTCCAAACCAAACCAACACTGCACTGCACTGCGCTGCGCAGCGCAGCGCAGCAGAGGGCTATACTGATAAGCTGATTCTGGCACGAAACATCCCAGCTTCGAAGTCCCGGACCGGTTTGACCTGCATCTGATCACGAAGAATCTGAACCTGGAGACGCAGGCCGACCATCCTTGACGATGGTTGCCGAGAATAGAAATAGAACAACCAGGTCAAAGAGAGCATAAACCGATATAGATAGAATTGCAATTGGCAGTGACTTCAAGAAACCTGGTTGATATATGGATGTCTCTCGATTGCTTGGAGTCGCAGTCCGTTGAACTGTGGCTGAGGGAGTCGAGTCAGCCTACAAAGTACTAAGAGATGAAGGATGCAGATGGATCAGACTCAACTACTCAAGAGTAGTTAATTTAAACCAGAGAGAGAGCCAGAGAAAAGCCGAGGACGGCGAGTAACATGAAGGCACTAAATATAGTCTGTAAGCCTAGTGGTCTGCCCCTCTGTGATACTCGTTTAGCTGCAGATATAGTGTTGTTGGAACTTGGAGTGGCTGGTTATCGCGACAATCCAGGTTCATCATCCCAGACACTGCAGACAGATATTAAACCGTTAATTCTTGTTTTGCTTCTGTTTCCTTTGGAAGATCACTCTCTTATCCTGTAAATCATAATCATAATGTATCCATGATGGTTACTCACTCGCTTGTTGTCGTTGTCGTTGTCGCTCGTCGCTCGCTCTGATCGCTTGGTCGTTACTTACTGTCGCTACTCAGCATTGATGCACACGATCACTATTGAAAGAATCAAATCTCCCCACCATCGTTATCTCTTTGTTCGCAATGTCCTCGACTCAGTATCAAGAGCTCTGGCTGTCGCAAGACACGTTGGAACCCACAACTCGACCAACCGAACCCGTGCGATTGACATGGAAGATCCTGGCGTTTATTGCATCGACGCTGCTCCTGATCGGGTGAGTATCCTGCCATGAATCGAAAACAAAAAAAAAAAAAAAAAGTCCGTCTAACGAAAGATGAACAGATACCTAATCATGCCAATCGCATTCGAAAAGCCCGAAAGCAACCCCCAAGTTAACGTGTCGATCCTAACCATCGTCGCGATGGTCCTGGTCGGCTTCGCCTACGCGCTGTCCTTTGTCCTGGTCTGCTTCCAGATCCACCAGCGAACATACCTTTGTCACTCTGTATTCCTGTACGTCCTGTCCCAGCACATATGCACGTATCTAACCATCCCCGACCCCCCCCCCCCCGGGGACCATCGTTGAGGTTTAAAAAAAGAAGGTATAAAAGGCTAACCAAACGCCCTCCCCCTCCGCTAGACCCTGCTTGACCTCCAACCTCTGCGGCCTCTTCAACCTCGTCTTCAACATCTTCTGCCGCAACATCCTCCCCTTGACCAACCTCGAAACCATCGCCATCGGCCTCTCGTGCGCCTTTGTGTTTCTGTACGCGCTCGGCGCCCTCTGGGTCTACGGGCGGAGCATCGCGGACGAAACTCGCGTGCGGCACGCATCGGGCAGCCCCATCCCGCTGACGGAGGAGGAGATGCAGCGGCAGCAGCTGTTGCGCCTGCTGCAGGGGAAACAAGGGAAGAAGAGGTCGAGTGCGAAGGCGCTGCAGAAGACGTTCCGGGTGGATGTGCCGGAGGTGGTGAGTCCGGGGAAAGGGTGGCATCCGTATATGGGGACGAGGGAACAGTCTTTTGTTTGAGGAAAGGGGGGTGGGGGGGATATGGGTTATGAGACGAAGATTATGCTGATGAGATATGTTGTACTCCGTATGTGGTCTATGTATATTGCATTGGGAATGGGTCTGGAGTCCAGGTCCATGAAGTCATCTCAGCCGAGGTGAGATGCCATAGGAGAGAAGAAGATCGACGGTGGAATAGAGAGTGACGAGGGAGTTAAATAGAAGCACATGGTGGGAATATCTTTCGGCGCTGTTCCTGACGTGAATGCCAACGGTAGTTGACTCTAAATCACAGCGAGGGTTAACAATCCAACATCCACCATCACAGGATACTCTCCATCTAACCGAGCTCTATTATTCCCGTCCAAAACGGAGTGATTAGCTGACGAATTTATTATCCTCTGGAGAATCGGCACAAAACAAAACCTCGCAAGATGCCTCGGCAATTTCCGCATCGGGCGCCCCCCCTGGGACAGACGGCCGTCGTCATCCGCCTTCAAAAAGTCCCTCCATCCCCCACCCCCCCCTATCAAGCCTTTCTACGGAGTAATCCGTTTATTATCTGGCTACACTTACATACTTGTTGACTGCGGTTGACTATTTCCCCGAGCCTTGGGAACCAGCATGGCGAAACGAGTGACTCTGTTCGACCCTCCAGCGCTGGATGGGTCCAAGGCGCCAATCGAGAATGTCTTGGAACTGACGCCAGTTGTTGACATTGGGCCGGTATGTCTTTTTTTTTTTTTTTTTTTTTTTTTCCATTTTTCTTTTTAAAAAAAATTCAATTCATCGAGCTGATAATGGATCCTGGTTTCTAGGACGTCTTCACCAACACTCGCCCCCTATGGCACCCCCCAGGCGCACGAGGCATCTACGGGGGCGCCGCAATCGCCCAGTCCCTCTCGGCCGCCATGCGCACGGTGCCGACCGATTTCGCCGTCCACAGCATGCACTGCTACTTCGTGCTGGCGGGGGATTCCGAGATCCCGATTCTGTATCATGTCGAGCGGGTGCGCGACGGGCGCAGCTTCATCACCCGGACGGTGCAGGCGCGGCAGCGCGGCCGGCCCATCTTTACGACCACCCTGAGCTTCAGCAAGGCGAACAGCGGCGGGAAGAAGAAGCTGGAGCACGCGACGCACAAGCCTGATCTGGCCGAGCCGGTTGACGGCACCCGGGTGTCGCTGGAGGATAGCCAGGGTCCGTTTGAGACGCACCGGGCGGGGACGGTGAACCGTGAGTTTTTCTTCCCCCCCTTCTTCCTCTGGACGTGGAAGAAAATGATAAAAAAAAAGAAAAAAGAAAAAAAGGATAGATGATAGATATGACGGGACAGTGCTAAAAAAAAGATACGTTGCATATTGATAGGCGACTCGCCCAACCCAGAAGACAAACGGGTGCGACGGTTCGCGCGGGCGCGCGGGCGCATCTCCGACGCCGGCGGGCACCAGGCGCACCTCTCGGCGCTGGCGTACATCACGGACAGCTACTTCATCGGGACGGTGGCGCGGGTGCAGAACATCCCGCGGTTCTCGTCGCCGGCGGAGCTGCGGGCGGCGCTGCAGGCGCTCAAGAACCCGTCCGACCTGGACGACGAGGACATTGCGCGCGCCATCACGGAGCTCAAGGAGGAGGAGGCGGCGGATCTGCGGCGGCGGCTGGAGGGCGCGCTCACCAAGGCCACGGCGGAGACGCAGCAGGCGGACCGGAAGGAGGTCGGCATGATGGTCAGCCTCGACCATACGATCTACTTCCACAACCCGTGGACGTTCCGGGCCGATGAGTGGATGCTCATGGAGATGGAGAGCCCGTGGGCTGGGGAGGGCCGCGGGTTGGCGATTCAGAAGATCTGGTCGAAGGATGGGACTTTGATTGCCACGTGCACGCAGGAGGTATATGTTCATATCCCGTTCCCGTTCCCTTTCCCCTTCCCCTTGGCCTTCGGAGCGGGGCGGTCCAGAGTAGACTCGGAACAGGTTTTCTAATGCATTTGTTTACAGGGAGTGGTGCGATTGAAGCAGGATGAACCTCCTCGTTCGAAGATTTGAAGCCCCCGTCGCCGTTCCATCCATCCAACCAACATACCCATTATACCACATTCTCGTGTTCCTCATTTCCATTTTCATACCGCTGGGATAGACCTTGAAGCGATAGCTAGCTGCTTGTCACCTGTACTTATATCTTTCGATTCTGTAGATTCTTTCACATTCATAGAGCGCTCGCCTAGTCGCTGAATTCCAATCTGAGCCTGAGCCTGAGCCTGAGCCAGAGCCAGAGCCCGAGCCCGAGTCACAGCCACCCGGCCCTTTCTGTCTTGAACGATATGACCGAGAAAAAAAAAAAAAAAAACCTTCATCTCTTGATCCGTAGATCAAAACCAAGTCAATCTGATAACATGCGCCGTGGGCAGGAGAAAAATCCGCAGTTGAACACCGACCCAATGAACTGAACCATAATGGTGAGAAAAACGCCAGAGAAAACACCAGATATAAAGAAACCCCGAACGAAGAATGCAGCAGGAAAAGAGAAACAAAAAGATTGAACAGAGACTTTTCGAAGATCGATAATCAGAAAAACCGCCCACCCAAGTTCGCTTTTTTTTGGCAACCCCCCCCCGATGATGAGAAAGAAAGGAAGCGAAAAAGAGAGAGAGAGAGAGAGAGAGAGAGAGAGAGAGAGAAAGAAAACAATAAAACCCCATGCTAATGCTACAGGTGAGTCAAACCAGAACAGAACCAAGCATGCTAATGCAAATGCAAATGCTATACCTCCAACTTCTCGTCCAGTAACGCACCGGTCTTCCTCTCGCAAAACTCCAGGACCTTGGGCCCCCAGACCTCGCGGCCCTTGTACTCGCCGATGACATCGGGCCAGCTGCGGGTCTCCTTTGCGAGATTGCGCAGTTCCTGCATGGGGAGCTCGTCGAGGGTGGTGAGGAAGGTCTTGACGCCGAAGACGATGGTGCCGGTGCGGGGCAGGCGGCGGAAGGTCTGGCGCTCGCGACGGATGACGATGTCCTCCGGGGCTGGGCTGGGGTTTTCCTCCGAAAGGGTGGTGGGGCGGTAGAGGATCTCGAAGAGGGTTTCGTTGGGGCGTTTGACCTCGACGAAGTAGTTGGAGCGTTCCATGGGGGAGGCTGGGGTGAGGCGGGCGAGGAATCTGGCGAGAATATGGGTTAGATGGTTGTTGTTGGGGTTTGAGATGGATGGCAAAGAAGAGGGAAGGGGGACTCACTTGCTGACGGAGTTGGCGACCTGTTGATGCCACAGAGGGACGGGGTTATGTAGCTGGGAGATGGTCCATCCGATGCGTTCTTTGACTGTCCAGCCGACGGGGAAGAGACTGGCGCTGGCGGCTCTGCCGATTGAAAATGGTCAATTTCCGGACCTGGACAACCCCCCCCCCCCAAGATTTCTCCGTACAGACGGAATATGGATGACTTACAAGTAGAATTCGCCATCCTCTCTCTGCATCAGGATACTCAGATCCTCCATGGTGAGGCGCACCGCAATCTCCAACGGATCCATTTGCGTATTCTCCCCACCAAACACAAACGTCTCCCCGGTCATGCGGTTGTGGATCGTCGACTCGTCGCCGGATTTCTTGCATTCAAAGACATTCGGGAAGCGCTGGCACAAGAACTCGACGACTTCCTCCAGCGCCTCGAGGCACGCGTCGTACGACTCGGGCAGACACTGCAGGACCTGGTCGCGCTCCTCCTTCAGCAGGCGGCTGCGCACCTGGTGCTCGTCCATGTAGTTCTTGTCGACGGTGAGCCAGTTGGCCACGTCCAGCTTGCGGATGTCCATCATGACCCGGTATCGTTCGCGGCCTTTGATGGGTTGCGCCGGGTACGGCGCCATGCGCTTGACATCCGTGCTGCAGCCGGCATTGGGGAGGATGCGCTGGAGCAGTGGCGCTAGGAAGCCTTTGCGAAACCGGATGATGAGGAGGGGTATGAGGGAGAGGATGAGGAGGACGGCCCATAAGAAGCTATTCATCGCCGTTGACAGCACACGCACACACACGGACACAGGCGCGCGCACACAGAGGATGATTGATTGAGTGATTGAATGCAATTGAGATTCAGGATATGACACGGGATAGAAAGGAAGGAAAGGAAAGAGGAAGAGGAAGAGGAAAAGGGAAAAGAAAAGAAAAGGAAGAAAAGAAGAAGAAGAAGCTTGAAGGATATACTACACCATCTAAGACGGAGCTGAGCGAGTATCCAGACAACAAAGCAGTGACATATCGGAAAAGGAAGACCCCCACCCTCAACGGGGGTGGGACAATGGCTTCAATTATAGTTGCCTGGATACAGCTCTGGCAGCTGGTACCGACCCGGAGGAACGACGACGACGAAGATCATCGTGGTCAGACGATGAACTCCCCAAACGATAGTCCGGATCCCAGGGAGCAACAGCATTGAAGCGTGATACGTTCAATTCTTTCCCCGCAAAAGCCGCAAAAGAAAACGAGGAAAATTCAATCAAATCAAATCAAATTCAATCAAATGAAAATAAATGAAAATAAAAAGACCTAAATATCATGCACATGATCGCGACGAGTTTCTCAACTCTGCGCCGTGAGTGGTGAGTGGTTCAAGGGTTAGTTAGGTTAGGTTAGGTTAGGTTAGGGTACCGTACTTCAGTCCTACAAAGTACTACTAAGAGTCTAAGACTCCAGTATGCACTGAAAAGCAAGCTCCACCGGGGAAGAATCAAGAATGTCAATGACTGACTAACTCTGCAGTGGATCTGGAGATTTTCAAGACTTCCTAACTATTAACTAGTCTAGCGATTCTCGATTCCGAGCTCATGATTGGGGCGCCAGAGTAAAAAAAAAAAAAAACCCATGCTCTGGTTAGGCTCCCCGCCATGGTGACTAGGCATGGATCGGTCAGACAAGAGATCCAGATTTTAATTCATTATTATTGTACTCGGTAAGTATCTATCTATCTATCTATCTATCTACCTATCTTCGACATGATACGGCACCCACTACTGTGATGCTGACGGTGAGAGAGAGAGAGTAGGATAGGTAGGATGGGGACATTGGGATATAGGTCCAAAAAGATCCCAATGTCTCTCGCTGACTCTGTGCCCTAGGTAACCATTCTATCTATCCTCTACCGAGTCTGGACTTCTTCTCTCTCTCCGACAGTATATCGAATCGACATCATCCGGTGCAGCTCACGCGGATGAAGTCTGTGCGCCCCAGCCAGACCTCGTGAGCTGAAGGAGGATCCCCCTGCCTATCCTGATCCTATGGAAAATGATCCCTCTTCTCCTGTCGATGGTATCGAAGTTCCTTGCGGTTCCGTTGCAGCGGGAATGGACTGTCTCTGTGCCCGAATTTGTCCATCGCAGGGCTGGCTGTGAGGAAGATCAAATGAAATGGAAAGGCGCCACCACCGAAAAGAAAAAAAGAAAAAAAAAAGGTCAATCAAATAGGAAGAAAGGAAATCCTGCGATCCCGACGTGCTGGGCCAACCGTGAAGAGGAATCCGGATCGAGATGGATAACTTTTACTTTTTTTATTTTTATTTCTATTTTTTTTTTGGTATGTGTTGGAGTCCTTACTCCTTCGTCCTCACCGTTTTAACTAGTTCCCCATTGAAGTATGTCCGGAGGAGTCTATCAATAATGAGGATGGGATTCAACTTCAAGGAAAAGATAGCGCGTGGGATGTACAGACAGACAGACAGACAGACAGACAGACAGACAGACAGACAGACAATCAGTAGTAAAGCGTGGACCCATCCGGAATGGACGGTCACCAGCAACAATCAGACCATCCAACAATCGCCTTCAAGAACAGACAGTCGAACGGTTGAACCTCCTGGTGAAGCTGACTCTGAAGCTGACTCTGACGTAGACGATGAGACAGACCTTCGGGGGGAGCGATAGCCTCCTAGTCATAGCCTCATAGCCTCATAGGCCATCAATCACAATCCCCCCAAATTGCCAATTCCACGCCTCAGATCAAAGAAAAGCCACCGATGTGACCATAGTCCTAGTCCTAGCAGGCTAGCAATCTGAACCTGGCAGCCGATCCACTTAGTCCAGAGTCCAGAGTCCAGAATCGGTTGATTATGGATCATTTTTTTTTTTTGCTTCACAGGCTCACAGCCTTTTTCCACATGAGAATAAAATGACTCCAAATCTGGGGTTTGCGCTGCAACCGCCGGTCAATAAGAAGCATCCCCAAAGCGCGCTTGCCGCTGTCTTTTAATTCATGGTCCAGTGGAGCAGCTATTGGGGTTTTATTTTTATTTATTTATGTATTTATTTTATTATGTTATATTTCCAAGGAATTTGTTTGTGGATGTTTCTTTTTTTCCTCTTCCCTTTTACTATGTCGAAGAAAGAGTAAAATACATAGTAGATAGATATCTACCTAGTAACTGCAAATGATTCCCTCGCTTGCGCTGCTCCTTTCTTTTTCTGTTCCCTTTGAGGCTTCTTGGCTCGAGGATCATGGCCAAATAAGACAGAGAATCCATCCCTGAAATAATGCTACTATGAACTATTCAATATTATGAACGGTCACGGGGGATCCTGCATTGCATCCAAGTCCAAGTCTAGGCTTGCGACTTGCGTCTTAGCACTTACACTTAGCAGCAACAATGAAGCCAAATTATTAATCAATTAATAAATTACCCCCCATCGATTTGAACCAAAGACCAAAGTCGATCATGGCCTTTTTATTTTTTTATTTTTTTTCCTCCTTGTATTCGTAAGTATTCATTTACTCTGTAGTCTATTGTTGATGGTCGGCTGGCGCGACTGAGGCTGTGCTTGTTGCGCAAGTACGGACTACGGAGGAGTACAGTGAGTAGTGCACTGTGCAAGTGCTATCTATCTATCTATCTACCCCCTAGATAGTAGATACATAATTCCCTGAGAGCGAAGAAGATCGTCGACTGGGATCCCTCTCTCCATCTATCCATCTATCCATCTATCCATCCATTCGTCCATGTATCTCAACTTGCGCTCCGTTCCCAGTCGATTTCATGATTCCATGATTCCATGATTCCATGATTCCATGATTCCATGATTTTATGACATGCCACCCCCCTCCCCCTACCTCTCATCTCCCCCATTCGTAATGGAAACCGCCGACTCGTGGAACGTGTAGACTTGGCTCACGGCTCACTTCCCGCAGCCAGCACACCAGGACAACCAGACACCGCACAGATGGGATGACAGGACCGGGGACAGGACATGTGGCAGCAGGAAATGAGGCAGGTGGTCACATCGCTCGACTGGTCCAGTCGGGTAGCGGTCACTGTCACTGTCACTGTCATTGTTCAATGTCAATGTCAATGTCAACGTCAACGGCAACGTCAACGTCAACGTCAAGATGGATGATCTGATCGGAGGAAACTGGGATGATGGGCACTGGGGAAGGCGTGGGTGAGGGGCGTCCACGTTGGTCAAACGCTCCTGCAGGGTGTTGTCTGCCGTCTGGGGAGAGGGGAACCCCTGTCCGGTCGTCGCGTGTGTAGTAAATGTGATTGATGTATGTATCCATGCCCAATATCTCATCAAAGACAGAGACAGAGACAGAGAGAAGAAGAGAGAAGCATGGATGGCTGTGTGACAATTGCAGCTTGGCTCGTAAATTATTCAACTTAAATTGGATTCATCAAAATCGTAGAGGTATAGGTATCTAAGGGCAAAAAGGCAAGCAAACAAACACATCACATCAGGAAGAAAGAAAGAAAGAAAGAAACGACATGGTAGCATCAGACCAGCATTTCCAAAAGTCAACCAAAAAGGACGCACTCAGTGGCCGGCTCGAAAGCAACGACAGACTCCTCGGTTTGGTATATAAGAAAAAAAAATAGTAGGTAGTGAAGAATTGGAGATCTGACCAATCCAGAGGTTCGTTTTTTTTTTTTTCTTTTCTTTTTTTTTCTTTTCTTCTTCTCGAAGACCTCGTCCGAATCCTCGCGATCACTCTGTAGTTCAAGCCAAGGGCCTGCGTGCCGGACACCAACGGTGCCCAGCAGCCATGGCTTGTCCGTAGCCTCGTCCCTGTGGAGCTGGCTTCGAATGATTCCATCCATCATCGCAAAGAGACTGTCCCCCCTTTTCTCTCGATACTCTCCTCCGTTGTTTTCTTTTTCTTTTTCTTTTTCTTTTTTTTTTCTTCCCCTTTCCAGCTGGTTACCGGAATTTGGCCCGGCAGCGGCCCATGACCTCGCCCTGGCAGACCAGCTCGGCGCTGAACTCGCTGCCGTCCAGCGTCAAATAGATATCGAAATACACTCGGTAGAATGTGCCTTGCGGTGTATCCATGCGCTCGAAATCGGTTTCGAGATTCTTCCGGGATAGATCCGAGGTCAGTGTCACAACCTCCGTGATTCCTGCATTCCGTGTCAGCTTCCCATCGCACAAATACTACCGCCACACAAACTTACGGGGATCTTTGGTGTATTCAGGACACACATCCTCGTCAGAGGCGTACAGGATGTCCTCGTACATCAGGGTCGCGCCCGGTGCAACCTGCCGGAAGAAGCTGACCTTGACCGGTTCGCCGATCTTGACCCGCTCCCCTTTCTGCACGAAGATCTGCCGTGTGTACTTGCATCGGTCCCGCCCGTCAAGACTGGGAACCCGGTATTGTTCCGGGTGGTAGCCTTCCTTGAATGGTTGCAGCGTGGCCATGAGGTAGTGCCGGCGAGCGACCCGATGGGTGATCACGCGCTCGGTGATACCCGCCGTCACGGCGCCTTTGACGATCGCGGCGACCGAGTCCATCGGCCGAACCACCTTGGACTGATACTGCGGTGGTACGTGCAGCTTGATCTGCTGGAAGAGATACTCGGATGCACCAAATCCTCCCACCACCAGGACGTTCTGCAGCGGGTCAATCTATGATCGAACTAAATAGCAACCGAGGACGGCGACTTACCTGGAGAGATCGGTTCTGCGCCTGGATCGCAATGATCTGGTTCCGTACCAATTCCAGGATGCGGTTCACCACAGGCTCGAAGCACTGCAGGATCTCCTCGTTCGTGAACGTCATGTAGCTATCTTCGATGCCCGCGTCTGGGAAGTCGGCCTCAATACCCACGTCCACAGCCCACTTCTGGCCGTTGTTGCGGAAATCCGCCTTGATGCGGTTCTCAAAGTCCATGATGCACTTGGCGTACACTTTTCCGGCGGTACGGGAGCCGTCTGGCAGTTTCATCTTGCGAATCTTCGCTCGGAGGATGTTGCTGAAGTTCCGGTTCAGAGCGGTAGAGCCACACGAATCTCCCGATCCAGCTGTACATTCAACGATGCTGAAGGGCTGCTCCTCCTCGACCTCGTACGCGATCAGATCCACCGTTCCTCCACCACAGTCGACGATCAGAATCGCATCCCCAACTTTCAACTGGAGCAAGCCCGACTTCGCGCAGAACAGCGCCGCGGCCTCGGGCTCCGAGATCAGCGTCAGGCGATTGTCATTCTCGTCGCGCAGGAATCCAGCCTGCAGGGCCGCCGCTCGGGTTGCCGCCTTTCCTGCATCGTTCCAGATCGCGGGCACAGTAAGATAATACCGGATATTGCGCTCTTCCCGGGTAAAAACCTCACCAAGCGTCTTCTGTAACTGAGCTCGCATCGCTTGTCGCAGCTTGAACAGATAGTCGGCGGCCACATCGATTTCTGATTTGCCGGGTGGCAGAGGCGGCAGGTTAATGGGATCAATGTAAGTGTTGCCGGAGAGCATGAGCTGCAGCTTGAACCATTCGACCTTCTGCACACCGGTCTTCGGGTAACCGGTGGGAGCGAGAGCGTCTGCGATATCCGGACCCCAACCCACCACCTTCTGATATTGATCGTAGTAGAGAACCGTAGGAATCTACAAACGAAACCCCAAGTATTAGTATCGCTGTAGGAACCGTTTCCCGTAAAGCCCCTAAGGGGTGGGGGGGGGAGCCGTACCTTCTGCTTGGTATGCGTTCCGGCTCCAGGCCATTCCGTAATGATATCCTCCCGCGCTTCGTTGTTCGTCGCAAACGCAAAAGCGACACCGGAGAACGTCGTCCCGAAATCAATACCCACAATCAGCTGTGCCTTGCTCCGCCCAGCGCCCTCCACCTCGACTGCGGGATTTCGTACTCCGTACTGGGGCTGCGGCACTGGAGGCGGAATTCCATGGGGGACGGGTTGCTGTAACGGATATCCAGGCGGTGCGCCCATTGGCTGGACGGGTTGGTGTCCATACTGCACGTTGGTGTTCAGCGCGGGAGGATGGTGGGCCAACTGTTGTTGACCGGGCGGCATGGGGCTGGTTGGCCGCCCCGCGGTGTTGTAGGTGTAACCTGGCGGGCGACCCAACGTATTTGGATTATTCATGGGGAGACTGGTTGACGACGAACTATGGCCCGACGGCGGAGAACCCGAGGGGGTCGCAAGGGAAGGGGCGATGAGAGTGTTGGTGGACGGGCTGGAGCTGTTGGCTTGGGTCGTCGAAACGGTGCTGCTACTGCTGTGGTTCTTATTGCGTCTGAAGCCGAAGGATTTGAATCGTGAGCTCATCAGGTCCATGTGAAATCAGACCTGTGACGGAGGGCAAACCGATCGAGAGAAGAAACGGGGGAGAGAGAGGGAGAGAGAGAGAATGTCAGGAGGAGAGAGAGAGGGAGGAGAGAGGAGGAGGGGGAAGAAAGAGAGGGAGAGAGAGAGAGAGAGTAAGAAAGAGTAAGCAAGACGATGGAGAAAGAATGAGGGCAGTGCCCGTTCAAAAAGTGGATGAAACAGACAACCTCTTTGTCCGATGGGATGATTTTCGATCGTGGAATGGGTTTAGGCAGACTTTTAGGTGGAGAGAAGAAGAAGAAGGATAAATAATACTACTACTACTCCGTACTAATAATAATAATAATATAAGATTGATAATTCCCGATGGAACACGAGAAGGAAAAGGGAAAAAATGGCTGGAGGGAATCAAGGGATCACGGTGCAAGTAGTGTATATCTGGCGAGGCTGAGAACTGGGGGGAGACCTCGACAGCACTGCGGATAAATCATCAGAACGAGAGTCTGGATATAGATCGATCTGGGATTTCTTTCTCATCGACACCCGACAACCGATAGAAGAACGATATATTCTTGATTCAGACGGTGTTAGAATAATGAGGAACAATTACGGAGTACCTTTGAGTGAGATCAATCTCGTCGTGGTAGAGTTGCATTGTTTCATCGCTGCTTCGACGCCTGTTCTCGAACACTTTGATATCACTCCATACCCTCCGCAGTCTTGTTCGAGATTGAGTTCCTATTCTTGTTTATGATGCTTTTTTCTATCTTTAGAATCTCTCTCTCCCTGTCAAATGAACCAGAGAGTCATTGAAGCAAGAATAAGACTCAAGTCTTCTGTCTGGATCCGTGGTTCATCTCGTTCTGTATGTACCATACCTGACCATACGTTTTGTTCGGGTTCTGCCTTGTCGAAGTGGGGGATCCTTTCAAGTTTCAACCCACTCCATCTCCTATTACCGATTCCTTGATATATATATATATATATATATATATATCACTACTAAACCCTCCCTCTAAAACTATTCGACTCTCGTTGATTTCACCATCTCAGAACGGAATCATCTGCTCATTAAAAATGACTGTGGAACGCTCCATGGATTGGAAGTATCGCCAGATAACAGCCACGACGACCCAGCCACCCTGCTCCGCCTTGTTGTTCCTTTGTTTCTTTTGTTTGGCACGTTTGGCTGCGGCTGAATTGACGTATTAAACATCTGTATTCATACGTCTCGTACAATACATTATGGCATATATTACAGGTTGTATTCCTGCCTGAGGCAGCTATGGGCATCTTCATACTCACTATGCGTTGCTTAATGGTAATAGGGTGTAGTCACCAGGGAAATATGGAAATAAGTCTTTCATTGACAGAACCCACGTAGAGACTCTTGACTTCGTAGGAGACGCAAGCCAATCCCTTCCCGTAGCCGTAGCACCCCCGGCATTGTGCCGCCTGTCTATACCTTCTTCCGTGCAACCCAATGTGAGGGCCGGTATAGGTTCTGCAGCATGTTCTGTGGATCCTGGATATAGCCACACATGGGCCGCTCTTCCACAGACTGTCGTTTCTCGATGCTGAAGCCCACCCGCTCGACCAGGAGAAACACTTCTTCCTCCGTGAGCTCCATATTCCCCGGCTCGCCGATGCCCTGATCCTGCGACTCGCCGGCTCCACTGCCATGGCTGCGATTGCTGCCGTCCTCAAAATGCCACAGCAAGGGTCCGACGTTGATCCAGAGACCGTTGGGTTTCAGACAGTGCCGGATCGTCTCGACGTACCGGATGAGGTTGGGTGCGGTGTCGATGAAGAAGACCGTAGCCACAGCGTCGAACGCCTCCCTGTTCGACGGGTTATTGTACAACACGACAAAGTCCGCCGCGGACATGCTCATTGTTCCGAACGGGGTCGCGTCGGCCGCCGTCTGCGCCTCCATCATCGCCGCCCCCGGGTGCGTGTCCGGGATCAGGACCTGCTGCAGCTGCTGCGCGCGCGACAGGAGGTTAGAGAAATGCAGCGCGAACGGGTACAGAGCGTGCTGCCGCGGACCGCGGGTGTGGTTCAGGATCCAGCTGCTGGCTAGTAGTTGGTGGTAGGAGATCTCGTTGCCCTCCGCGGCGAAGCCCGCCCGGCAGAGCTCGAAGACGAGCCGACCCAGCCCGGCGCCGGGGACGAGCACTCTAATCTCATCGCTGGGACGATCCTGCTGCCCACCGAATTCCTCGTGCAGATCGCGGAGCACAGGCGCGTAGCAGACCTCGCGCTCGGCGGCCCCTTCTGCGCTCCAGTCGCGGTAGAATTGCCGGATGGTTGAATGCGCCTTGTTGACGTCCGAGGTGTTGGCTGTGCCGTGCCAGTTCTGCCGCGGGTCGTTTGCATCTGGATTGGCGGGCAGACCGAACGATGCGAGACCCGTGGCGAGGATCGAGTCGGCGATGTCGGCGTTGACGTCAATAGCGTCGTCGACGCGGTTGAAGTTCTCCAGCAGGGAGAAGGGCGGCTCGGCGAGCATCTGCCAGTGTGCCGATGGGAGCGCGTAGAATGCTTGCCGTCGACGATGGGTGGTGTTCAAGTGTGCGGTTCGTCGATATTGTCTAGCAGATGTTAGTCATGTTGAGGTTTCCAAGCTCCCGGGGCGACTGACCTGAAAGAGTCCAGCGTAGCAAAGAGGACTCGGCGCTCCTCAACGTCTGCCAGCGGATCAAAGTCCCCAGCCCAACTCTGGACCTCATCTTCATCGCCATGATGGTCATGTTGCGGTTCTGATGCCATGATGGGTTGTGGTCTCCTCGTGGCGCAGCTTGTGATCTGCCCGTTTCTCGCAGATATTCTACCCTTCAGAACGCTCCCTCCAAGCTACATCAATCCATACCCTATTTTGTTCTTTTTTTTTTTTCGTTTTTTTGTTTCACGATACAACAAGTTCAGAAGAGGTGATAACCATGAAGTTGTCGCTATTCACTCATGAGTGGTAAAATATGCGGACCCGCTTTGGCGGGGGAACATCGAAAGTCGCAACATCAATCTCGACCACACTCATAACAAAGAGACAAGAGACACACAACGACCTAATCCATCAACATTCCTATGCCCATCTCATCCGCTCCATTCAACTGTAGCAAGGATACACATTTCATCCTTCATAATGGCAACAACACTACAGCCCCCCCGCTACAAACCCCAAGAGATCTCCTTCCCGCTCCCCAAAGCCCTCCATACAACCGCACACATCCACCTCACAACCCTGGAGACCTGCGTAACGGTATTCCTGGCGACGTCGACGCCCGGCGACTCCTCGGGATCGCTCAAACCGATGGGAAGTCTGATCTACGCGATGCCCGATGTAAGTTATCTTCGCTTGTTGTATCTCTTCGTACTGTCGTAACTCGATGATGGCATGTTTTGATGGTTGATACGTTTAACTACTAGCGCAATTCTCCGCGCTCGGTTATATCCACTGTGCTGTACACGACGCCCTCGTCGGCGGACTACACAGCTCGCGTGGCGAAGATTTTGGCCCGTCGGATGGGCCTTCCCGTCTACGTGGGCTGTAGCATCGATACCAGGGCGCTCGAATTGACCGTGGAAGAGGAGATGGAGGGTCTGACGAAGCTGGTGCAGGTGATCATGGAGCGGTGGGAGAAGGCGCGCAGTGGGAAATAGGTCGCACGGTCCAGCTACGAGATTGGTATCGGTGTCGACGTTGCCATCTCTGTTCTCTCTCTGCTTTATATTCAGCTGTTTACGACTATGTCTGCTTCATGCATGGAGTCTACACGACTCCCACTGAATGGTGTTTGGTGTATGGGTCCTTGGGGTTTGCAAATGGGATTCCGTTCCTTGTTTCATTCCGTGATGGAATAAAAGTAGCGATTAGTAGTGATGCCGAGGAGCCTTTAGATTCAGGCCGAAGGCCGAGCTTACTGTTCTCCTGACGATTAATGCTCTCTCCCGGCTTGATGATGAATCAGTAGTTTCGGTGCATCCGTCTCTGAATACTGAATAGTGAATGCATCGGCTCCTGGAAACTCAAGGTACTCCGTATCGCGTATAGACCGGTTCTGGCCCCATCGTTACAAATCGCGCGCTGTTGTCAATCCCTCCGATTTCCGATAGGGCGATGAACGGGGAACATGAAACATGCTCATAGTCCGTCCTGTCGAGTAGTTAGCAACTTAATAGTGTCTGCATTGTCTGAGACTGATTCACTGAAGGACTCAGATCCTCCAATATGCTCCCTGTCGCCATTCGCCAAGATGGAACAGCAACTCTCTCTTGATTAATTACGCTCATATTATGAGACATGGATGCGAGTCCATCCCACCGATCGGGTCCTAGGTATACTCCGCGTTTCCGTCGTCGCATCAGGATTCAACCCCCAGCTCCCCATGATTCAGAACGAAACGTGATACTGATGGGGTTCGTCGATTGAGGACACTGTCACCGTGTACGGTGCATATATCCCAAAGCGGTTATCCTGAAAAGGAGTACAGGAACCAATTCGGCAACGATTCCGAAGAGCCAAGCCCTCAGGGACCCCAGGGGGTGGATCTCGTTGGCCTCGATGGTCGAATTGTCTTGAAGAGAGGCCCTTGGCGAGTCGCATGCGGCATGAGGTTGTTGCTGTCCCCTGTAAGTTGATAGACAGCTTCTGCTAAGCGAGGTCATGGTGTGTTTGGGAAATGGTTGATGTTCCCTCCCCTTCCCCATCTTTCTTATATTGGAGTGCATCTGATAATTAGGATGAATGAGTGCAGCAGCGCCGGAGCTAAGGCCTCTGTGACGACAGTATTGAATGTCGCGTGATCATTCAGCCAAACCAGGATAGATGAAACTGATAAATAATACGAGCAGTTTCATTGACAATGATGTCCATCGCTACAGAGAAGCTTGCCGGAAGACTTGAGCAGAAACCGAGTCGAGAGGATCTCAATCTCAATGTTTCAATGATCTCTGAGCCTTGATTCATCATTCATCATCGGCCAAAGACAACCAACTATCGATTGTCGGTCCATAACTCAAAATAGCCAAAAAACTGAAAGTCATCATATGGAACAAGGTCAATGCATCACCACGTGGACCGTTGAGTTCAAGGCACGGCAGGTGAGGTCCGCCACGGCTCACAAGGCACAAGTCACAAGTCGCGAGAAGAGATCATCAGAAGAGACTTGTTGCCAGTCAGCCTAGTCTCCTGTCTAAGGCTCTAAATAATGTCTAATCTACGGAGTACGAGTGACAATTGGTAATCTGACATACGGCGAGGATACAGCGCGAAAAAAGGAAAAACAAAAAAAAAAAAGAAACTTTAATAAGGCAAATTCCCAACCAGCCGTCGACCAGCACTCGAATCGACCAATCGGGGTGCAACGGCGTCCTGTCACGGAAAGAGCCACATGGAGTGGAGCCCGAAACCTTATTTGCCCAATCAGACCTCTCGGAACAAGCCCGAAGCCAGAACCTGCTTGTTGTTTCCCGTGCCGGAGGTCGAGGAACCATGACTGGTGATTGGTTTGGCCTCTGAACCTGCTGTGACGGGTGGATGGCTGCTGAGTTTGGCTACAACTCTACCAAACGATAACGGGTTAGTACGGAGTGGCTGGCCTCCCACTGTAAACAAAAAAAGAAAAAAAAAAAAAACAGAGAAGAGAAAAAGATCCGGTATCCACTTGGCGACCCGGAGACGGAAGACAATGTGTCTTGCTGGTGACTTGGTAAGGGTAACTAACTACTAACTAGTCTAGACTAGCTAACTGTTGAGGTGACGAGATAAGTGGCATGCAGCCTGTCAATGTCACCTGTTGCAGGATTCTGAATTCTGATATGCGTTCGGTAGGATGGAGATTGGAGATTTGGGGTAGATAGCTCCTCATGACCAGGAAGCGAGCCCCTTAGTCTGGCGATGATCTGATGGCATCATCGTCGCAGACCACGAGGCACTAGGAATCGTGCTCATGGACCGGACCGGTGCCACTATAGTCAGGAAATCACTAGCCACGCTTCCTGAATCCTCAGTTGTTGAGGATGGGTTGTTGAGCTGTCCATGTCCAGGGCTCCAAATCCATTGCCCATATCCTGTGCGGGGAATCCAGTACATTTTGCCGAGCGCTCAGAGCTCTTCCGGTTGGCTTGGCTTGAACTATCTACACCGTAAAGCGTACAACGTACAGCCATTGTTGAGCCTGGGTGTCCAAATTCGATAGCTATCGGCATCCGGACTTGCTGATCTGGCTTGGGACTTGACGCAGGACGGCGAACCGGTGAAAGGAGGGATGCCACAACTCCAGATGGCGCATATCCACTGCCAACCGAAGATAAGAATCCTGGTAGCTGTAGGGTGGTACAGCATGGGTGTGTAGCACACAAGCAGCCTTCGAGCCTTCGAGGACCTGCAGTCTGTAGAGTCTTCCGTCTAGACACGAGCATATCCCTGGAGAATGATGATCATTAGAGACAGCCAAGATGACTGGAGGTTGCCTGACGCTCCCTGTATCTTGTATCTCGACATTGCGTTGCTTTTTTTTTTTTTTTTTTCTCTTCCTTCTCTGTATGTACTGTGTACTCCGTAGTATTAGACTTTGGATGGACTATGGAGTGTGGAGGCCTAGAGATGCGACAGCTAAACCTTGAATATTGGAGTCCGGAACCCATCTAGCAACAGTGAGCATTTAGCCAGCCACTCTTTGGTCTTTATTTCCGACTTGGTGGTGGAGGAGAGACATACTAAGTTGTCAACTATCTCTTGGGTAGGGCATCTCAAGAGTTGCCGGCTGGGCCGAGCCACAAGCGAGTTGCAGTAATGCACCCGAAGAATAACCTTAGTGCTACGGAGTACGCAATGGAGTGACGAACAACGGAACAAGCTTAGTGATCTTGATCAGCAAGAAGCCATTATCAGTGGTTCAGCGCGAGGCAAACAACCTAAATCCTACTAGTAAATACCTCTGGATTATGGAACTATATACTGTGTACGTAGTCCTGCTGGCGGTAGTTCGGACAAAACACGGAGATGGACCACTCACAGGGGACAAGTCGACCATGCTGGTTGCAATTTCTTGCAACAAAGTCTCCGTCTAGTATACTTGGATGGGATTAGGCATTGGATTGTGATTCGCCATTCCGTCGACGTTACCAGTTCCCCGATGGTTTTTTGGCCCGCCACAGGCTCACTGTCACAGGTTCATACAGCTCAGGGGCTTCAGTACGTTCATCACACGGTTCGTCAGCTGCCAGGCCCAGATGGTCCATACTCCAAACCTATGTACTCCATAGTCCATACCATACTTCATGGGCATATGCCATATTGAGACAGTTTTCAACAATGATACCTGGTGACTACCTTAATACCTGCGGTATTGTGATTACCATGGATGGACAGGCAGTCCATAGGTACCTTATCCATGGATGTAACTCGGTAGGTAAGGTAAGGTAAGTAAGATAAAACTAACAGCACGGACTCCAACCCGTCGGTGAGGAAAAAGAAAATACACCCAGCAGCCAATAGTATTCCAAGGATGACATTCCGTCGGCCCGTCTCCAAAAGCAAGGATCCAATCGGATTTTTACTTTTGGTGATTATTCATGGATGCTGCTAGGTACCACCTTAACTAACCTACTTAGTACAGTAGGTACTAGTCAGACAGCTCATGGGGATGTCTCGTGGTTCCTTGGGAGCAAATATCCTGGCTTTCCCATGGATTGATTACTGCCCTCCCTGTCTTATTAGACCCCGGCAAAGTACATACATGGAGTTCGGAATATTCTCATATCCCATGGTACCATATCCCTCTAACGAAATAAAGAATACACCTGGAGGTTGAGCCCAGAATTCAACCAGAGTACCAGACCCACGAATCACGATATCAAGGTTTAGGAACGGACCCTTAAAAAAGGCCATAGTACACTGCCACTGCCGATCTCGGGACAACTTTCAAGTTTCAACGTTAGTGACTTCAGACTCAAATGACAAGTCAGAGGTCTGATCTCTTTGTCTGTATCCACTATTCACTCCAGGTAGGTCATCTCCGGACTCGGAGTCGATTCCCGTGAATCAAGCTAGGAGTCCACCAGCCACACCACTACTGGCCTGCCTACTTGAGTTAAGTCCCTCCTAAAGGGATCTAGAAATAGGCACTTTGGATGTTGGATAGACTCTCAAGTCTCAAGTCGCAAGACCTAGTGCCTAGAGACTAGGTAGGCACTACTCCGTAGGAGGCACTATCATATTCATGCTCCCGTCAAGAGTGCCTAATTGGGCCTCTTCTGCAGACTCTGGAGACCACTGAGTGGCACTGACCAGTAGATAGAGGACTCCATCCGGAGTTGATTCGCGTAATAATGGGGTTCTGTTAATAGAATGCATGATCTAAAAGGATCCATGCATAGTTATTGCCATCTATTCCACTTTGGCGCGAACTGGCGGTTTCAGGCTGCCAGCCATGGGGCTGCTGGGGCCGCAACTCTGCTCCTTCAACCGGGGTCTGCCGAGAGGCTTTCGGAATCGCTTCCTGAAGCTGAGAGAGGTTGTGCTGCCTCTGGACTCATCCTTCATAGGAGTTATGGAGTGGACGACCTGGAGAGAAGCGACCTTATTTGTTGCTGAGTGTGCATTGATCTTCGGTGCGAAAAGTCTATCTATCTGTATTTCGTTTCAACCCAGTAGGAGGAAGCAGGGTCGCATCACGACGATTCGATACCACCAAGATGCCGAAGATGACCCCCAAGGCGTGTCACATCATCGGTATCATCATATGAATCTCTCTCTCTTTTTTTTTTTTCCCCGATTTCTTTTCTTCGACTCGCGAAGCAAACCATTTTGGACCAGAATAATAAGATTTTCTTGATCTCTAAATAAAAAACTTAATTGTTAGTCCCTTCCGGGTTTCAAACGAGAAGCTGCGAGAAGATCAAGCATTTCGGAATCCGCAGGAGGAAGTGAAGCCAAGCTGGATATGGGAGGAATCCTTGTAGCCTGACGGGCTTAATACGATATGTTAAGGCCATTCTCATGATCAGCTTCTCCAGAGTTCAACCCATACAGAGCTAACCGAGCAGGATAAATGATGTATCAGCGTTATTAAGGTCGCTCTCAATCGGTACCATCGTGCTTTAGTCTCCTCCACTGGCTCCTGCTCCAAGTCTCCAACTCTTCTTCGCTTCTTCCTTCCCGCTTCTGATCTTGTCCGTTGTCGCAATTAATCTAATTTCAGCCTTTGAGGGTTTGAGACTTTGAGATCTGGGAAATCCATCGGATCATTGCGTAGATAGATCACTACGGAGTACTTATATGTTCTGTATTATTACAAGCTATATAATACCTACCTGTACCTACCTGTACCTACCGAGTAGGTACCTAGGTATGTCCTATTACCTATTAATCTATGGACCGGTACCTCTTAGGTAGTACCTTACCTACCTACCTATGCTTTCCTTCCAACGACAAATCACAAACCTCGGTTATTGTCCTGTTCTTCCGTGGGTCATTTGAAATTTGAATGGCTTCACTTTCAACTACTATCAATAATAATACCAATACCACTACTACCTACCACCATTAGTTCTAGGCTTCTAGGCTCTAGCACCCTCCCCGCAATCCCTCTCTGATCCATCTCCATCCATCTATCTAATACTTAGTTACTAGCATTGATTCAAAAACACTGGGATGACAGAGGGTCCCAGTTCCACGCCAGTTTCGATCTTGGATCTCTCCCTAATCTCTACCTGCGTGAATTGCCGTCCCATCGTGGGTTTCTCTGTCTTTTGCCACCACCAGAACGCCCCAAGCTTGTCAGCTCTCGTCTTCTTTTTTTTCTTTTCTTTTTCTGGGGCTTTTTGGTTTTATTAAGTCCCTTTTTTTCTTTTTCTTTTTTCTACGAGGCGGCTTATTTTTTTTTTTTTTTTTTTTTTTTCATATTACCATTATCATAGTTGCTTCCTCTCAAGATCTCTCTCGGGATTCTCTGCCTTGCGCAATCTTCTTACTCCATTTCACCTCATCCCGAATTGTCTCTCCCCCTCTTCTCTATCCCCTGATGAAGTTGCTGTATATGTTGCGTTTCAGGAATCATGCAGGCGCATTATTACCGTTCTCCGACTAGCCAGAGCCGCTCAGGTGTCCCATATGAATTACCTCCTGTGCAGTCGGTTACTTCTCCCTCAGGGCCCTTCCCCCCCCAAGGGCCTTCCGCGGCGTTGGTTTCCGCTCCGCCGAGCAGACCCAGCAGCGGATTGAGGATGGCCCATCTGTTACAACCGCTGGCGCAACCACCACCTCCTCTTTCCGCTACCACCAACATCACCACTTCGACCTACTCTCGCTCTTACGAGTCGAGCGGTTCACCTGTTGAAGTGCCCCCGATTCGTTCAGATGTGTCTTCGCTCAATGGGTCTGTCTCGGGGAACCCCTCTCTCCCCCCACCTACGCCTGGTGCTGCGCAACATCAGCAGCTACCGTCACAGCAACACCACCCCCACCACCATCACCACCATCATCATCATCATTCACCGCAGCCTCTTCAACAGAAGAGGGCGTATCGGCAACGGAGGAAGGATCCGAGCTGTGATGCCTGTCGCGAGCGCAAAGTCAAGGTATTATTTCAGCCCTGAGCGAGTTGCGGCGACTGTATGGGGAGATTCGTTGACTATGGTTGTCTAGTGCGATGCGTCGGAATCCTCCAGCTGCACGGAGTGCACCAACCGTAAAGTGCGGTGCCAGTTCACCAAGGAAACAAACAGACGCATGTCCTCTATCAAGTTCGTGTCACGGTTCGTCTTTCGACCCTGCAGTTCTGCGATTCTGACCTGGGAATGTAGACAAGTGCAGGACCTGGAAAAACAGCTCTCGTCCACGAAGCAGCAGCTCCAGCAGCTACGAGCAGGGATGCTGAGGTCAGATAATTTGATGGATCTGGAGATCGATGGCAGTGGACTGCCGCAATTAAAGCTGCCAGACACCGGGTTTCGCCCCTCTCGAAGACCGAAAGCGCCAGTGTTGCAGGATCTCAGCGAGGCCCGGGCCAATCTACGAAACTACGGACGAGGGCTCCTCAAGGTTCCCCGGCCGTATCGCCAGCAGGGTCCCACGTCGCTTCTGACGGCCGATCCACCCCGACTCCCGCCGAAAGACGTCGCGAATCACCTCCTGGCACAGTACTACTCGTGCATCCACTGTGTCCTGCCGATCATCCATTGGCCCAGCTTCATGGCCGAGTACGAAAACGTCTATCGGAATGGTTCTCTTCTAGGTGTTCCTCGGGAATGGGCCGCGGTGCTCTTCGGCGTGTTTGCGTGCGGTTCTCTGCACACGCTGGATAGGAACCGGGAAGAGGAGGGCAAAGAGTTCGTCAAGATTTCTTGCGGCGTCATCGATGTTTGGCAGGACAATTTTACGCTGGACCAGGCTCGCGCTGCGCTCCTGGTCAGTATCCTCCTCTACGAAGTCAACTCCAAGTCAGCAAGTTGGGTGTGGATCGGGTCTGCCGTGCGGGTCGCGCAGGAAATGGGCCTACACCTCGAGTCTGGGCCATCGTCGGCCGTTGAAGGGGAAATGAGACGCCGTGTGTGGTGGGGGATGTACGCCTGGGATAGGTTTGTCTCTCTCTTTTGCTTCTGCGTGTCACTGTCGATGCTGATGTCGTGTGGTTAGGCTCCTTGCGCTTGAAATGGGGAAGCCAGTTTTGATTAACGACCAGGACTGCGATGTTGACCTCCCGTGCCCCCTGGATGAACAGTACATGTCGGAAGGAGCCTGCGTGCCTGAAGGCCAACAGACGACCCCCCTTTTGGCCACGATCCACGTTGTTCGCTCCATCGGTCAGTTGACTCGAACATTACGAAACTACACTATCTCTCCGGGAACCCTGGAGACCTTTGAACGGCACTTCAGTGCTTGCCTCGCGACGTTTCCCACACAATATCACCTAAAATCCGACTCACCCCTCGACCCTCGATCATTCGCCCCGATCGGCTATCTCCAGAATGCGCGACTTATCCTCCACCGCCATAACATCTCCCCGTTCTGCTCCCCCGAAGTCCGATTGTCGGCCCTGAACTACTGCATATCGATCGCACAAGATACGGCGCACTTTCTGTCGCGGTGCATGCGCCGTCCCTCCGGCACAGGCAACGAGGACTGGCGACCGTTGTTCGCATCGTCAGCGGGGACCATGCTGTGCACACATATCTGGCGCTGTGTGCTATTGCTTCTCTTCCGACAGGAATTTGCCGCCGCGTTGATCTGCGTGCAGGCCAGCGCCGTGGTTGGTGACTCGCGTACGGTCAATGCCGCCTGCGGACGGTACATTGCGTTCTTTCTGAAATTCCTCCTGGAACGGCTGCGTCGTGGCGAGGTCGCCAACCTGGATCACGACGAGGAAATGATGGCATATGTCTCCGGAGATATGCAAGGGACCAGCGACGGCAGCTGGGTGTGGCAGGGGAGCGAGACGGGATCTCAGCCCGAGGCGCCGTCGCCCACGTTCGGCAGCCCCGTCATATTTGCGAACCGCGACGAGCGGCCCAACGGGGCGGATGTCGGTATAGTCTGGGAGGGCTGGGATTGGGTTGAGCGGACAGTGCAGTATCTGCTCGCCGAGCAGCAACAACAGCAGCAGCAGCAGCAACAACAACAACAACAACAACAACAGCAGCAACAGCAAGAACAGAAAGAGTACGAGCGGAGAGAGGTACCGCTTGCCGCGAGACCGGCCGAGTCGCCGTATGTCAAGCCGGAGCCTGCGCCGGCAACACCCGACTCGGCAACACGCTCGAACCCAGTGCATTCACGGATGACGATTGCGAGCATTATATGAGCACTGGCTGCAGATGAAACGAGGTCACGGGTTTACGACAAGTTTTTTTTCTTTTCTTTTTTACCCTTTCTTTTCCATGCACATATGTCCGACTACATGTACACATATCGTCGTGTTATTATACCACCTAGTTTAGGAAGTCATAGAGAAACGCCATCATCAAACGATGACTGGTTGGAATCAACACACACCACCAAGTGGGATATCTAAAATAAATAAATAAATAAATAAAGAACTCATTTGAATGAAAGAAAAAATAGAAACGAAAGGGAACTTTCGAATCTAGGTCTCTAGATTAATACTCCGTCCAAAGCGCGCATACAACGCGACTTTGAGCTGCTGCAACTCGTCCCGCACATCTCCCAGCGTCTCTTCCAGCTTGGACACCTGCTCATCGATCTGCTCGCTCGACGTCGTCAGCAGCGACTGCGCATCCGCCAGCGGTAGCTGGAAGAACGCATCCCCGATTTTGTATCTAGCCTGGTTAGCATTCCCCATCACAAAAAAGAAAGGCGATGAACATGGACATGGACATGGACATACGGCACTAACTCCTCCTCATCCGCAAGCTCCAACTCCATCGAGATCTCCTCGAGATCCTCCTTGTCTTTCTGTCGGGGCCGTTAGCTAGAGCACACAGCACACACACACACAACCAAGAAGGCCTGGTGGTGAGGGGGGGGGAAGGAAGGTGGGGGCTTCAGGGGAAAAGGGAAAAGAGAAAAGAGAAAAGGAAGACGACATACCTGCTTGGCCTTCAGCTGGTCCTCGAGCACGGTCTCGCGTTGATGCAGGCGGCTGAACCGGTTGATCTTCTCCTGGTCCTCGCGGCGGACTTCATTTTCTTCGCTGCCGGGCGAGGCCTCGTCTTCTTTGGAGAGCTAGGTGGTAGGGGGGGAATTAGCTTGTTTCTTTTCTGGGGAGAGGAAGGGGGGCGGGGGGGGAGGTACCATGCGTGTGTGCATCATTTTGAGTTTCTGGTTTTTCTGATTTTTCTTGTCGGAAAAAATACAAGGGTGAGGATTGTCGGGTTGGGTCAAGCTTTTGGTGTTCGTTCGGTCTTGAGCTTGAGGGTTTTTTTTGGGGTTGCGGGTGGGATGCGGTGCTGGTGGTCTGTGCGGAGGTGATGTTGATGTTGATGTTGATGTTGATGTGCTTTGCTCTATGAGTGACTAGATGTATATATCTATGTTTACAGACTACAGCATCTATTGGTTCGATTGTAGTTTATGTCTTGAACGTGATGTCTACCTAGGCCTATATGGTATATCTGGTGTATTTTGATTTTGATGGGGGAGAGAGTGGTTGGATGCCTGGAGATCTGATGGCAGCAATGGGAACAGAGGGAGGGCTCACTGCCTTCAAGCTGCTATGGTGTATTTCGTTCAAAGACAGTATTTAATGCCTTGTAGCGATCACTCATACCCTGAAGATATACTCCGTGGAGAGAGATCGAGAATTAATTCCTCTGTAGGAAGTAGAATGATGGCCTCCGCCAATTCCATCAGGTGACATCATTGTCCTTGTCATCCGCTTCACTATACTCTCTGTCCCAGAGGTATATATATACTCATGAACTCAGTATGACACCAGTCGATAGAGATGGAGAAATAGAATGGATGTCTGCTTTCTACCACAGTATAACAATCAACCATCCCAGTGCTGAGACACGGGCTGGGTAGACTGCGACGGATTGCTCCCTCGGAGAAAAGAATCGCCAAGCTGGTGCAGTACAACGAAACAGATGAATCCATCCACGCAAATCCTCCCTGCCGGTTTCATCTCTCTCCAACTTCAACCTCGACATCCTCAGCAGCCTTGTCTATATCTACCTTTGTCTGCATTCAAGGCAAAACTGTTTGTTATCACATATTGATTGGAAGTGATCCTCTGGCATCGCAACAAAGACCTTGTCACCGACCGAGACACACACGTGGTCCGTGTTGTCAGCTATCCAGCAGCTCCATCGATCTCGACAACCAAGCTTCACCGACCGACACCCCGATATCCTCAATCTAGGCACCGGAATCTCCAGAGCACACCACAACTCCTTCAACAAATCGTGTAACAACACCACAATAGCCGCCCATACATCTGACAGCCACGATGCGAATACAATCAAGTCTCTCCCCGTCAATCCTCATCTCCACCGTCCTCTCCGGCCTCGCCGCAGCGACAGGGAACTTCGACTGCAAACAAATCAATATCAACGGCTACAAATATGATCTCTCGCCGCTAGCGGGTGCGCACACGCTCTACCACGTCGAGTCCGCGGAGGGATACACCACGAACACAACCTATGTGCTCAACATCTGCAATATTCTGGGGAAATCCTCGATCCGCGGGGATATGCGCTGTGGGACATCGAAGAATGGTGCGTTCCCTTTCCCCCGTCCCCCGCCCAATATAATAGGGTCTTAGACGAGAGAAGAATGGGAAGAAAAAAAAAAAAAACTGATAGCACCCAGTCTGCGGGTTTCGCCACGAATTCACCGACGACGGTCTTGTGTCACACAGCCACGCCTTCCCCATCGCTGGCCTCGACCCGCTCGGCCAAGGCACCAAGGATTCCGAGATCAAACGACTCAAGGAAATGGATTCCGCGCGCGAAGGCCTGCTGCTCAAACTGGCTGGCGGCGAGTACAGTGGCGAAGAGGACCTCGGCGACAAGAAGAAAAAGAAGAAGAAGGCCGCCGCGGTGATCGAGTTTCAGTGTGACCCCGATCGCTCTGGGCTGGAGGGGCTGGTGGCCATTGACGACGAGCCGAGCACGGAGACACGGCTGCGGGCGCGTGAGGACAAGGAGGCCGACAAGGACAAGGACAAGGAGAAAGAGAAAGAGAAAGACCCCAATGACGGGGCGGATCCCTCGCACAGCCTGCAGTTCAAGAGCTTCGGGCTCGCGGACGACGATATGTACGTGCTCAGGCTGGACTGGCGGACGCGATACGCGTGCGACAACTACCTCCGCGACAACAAGGGCGATAGTTCCAGCGGCTGGGGGTTCTTCACCTGGCTGATTATCATGTATGGCCTCCTTTCCTCCCCCTTCTTTTCCCAGAAGAGTACAGCATACTAATACCCAGATAGTGTCTTCCTCTGCGTCGCCGGGTACCTCATTCTCGGCTCCTGGCTAAACTACAACCGCTACGGTGCCCGCGGCTGGGACCTCCTCCCGCACGGCGACACCCTGCGCGACATCCCGTACATCTTCAACGACTGGCTGCGCCGGGTCATTAATACCCTCCAGGGAAGCGGATCGCGGGGCGGATACAGTGCAGTTTGATCCCTTTTGCTTTCAATTTTCTCATTGGATTTCCTGCATGATATGTGATTATGTTGTTTCTGAGCATGTTTGTTGGTGTGCTTGCTTGATTGATGATTCCGGGTTGTTTGTGTGTGTTGCTTCTTGCTTGGGATGGATAGATAGCTTTTGGTTGATTCTGTCTGTATCGTAGCCGAGGATCATTTGCATTGTGATACACATCTATCTACATATCTATGAACGGTGGTACGGGTTATCTATATTTTCATGAAGGTCAAGATCAACAATTACAGGGACGTAGATAGAGAGCAGTGAGTCAAATCTCCCAACACACAAAACACGCGACACAAGCACGCAAATAGAAGAAATGGCGTCATTGGAGCTAAACTCTCCATCATCGGGGTCATCAGACATCAGATATCACGTAGATAAATAGGTTATGATCATCGCAGGCATGTCAACTTTATTAAATAGGGGTTTGCTGTCGCCCCCCCCACCCCAACCTCTTGCATCTTAAACCTTCATGGCGAATTGCTTCAGGTAGAGATAGTCGGGCATGTTGCGGTCGACGACCTCACGGATACGCGCGGCGGCCTCGGGCCCGTATTTCTCGCGCCATTCGGCGTCGTATTTTTCTTCGGATTTAGGAGGGTGCTGTTTTTTTGTTTTTTTTGGTTCCAAATGTTAGTGGGGTGGCTTCATAGGGTTAAAGGTGAGGAGGGATGGACAAAAGGGGAAATGATACCGGTTTCTTCGCCATCAGGCCCTTCGACTCGATCGCATCGTTGTGGAAGCCGCGCCATTTCTCGAACGCGTTGCGCGCACACTGGTGGTCCTCCTCGGTATCCCAGGTCAACATGACAGGATCATACTCGAGGCCGACGCTGCGGCAGAACGCCTCGATCATGGCGGCCGGTTTCTCGAGCATCTCGTCGGCGTCCACGACGCAGATCTCGGCGCCGGACTCGCGCGCGGCGACCACGGGCCGCGGCTTGCCGTCGTCGAGGAGCTCGGCGGCGTCCTGCTCGCGGGTGGCGACGTGCGGGCCCACCAGGTGCACGGCGCGCAGGTAGTCGAAGGTGCGGCGCAGCTCGTCGTAGCCGGCCTCGAGCGGGTCGTAGGTGTAGAAGCCCGTGACCGTGTCGAGCGGCGGGATCGTGCAGCGGAAGTACGACGGCACGCTGAAGTGCGGGTCGCGGATGAGGAAGGCGAAGTGGAAGCGCGACAGGATCGCCTGCGGCATCACCGTGGGGTTGCCCGGTTCCGGTGCCGTGTCGTACGGGTACGGCCCTGGCTTGGTGTGGACGTGGTCGTTGGTTGCGCCGTTGGCGTTGGCATTAGCGTTGGCGTGGTGGGCGTGGCCGTTGGCGTCGGTGCCATTGGCCCCGCCATTCTCGCTTGCAGATGTATCATCCTGCGTGCCTACGCCACGTTTGATTCTCTTCAGCGACGGGGCGATGCTGGCGGGTTTGCCGTCTGCGGGGAGAAGGTAGTGGATGATGTCCTTGATGAAGACTCGCTTGCCCTGCAGCCGGTAAGTCTCATCCTCAAGAGAGAGGTTCCATGCAATCCAAATTCTTCCAAATCCCAGGGCAATTGTGGAAGCTGAGGTACAATCTCGCGGAGAGAAAGTCCATCCTAGGATAAGTGCAGGAATTCACGCAGCAAGGTTCAAATGGCCATAGGGAGCTACGAACAAAAACGAGAAAGAAAAAAAAAAGAGGAAGAAAATCAGGGTCGGACCTCATTTTCGGCGGCTTCACGCTCGATTCTATCCAGTACGGTCTTGTAGGTGGACTCGCTGAATCCGCTGTCCAAACGGGCCTGTTCATCATTGGCGAATCTATCGCTGAGTCTCTCCGGGCCATAATAGAAGGCATCGCCGAAGGGCTCGTGGATACACTGGATATCATCACGGCGAGTCATAAAGACCTAGAAAATCCCAAGGGTTAGCACATATTTGAGATTGTCCATCTGCCAGTGTCTGAGGAAAGAAGTCATACTCGTTCAAAAGCCGTGGAACATGCTCGTGGATGAGTAGCCACGAAAATGGGTCTTTGCGACATTTCTCTGTCTTGTCTCGTTGATTCACACGAGTGGTAGAAGAATAGCAATTCACTTCTCTTTGGATGAGAGAAAGAAGCGAAAGGGGAAAACAGCTGAAGACGAGTTTCCCAACCAAGTATATTACTGTTGACCAGGGAGTTTCACCACCGGCGTAGTAGGTTTTACTGGGGGGGTCGGATCTTTTCCAGTCGTGTACTGTATGGGAGACAGCAGAGACGATGGAGAAAGAAAAGACGAGTCGAAGAGTTTCTTCGAGCTGACCAGAACAAGAATCAAGATCCCAGTAGTGGATGGGAGGGAAAGAGAAGAAAGAATCAGGAACAAGAGGTCCGGGTTTTTATATGCTACGGTGCAGTAGTCAAGGGATGAGGGGGAACTCGAGTCGAATCAAGAGTTCAGACTTCAGAGTTCAGATACTCCTCCTCCTCCTCCTACTACTACTATACTACTACTAGTGACGTCCTGACGAACAGGATGCGAGGGATTGGGATATTTCTCTCCTCGACTCGTGGGTGAGCAACCGCGCCGAGTCTGGATAACTATACACTGGAATAGCCTAATAGGACTGACTTACTCTTCAGGATGTGATTCCGTCGATTACTGGCGCGTGTGGAGTGCACGATTCATTCTAGGTCTCATTATTTGTGGATAGGAATCCACTTGGGAAAATACCAAGGTCAAAGGGTGGCTCTTTTTTTTTTTTTTTTTTTTACCTACAGCCAGACTTGGAACCGTCGATAATCTGAGGCTATATCAGGTATGCAGGATGGAGGTATGAAGCTGTGGCTGTGGCATCGAGTGTCTCTAGTCCGAGCACTAGAACGACAAGATTGAGATCTACACGTTTCCCCCTCCCCCCTCATGCGACTACAGCCAGAAAGCCATCAATTCTCTGCCTTGATTCGCCTCCTCCTCGTCGTACGTATTCCCGGAAGTCAAAGACAAGAAAGCCCAAGTGGATAGGGCGCAGTTTCTGAACCGCGGCCGCAGCGAGGGGCATTCAGGAAATAGTGGGGGGAGGAAAAGGCGCTGCAGGTTGAGACTTGAGAGTTGAGACGTTGAGTCCGTGAGAGAAGAGTGAGACAGTGCTGGGTCAATGATCAGGCTAGTCACTATAGTTAGATAAATGGACACCTAGACGGTTCTTCTATCCTCAGATAGAACTTAGATAGAAGAAAATGATCGAATTGTGGATTGAATGGCGAAAGAACAAGAAGGAGGACGTCCGCAAGAGTGGTGATATTGACAGCATCCCACTTTGACGTCATGCGCGAGTGTATGATGGCGAGACCGAGGGAGAAGACGGAGACAAGTCTCAGATTCAATCAGACTCCCCAGAGCGATGATTAGAGAGTTGGTGTGAATGTCTCCTCTGTAGAATCGAAGTCGCAGTTGATAGAGAAATGCAATCAATAATAATAGGATTATATCAGTCAGTCAGGCAGCCAGGCCACGAGGCCACGAGGCAACGACAACGAGGCAGCCAGGCAGCCAGGCAGCCAGGCAAACACAGCACATAGCCTCAGGCACCGACCAAATCCCAATCACGTGACAGTGACCAAAGCTCCTCGACCCTTCTGGAAGGCGGTGGAAGCCACTCGTGTCGTCATGGAGAAGAGAGTGACATCTCGAAACGTCCGCGGACGATGGGCTGATGATGCCCAAACTCGCCAGCTCGATGATATATCATTCAGTCCGCTCCTCCAGTGGCCGATTGTAGTCTCTTCCTTCACGACCAAGATATCATACATACGCCTACAGAATCAAGGAACACACCACACACTTCAGTTCCCCGTTTCATCATCATAATGAACGGAGCACAATTCACAGATAGAGCCAACAAGGCTTTGTTGGACTCCAGCCATCTGGCGGAGCAATACGCCCACTCGCAGATCCTCCCCGTTCACTTGGCAGTCGCTCTTCTGAACCCCTCGATAGATGAGTCCAAGGACCAACAAGCCGCTTCCCACCCTTCCCACGACTCGTCCACCGCCCCGCTCTTCCGCCAGGTCGTCGAGCGCGCCCATGGCGATCCCCAGCAGCTGGACCGTTCCCTCATGAAATCACTCGTCCGCTTACCGAGTCAAGATCCGCCTCCAGAGACCGTCAGTGTCTCGCCTTCCCTGGCGAAAGTCATCCGGTCTGCAACCGATCTCTCCAAGACACAGAAAGACAGCTATGTCGCCATCGATCACCTCATTCTCGCCGTGGTCCAGGATTCACAGGTCCAGCGGGCATTGGCGGATGCCAACATTCCCAATGTCAAGCTGATCGACACCGCTATCCAGCAGATCCGGGGTACAAAGCGGGTAGATTCCAAGACCGCCGATGCCGAGAGCGAAAACGAGAATCTCAAGAAATTCACCATCGATATGACTTCCCTGGCGCGGGAGGGTAAGATCGATCCCGTCATTGGCCGAGAGGAGGAGATCCGGCGGGTCATCCGGATTCTCAGTCGTCGTACCAAGAACAACCCCGTCCTCATCGGTGAACCCGGTGTCGGAAAGACCACCATCGTCGAAGGACTCGCTCGTCGGATTGTCAACGCGGATATCCCGGCGAATCTGGCACAATGTCGGCTGCTCTCACTCGATGTCGGTTCGCTGGTCGCCGGCAGCAAGTACCGCGGGGAGTTCGAGGAGAGAATGAAGGGTGTCCTCAAGGAGATCGAGGAGTCCAAGGACACGATTGTCTTGTTCGTGGATGAGATCCATCTCCTCATGGGCGCCGGCTCTAGCGGCGAGGGAGGTATGGACGCCGCCAACCTGCTGAAGCCTATGCTGGCCCGTGGCCAATTGCATTGCATCGGTGCCACCACGCTCGGCGAATACCGCAAGTACATCGAGAAGGATCAAGCGTTCGAACGACGTTTTCAGCAAGTCCTCGTCAAGGAGCCCACCGTTCCCGAAACCATCTCCATCCTGCGTGGTCTCAAGGAGAAGTACGAAGTGCACCACGGCGTCAACATCCTCGACGGCGCCATCGTCGCAGCGGCCGAGCTGGCGGCGCGCTACCTCACCGCCCGTCGTCTGCCCGATTCGGCGGTCGACCTGATCGACGAGGCAGCCGCAGCCGTGAGAGTCACCCGTGAGTCGGAGCCTGAGGCGCTGGACAACCTGGAGCGGAAACTCCGCCAGCTCCAGATCGAAATCCACGCCCTGGAGCGGGAAACGGACGATGCCTCCAAGGCACGTTTGGAGACAGCCAAGCAGGAAGCCGCGAACGTCACCGAGGAGCTGCGGCCCCTGCGCGAGAAGTACGAAAGCGAGAAGCAGCGCAGCAAATCCATCCAGGACGCCAAGATTAAGCTCGACTCGCTCAAGGTCAAGCGTGATGAAGCCGAGCGGATGGGCGACACCCAGACCGCGGCCGATCTGGAGTACTACGCCATTCCCGAGACCAAGACCCTGATCGACCGCCTCGAGAAAGAGCGCATGAAGGCGGACGAGGAGCGCCGTTCCCGCCAGGGCGATGCCGGGGAGGCCCTCCTGGCTGATGCGGTCGGACCCGAGCAAATCAACGAGATCGTCGCCCGTTGGACCGGTATCCCCGTCACTCGACTCAAGACCACCGAGAAGGACAAGTTGCTGAACATGGAGAAGTACCTGGGCAAGCTCGTGGTGGGCCAGAAGGAGGCCGTGACATCGGTGTCCAACGCCATCCGTCTGCAACGGTCCGGTCTCAGCAACCCCAACTCGCCGCCCAGCTTCCTCTTCTGCGGTCCCTCGGGTACGGGTAAGACGTTGCTGACCAAGGCGCTCGCCGACTTCCTCTTCGACGACCCCAAATCGATGATCCGGTTCGACATGTCGGAATACCAAGAACGCCACTCGCTGAGCCGGATGATCGGTGCTCCCCCGGGTTACGTGGGCCACGACGCCGGCGGCCAGCTGACCGAGTCGCTGCGGCGCCGCCCCTTCTCGATCCTGCTGTTCGACGAAATCGAGAAGGCAGCGAAGGAGGTGCTCACCGTTCTGCTGCAGCTCATGGACGACGGTCGGATCACCGACGGCCAGGGCAGAATCGTCGACGCGAAGAACTGCATCGTCGTCATGACGTCCAACCTGGGCGCCGAGTTCCTAGCCCGCCCCACGACCAAGGACGGCCGCATCGACCCCCAGACCCGCGAGCTGGTCATGGGCGCGCTGCGCGACTACTTCCTGCCCGAGTTCCTGAACCGGATTTCCAGCATCGTCATCTTCAACCGGCTCACCAGGAAGGAGATCCGCAAGATCGTCGACCTCCGCCTCGCAGAGGTACAGCGCCGCCTCGAGCACAACAACCGCAACGTCACCATCGAGTGCTCCGAGGAAGTCAAGGATTACCTGGGCGAGTCCGGCTATTCGCCCGCGTACGGCGCCCGCCCGCTGTCCCGCATCATCGAGCGCGAGGTCCTCAACAAGCTCGCCGTGCTGATCCTCCGCGGCAGTGTGTGCGACGGCGAGGTCGCGCGCGTGGTCATGCGCGATGGCCGGATCGACGTGCTGCCCAACCACGAGGTCGAGTCTGTGGAGGACGAGGAGATGGTTGATGAGGATGAGGCGCTGGCGGAGATTGAGGATGCCAGCGGCGATATGGATTTGTACGAGTAGGGGAGAGGAGGTTACGACAAGGCCACCATAAAAAGGAAGACACAAAAGCGATTGGGGGAGGCTAGATGAGTGACGACTTACGACACTTTTTTCACATGTTCATGTTCATATTTCATGTTTATTTGTGATTTACACAGCGCATGGTTGATGTACAGCTTTTTTACCTGTTGATAGTCCCAGCTATGCACCTAATAAATACTTTCTATCACATTCCACATCCAGTAAACCTCGCCTGATCCAACTTACTCACTCGCTCACTCACTCCTCCTCCTCACCCATCTCCCTCTTCCTCCACCACCGTGCCACCTCCCCAGTCTGGCAAAACTCCACCTCCTCCCACCCACGCAACCAACCCAGCAACCGCTCCACCATGCCCACCACATGCGCCATGCCGCTGGTATCCGGATGCAGCAGCACAGGGAAGATGGGCTGGTCCTCGTTCTCGCGCAGCCACAGGAACCGCTCGCGCCACAGATTCTCGATCACGCGCGCATCCGTGTACCCGTGCGAGTTGGGCGCGTGCGGCAGGAACTGGAGCGGGGTCATGTCCTCCATGTACCAGTTGCAGGGGACGCAGACGAGGGGGCGGCGGTCGGGCGGTTGGGTGGAGGCGCTGGGCCGCGGGAGTGGGTGCATCCAGGTTGAGGCGGGTTGGGAGAAGTCGATTGGTTTGAGCGGGGGGCGGCGCGGGGCGAAGAACGGGTGGCAGTCGTGGTCGGTTAGGGAGGCATCTGTGTGTGTGCGCGTGTGGGCAACGGGGTTAGCCCATGAGAATGAAATGGGGAAGGGGGGGGGGTGGAAGGGACGTACCGTATTCGAAACCAAACTCCTCGAGGAGATCCAGGGTCGACTCGCGCAGCTGGTACAGCGGGGCGCGGTACCCGGCCGGTTTCTTGCCCGTCAGCTTGGTGGCGATGGCGATGCACCTGACGAGCACGTCGCGCTCCTGCTCGACGGTGAGCTGGTAGGCGCCCTCGTGCGCGTACCCGTGCAGCCCGACCTCGCAGCCCGAGGCGATTACCTGCGCCACCTCGTCCGGGAAACTCTCCGCCGAGTGGCCCGGGATGAACCAGGTGCAGCGGTCCGCGAGGCCGAGCTTGTGCAGCAGCCGCAGCAGCCGCGGGACGCCGACTTGTGCCGCGAAGAAGCCGGCCGAGTAGTCGGCGAGGATGTTGTCTGGGTGGTGGCCGGTGCCGAGCCAGCCGGAGACGGCGTCGAGGTCGATGGAGACGGTGACGCGAATCTTGTTGCGGGTGCGTGTGAGAGGGCGCGGAATGGACACGGTGGGCTCGGCGGTGAGGAGGGGACGGGTTTCTGTCTGGTGGGCGAGGTTGAGGTACTGGCCGGTGATGTGTCCGGCTGCGCGGTAGGAGGCTAGAAACGCCATGGTGCGCGCGATGTCTTCCGACATGTCGTTGCCTCCCAGGTTCACGGCGTTGATTCTCGCCCTGCGGTTGAGACGCCCAATGTCGTCGCCTACCCTCCGCACAAGCCCATCCAGTAGACCAGCCTTGTCAGAGGGAGACGCCGTGGGATCCGCTTGCCCGACCTTGCTCGCCTCGTTGCCCGCTATGACAATAGCGAGGTTATCCAGCTCCGTGCCTAGCGTCTGCTGCGCGGTCCGCGCCGCCTGCAGGAAGTGCTTGACGGCGAGAAAGATGCCGCGCACATTGGCGCGGTGTGTCTGTTCCCACGAATCCAGGGACAGATCCCAGATCGCGCAGTCCTGGCGCTCACTGGCCACGCCGGCATTGGCTATGAGGACGTTAATAGGCCCGAAGCGCTTGACGGCGAGCGCGATGCTGGAGCGTACGGATTCCTCGTCGGAGATGTCCCCCGTCTGGACGTTGAGGTGCGCGAACCTGTCGCCCGTCGCGGAGGGTACCTCTACGGAGCGGTGATCATGTGCCGTCACCTTGCATCCTTGCTCTATCGGCTGTTAGACATTTGTTACGTTTCAAAAAAAGAAAAGCCGTGGTCATAGTTTTCCTACCGAGAAACTCCTGAGCTACCTTTTGCCCAAGGACACCGGCTGCTCCGGTGACGAAGACATGGAGACCCTCCAGGCCCAAGAACGAGGAGGAACCCTCTCTCGACATGCTGCAACCAAGCGTCGGGATACAGATGCTCCTCGCTTATTTCTGGGTGATCCTGAGACTGAGTTCTTTTGTTGCAAAAGAAGGCCGGAATGACTGTTGAGAGATGGCACTAACTGCCTGGGCTCTCCTGATGCCACACGGGAGGCATACATACAGATCACGTGGATCTGCATATCTTCCTGAATTCTGATACTCATCGAAACATCACCCTTACTAGTTACTACTATAATTACTACACAGTCGTACACGGTCCTCACCTTGATCCTCTGAAAACTCTAGTCTCCACTGCCTAGAGCTCACAAGTTACAAAGTTACAAGCTGTCCAAGGCAGGTCAAGGGAACTACTACATACAGAGTCAATCTGGGTGACGGCGAAAAGGACACCGTACAGATGGTCTTTACCTAAAGAGGGAGCTTCAGCAGACGGCTTCATTTTGTCCAGGAGAAAGTCCTTTGATATTGGAGTAGATAGACAACTTGCTCTCCGCGAAGGTGGGCAAAGACCGCTCTGCGGCTTGGAGAACCCCATGGGACAGCAGTTGAAGCCTCTGGATTGATAAGCGTGAACTCCACCTTCTTGATATCGTTCTTATCTGGTGCCTGACTCTTTTGGAGGAGGGAGTGATCTTGAGTAATAACAAGAATGGAATGTGTGATGGCAAAAAGCGGATGGGGATTTCTGCATCAATATACTACGTAAGGTACTGTAATTTGTGCCTGAAGAGCTTTCCATACAGAGTACAGTAAATATTGAGTACAGAGTAGGTAAGCAAAACACCCACATTTGAAAAAGACAGAGCAAGTCCACTTGGCCCTCTCACATGGTTGCATCCCTGCTTCATCGTGGTCTTCATGTTACATAGAGATCTTGGAAATTTGGATTCTAGAGTCTGGAATTAAGAGAACATCGGGTTTCAACTTTGAATTTAATATCTCACTACTGTGTAGCTTCTAGAATAGATTGGCGGAATATTTCCGGTTGTTCCTACTCCTAGTACTGTGTAGGTATTAAGTCGAGTTTCGTTCGAGTATTGATCACCTGTCTCCTTATCGAGGCGTGCTGAAGGGGTGATAGTGCGCTCTCTGTCTATTATCTACTAGTACTCTGTAGTTAGTATCTACAGAGTACTAGCTAGTAGCTACTCGCATATTAGCCACCCGGTTCTGACAAATGCGCCCCATCAGCCGGAGAATTATCCTCTGGCTTGCTGCCTCTTGTCTACAGAGTACTGTGTAGATAGTCAAGCGTCCGGGTTTGTAAAATAAGCTGAAGTTCCCCTAGTTAGTTCCTTGCGGCAATTAAGATCTTGCAACCCGCAGAAGGTGTACTATGTCAGTTCAAGATGTCGCAGTGTAAGCCTGGTTATCCTGGCATAGGAAGAGGCAAGCCTCTTGACTACCTTATGTATGTGTCATGATCCTTGCTCTGCGGCGTCGAAACTGGAAAGACGTACTTTGTCAGGCTTCACTCTCTCGAATATTAATAGTACTGACCAGAAGATATTGCCAACGTTAGTCCCATTCTTGCAACAGCCAGTGGCTAATGTTGTAACCGTACGACGGACTGTACGAGACATCTCGGAGTAGCCGACGATGGGCCCAGTATTCTACATCTATTAGAGCGAGAGTCGGGTCGATAGGTTGTTGTGAATAATCTTCTTATTTTGCTCTGAATGGTGCATTAACTACTCCGTAGTAGTATGGATATTGGGCTGGCTCCGTTTGAAAGGACTCCAGCCTTGAGGGTTGATTCCAATAGCCAAGCTCGGCTTTAAGACGTCGATCTGCGAGGTGCCATGTGGTAACGAGGTCTACAATCCAACCATCAAGAGCGATGGTTGAGATCCACGCAAATCATAGTATCAGCATTTTAAGAACTACGTCAGAAGGATGTCTTTCAGTTCCATTATTATTCTATCATTCCATGCATATGGATTATGACTTATGAAGCACATACCAGGTACCTAGTCTAGTCCGTCAGTCTGATGAACAATAAATCATTGTCATAATAATATTCGGATAGGAATAATAATCATCACAACAGATAATATCGATCCACACAATCTTTCAGAGGGCCCTCCACGGCCTCTTTTTTCATTGGCTAGAATTGCATTGTGTCTCCATGCATTATACTTTTGCGTGGCAAGGGCGAGCCGCAGGTCGTAGTTATTAGTTATTAGTTATTACTCTACGGCCTACTAGGATAAGACGGCATAATGCCAACGGACAATGGTCGAATCCTGCAAAAAAAGACTCTCGAATCAGTCCTGTCGAATTACGAGTAGTCGAGTGAGACTTGCAACGTTTGCAAGAAAACACAAACCCATCGAAATCAACATGCTAAAGCCCACTACTACGTAGGTATCCCAAGCCATAGCGTAATACCGATGAAGGCACCACGAGCTAAGCAGCCTAAGCATCAATAGACCGAGTGACTTGACCATCTTGCGCCGGGGATCACTCCGAAACTGCTAAGATCGCGCATCAGGAACGGCAAAATCTTGGATTCGGGTGGCATGATGGTTCGGCTACGACTTTAGTATGTTCCAGTCCAGAGGCGATACTATCATACATTCATACTACTAAGGCCGGAAGGATCCCATTTCCCAGCCCTGGCGTAAGTTTGGCAGAATTAAGAACAGCAGGACTGCAGGAGGAATAGGTAGGTAGTTATATTGGAGCCACAAATCCTGAATCAAAGATAGATTACTTGCCGCACAGTTGGGTTTAGATGAGACTAAGGAACCCACATGGTACGGTGTGTTTGGGTGAGAGTACGGAGTAGTTTGGGAGAGTTTTGAGTTGTTTAAGCAGTACGAAGTATATATAATGTAAGGATCCCCCTGACCCACAGGCAGCAGGGATCATGAGAAAATTCTTTCGCCAACCGGAATATTGAGAAGGATTTAGAATGGGGTCGCTAAAATAATCCCTGCAGCCTGCATTTTCCAGGCCTTGGTTAATGAGTATTGAAACACTATGCCCTGGTCATTTTTAAAACTTACAGAGTCTACGGAGTATGTCCTGGGCTTTGTCACACCTGGAGGCATAGATCTGAGAAGTTGATTGACGATCATCCACTGCCTTGATGTGGTTTTATGATGGAGGGGCGGGATCGCCCTGGAGCTGGAAAATCTATGGAGTATCTCCGGGGCAGTACCGTTGTCTGAGTACTGACTACTGAGTAGCAACTACCAGTAGTGTACCACAGTATCGCACTTGCCATGAATTGTCCACATTGAGATTCAGGTCCAGTTACTCTGTCGGCTGTCCTGCAACTCCATAACGGGATGAGTCCTCTTCCGATGGCATCAGCCGGAACAAAGAGGATACCACTTAACTATCCTGGGTTAGTGTTTATGTTTAAAATCCGCGCTAGACAAACAGATCCACCTTTATTTTTGTTTCGTTTTGATTTTCTTTTGCAGAACAGCCAAGGAAATTCCAAATTACATTTTGTATGCTGGTAGTTTTGAGTTCTGATTACTAGAACGACTCCATCCCACTGCTACAGTTCCATGAGCGTCAGAGCGACTATACTCTGTACTATCCAGGTGGTTGGCTGTACCGGAAAGGGTTCCCCAATAAACTATCTGATTAGGTTCTCTTTCACTCGAGTTCTACCTTTGACGACGGTGATTGGAAAGGAGGACGATCAAAGAAGACCGTCAGTCCACGCTCGTTGACAACTAATCAGGATGGGGAGTGCTCCACCGGGATGATGGATGAAATATCATTCTCTGACTGTGAGCCATCAGTCAGGCGACTTTGCAGTCATCAATATGCATTTATCCTATTATTATTGTGTGGTGGTGCCCTGGCCACTGAATCCTCCCCGATAGAACCCAACACCACGAGGATCTCGGGTCTTATCCAATCTCCCGTGCTTTCGACGCATGCTAATATGCACTAAACACCTTATCTACCTAGCTCGCTGGGCGCAATATATACGCATTTGCATTTTGCACATCCCCCTATCATCCCTGCTCCCTCATCGTCATCTGCATGATCCACGATCCGAATCACTGGTTCTCCAAGCGCCTCTATCACCGGTCAAAGGCGATCTCTAACCCTAATTCGAAGGGCTTGTCCTGATCCTTGCAATCTTTTCGCGGACTAAATGCCGTGCTTGTGGCTGTCGATGCGCTGATTGACTGAGAGCCCGAGACTTATCTGCCCACGATGTTGGTACTCCCCCCGTTCGATCCCTGTTCTTATTTATCCCGCTTTGGTCCCGGCATTGCATGGACCCGTACCCTTTCGCTGACTTTTCTTTGCCCTCCCTTTCGGTTGATCAGGTTGCAGGCCGACAACATGTCAGACCTAAGCCCGGACTTTGGAGAGAGCTTCGCGCGGGAAACATGGGTGCTATACTCTGTGGGGTTGTTGGGGACGGTGTTGCGATTGTGAGTGCTTCATGAAAATCAAAAGGACACTGGCCATCCGCTTGGCATATGCTGACTCGAGCGGTTTCCGGAGGGCAGTGTTGCGCGAATCCGTCGGTTGGGTTTCCTTGGTCTGCAAGCCGATGATTATCTTATGTTGTTTGCGGTGGTGTGGTACACACTGTTATGTGTGTCTCTCAACCAAGTCGCCTCGGGAGGAGGTTCGAATTTGATGACGGACGATGATATCAGAAACCTGACCCCAGAGACACATGCGGAGCGAGTGAGGGGAAGCAAATGGGTCTTTGTCTCGGAGCACTCGTTCATCCTGTCTATCTGGGCGATGAAGTCGTGCATGCTGGTGATCTATGCTCGTATCACGTACGTACTGATGAAGTATCTTCCCCCGGGCTACGCTGACGGTCGTGCAGTGAGGGGTTGTTTGCGCGTAAATTGGTCAACTATCTTTCCATCTACGTCGGGCTGGGCTTCCTTGCCGTGGAGCTGTCTCTGTTCCTGATCTGTCGGCCTTTATCGAATTACTGGGCCGTGCCCACGCCAGATTGTCCGTAGTTGACGATTCCCGGCCGTTCTGGACACGCATGCTAACTGCACCTTAGACCAATGCTCCTCCTATCAGTACTATGAGATCGTGCAAGGCTGCATCTCCATCTCCGCCGACTTCTTCATGCTCGCCGTCGCCATCCCGCTCATGGTCCAAGTCCGCATTCCTCTCCGGCAGAAGGTGATTCTCCTGGCCCTGTTCGGCATGGGAATCTTCGTCATCGTGGCAGCCATCCTGAACAAGATCTACTGCCTGGTTCCGGCCTTGATCTCCTACGTCTACATGAACTGGTACTTCCGAGAAGCCACGGTCGCGATCCTAGTCACCAATCTCCCTCTCGTCTGGTCGCTCCTCCGCGACGTCTTCCCCACCCTCAAGAGTTGGACCGGCGGATCGAAGAAGGGCACCGACCGATACCGATCCGAACCGTGGACCAACAGCAAAGGCTCGGGGCTGCGCGCGTATGGACAGGCCAGTCACTTGCGGTCCGGCAATTACGACATGCACGATTATCCCAGCCCTAGCGGGACGCATCAGAAGACAGTCTCCGACGTGAGCGTCCATGCGAGCGACGACCGGGACGTTAGCGATGATGGATCCGATCGTGCGCTGAGGATCCGACAGGACGTGACGGTCACTGTGGAGCGCGAGACGCGGCCGCCAGAATACTGGGAGACACATGATACTCAGGTGAACGGTCTTCATTCGCCTCGACCATGAAACCGCGACGGCTACTGTTTGGGGGAGAAAAGGAATTTAGATTTTAGACTACTGCACATACTTTCATTTCTTTTTTTTTTCTTCCTTGTATTCATTTCTCTACCTCAATCTAATATGGTATAATAAGTACTTATCACCTCTGCTCTATCAGATGAAATGACGACGATTGATGATCTTCATGACTTCAAACGGCCGGAAATACAACAGCATCAGATCCATGGGTAGTCCTTCTTTTCACTCATCACTCCTGCAGATCTCCCGGTAAAATTTCATCGCAGCTGCTGCGCAGGACTCAGTAGTGGGGTATCGCTAGCTATACATGATACATATTACATACTCGATATAATCCATCAATCCACCCTGTCCACTCTGTCCACCACAGACCACACACCTCGAGCCGAGCCCCCATTGAGGTGAATATCAACCATTATTAACCATGCAAAGGGATTATTAGACGACTACTCTGTAAACAATAATATCGCCCCTATAAACTTACTACTACTAAACTAACTACTCAAACCACTCGCACGAAATCATCCGACCTTCACCCGCCACCATTCTCAATCCGGTAGTCTTCTTGGTCCCCCAAGATCGAGACACGCCATGCCCAGCGCCACGGGCTAATTAAATTAGTACCTTCGTTAGTTCTCGGAAAGTTAACTCTAGAAGCCGCGCTGGGTGTATCCGAGATTCCGAGGACTGTTGACTGTTGAGGTTTGGGAGTTTTTTTTTTTTTTTTTTTTTTTTTTTTGGCAGCTCAAGTATGGTACGAGATGCCTAGATGGTACTAAGGCCGGGCTTGTTCAGCAATCCCACCGTGGTAGAGTGTAGATCTTGGATCTTGATCCTCTGAGCTGCGATCTGTGGTTTGGATTATGGAGTAGGGTGGGTTGGAGCTGAAGTAGACTGGAGGAGAGGTTGAGGGCAACTCCATAAACGATATACAAAAGTAAAATCCCAGTCCAGTAGATAGTAGATACTGACTGGGAGAGCGCGCCATTATTATTATTATTATTATTATTATTGAGGTGGTATCTGCGCAACCATCTGTTTTGACTTTGGTGTCTGTATCGCTGTACAGAGTAAGCCTGTGAGGTATTTATCCGGTCCCACAATATCCCTCAATTACGGAGTAAATGAAATTTGCAAAACCTGTCGAGACCGATTAGTTATTGGACGGCTGTAACTTAACTTGTACCTTCACTCACTTTGGTATCTTCGTGCGTCTGCAGCTAGCTATCTCTAATATAATATAGTACTGTGTATAATAGAATTTAATATAAACCGTCGCCGGCCAGGCGCATCATGCAGGGCGATGCAGGTTTCTTTTTCTCTTTATCCTCCGTCTGGACGGTTTAGGATTTTTAATTGATTACTATTCTTAATCCCAACGCCATACATATCGTCTGTCTATAATCTAGCCTTCCACAGGATACAGACAGTGATACCCCTCGTTCCTGTTGTCACCTCATAGGATCGTCCTGACTGCGTCGAATCGCCGCCTCGCATACCTGGAACCAAATTCAAACCCATCGGAACCTGTCAGCGAAAGCCTCTGCCGAAATGGATGCTGTGGAAGCCCCCGAGAAGATGCCCGTCGACACCACGGCCGAGGATGGCCGCTCCGAGGCACTGGTCAATGCGTCGGGTCATCGTCAAGAGCTGGAACGGAACTTCAGCTTGCTCAGTATCTGCGCCGTCGCCGTCACCACCGGAAACACATGGATTGCGCAGGGAGGTAGTTTGGTATGTTTCTTCTCCGAATCAGATCGAGGGATACCCGTAGCTGACATACCATCAAGGTCACTGCTTTGGGCAATGGTGGTCCAGCGGGAGTGATCTATGAATTGTAAGAGACTTGACTTGATTCCCATATTAACGACTGATACTGACTAAACAATTAGCATTGCTGTTTCTGTTTGTTACTGGATGGTTGCAGCGTCAATTGCAGAATTGGCTTCGGCTATGCCCACTGCCAGTGGAGGTATGTCGAACTCACTTCATGGCATCCCTAGGACCCCACTGACTCGAACTGGACAAGTGTACCACTGGGCCTCGATCACGGCTGGAAAATATGGCCGTGTCTGCGGCTTCTTTGCTGGATTCTGGAACTGTCTCGCATGGATCCTGGGCGCTGCTTCAATGGCCGCCATCCTGGGACAACAGACCGTTTCCATGTATGCGCTCATGCATCCGGGCTTTATCCCTCAGGCATGGCACGTCTTCATCAGCTTCGTCATCTGCACCTGGCTGTGCTGCTGCATCGTGCTCTTTATGAACCGCGTCCTACCTCACATCGGCAACCTGGGCATGTTCTTCATCCTCGCCGGTGTGCTCATCACTATCATCGTTTGCGCGGTCATGCCTCATGTCAACGGAGCCCCCTATGCGTCCGATGAGGCCGTGTGGCGGACTTGGGACAATGCCACTGGATGGTCGAGCAACGGCTTTGTCTTTGTCGCGGGGATGCTCAACGGTGCTTACAGTGTAGGCACCCCTGACTGCTCCACTCATCTTGCAGAGGAGATCCCAAGGTACGTTGGCGGACCATCGCTTTTGTACACAGCATACTGACGTCGTGACAGACCAAGCCGCAATATCCCCAAAGCCGTCCTTGCACAAATGTCCGTCGGCTTCGTCACCGGTCTCGTGTATATGATTGCCGTCTTCTATTCCATCAACGACCTCGACGCTGTCTTGAACAGCCCCTATGGCTTCCCCCTTGCCGAGATTTACCGCCAGGCAACAGGCTCGCGTGGTGGTGCTCTTGGTCTGCTGATCGTCGCTTTCTTGCCCACGGTTATCACATGCGCTGGTTGCTACATCACCGCTGGTCGTACCCTCTGGACCCTCTCCCGCGATCACGCGACTCCCTTCTCCGGCTGGCTGGGCCGTATCAACAGTCGGATGCACAACCCCTTCAACGCAACCTTGACCTGCGGCGTCATAATCACCCTCCTCGCTTGCATCTACGTCGGATCCACGACCGCGTTCAATGCCTTTGTCGGATGCTTCGTGCAGCTCTCCTCCCTCTCCTACTTCGCCGCCATCTTCCCTCACATCCTCACCCGCCGCGCCTCCTTCAAGCCCGGATACTTCTGGATGGGCCGTATCGGCTATGCCGTCAACATCTTCAGCTCCGCCTACATCCTCGCTTTCGTGGTGATCTTCTGCTTCCCCTATGCCATACCCACCAATGCTGCCTCGATGAACTACGCCAGTCTAATGACCGGTGGCCTGACCATTTTCGTCGCGATTTGGTGGTTCTTCCGGCAGGGCTCGTACGAGGGACCCAAGAACATCCCGCTGACAGACAAGGCTGTGCTGGATGACGCAAGATAGAACCTTTTTTTTTCTTCTGTGGAGCAAGAAAGCCGGCGTTGGATGTTTTGATGATATACTGAGAATATTCCCTTGAAGTCAGACTATAGATTAGCCTTCATTTTCATCACTTGCAATGATGTATGACCAATGACATGAGTATAATACTCTGGCCAATGCACAAAAAAAAACTTCCACAATCATTTATGTTTGATCACATGAATCCAAAAAGATATATTCAAGTCTCCCTTTAAGTCATTGTTAATTGGTATTTCCTTCTACGCACTATTGGGAGCCATTACAGTGCCACCACCCCCTTTTACATTTGTAGAAACATCCGCTCAGCCTCTTTTGGGTAAAGCGATTAGTACGTGATCTCTATAGAACATAGCTCTACACAGTTTGCTTGAGGTCTGATGTTTACTTCATGGTCGGGTATAACTGCACCCCTATTATCCAGCAGAGATGAGCTGGCAGCAGTGGGCATACCTAGTAAGTAACTATAGGCGCGGATGACTTTATGCCACTTCTTGCCGGGACTGGCTCAGGGGTGTCGCCGCAAAGGTAAAGGGGGTTATTGTGATACACCCCCTTACCCTTGATCAAAGACTCAAGTGCTCAAAATTGCTTCACAAGGCATATCACGTCTCGCTTGATCTCGTTCCTCTCCGCCTCATGACCCAACGCCTCGTCCTTGGCTCGTTCACGCCGGTGGTGCTGAGTCTCCTGCAGTCCCATGAGCCACAGACCAGTCTCTGCGATAATCTGATCTGCCAATTCTCGAGGGACTGGATGGGCGGACGATAGATGGGATCGTGCGTCCTGCTCCCACCAATGGAGACGTTGCGGGGGCATATTTCGCGTTGAGCAGATCCGATAGTAAGGATCAACACGCAACAGAGTCAGAAAGCGATAATGTCTAGAATGAGCCTTGTCGACCAGTTCAAACGGTTCAAGGAGGTGATATAGGCAGTGTGGAAAAGCGAGCAAACGCCCTTGCTGGAGAGACACAGACCCAAGTTCTTGCTGCGGTGGTCCATTGTCCTTCACACCGAACAACTCTTGCAAGTACGGGATGTCCCATTCATCCCAATCGACTGCGAAATCGCTGCCACGCATGGAACTCCGCTGAGCACTTCTTGATCATGCTCGAATCCGAGATGTCACCGAGTGGTAGAGGATGTGCAAAGGCAGGTACAGCTAGAGACGCCCACTTAAAATTGAATGATACACACGTGACCACGCGCTTTCCGTCGCGTCTCCGCGTCGAGTAATTACTACCTAGGGAAGATGATGATACTCCTCTGTCCAACACCTACAATGCCAGCCAGATACCGTACATGAAAATAGACCATTCGGCGTTATGGTCTTCAAGCCGTTTAAACCCCCTTCGATAAGGAAACCACCTCATCTATCCTCCTCAGACACAAATCCAGAAAAAGCACCCTCCGATCGCTTCGAACCTCCCGCCAAGAAGCAGCGTTTGGACACTGACAACGATCCTCTGAGCCATTCGCAAGGCTTAACACGCAAGCCTCTGCAGCAAGTAACAAATCCGAGTCGAACATCCAGCGACAGCGCGGTGGGCGATGAATTACCCGGCGTTAAGTACTACAATGTTCTATGGTAAGCTCATCCAGTACCAAGCCGCAGACACTGACATGGCTAACTAGTGTATCTACGCTAGGCGGAAACCCACGACGAAGAAGAACAAGACCTGGGATGGCGATGGGATCCTGTCCGCGCGCGATGGATACCTCTACCTCCAAGATATCTCGGGGAAGGACATGGGCCGCGCGATGATGCCCGGTTCTCGACTGGAGGCGGGAAGTATGCTCTCGATTGGAGGCAAGGAGGTTGAGGTCGACTCCGAGATCCCCCGGAAAGAGTATCTGGCCGGTAAATCCTTCCTGGGGAAGAAGGAGGGTGCTTCTCCACTCGTCACGGCTGCAGAGCTGCCGAAGAAGGCGTTCGTGCCATCGCTTACGAATCGAAGCGCGGTGTTGGGTCCGACGTTACCGAGCGAGAAGACTCAGAGTGGGAAGACCTGCGTGCCGCCGCTGGCGAACCCGGCGTCCCGGTCGAGTTCTATTACCGGGGCGTACAAGCGGCCGTTGCTGGATGGTACTGTTGTTCCGGTAATGCCTGCCAGTAAGCCTGTTCCGCGCCATGACCCCAATCAACCTGGGGCACTGGTGATGAAGCGACCGGAGTCGGTACCCAAGGGGAAGCAGATCGTGGATGTTGTTGTCGATCCGATTCTGTCCAAGCATTTGAGACCACATCAGCGGGAAGGCGTTCAGTTCCTTTACGAATGCGTCATGGGAATGCGGTCGTTCAATGGTGAGGGAGCCATACTTGCGGATGATATGGGACTAGGAAAAACGTTGCAAACAATCACGCTGCTGTGGATGCTACTCAAACAGAATCCCATTCACGACAGCGCTCCGGTGATCAAGAAAGCGCTAATCGTTTGTCCGGTGACTTTGATCAATAACTGGAGAAAGGAGTTCCGTAAATGGCTCGGAAATGAGAGGATTGGCGTGTTTGTCTTTGACGACAAGAGGAAGCGGTTGACCGACTTCACCAAGGGCAGGGCCTATAGTGTGATGATCGTGGGTTACGAGAAGCTGAGGACCGTTCAAGAAGGCTTAGCAAGGGGTGCTGGCGTCGACATCGTCATCGCCGACGAGGGCCATAGACTGAAAACGTTACAGAATAAAAGCGGCCAAGCCATCCAGGCATTGAACGCCACCAAGCGAATCATTCTCTCTGGCACGCCAATCCAGAACGATCTGAAGGAGTTCTTCGCGGCGGTGGATCTGGTCAACCCCGGCATTTTGGGTACCTTCAAGGCCTTCGTCAAAGAGTTCGAAGGGCCGATTGTGAGAAGTAGACAACCAGAGGCTACGAGAAAGGAGATCGAGAAAGGCGAGGCCAGGAACGAAGAACTACGAGAGCTCACATCCAAGTTCATGCTCCGCCGGACTGCTGATATCCTGGCCAAATATCTTCCGCCAAAATCAGAGTATGTCCTTTTCTGCAACCCGACATCAACCCAAGCCAACATCTATCGCAATGTGCTCGCCTCTCCCGTGTTCCAGTGCGCCATCGGCAACTCAGAAAACGCACTTCATCTCATTACCATCTTGAAGAAGCTATGCAACAGTCCCTCCTTACTTTCTCCGAAAAATGCGGACGAAACGCCTAGCGAAACAATCGCAGCGCTTTTATCTTCGCTACCTCCAAATCTTCTACGCCACTTCTCTCCGTCAAGCAGCGCAAAGATCCGCGTTCTTGACCAGTTACTTCATAACCTACGCACATCTACATCCGAGAAAATCGTCCTTGTATCAAACTACACCTCCACGCTAAACCTGCTAGCGAATCTTCTTTCATCTCTCTCTCTCCCCTTCCTAAGGCTGGACGGCTCAACGCCGGCACAGAAACGACAATCCCTAGTCGAAGATTTCAACCGGCTCCCCGCCGACCTCTGCTTTGCGTTCCTCCTCTCCGCAAAAGCAGGAGGCACCGGACTGAACCTTATCGGAGCCAGCCGCCTGGTCCTCTTCGACGTGGACTGGAATCCCGCAACAGACATACAAGCCATGGCGCGGATCCACCGCGACGGCCAGAAGCGACACTGCCGGATCTACCGCATCCTGCTTAAGGGCAGCCTGGAGGAGAAGATCTGGCAGCGCCAGGTCACCAAGATAGGACTGGCGGACAGCGTCATGGAGCACAAAAGCAGCGTCGCGCAGTTCTCCCGGGACGAGCTACGGGATCTCTTCCGGCTCGACGAAGAGAGCCGCTGCCAGACGCATGAGCTGCTGGGCTGCGATTGCGGCGGGACAGGACGCACGGTGCAGAGCGCGAGCAGCGTCCCACCCACGGATGCCGAAAGTAAAGATCCAACATCGGATCCGAATCTATCTTCCTCCAGCGACCTCTCGGACGTCGAAGACGATTTCCCAGATACACTCACCCTCATCAAGGCCTCGCAGGTGAACATGGAAGAGCAGGAGCGGCGGATACGTGCAATGCGAGGCACCACTCGCCGTGCGATCCGCACGACCAAAATCGACGACAGTGATGATGATGATGATGATGAGGGTGAGGACCCCGTCAAACCGAAAAGCAAGATGCAGCAGTCCCTCTCGCAATACAGCCACATCGACCCTGCTCTTCTCGCCTCGGAAGAGGACGGACTCGGTCTCGCGGCTGCGATCGACGACGACGACGTCCTTCTCCCCCTGCTTCGTGACGAGGATAATCGCATCGGGTTCATTTTCAAGAAGTCCGGCCAGGCGGAGGCGAAGGGGAAGCGAGCTTCGTCGCCGGTGGTGCTGGAGTGATGTGGTGGATACAAGTACATCTACATGAGGCGTTACGGCTACGGTTATGACTTCAGATAGACATTGGGTTTCCGGGAAAGGGATTTCAAAGGCAACAACAAAGCATAATCATGTAGATATCATCGTTCGATTCATGATATAGATCTATAGTGGGCTGGAGCACATCTGCCTGAAATGAATATACTAGCCAGTCAGGCTCGTGGATTCATGGTCGGCAAGTAGCCACATGTGAGAATGGGAATGGGAATGGATGAGGATGTTGATATAATTGAAATCAGAATAACAGAACTGATAGGGGTATGGGTATGGGTTATGTATACTCGGTACATGTCAACAAATGCAAAGAGCAAATCACAAGGGAAAAGACAAGTCAACAGAATTACTCGGAACTAGTAGATAGACCACAGGCTCTCATCCTCCTCCTCATGTTTAAAGAATAAAAAGTCCTTCAGACGAATTAGTATCTGAGTTTCCCGACAAGCCCGAAAGTGTACGCCGCCTCGGCCTCGCTCTTCATCTGGATCATGTAGATCTTGGTCAATTTGCCAGTGACGCCGCCCTGCTTGGGCATAGCGCCGTTTTCATTGTTTTCGATCACAGACACGGCGATACCGGTGCGTGCCACGCGCTCGAAAGCGCTCTCGCCCAGGCAGACATCAAGGAGGACTTCGCCGCGGGTTTTGCCGCGAACAATGATTCGTTTCTCGGGTTCGGCTGGCCGTCGGGGCGAGACAGAGCCGGAGGTCCGGGGGCTTGTGTCGCCGTCGGCGGGGTTGCTGGTATCGCTGCGTCTGCTGCCTGCAGTGCCTGGGCGGCGCGGGGGTGCGGATGGCGCAGGCATGATGGTGAGTCTGGCGGCGCCCATGTCGCGCCATTTCGACTGGGTCTCGCGGACGTACAGGCGGATCTTGGCGTTAGAGAGACCGATACCGTCGGCGCCCTTGATGGCGGCGGCGATTCTGCCGATGCCCGAGGATGAATGGTGGGAGCCGGAACCAACGGAGCTGGAATGGAGGCTGTCCTCCTTTGCGCTGCGGGAGGTGATGGACGAGCGGGAAAGATTGAACATCTTGCTGCCGGTACCGAACTTCTTCAACGCTGAGAATGCACTGCTCATGGTGCCAACGCTGCTTTCGGAATGGTCCGCGAGAGACCGGGGGCTGTTCGACGCGCGGTAGCTCTTCCTGCGCCGCGGCCAGCCAAACCATCCGCCAGTCTTAGCTGAACTATCCATGGGAGCGGGTTGGTCGGCAAAGGGACCGCGTGCGTTCTGTAGAGCAATATAGGTTGGGTTGTTGATGCGTGCTTGGTTGATAAGGCTATACAATGCCTCGCACTCGTCAGCGTTTCGAGACCGGAACATGATATTGTTGCTCCAATCGATCTTCGAACCCTCGGTAGGAGGCGACCGGACACTAATGTCGATGGCTGTGCCACGCCGGATAGGCACCAGTGGTGTAAGTTCAAGACCGACCAGCAATTTCCCCTTTTTGCCATGTGTTCCCTCATCTTCATCAGATGACATGAGGGAGATATCCCTCTCGTATGCTTCGATAAGCCCGGGACTAACCACAATCTTGCAATCGTCTGTAAGCACGGTCTCCCATGTACCCTTATCCGACCACACGAAGACCGAAGCTATGGCAGTGGACGACTTGGCGGGTTGGGAGGGAACGGATCGATACCCACCCTGGGATGCAGAGTTGGATGGAGACAACGAACTGCTGGATGATGCGGCCAAGGTCGATTTAGGACGGTTGGGCGCTTCGACTGGTAGTAATGTTGATGCGAGCTCGTCATCGGAGTCGTCCGATGTGTCCGACGCGCTGTAATCGGAATCCGAATACATTTCGTAGCGTCGCACGGTGGATGTATCCGAGTCAGAGTACGTATCCGAAGCTGTCGAAGGTTCGTACTCATGCTTCAATGGGGATGAGCCGCGCCGCCTCTGTCTCGGGTTCGTGGGACTGAGAATTGGTGTATTCGATAAACTTGATCCGGTGGTGGAGCTTGGTGAGCGACTATGTGGAGGGGGAGGTGGTGGAGGCTCATCGTCGTTCGTTTGGCTCGAATCGGAATTTGAACGAGAGTGATCCCTGCTCTTCGTCGGGCTCCCTGGCAGGCTGTACGACTCCAGAGGAGCGTAATCCTCGTCGTCCGAAGCCGATAACAACGACTCAGTTATATAACTCTGACTACTGCCTTTTCTAATTTTAGGTATGCTGGGCAGATCCATTGAAGGGACTGATGATACTCGTGGAGACTCCCAGTCAGGCGCATCCCTGGTGGGTGTTTTGGGGGTTTGCTGAACGCTGTAAGGCTTCTTCTCTCGAGCAATCCCTGAAATGGGACCAGAGCTTTTCTGGTTGTCGTCGTGACTCCGACCGGGCGTCGCTGGGGCCGTATTGAGATCGCTGTCTAACTGCGTCTCTTTCTGCGGGCTCAAAGGCGAGCTTTCTCCATTTCGATTGACCCTCTTGGCTTTCGAGCGCTTAAGACCCGCTGAAGTTCTCTCATCCAGAAGCGGGGTCTTGCGTGGGTCTCGAGAATGAAGGATTGACAGTTGAGGCTGCGGTGATGGAGCGTGATCCGAATCGCGCGTGACCACGGAGAGAGAGGTTCGTGACTCGGTGGCGGAGGCGGTTTCAAAAATCGTGCTGGGATCCGACAAGGAGCCCTTCGGGGTCAGAGAGCGACGTTGAGTCCGAGACGCGATCTTCTCCCCGATTGGTATATCGACATTCGTAGGGCTCAACGGTACCTTCTCGAGTGGTGGTGTGTCATTAGAGCGAGCCGTCTGCGCCCGTTGTCGCTGCTTCGCCCGTTCAATGAAGCTTTGAGTCCGACAGATAGCCGGGGGCTTGGGGTACTGCCCCAGCAGCTGAATCCATTCAAACGCAATGTCCTCCTCTTCAATCCGAAGGCACAGCAGCTCTTGCCACGTTCTTGGTTGTCCCGATGGGCTGCGCAACATGACTACAAGTTCCCCTTTGGTTTCTCCACTGCGCGCAGAAACGCACGCAAGATCCACGGGAGGAAACAGTAACCACCGATCGGCATGGTCAATCTCACAAATCAACAGGTCGCCGCCAGCGCCGTTATCGGGGCCATTGTCTCTAAGAAGAAGCTCTGCTCGACAGTCGATAATTTGACCAGTAGAGTGGTACAAAGAGAGATTGAAAAAATCTCGAGCTCGGACTCGTCGGCTCCTGTTTACAGTCACATCTGTGAGAGCTCCTAGAGTTGCGGGGTCACGGGCTCGAGTTGCGTCGACACTGGCGGCGGATTCATCTTCCAGTCTTGCTCGTTCCTCTCGTGCGCGGCGGCGAGCCTCGGTGACCAGGCTCTGATAGACCGCAACCACTTCTTCGGCTTTGGGAGAAGGCGCTAGCATATTGATTCCTTTGAAGGTCTTTGCGAGATACTTAAGTCGCACCAGGGGTCGTTTGAGCAAATAAGCCACATCCACCTTCTCACCGTCGCTATTTACCACATCACCGTTTTCATCTCTAGCCATGCCCTCATCCAAACTCTTGGTGTCGGCATTTTGAGCGGCTTCTCCCTCTTCAAGGGGAGCCAGATTGACAATGACGTCTCTGAATCCCAGTCGCCATGCGCGAAGATATTCACGGTAGACTCGCTGGGCTCCTTGTGCCCAAGTAAGTAGAGAGTCTGAGTTATCCTGAGGGATTCGCTTGTGTAAAGTCTTCAAGCGCTCAATAGCGACACCCATATCAACGATGGGTTTAGTGAAGTTCAGCTCGTCTTTAGGGTCGGTTGATGGTCGAAAGAGACCAGCGGCAATGGCAGAGTCGGACCTCGAGAGGACGCACGTCAGCAACACAGGAATGACACCGCCCACTAGGGTTTTGAGTTCGCGCATGTACTTGATTTCATCAGCTGTTAGCTCCTTGAGTAGATCGGCAACAGTGGCATTCGTAGCACGGCTTTTGTTTGTCCGCAAACTTCGGGCGGATCGTAAGCTCCGAGTGCGAGTATTCGGTACAGAGAGAACAGAGATGAGATCATCATGGGTGGTCAATCGCCTCTTTAGTTGGGAAGAAACCGCAGGTAGCGAGTCGGGATCGAACTTATCTCTCTCTTCCGCATCATTTCTATCTTGGCCCGGAGCCGACTCAAGCGCATCGGGAAGAGAGCTAGGTGCATATACCTGCGATTGTCCACCGTCACCCGTGCTCAGTGTGTCAATGGAAGCAATGGTCGACAGGCGATGAAGTCCAGTGCTAGGAATGGGCCGTTTGCGAACCAGCGGAACAGGCGCATTATTTCCCGAGACCTCTGAGCCCTCCGAGAGGAGATGGCTGTCTGTGTCCAGGCCTTCTGCTTCCACACCTGTCGACTTCTCAAGGATAACCGCCTCCTTTGCGCCAGATGATGATCTGCTGTGCCTATGTTCACTGGACTTTCTTCTGTGAGAGTGTGACGATCGGTCCCTTTTGGATTGTTTCAAGGAACCCTTTTCTTCAAAGGACCTCTTGCGCTCGCTGGCAGATGACCCTGCTCTGCTGCGCGCATGTCGTCTTGTCACGCTTTTCCGACGACTGTCACTTTCGGGAGATGCTTCAGATTTCGCCCTACGCTCGTGCTTGCCCTCCTGCTGATGGCCCTGCTTTGCCCGGTTGGCTTTCGTCTTCAGAGGCGCGGGTACTTCCACATCAGGGTCCATATCTTCCAAGAACGGGTCCGAAGTTGCAGAAAGCCATGCTTCAATCTTGGATCCTCTGGCGGGGGCAGCCTTCGGAGGTTCCGGTCTGGCAAACATTTTCCGCGACTCGTCGAGCATTTGTCCGAAAATGCCTCCTTTGGGAGGTTTCACTGACCCGCGAGCCTTAGGTGCCGGGTTCGGACCCCGGGCGCGTCTCCTGGATAGTTCTGTAAAATCGGCTTCACTTGCTGCCCAATCGGTATCGATCTCGGGCACATCATCTCTCTTTCCCGGACTCTCGAACGGCTCAAGTAATTCACCCGTATGCGGACGGTCGGCCGTTCCTGGTCTTGAAGTAGACTTTGAGGACCCTTTCTGCTTCACCTCGTCTTCTTCAGCCTTGCTCTCATTCGCCGAGTCCACGTCCCGCGAAACCCTGGATTTTCTGCGCTCCCTGACGGTCGAATCAGCTCTGTCTCTGTCCCGGCTCCGCGACGATGGTTTCGCGCCTGCCTCCTCATCTTTGCGACCTTCCTTCCGACCCAACCTCGGAGATGATGCCTGTTCATTGATCGTATACTGGGAAAGACGTTTGGGCGGAGGCAGTTTGGCGGCGGCGGTTTGGGTGGACGATCGGTTCAGCTTCCAATGCTCATCGCTGACAAGTCGCTTTCGGGGAGTGCTGTTGCTGCGCTTTCTCTGAGTGGGTTTGGGGGTTGTTGGTTTCGTCTCGGTTGTCGAGTTCTCCCCCTCGTCCTCGTAGTAGACAACATCGGTCGCGGTGATAACCCCGCCTCCCTGCTGCTGCCATTTCCGGACCTTTGCTCGCACCGAATTAGTGTCGTAGATGCCCAGTGGCACGCCGATATCTAGAGGCTTTGGTTTAGTGGGGGATGTTTTGGCGCTTCCTCCACGATTGGAGGGGCGATGCGGAGTGGCAGGCGACGATGGCATCGATGTCTGTTATCCGGAACTGAGGTGATTAGCATATTTCCCAAGATCAGCAGCAGGTATCCGAGACATCAATTGCTGGAATGTAAGAATGGCAACTCAATCGGATAGGGCCAATGCTGAGATTGAGGCAGGGAGAGAGGGGAAATATTCTGCGTCGAGAGAGAACCAGCAACAGCTGCAGCCCCAACGACGTCACGCGGATTACTTGTTTGTTTACACGGAGGAAACGGGACAGACTCACTCACTCAAGACTCGTACTAATAAGCATGAAGAAGACAAAGGCAGCAGAGTAAACAAAGAGAATATTAAAAAATAAAAATAAAAAATAAAAAATAAAATGAATAACAGTGAATCAAGGGATCCCGGATAAATTATAAGTATAATAATAATAATAGTAATGGGAATGGAAATGGGAATAGTATGCAGCAAGACAGGCGGTCAAATGACGGGAGACAGCAGAGAGAGTCTGTCTAATCTGTCAAGCCTCCTGAACCAAGTGACGATGTCAGCTGCAAGTGAATCAAGATAGAGAGAGAGAGAGAGAGAGAGAGAGAGAGAGGATGCAGTTGAGGGTTGTAGAGAGCAATAAGAGACTGGACTGGGAGAGTTGATGACCGAGTCTGGTGATGATTTTTGATTCCTGACCGAACAGAGAGCTCTTCAGCCTCTCTGCTGCATGTCTCTCTTCGATTCTCTCGTCTACCCAAATCAACGCCCTCTGTCCGTTCTTCAGGCTGGAATAATTGTCCTCTCATACCTTAAATCATTATTGAGGCTGCCCGGGAAACCTGCGGGGCCCAGCGCTAACTTCTAACTAAAGAACTTGAACTAACCTACTTCGCTTATCAAGCTGTGAATAATGTGATATAATGTGAAGCATACTGTGTACAACTCGTTCATGAGATCCCGAATAATTGATCGACCTTTTAACTTTTATGACTGTCATACTTCTTTCAGGTATTTCTTCAGTGGGTTTGTTCGTCCTCTGTGTGTCACTGTGTACTACTAACTTCCAACTCCTGTGTGTCCACTGCCAAAGTGCCTGCCTGAGTGCTGCCACGCTACGTATATCCACATGATCCACCATGAACATGGCCCGACCGATGATTGAACAACTCGAGAACATATTTCCCAAAGGCCCTTTTCATTCCGTTATAGCCCTATAGGTATGCCAGAAAGAGAACTAACTACTGCCCTCTCATTCAATCGTCGCCGTTTTCTTGCGTCATCAAGCGGGCCGGTGTATCTTGGTTTCAGACACTCAATTCATAGAGTATATCATTTCGCATGAGAGGCGGGATGCCAGTCGAATCATCATTATTGAATATTTTGGAGTCAACGCATGTCCTGTCGTGCGGACGCCTTTGCGAGCCCTACGTATCGGGACTTGCAGACTTCCTTCACCGAGCCTTTTGATACGCAGATACCTGCTTCAGAGTCTTGAACACCTGTGAAATGGTGCTGATGCTTTGATAAAGATAGTCTACCCCCCCCCCGATGTATTAGTCTGACATTCCTCTTCTCAGGTCAATAGCACTTACAGGACGGCACCACAATCCAAATAAAGTTCATCAAGAAATAGTAAACCCAGAAATAGTACGCCTCGGGCCGGCAGTACGATCGTCCATGCGCATAGTGATCGAACAAACTCGTGGCATAATACAGCGTATCACCGTACAGGTGGCTCATGCAAACAATCAACTGCATAGGATGACGGAGCGAGTGCTGTTTGAAGATCGTGTAGGCAACAAGGAAGCACAAAGGGCCCCAGAGAAGCTGCAGTCGCCCGAAATCAGATATTCTCCACACACATAAGGGACTCATCAGGCCCAGGGGTGCATACCACAGTCATAGTCTCCATGCATAGTACCAAGGTGTCCGAGGTCATATACCTCGAGTCAGAAAGCGCATATTCTTTCCACAACTGGCCGAAGAAGTCCTGTGCAGACGCCATGTGGCCATGATTAACCATGAAGTATCCTTCGAAGCAGCAGTGGATGGCTCCAGCTGGTCAAGCGATCTGTTAGCAAGTCCGTTTCCCAAAATCAGAGATAAGAGGAACTCCCACATAGTACAAACCACAAGATAGCGAATCGATCTGCTTTCAAGAGGGTCGGTCGTAAAGAGCTGATGAGAGCCAAAGTTCCTCCCAGAATGATGGAGGTTGCGACAGTGGCGGTCGTTAGAAGGCTGAAGATGGAGGACTCATTGGGAGCATAGTTCCTTATGTTAGCATCAAGAGGCCAGTAAGGATGAAGAGAAGACTTTGAAGCCATATTGCCAGCAGGTACTATGTATGACTATGATTATGTTGCTCTTCCTGTCTCGGGCTGTAGAAGGCTAGGACGTGGTAGAAAGTTAAGTGATGAGACTGAGGGAAGGATTGATCTTTTGACTACCCGACCATGTTGTGAATGTATAGAAATACAGCTGTGAATGCGAAGAGAGTCAGGAGAATATGCAAAGATTGATTATAGTGGTTGGGTGAAGCATCAACAATTGTTTCGATGCCTCCAAATCATGATGCCTGAAAAACAAGGCAAACTGGGTCAGTTCCCCGGCTAAGTAGGTTGAGGGCGTGAATGCCTCAGGCATCAACGCCTCGGGATCTCCGCAACTTCTCCCGCAATGTTAATCCACGCATTCACGACCATCTATCATCCTTATCATCCCTTCTGATGACTTGGTCCCGCCTCTGACCACTTCATGGAGCCCGAAAACTTCTTAACCTACGCGAATCTCTGTCATGGCGCATGGTCCTTTTGAGAGAAAGCCTCTGGGGCTCGACTTACCCCATGCCCCTACACCGGACTCGCCGCCTGGCATTGCGGCGCTGTTCGTCATTCGTTTCGACATCAAGGCCGGGTGAGTTCTGCAACCAACCACTTGTCTCAATAATCTATGGAGCTACAGCGGCTGACTTCGGATAATGAATTAGATATGTCATCTCATGGAAACGTGCTATCCCAGGGGGTGAGTAGCGATGTGAACTATCGAAACAGCAGGAGCTGACGTATCCGGATACCTATCTAGTCGAGATAGAAGGCGTTGTTGAATATAGATCACTTCCATCTGGTCTCCACAATGTCTCTGAAGATTTGATGTACGTGAATACTACCCCGCCCAATTGGAATTCGCATACGCTTTCATACTCACCTACATTTCTCCTAGATATTTCGTTTATGAACAATATGCCGGCATCAGTGCTTTTGTCAACCTGCCCGCGGATGAAGCAGAGCGCAATGCGAATATGTTCGCGGTAGGGGTTTTGGTCCCCTTAGGCTCTGGCAGACTCGGGAAGAGCTGGAGACATGCTCCCAAGCTGAAGGAATTGGCACAGTGAGCAGTTATTCAAACCGTCAGGGATGCTCTACTGACTTATTGTTCTATTCAGTGTCTATGCAAAGGATATGTCCAACACACAAATTCTATCCGACTATTGGGAGACTTATGAGATGCGCACAAATGGCGCCTCCGCCATTCCGCCCGATTCTCCCCTAGAATCTCCCCTCAGTCTTCGTTTCAGAGAGCGACCAGATAGCATGCATCGCAATCGCACATTTAGTGATGCTCTCGTCCTGGAAGCGTCTAGGCCGGCCCTGACGCCTTTCCATCCAGCCTCATCGCTCCCTGAATTTCTCGATTGTTTCGGTCCTTTGATCTTTCCATTGTACAGAGCAGCCTTATTACGCAAGCGTATTCTTCTGATGGCCGAAGCGCCGGTCCATATACCCTGTAACTTTGGTATGGAATCCCCTTCCTTGCTGGACTCGGTTCACATCGCTGACAGACGCAGTATATGATTTGTCTTTACTAGCATCGCTTCCTTATTCTCTCCTCCCACTACTCCCCCCAGCCGGTTCACCACCTCCACGACCTCGCCCTCTCTTCAACGTGGGCATCCACGATATTCCATACCTTTCTTCTTTTGTGGGCGTCTCACCCAGCTCAGAGCCCGATGCCGCCTGGATAGCCTGCAGCACAGACAGCGTGTTGAGCATGAAAAGCGAGCTCTTCGATGTCTTAGTCACGTTGCCCCCGGTACATTCCAAAAACGCTGCCGAAAAGGTGTTTCCCAAAATCTCCGTATTGCCCGACCGCACCGCGCACCACAACTCATCTCAAGCAATCTACCTCAAAGCCACACAGCGTGACGCCCGACGCTATTCGATCCTCCGTAAGGGTTTGCGACACCTATCACACAGTCAGGACACCCAGTCAGGAAGCGACGAGGACTCCGACGCTGCCTCGACATACTCCTCCAGCCCCGTGGTCGAGCCTCTCTCGTGGACACGCCTGGCGTATACATCCTTCATCTGGTGGGCCTCCGCAGGCGAGAAGCGCGACGGACTCTCCGAGGAAGAGGAAGAGGAGCACCAGATCGAGCAAGACACCCGGCTCCTCGCCAGCGTCGAGTCAATGCCCACTCCGTCCTCGGGATCCGTGGGCCGACAATCCATGCAGGCGGAGGGTGCCCAGCAACCCCCAGAAATCGCAATGGTTGCTTATTTCCGCCGCCTAACGACGCAGATCTTCGTTACCCTCTCGGATGTGATTGCCCGTCAGGATAGCAGAGACGGCGAAGACGATGAAGACGTGGACGCGCCATATGAGGATGGCCCCGCAGATGATGACAATGACGATACCGAACCATCCGTCCACATCGGCCGCCAGGCCACGCTGGAGGATGATTCCAGGGCGCCGTTGTTGGAATCCGGCGCCAAGCGTTCTGACGGGGACGACGAGCCCGTAAGGATCACATCGGAGGACATGACAGAGATGGGACTCGATGTGTGGAGCGCGTCCGACCGGATCTTCGTGGAAGAGCTGGTTCAGTCGTGGTGGGGTCGGAAGGCCTACATTGATAGTGCACGCATCAAATGCTGCGGGATCTCCATTGTTTAGTCAAGCCTCTGTGTGGCGAGCCATTTACTAGCGCCCCGATGTACATCGGGATACTGAAACCCATAACAGAAGACCCATAGATCGAGTGTGGACTTGGAGTAATCGGACATTTCATTCATGGCATTCAATCACGTTCGTAAAAATTATGTGCTGGTAATCATATAGCTGGTGGACCAAAAAAGAGTTATGTACCATGACAATGCGTGACAAAGGAAAAGAAGAGGGGTTTTTCGTAAAATCCCCAAGCGAGAGTGAAGTGGCTGTGTTCAGTAGAGAGTTGCGCCGAAATATCCCCAAGCACCTTTGCAAGCTTTCAACCCAGAAAATCATAAAAGTGTGGATGTGTATGCACGATGAATCCAAACGCAAAGCTTTCCAAACAAATACATTTAAGATTCAGCATGACCATTTATGGGATCCCTGCGTGAGACTCCAAATAAAACGCCATCCTGCTTGGACACCAGGGGTATCGAACCAAAAAGCGATCAATAACCAAAAACGGCAGAGAGAGAGAGAGAGAGAGAGAGAGAGAGTTTAAAGAGGAGGGTTCGCTCAAGGCGCAATTGATCACCGATGGAGCATTCTGACCGGTGCACTCATGTCGCGTCGAGGTCCCTTATCTCTATCAATTCTCATCGCTGAATTTTGAACACCAGGTATTCTCTGGGCACCCCGTGCGGGTGTGACTCCCGTTCCGGCAGAGAGAAGAGTAGCCTCATTAGCGCTAACGGATCTTTTTATAGTGTTGGTTCTTCCTCTGCGTGCTCGAATCTGTGCTAGCGCCTGCTCCCTATCAATGGACATTCCCGGCAGAGGAACGGAATGAGAGGCCAAATATCCATCCGATTGCCCTGGAGTTGTTTGGGCATCTTCCATGCTGTATCTTGGCATAGGGGAGTCCCAGGGAACTTGAATATGAGTCGGAGAAGGTTCAAGTCCTGGAGCAAAAGCGTGAATTGGATCCTCTGCTTCCATGATGGATTCAAAGGGTGACCCTTGGGGATTAAAGCGCTGCGCCCCAAGCGGGCTACCGAGCAATTGATGTGCACCCAATGCTTCACTTTGTGGGTGCTTTGCCGGCGATCGAGCAGGAGACGGGACTGACTTGAATGTTCCCGTAACAGGTGAGAAAGTTATCAAAAGCTCTTCTGGCTGTTCATCGCCTCTCTGGTTGTTGGTATGCTGCGATTTCGGGAGAGGGCTGAAAGGTAGATCCGGTTGGTTGAGCTCTTGGGATTGAACGACGTGGCTATTCTGATGGTCCTGTTCCATTGTAGGCTCATGCTCGTCCTTGACTTCGATATTGTCCAGTCTGGAGACATGAATATGCATTGCTTCTTCTTCTTCCTCTGCGAGACGACAAGAGCACCGTTTGAATTCGCACTCCATTCTCAAGAATTCAATCATGTCCTCAGCATCGAGCCTCAACTTCTTTTCCTGTTTGAGCGCTTCTTCAAGATCATCAATCATCTCATGTCGGGTAGAAGATAGAGTTATATTTCGATCCTCTTGCTGAGGGGCGACATCCGAGAGTCTCACCCTCTTTGGAGGCGTATCCTGGGTCGGTGTCTGGTCCGTTGATTTCACAAATGGTGATATCCTAGAATCCTCCGCGGGTCTCTTTGGTCGACGCGGTGTGGGTGTAGTCAAGAATGCGAGGTCCCCTTCTACTAAAGATACCCTTCCGATACTCTCGCTGTGTATTTTCTTTGCCTGGGCTTCGAGGTTGTCGGAATGATTGTTGGCTTCGACATTTCGCAAACGCCCTTTCAGAACCTCCAATTCCTCCGTTAAGCCAGCGAGTGCGTATGCTCTTTCAAACGCTTCTTGCTTAGCTTGCTCTTTCGCCTCTCGCTCGAACTGAACTTCCTCCTTTAATCCCTTGGCCTCCATGCGTGCATGTTTGAGATCTTCTTGTAATTTCACGAGCGCGGACCCCGCGCGGAAAGCCTCCTTCCTTGCCTTTCTGATTTCTTTCTCGAAGACCGATCGCTCATGCGCTTGTCGTTCCTTAGCCGATTGCAACTCCTCCAATAGAGATTCGAGTCGCTCGCTGATCCGCCGTTCTCGTGATTGTGCCTCGGTCAGCTGAGCCGAAACACTGGCAAGAGCTGATTCCGCTTCTTCACGGCCAAGAATTGCTCTCTGGAGAGCCGCGGCGACACTGGCTGAAGTTGCTGGTTGTGCTGCATTTGCTGGGCTGTTTCCCCGGGAGAGATTGTTCAGGAACGCAACCCGCGCTTGAACATCCGACATGCCCCTTGTCTTCTTTCGTTGCTGAAGGTCTGAGGCTCGTGATGGCGAACTTGGAACAAATTGCTGGTTCATCCGCTCTGGTGAAAGACGGTTGAGGATTTTCGTCGGGCTAGACAATATCGGGGAATCCATTGTGAAGAATTGGTGATGTTGTACCAGACAAAAGTTGATATGTTCCTTCTAATATTATTTAAGCATGACACTTGAGCTGATAAATGAAGAGGGTCCAGATTCTGAATCCGACGCTGCGGAGGTGATGGTCAGGTCGTTCGTGAGTGTGACGCACCCACAACACACGCCAAACATGTTTACGGACTTTGGGCCCAATGTGGAAGGTGTCAGGTGACTGTTGCTCTGGACAACAAGGCTATTCCCGGTTTGGAAGGGCCCATTCACGTGTCAGATAAGCCAGGCTATACCAAATATAGACTAGACCCGTTTATGTTGTCTGTGCTTAGATATTCGCTATCGATAACCATCTCATTGCTACTTTTGTTTGACCGCGGGGCAGATTCGAGCAAAACATGAATATACCACATATGATGCCCTAATCTCTGTTGATTTTTGCAATCTATCAGTCTTGATTCTTGTTGGTACTTTCCATACATCTTCTTTGTATTATCAATCCAGCTCAGTACTGCTCATGAATAGGTAGGCCAGTCGTGGCAACGCATACGACAAGCTCACGATGCATGAAATTATAACACTTCAATTGGGTCAACGAGCCAACTACTTGGCGACTCATTTTTGGAACCTTCAGGTGAGTTAGATGATCTTTCTTTGCTTGGAAACGACCCTGAATTTATGTTTGAAAGGAATCCTACTTTACATATAATGAAGGCGAAGAATCACCAATTGATCACGATGTTCATTTTAGAGCCGGCGTAGGGGCTGATGGATCAGAAACCTACACCCCAAGGACCCTGATATATGACTTGAAGGGCGCCTTTGGAACTCTCCGCAAGCAGAATGCACTCTATGAGTTAAGCACGGATTCAGAGTACGGTCAAGGTCTATGGTACGCTTATCTTCATGATAATCAGAGCCGCAATTACTCTGGCTGACGTCGATTCTCTCAACATAGGGACGGGAAAGAAGTCATCCAAAAGCAAACACCGATCATACCGAGCGAGTATCAATTAAATCTCGAACAAGGGCTTCCGGCTCCGGCTCTATCATCCGAGACGGTTCGTTACTGGTCCGATTACAATCGGGTTTTCTACCATCCACGCTCAATAATCCAACTCAACGATTACGAACTGAACTCAAAGATCATGCCATTTGAAGACTGGGACGTTGGCGAAGACCTGTTCAATGATCTAGATAAGGAGCATGATTTACTTGACCGTGATGTGAGACCCTTCGCGGAAGAGTGCGATCAGCTACGCGCATTTCAGTTGTTCGCGGGCTCTGACGATGCGTGGGGTGGATTTGCTGCAAAATATCTGGACAGAATAAGAGATGAGTACGGGAAGAAGGCTGTTTGGGTGTGGGCTATGGAAGGTGGGAGCAAGCTTCAACGCGTGAGTGTTTCCCCCTGTCAAATTGAGTCGCTCGGTTCTAATATCCCATTTCCCCATACAGCGCAATCAACTCAAAAGAGATATCAACAAAGCACGATCCATACACGCTATGGCCCCTCAGTCATCGTTATATGTGCCTATCAAAGATCCCCCAGGTCATGTCCCCAGCACAATCAACCTTGATGCTCAGTCTGAATGGCAGACTTCGGCATTAATCAGCTCGGCCCTGGAGACTGTGACGCTTCCGACCCGTCTTCGCCCATACCATGATTTTGAGACTTCCCTGGCAGGAGAAGACGGTATGCATAAAATTTTCGAATTGCAGTCGACAATACTTCCTGAGGATAAGACTCCGACCGGAGCCGCTGGAGGCAACGAAGCATCGACAGAGGCAACCTCGAAAGTCAAAACTGAATTCGATATGGACTTTACATATGATGACCCGCAGAACAGAAATTCGCACATATTTAATCAGGTTCAAATTACCCGGGGATACAGTCCCGTGACAGATGAAGCTAGTATTAGAGAGGATCTCGGACTGTCGCGAAAGAAAAGATTTTACAACTCTGAGCCAATGCTTGAAAGGTGAGTTCCCGACATTACATCATCCAATGAATAACTTGTGATGCCTATTGCTGATGATGATGATACAGCTTTTACACTCCGTTGGCTTTTCCTACCCTCGACAGCTTTCCGCACAACTTGTTCCCGGTAAAGGAGTCAAATGCGAAGATTAACATCCTTGCATCCTTGACAGCCTCGTCACGGACTGCAGGGAAACTCAGGGCCATGGAAGTAGTTGCCAGACGGGTCGTGGGGGTTGATGAACGAGAAAATCTGGTGAATGGCTTGGGAGAGATCCGTGAATCTTATGAAACAGGATGGATGAGCGACTCGGATTTTGATGACGACTGAAGTCAGCTTTTGAGTCTCAGATTGCTGTACGAAGTCTCCGTATGTAATGAGAAATGAATAAAGAAGTAAGTAGATAAATCATGTAGGCAAATCAACTCTATAAAAGGAATGCGATCTTTAGGGCTGAAGATGATGATGCAAAATTCCTAGACTCGGCATGTTTGCATTGGAGACATCCAAACGTGGCCTTATCCTACACCAGGTTGCTTCTTAATCGACCGTTGCGATTCCATTCTTCATAATAATTATTGCCAGGTGGTCAGTTGTATAGGCTTTGGCTCCATTCTGATGGCTTTCTATACTTAATCGTTCGTATATCCGCCCTTTCCTTCCAGCTTGATTCCATTCAATCATAGGGCTAACGATACAATCATCTCCGATAGTCAACGACAAGCTCGTTTGCGAACCATCACCAATAACTCTGGATGTACAGCTCGTTACTCATTTTCGCTATCTTTGATTGATCTTGGGTGGAAGTTTCCGAAGGAGCCTTGAGCTCAGTTCCTTGTTCCTTCTGTCTTAGACTCAATTGAGGTATGTTCTGGACCTTCGCTTGCCCATTGCTCACTGCCTTTGGCAATACACTAACTTCTTATGTTGACAGTCACATCGCAACATCATCACAATGGTTTCTCGATTAAAAGCTTTGTCGCTGTCCCCGGTCGCCTCCTTCCTTATCTTCCCCTTCCTCCTCTTCTTCCTCAGCTTCCCGGCGCCAGCCTCCGCTGCCGGGTCCGCAGTCCTCGGTATCGACATCGGTACCGAGTACATCAAGGCTGTGCTTGTCAAACCCGGCATTCCACTCGAAATTGTCCTCACTAAAGACTCCAAGCGAAAGGAAACGGCAGCCGTTGCGTTCAAACCTACGAAGGAAAGCAATGCTCCGTTCCCTGAGAGATTCTACGGCGGTGATGCGCTGGCTCTGGCCGCTCGCTATCCGGACGACGTTTATGCGAACCTCAAAAGTCTGCTAGGCGTTCCCTTCGAAAATGGCGAAAACGAAATGGTCAAGATCTACCATGATCGGTATCCGGCTTTGAAATTAGAAGTCGCTCCCGGCGAGCGGGGTACTGTTGGACTGCGCAGTAACAGACTGGGAGAGGCTGAAAGGAAGGATGCATTCCTCGTTGAGGAACTCCTGGCCATGCAGCTCAAGCAGATTAAGGCAAATGCTGACAGTCTCGCTGGAAAGGGTTCCGATGTCAGGGATGTTGTGATGACGTATCCTGTTTTCTATACCGCCGAGGAAAAGAGAAGCCTAGAATTGGCGGCAGAGCTGGCAGGCCTGAGAGTGGACGCGTTGATCAGTGACAGTCTTGCTGTGGGCCTAAACTATGCCACCAGTCGTACGTTCCCCAGTGTCTCCGATGGTCAAAAACCTGAGTACCATATTGTGTATGATATGGGGGCTGGATCCACCACGGCCAGTGTCCTTCGCTTCCAGAGTCGCGCCGTGAAGGATGTTGGGAGGTTCAACAAGACCGTCCAAGAGGTTCAGGTTCTGGGAACCGGATGGGACAGAACCCTTGGAGGTGATGCTTTGAACGATCTCATTGTGCGGGACATGGTCGCCAATCTGGTGGAGCACAAGAGCCTGAAAGATCGCGTCGCTCCTGCGGATATCCAGGCACATGGCAAAACTATGTCTAGGATCTGGAAGGATGCCGAGAAGATTCGTCAAGTTCTGAGTGCCAACACCGAGACCGGAGCCTCCTTCGAGAGTTTATACGAGGAGGACCTTAATTTCAAATACCGCGTCACTCGTGCCAAGTTCGAGGAACTCGCCGAGCGTTATATTGCGCAACTTGGAAAGCCTTTGGAGCAAGCTCTGATGGAGGCCGGCCTACAGCTCAGTGACATTGATTCTGTCATCCTCCACGGTGGGGCTATTCGTACCCCGTTCGTGCAAAAAGAGCTCGAACGTATCGCCGGATCCCCAGATAAGGTCCGAACAAGCGTCAATTCCGATGAGGCTGCTGTTTTCGGTGCGGCCTTCAAGGGAGCATCTCTTAGCCCGAGTTTCCGGGTTAAGGATATCAGAGCCAGCGACGTCGCCAGCTATCCCGTCTTGCTCAAGTGGGCCTCGGAGACCAAGGAAAGACAGCAGAAGCTATTCACCTCTACTTCGCAAGTCGGTCCCGAGAAACAAGTCACGATGAAGAACCTGGATGACTTCGAGTTCAGCTTTCATCAACAAATCTCTGTCGGTGACAATGTGGTCGACTCGCCCGTTCTTCGTGTACAGACACAGAACCTGACCGCTTCTGTCGCTCAACTTAAGGACAAATTTGAATGTTCGCCTGCCAACATCACCACCAAGTTTACAATGCGCCTGAGCCCCGTCGATGGGCTCCCGGAAGTTGTTGGTGGCTCGGTAAGCTGCGAAGTCGAGAGCACAAAGAAGGGGAGCGTCGTTGAGGACGTCAAGGGATTCTTCGGCCTTGGTTCCAAGAAAGACGATCAGGCACCACTCGGCGAAGAGGGAGAACCCGCTGAGTCGATCACGCTTGAGCCAGAGGAGCCTCAAGCCTCGACGACATCCACCGCTGCCGATGCCACAACGACGTCAGCCAAGGAAACTAAGAAGACGATTCCCCCAATCAAGGTTGAATCTATTCCCGTTAGTTTCACGACTTCGCCTCTTGGGACACCCGTGCTCTCTGCCACTGAATTGAGCCGCATCCAGTCTCGTCTGGCCGCCTTCGACGCATCGGATCGCGATCGATTCCTGCGCGAAGAGGCCCTGAACGAATTGGAATCCTTCATCTACCGGAGCCGGGATCTAGTGGATGACGAGGAGTTCGTGAAGGTGCTCAAGGCGGAGCAGCTGGCCAGTCTACAAGAGCAGGCCTCGTCGGCCAGCAACTGGCTGGATGATGATGGCGCTGATGCCACTACATCGGAGTTCCGCGGGAAGCTCAAGGCGCTGAAGGATATCGTCAACCCTGCTCTCAAGAGAAAGCAGGAGAACGCGGCTCGGCCCGCTCGTGTAGAGATACTGCAAGAACTGGTCAAGAACTCCAAGACTATCTTGGATATCATGCAGAAGCAAATCGAGCAGGACGAGGAACTTTACTCGTCGAGTCTCTCGAGCGTAGCTCCTACTGAGTCCTCCGAAGCTTCGACCTCAACCACCACGTCCTCCACCGAGGCATCCGCAACCGCCGACCCTCTTGAGGACCTCGAAGGGGATCCTTATTCGACCTCCGCATCCACCACTACCACAACTACTACTACCACCACCACCACACCCAAACCCACCGGTCCCAAGTACTCCATCTTCCACCCATCCGACCTCTCAAGCCTTACCAAGGTGTTCGAGTCCACCAACTCCTGGCTCGAAACCCAGCTCGCCCTCCAGGAGAAGCTGACCGAGTCGGATGACCCAGCCTTGACAGTCGCGGAGATCAACTCTCGTCTTAAGGAGCTCGAGCGCACGATGAACCGCATCTATGAGAAGATGGGAGCCGCGGCGGCCAAGTCTGGCAAACCGTCCGGGGACGAGGCCAAGGGCAATGGCAACAGCAAGACCAAGAAGGAGAAGGCGAAGAAGGAGAAGAAGGAGAAGGCCGAAAAGGCCAAGGCTCCTCCCAAGGACGAACTGTAAACATTGTCTCTGACTGATGATTTGTATTAGATATTTGAAGCACACCTGTTTGTAGCACAAGGTAGAAATCTAGAGCGTTTCTTTCTCACACCATCGCTTCGAGGCTCAAATGGATACAACAATTGCTTTATTTTTACACATATACATGGCTCTTAACCCCGGTACCTTTGTTGGTAATCGGCTTTGAATGCCCGTCATGACAGCAAATATATATTAGACTCGAGTAAGCAACTGCTATTCATACAATACTATTGAAACAATCTTCATCACCTTGAATCATATATATCAACACGCTCACATTAGATACAACAACCGCTCTGAGAAACCTAGGGTATTCGTACGACCATCCCCATACTAGGGTAAAGATAGAAACCAAACAAAAAAGACCCGAAAAAAAAAGATATACAAGAAAGGAAAAAAGAGACGAGAGAACGAATCGCTACTCTCGTCGGAATCACTGAAGCCAGCTCAGCGAGGATGAAGGGATCTTCATGTCGCAGTTCAATGTCATAGGATAAGGCTTGCGCAAGGATGGAGCCGGTGATTGACCCAATCGAACATCTCAAGCTTCTCCCATCTCAACCTCATAACCGCGAGTTTGAGGCACGTAATCTGTATCCACCTCTTCGCGACTGCGAAGGAATAATGGTTCTTCAAAATCATCGACTTCCATGGCCCTTTCCTGGGCGGTCGCCTTGGTTTGGCTGTGAGTCGCCATGAAGCGTTGCCGTCGGTTGCCCAAGCTCGGCGCGAGGATGGTACGTCCGGATGCCGTAGTCAGGTTCGCGGACATTCTCGTAGCCACCGAACCCGACCAGGCGGTGTCAAAATCGCTAGAGTATTCATCCAGATCATCGTCATATGTTCGTTTCTGGCCGTTGAGGGCCGAGAGGACAGATTCCTGGCTGCTTGGAGGGAGGGAGAAGGCGTCACCATCGTCCATGATGATCTGATTGGTATGGTCCATGTGGTCCAAGCTGTGACAGGAGGGATCGGCGTAGGACTGGATGGCGAAGTCGCCAGCTTTCGACATGCCGCAGAAAGGGGCCAGTTCTGCGCGGATGGCGGGGTAGTTTTTTCCGATGGAATGCTGCTCTAGTTCTGAGGGGCGGCGAGTGGACTCGTCGAATAGCTTCACGCCTTTGGTCTTGTAGCCTTCTGCGATCGACTTGCGGACTCGCATGCCCACTGAGAGAAGGGAAGATTGGACTTTAGCGGGGAGCACGGGGGTTGCGGAGTGTGTTGTGGCAGCGTAGTGGTTGTGGGAGAGACGAGGGGCGCAAGCATCGTCGGAGCCATTAGAGTCCGATACAGCAGCAGAGAAGAAGGTGGTGATGGGGGGTTGAAATCGTCTGCGTTTGGAGTCTAGGCTATTGGTCTTGGTGAGAGACATGATGAGTCTGGGGTGGATGGATGTTCTGCTTGGTATTGCGGAGTGGAGATGGTCTGTTGATGCTTGTAAAATTTAAAGACTTGATACAGCCAATAGAAGAACAATATGACTAGAGATATTGACAAGTGTTTCTCAGAAAGGACTAGAGAGGAATGTGAGGCATGACTGGCATGCAGTCTGGTTAAGAAGGAGAAGAAGAGGAGTGGATGCACAATAACGGAGACTTCGCAGTGAGATGGCTTATGGAAGGCTGGGGAATCACGGGAAAAAAACGCGCGACGCGGTGACGCGCTCGAGCGGTGGCACGTGTTTTTTTTTTTGCCAATATATCCTCTTTGGGATGTTGGATATAGAATGGCCATGACATCGTACTCCATGTAAATAATTTATATGTGTATATATATATATATATATATATATGGCTGTGAGGATGTAGAGGATGGTGACTTGTTCAATATGATATTATTTTCCGCATACGACACAACCTGTGGCTGCTGACGGTAGGAATCATACTCAGCTGGAGAAGACTGCATAATTATACTGATGAAATTTGAGACTGATACAAAAAGAAATGTAGCTTGGTATCTAAACTTTTTTGGCAGATCGAATGCGCTGCTAGAAACAACTCTATATAGATCCTTATCCATTGTTTCCTCTGCGGCCACCACGCTTCCTCCGTTCCTGATGAGCCCGCAGGACATTTCGTGTCTCAACCAGACTTCTTTTGCCCTTGCCCTTCGCTTTACCGAGAGTCATGAAGATGTTCTTTCTGCGCTCCTTCTCCTTGTTCGTACTGCTCTTGCCCTGCTCCTCCTTGCGCTCCTTGCGTCTTGCGGTCACACTCTTATATTCTGACCGGTCCTGTTTGCCTTCCTTCGCATGAGCGATACGCTCCTCGCGTGTGGACTTGCCAGCAGACAGGGCAGCCAGGCCTTCGATCTCGGCGGCAGTAAGGGGATCGTCCGCATGTCGAGAAGGACCATTGTTTTGTCCAGAGCGATGTTTCTTCGGGAGTAGAGCGTTGACAGCTGCTTCGTTGCGCAGCTCGGCAAGTTTAGCCAGATCGGCCGGCGTGAGGATACGGGTCGTTGCCAGCTTGAGCTTGTTGGCCTCAGTTTGCTCTCCTGTGGCTTGTGCATTATCCTCTTCGCCTTCGGACTTGGCCTTCTTGGAAGGCCGCTCTTCATCATCATCCGAGTCGCTGAGCTCAATTTCCGCATCGCTCTGGACATCAATCCACCCGCCGGATCCATCACTATCCTCGTCGTCTTCAACATTCCATTTGGCCCAGGCCGCCTCATCCTCGGCCTCATCGTCTTCATCGTCTTCAGCGTCAGAAGGCAGACCCTTCTCGAGTCTCCGCTTCCTGCGCTCCTCCTCCTTCCATTTCTCCAGGAGCTCGAGACCTTCAATCTCACCGGTCTCTTGCTCACCGAAACGGCGCTCTTTCTTCTCGCCAGAGCGCAAGCCCATCGACGCCTCTTTACCACGATCACGTCTCTTGAGCATATCCGCTGCAACATCTCTGTAGAGACTGAGCAGTCCTCTGGCTGCCATCACCACACCCTTATCCTTGCTCTTCCTGTACATCACAAGGTCTTGCAGCAGAGTTTCATTCATGGCGAGGGGCTGACGAACACAGATTTCTCGAATGGCGTTGAGACCAGCTGTAGCCACCTCCGATGCGGCTGCTTCGGACACGAATTCGTTGGCAATCTTCAGTACAAGAGGCTCAAGAACATCAGGCGGCACCAGGTCGTGCGATGCTTGTGCAAGGGACGCCAAGAACGATGTAACCGAAGGCTGTCGTGGGGTGAGGTATTTTTGGAAGTAAGAATAGAGATGCATGATATGCAATCTATGCAATCCGACAAGACGAGACACGAGCTGCAAGACCTGAAGCTTCTGGTCGAGGTTCAGCTTCGACTTGGAATTTTGAAGGTGTTTCGAGAACAGATTCTCCGCGAACCCTTGGGGATCGTGTAGCAGATGAAGCGCGGAGAAGTTCAGAGGATGCGGCTGGTTCTTCTTCCGCTCCTTCTTCTTGACGGTAGCCTTTGCCTTCTCGACCGCGCGGGACTTCTTCCGGGTCTTCTTATTGATTCCGACCTGATGTTTTACTCGTCCGAGATCGATGGCCTCTTCATCACTGCTCTCGTCTTCCATCTCCTCACGCTCCTTGTCACCACCCAGGAAGAAGCGAACACCACCAACAATGACCTTCTCATTCTCTGACAAACTCGCCTCCTTCATGACTTCAACTGCCTTGGCATCTGTCCAGATCTGTCGTTTCCACAGCTCGCGCGTGATCTTGATAGCCCACAGACCCTTTGAAGAAGTGCGGTCTGATGTCACCAGGTTGAACAGAACAGTCTGCATGGTCCGGTTGAGCTTGTGGTTGATTGTCTTTGAGTTCGATGTCCGAAGATCCATGAGGATCTTCTGGAAAATCAGGGCTCGCAGAGTCTTGCTTGGGGTCGAGATCAGAATAGGGAACAAAGTCTGCAGCAAACTATCAAGACAAGAGATGGCAGGGTTAGTGGCCTTCTCCAGTGAATAATGGCAGATATTACATACGTAGCAGAGTCAAGCAATTCCTTCTTGCGAAGCAAGACCAGACTACCTACGATCTTCTCCCGCAATTCGGGTTCGAGAATCAGATGGTGCTGTGTCAGGATATCGATGAGTTGCTGGGGAAAATCCTTCGTAATGGTGGGATAGCAATCGGCAACGTGCGCGAGGAAATCAATTAATTCCCGTAACGAGATGATGCCAGTGTCTGTGGCAGCCGTGGGTGCGGCCATGAAAATCTCGCGGTGACTCTCATATTGGTAATGCTGGGCCCGGAAGTCTTCAATGTACGACCTGGACGGAGCGAAATGCATATTAATTACCTGGCACTGATACCTAATACACCAGGATCCTTAATGCGAGCAACTTACTTTGGATCTCTTCGGACTTTATGCTGTAAGTTGGGCCTGGCAAGCAAAGACAGCGGTTGTTAGTGGTGAGCGAAAACTTCTCCAGTCGCACTTGTGGTCAGAATGACTCGAGGAGATGAACTTACAGATCAGCCTCGACCTTTTCCAAGGCCCCTAACTTTCTTTTCACCATTGTTGCGAACGATTGTGGGCTAATCCGAGTGTTGCAGATGGGAGCCTGGTGGTGATGGTGGCTACGTTCGAACGCTCGGCAGCTCCGAACTTTTTTTCTTCCTCCGGTCTGGTCTGGCGTATCGATAAGCGACAAAACAGCCTACCCAGTATGCGATCTCCAAATTGCCTACCATTCATTATCTATCTACCTTACGGTTTATCAACAGAATTATATCAAAGAGAAATAGCGAAACTATTACTTGAGGACTGGATACTAACAGAAATGTGCATCGTCCACAAAAATGAGTCTCGGGGGGTTAAGTATCACCAACTGCATATGGGCGACATATTTCTACACGAGACAGAAGAAAACTGACATATTAAGTCTGTAACGTCTTCATAATCGCATCTCAACTACTAAAGAAGAAAGCCGTCCGATTTCATTGATTTTTTTGGATCTTGCTCCCTCCGTGACTGTCTCGAGGTATGTACAGTCGCGCAGATGCATGCAATACGACTGAATCCTTAATGAACCCCCGTCCACTCCAGTAAACATAAAACCAGGACCAAACGGAGAACACGCCCAAACATAACCCTTTTACCGGTTGCTCTTGGCAACACGCTCGAGCTCGTCCTTCTTCTTGATGGCATAGGAGTTCGAGCTTCCCTTGGCAGCGTTGATCAGCTCCTCAGCAAGGCACTCAGCAATGCTCTTGATGTTGCGGAAAGAAGCCTCACGGGCACCGATGGTTAGGAGGGCAATAGCCTGGTTGACACGGCGGAGGGGAGAGACATCGACGGCCTGGCGACGGACGGTACCGGCGGAACCAATACGGGTGCTGTCTTCACGAGGACCGCAGTTGACGATGGCATCAACGGCGACCTGGAGGGGGTTCTGGTCGGTCATGATGTGGATCTATAAGAAAAGTACCCAGTATCAGTCAAAACTGTCCATTGCGATCTCGAATTTTCCCCTTTCGGGTTGCGGAATCTCAAGGAATGGTGGCTTCTGCACGTACGATCTCGAAGGCGTGGGCAACGATGCGGACAGCCATGAGCTTCTTGCCGTTGTTGCGGCCGTTCATCATGATGGAGTTGGTCAGGCGCTCGATGATGGGGCACTGAGCCTTGCGGAAACGCTTGGCGGCATAACGACCAGCAGTGTGAGGGATGTAGACGGGGTTGCGGATCTGGATATAATCGCTGTACGTGTAAAACCCCGAGTCAGCAAATTTGCGTCTTGGTCAATCCAATGCCTTCTTCTTTTTTATTTTCCCCTTGCACGATTCCCCGTTGTGCGCGATATTCCCGATTCGCGGACCAGTCGAAAAACATCCAACAAAATTGAATCCCAAGCCGGCCACAGAATCTTTCGCTCGCAACCAAATTGCATCGCAGGGGTTTGAATAGAGAGACACCTACGTCAAAGAGATATCCCGGATCTCAACATCCTCGTAGCTCCACTTGTTGAACAGCTTGACGGATCCCATCTCCGCAAGAGCGTCCTTGGGCAGGGCCTGGAAAGCCCCAGAGGGGTTTTCGACCTCGACTTCCCCGTGATCAGACATTGTGACGCCGTATGCACCTGTTGTCGAGGGAGGGATTCGTGAAGGTGACGGACGGTGTCGTTGAGTGGTGTCGTCGGATAGCAGTCGGTCGGCTGAAAAGGTTCGCTGGACACAGGGAAAATCGAGGTGCGGCCTCGCTTAGCACTGTGGGTGGGTTAGGGCAGGCCCAGCACCAATCATGATGTTTGAGTCATGTGATATAATTCTTAGTCATTCCCGCTACTCTAGTCCTGATTAAGCCTAGCACTCTTGTAAATTCGGACCACTTCTTGTCCCTAGTCCTTACCCCCAAGTACTGTCCTTCTACTGCACACTATCTGTCGGTATCTGCACTCCATAGTATGGAGTATTGCGAAGAACTATGGCCTTTGCACCGTCCTCGGTTTTATCCAGACTGTCCTGACACCGACTAAAATACTTCCTCACGTTAGCGGGTTCTTATGTCGCCGGGCAATTGTCACCCAATATTAAAGCGACAAATCTCTGAATCGTCCCGCTATCTGATGGCATGCGATTGGTGTGATATTCATAGACACTGATGGGTGGCTTGTTGATCTTTTCGGCCTCTGTTCAAAAAGTCACTTATCTGTTGTTGATTGCGTGTATCATCCCCGACGATGTCATCCATACAGATGTCAGTCCTCTGCTGCTCGAAATGCTAATGCGTCATTCGAGTACCGCCCTTAATTGACATCTTCGTTTGTACTCCTTGCCTTGTACTCCATAGGTAGTCTTCTTTATGCCACCTAAACTAGTCGGTGAAGTTCCATTACCAAGGATATCAAGGATCTTGCATAGACCACTCATGATCCTCGATGGACACAATATAGACGATAGTTGTAGTTCTAAAAGCACAACAGTGCCATTGATGCTCTACTCCATAAGGTATAAGTATAAGTATACCTGAAATCCATGCACGGGACCATCCCCCTCATTCTGTGGCGGTGCAAAAAGTCAAGCTTTACGATTGGCTCCCCTGGTGTATGTACTCGGCCCTAGCCTCCACAACAGGTGACGCTGTGGCTGACCGAAGCGCGGAGAAGGGAAGACAAGAGCGAAACGCCAACTTCATCATCATCATCATCACAGGGGCCCCATAAGATCAAGCGAAACGGACTTTCGGTCGGTCCTCCTCGTCTGTGCTCTGTGACTGACGGTTATTTGTACAATTGTGCAATGAAGTTATGAAACTACTTCCTCGTCGACTCGCATGCGCACTCGAATGAGAGACCTAGTCTATTCTTATCCCGCACTTTTCTGAACATGGCGGAAGACAACCCCGAGCTTCAGGCCGCTCTGCGGGACCTCGACAAGGAACTTGAGGTACGATAGAATGAACAATACCTGGCTTGCTCTTTGTTCCTACCTCCCCTAGCTTGAATCTCCGGTGTTCTAGTCCACTGATCTTGTGATTGGAATAGGAGGGGGACATCACGGAAAAAGGGTAAGCGCCTGTGTTTGGGATACATGCGATGGTCCCTCGGCTACCAGGAGGGATCAACCTGAGGCGAAACCTCTCAGCATTCGTTTCTTTATTACATCAATCGCCGATCTATATCAAGTCAAAAGTCAGGAGTTACAACTAACTCGGTCAAAGATACCAGAAACGGCGCACACTCCTTCTCTCACAATATTTCGGACCAAATAAACCCTTAGAGATCAGCATCACCCCAGAAGGCGCTCCAGCATCTATAAGTAGCTCGAACCATGTCCCGCCGGCCATCCTCAGTGTTCGTCCGCCTACGGCGGACTCCGAGAATCGAGCTGCGTCTCTGCACTCGTTTGCGCAGAACAGCAGACCTGGGAACGGAGGCTTCGGATACGACCGAAGAGTGAGTATGGGTACGCAGGGGTCACTTCAAGATGATAGCGCCTTTCAGCACAATCGAGAAAGTTTGGCGCTGCAACCGCCCGACCGAATGCCCTCATCGACCTCATACGATTCCCTGTTCCTCCCGAAACCACAGGTGCAGCCGACGGCCCAGGAGGAATCTCGAACAGCGACACTATTGAGCCAGAATTATGCGTTTAACCCTGGGGTCTCCGAGTATCACGATGAGCCAGTTGGAAACTACGACATGACACCCGGGCCTGTCACGCGACAATCGACGATGCTTGATTCTCAGCAGGCTTACTTCTCTGACTTTGCTGGGCAGCAGCGAGGTGATTATAGAGATAGCTATGGTGGTGGGTTTCATCGATACTCCCAATCAGACACCTTTTCTCCTACGGCGAATATGGCGCCGCCGCTGCTCCCTGCGTCAGAGCTTCCCCACGGGGCAGCTGTCAATCACCTGTTACCCCTTGAGCCTCGTGACATTCCATTCGCGGTCCATGATCCGCACGACAAGAATACTCTTATGTCTAATTTTGAGAACATCCCTGCTGTTCTTCGGTATCGTGCGCGAACACATCCCAAGCAGCCTGCATATTGGGTCCTGGATCAAAAGGGCAAAGAGATTGCCTCCATTACCTGGGAAAAACTCGCCAGCCGAGCAGAGAAGGTTGCGCAAGTTATCCGCGATAAGAGCAACCTTTACCGTGGCGATCGTGTGGCTTTGATCTATCGGGATTCCGAGGTCATCGAGTTTGCTGTTGCTCTTATGGGCTGCTTCATTGCCGGCGTTGTTGCTGTGCCCATAAACAGCCTTGATGATTATCAGAGCCTTAATCTCGTGCTCACTTCAACCCAGGCGCATCTTGCCTTGACCACGGAGAACAATCTCAAGAGCTTCCAGAGAGACATCACGACTCAAAAATTGAATTGGCCAAGAGGCGTAGAATGGTGGAAGACGAATGAGTTTGGAAGCTACCATCCAAAGAGAAAGGACGACACTCCAGCCCTTGTGGTTCCCGACCTGGCCTACATTGAGTTCTCACGGGCTCCGACAGGCGACTTGCGGGGTGTGGTCATGAGCCACCGAACGATTATGCATCAAATGGCTTGCTTCAGTGCCATCATTGCAACTGTTCCTGGCTCAGAGAAGAGCGTTCGCCCCCATGGAGAAACCTTGATCAGCTACCTTGATCCAAGACAGGGCATAGGCATGATTCTAGGCGTGCTTCTCACTGTGTATGGCGGCCATACGACTGTATGGCTCGAGGACCGGGCTGTCGAAACTCCTGGTTTGTATGCTCACCTCGTTACGAAGTACAGAGCAACACTCATGGCAGCGAACTATCCGGGACTGAAAATTACGGCATACAATTATCAACAAGATCCCATGGCGACACGACATTTTAAAAAGAACTCGGAGCCGAACTTTGAGAATGTGAAACTCTGCCTCATCGATACCTTGACGGTCGATGCCGAATTCCATGAGATTCTCGCGGACAGATGGTTACGTCCCATGAGAAATCCAAGAGCGAGAGAGATCGTCGCCCCGATGCTCTGCCTACCCGAACATGGCGGTATGGTCATCAGTGTTAGGGATTGGCTGGGGGGGGAGGAGCGCCTAGGCTGTCCCTTGACTCACGAAATGGATCCGGAAGAACGCTTGGGAGACAAGAAGGAGGAGAAGAGGTCCGAAAAATCGGAAAGCAATAGCGGCTTCGGTAGCAGTCTCCTGGGTGGAGGTGCCCCAGCTCCCGCTCCGAAGGAGCAGAGTAAAAATGAACTTGGTGAGGTACTCTTGGATAAGGAGGCACTGAAAAATAACGAGGTCGTTGTTTTGGCTATGGGTGAGGATGCCAGGAAATACGCAGCAACCATACCAAACGCCGTGCGAGTTGGCTCTTTCGGTTATCCCATTCCTGACGCGACACTGTCTGTCGTGGATCCGGAAACCAATTTGCTGTGCACTCCCAACGTGGTTGGCGAGATCTGGGTCGACTCACCCTCTCTGTCTGGCGGTTTCTGGGCATTACCCAAGCATACGGAAGCAATCTTCCACGCCCGGCCCTATAAGTTCGAAGAGGGCAACCCCACCCCTCTTCTGGTGGAGCCTGAGTTCCTACGAACCGGTCTACTTGGCTGTGTGATTGAGGGCAAAGTTTTCGTCCTCGGTCTCTACGAAGACCGTCTTCGGCAGAAGGTCGAATGGGTTGAGCACGGACAGGAGATTGTGGAACATCGGTATTTCTTCGTTCAACACCTGATCGTGAGCATTCTCAAGACTTTGCCCAAGATCTACGATTGTACTGCGTTTGATGTCTTTGTCAACGACGAGCATCTCCCCATCGTTGTCCTGGAGTCATACGCCGCCTCGACTGCACCAACAACCTCTGGTGGACCGCCTCGCCAGTTAGATGCTGTGCTCCTTGAATCTCTGGCAGAGAGATGTATGGAAGTATTATATCAGGAACATCACTTGCGGGTTTACTGTGTACTTCTCACGGCTCCCAACACACTTCCTCGCGTGATCAAGAATGGCCGCCAAGAGATTGGAAATATGCTCTGTCGCAAAGACTTCGACGCCGGAGCCCTGCCCTGCGTCCACGTGAAATTTGGTGTTGAACGGTCTGTCATGAATCTGCCAGTGGGTGTCGATCCTGTAGGGGGTATATGGTCACCCTTGGCTTCGGTGACTCGACAAGAGATGCTTGCTATGCAGGAGAAGCAGTATTCAGGTGTAGACTACCGCGAGGTGGTCATGGATGATCGTACATCTACACCGCTAAATAATTTCTCCACCATTGTCGAACTACTTCAATGGCGTGTTTCGCGCCAGGCAGAGGAGCTAGCATACTGCTCCATCGACAGCCGTGGCAAAGAGGGGAAAGGTATCACCTGGAAGAAGTTTGACCTGAAGGTCGCTGCGGTGGCAATGTACCTGAAAAATAAAGTCAAGGTTCGGCCTGGAGATCATCTCATCCTGATGTACACGCACTCGGAGGATTACGTCTATGCCGTTCATGCCTGCTTCTGTCTTGGTGTAGTCGTTGTGCCCATTGCCCCAATTGACCAGAATCGACTTGCAGAAGACGCTCCTGCGTTCCTTCATGTGATAAATGATTTCAATGTCAAGGCAATCATTGTCAATAGTGACGTGGACCATGTCATGAGGCAGAAGGTTGTCTCTCAGCATATCAAACAATCAGCACAAGTCCTTAAAATCGGAGTGCCAGCAATTTACAACACCACCAAACTCTCCAAACAATCGCACGGTTGTCGAGACCTCGGTTTCACTGTCAAGGAGGGATGGTTACAGGGAGATCAACCAGCTCTAATCTGGACTTATTGGACCCCAGATCAGAGAAGAATCTCCGTTGCTATTGGCCATGACACGATCATGGGTATGTGTAAAGTGCAGAAAGAGACGTGCCAGATGACTAGCTCAAGGCCAATCCTGGGCAGTGTTCGCAGTACTTTGGGTCTCGGATTCCTCCACACGCTACTGATGGGTATCTATGTCGGTATGGAAACTTCTAATCATCATGGAAATAGCCTCTCGTACTAATCAGAACTTAGGAGCCCCAACTTACCTAGTGTCACCCGTCGATTTTGCACAGAATCCCATGACTTTGTTCCTCACTCTGTCTCGTTATAAGATCAAAGATACATATGCCACCAGCCAGATGTTGGACTATGCTATGAGTGTGATGCCTGCCAAGGGCTTCCGACTGCAAGAGATGAAGAACTTGATGATATCTGCCGATGGCCGGCCGCGGACTGATATCTGTACGTTCCTTACCACTTTGAATTGTTGGGGGATTCATCAGCTAACTTCCTTACAGACCAGAAAGTGCGCCTCCATTTCGCTACCGCCAGTTTGGATCGGACTGCGATCAACGTAGTGTACTCACATGTCCTCAATCCTATGGTCGTCACGCGATCATACATGTGCATTGAACCGGTTGAATTATGGCTTGATCTTCGATCTCTCCGCCAAGGACTTGTTTCCCCTGTTGACCCAGACACTGATCCCGGTTCCTTGTTAGTTCAGGACTCGGGAATGGTCCCGGTGAATACGCAGGTAGCGATCGTCAATCCTGAGACATGCGTGCTATCTCATGTTGGGGAATATGGCGAGATATGGATTCAGTCAGACGCCTGCGCCAAGTCATTCTACGGTTCCAGAAATGAATTCGATGTCGAGCGGTTCAACGGACGGATCGCCGACGGAGATCCTAACGTCGCGTATGTGCGCACCGGTGACCTTGGTTTCCTTCACACTGTTACCAGGCCCATTGGTGCATCGGGCCAGGCCGTGGAGATGCAGGTACTTTTCGTCCTTGGCGGAATCGGCGAAACTTTCGAAGTCAACGGCTTGAACCACTTCCCAATGGATATTGAGAATTCTGTGGAGAAATGCCATCGTAATATTGTTCGTGGTGGATGGTAAGCATGCTGAATTCTACTCCTCATGTATGGCAAGTCCCTTCTAACTCCTTTCCCATAGTTGTGTCTTCCAGGCTGGTGGTTTGATAGTGGTTGTTGTTGAGGTGACGCGGAAGGCATATCTGGCATCCCTTGTACCCGTGATCGTTGATGCAATCCTTGGCGAACACCAAGTCATCGCCGACATTGTTGCATTCGTATCGCATGGAGACTTCCCTCGATCGCGGCTGGGAGAGAAGCAGCGTGGCAAGGTCTTGGCATCCTGGGTCACCCGCAAGCTGCGGACGATTGCCCAATTCAGCATCCGTGATGTGGAGGGATCCATGGGTCTCTTTGCAGGAGCACCTCAACACCGGTCCAGCAGAGGCTCCAAGCCGGGAAGTACAATGGGCAACAGTATTCGTCGGTCCACTCTTGTACCAGATGCTGAGTCTGTGACTGTCCCTCGGTCTCCAGCACCGGTCCTTGTCGAGCAGCCGGAAGCAGCGATGGCTCCGTATTACGGTGTACATGAAGGCGAGGGGCCTGAAATACCGAGGCCAGTTGTCTCAGAAGGGCAGCAGGCGATCCCATTAGTTGCGGAGGCTGTCCCGCCAACGCGGTCCTCGAACACTGGAAGCCGCCCCGCGACCATTGACCAGCCTGACTTGGGATTCCATTTTGGCGAGTTCCCCCATTCAGGCAGCGCTGCTACTGGTGGGGAACCTCACATTGCAACTGCTCCTCCCCAGGGTCTCCCCTACCGCAATGCCCCGAGGCAGGGATCCATGTCCGCTCGAAAACCGTCAGCAGCCAGCAGCATCCCAGGTCGACCTATCTCACAGGATCAAGGCTTCCACGAGGAGAACGTGGGTGACTGGCCTCAGGAAGCTCTCATGTATCAATCCGCCTTTGAAAGCGACGGCCCGTACGGTGTCCACCGGACTCCGAGCGAGGCAGCAAGGAATCGCTATGATGGACATGAATACAAGTATTGAAATGGCCATATTCTAGATGAGCCATCTAGGACCTTAACCGGGTCTTGACAATTTGGCTATAACCTGTTTTCTCTTACACCCTCATCTATTGCAATCCGCCACTGTGTGAATTCATTTACCGCGGCTCCTCCTGTTTCTTGGGAGGGAATCCAAATCTCCTCTTTTTCCAGTGAAGGAAGCAGATCGGTGATCCCTATCCTGCCCCCCTACTTTCATGATGAACGATGTGTCATATTTCTGTACATACATACCCACCCGTTTCCTCATGCGTCGTTTGCCTTATTTCATTTTTGCAAAATAGCACTGTTCCACTTGGAAGTCTTGAAAAGACGTTTTGAGGATTAAGTCTGCGTCTAGATCTCTTTTAGATGATAATTTCTTGTGCTGTATATAGCCCAGGTGACTTCCGCATCTTTGGTATTATTCGCATTACTCTGTTATCGATTATATATATATATATAATATGGCTCCAAGGCCGACTCTCCCGGGTAAGAAGAATTCTCTACAACAGACAGCGTGGAGATATACACTTGTGTCTCTACGCCGCTTCAGAAACTGGAATAAATGGAATGTTTAGATACTATGTCGTAAGGACACACCATACAGATACAGCAAACCGAGGCCGCAGCTAACCCGCGCATCCCCGATTTTATAAAAAACCCCAATAGAAGATTTGATATCATGCTCCATCCTATGCAAGATCGATTATGCCTTTTCGGCACTGTTGTTCCCAAACTACCTGACTTTTGGCTGGAAATATAGACGAAAGATTTTTAAAAAGGAGAAGAAAAAAAGGGGGGGAAGGGAAAATGGCACACAGACAAACAAAACAGGGCACAGGCTGCATTTGTGTTTGTGGTATGGTATGGTATGGTTATGGAGGGATGCGGAGTGAGGGAGGGTTTCACTGGCTCTCTGCCTGGGCGGCCAGAGCGTCCAGATCAACCTTGGGTTTGGCGCTGCCGGTGGGGATGTTCAGGACCGCCGAGTTGGAGCCGCCGAGTTGCTCGAGGGCGTGCAGGTCTTCGTCGGTGAGGGTGTTGGAGCGGTTGGGGCGGAAGGGGGCGGGCGAGCCGGCGCGGCTTGTGAGGAACTGTATAACACGTCGAAGTTAGAAAATGGGGTAATGGGAGACTAGAAATTGGGGGAGGGGAAGGGAGGTAGGCGTACCGAGCTGGCAGCGCTCAGCAGAGCGATCAAACTGGCCTGGACCACGTCCTGGTGAACACCGACACCCCAGACTTGCTCCTTGCTGCCTGCCGCAGTGCACTGGATATATGTCGCGGCCTTGACGTCTCGACCGAGACCGATCGAGTGCTCCTTGTAGTCGACGACGTCGAGGTCGATGCCCAGAGTCGACAGCGCGTTGGCCAGAGAGGAAATGGCACCGGGACCAACGCCGGTGATGCCGTGCTGAGCGCCATCGATCTCGACAATACCGGTGAAGCGACGCTTGAGATTCTTGGTGTTGAAGGCCTTGCCAGGCTCCGGGGGCGCGGGAGATTGCGAGCGGTCTGTGGTGATGTTGTAGTCGATCAGGTTGAAGCGAGGGTTCGACTTGAGGTGGTAGGCGGTCTCGAAGAGGTCGACGATTTCCTTGGGGCGCAGCTCGCGGTTGACCTCCTCGGTCTGCTTCTGGACGATCTTGCTGAACTCGACCTGCAGTGCGCGCGGGAGATCCAGCTCCAGACTGCGCAGGATGATCCAGGCAGCACCGCCCTTGCCACTCTGAGAGTTGACGCGGATAACGGCCTCGTAGTTCCGTCCGATGTCCTGGGGGTCCAGGGGAAGATATGGGACGACCCATTCGTCGTCATCGGTGGAGTTGGCGTTCTCACGCAGCTTGAATCCCTTCTTGATGGCATCCTGGTGGCTGCCGCTGAATGCGCAAACGACCAGTTGGCCACCGTAAGGCCATCTCTCGTTCACAGGGATCTTGTTGCTCTCTTCAACCACCTTGATGATCGAATTGATGTCCGAGAAGTCGACTTTAGGGCTGACACCCTGTGTGTAAAGGTTGAGGGCCAGGGTAACCAGATCGACGTTACCAGTTCGCTCGCCGTTGCCGAAGAGGGTACCTTCGACACGCTGAGCGCCAGCCATCTGGGCCAGCTCGGCGGCTGCAACGGCACAGCCACGGTCGTTGTGGGGGTGGACGGAGACACAGAATTTTTCTCTTTCGGTCATGTTGCGGCAGAAGTATTCAACCTGGTCCGCGAACACGTTCGGTGTCGCCATCTCCACTGTCGCGGGGAGGTTGAAGATGATCGGGTTCTCCTCGGTCGGGCCCCAAGCAGCCTTGACAGCCTCACAGATCTGGACAGCGAACTCGGGCTCGGTGTCGGAGAAGGTCTCGGGGGAGAACTCGAACTGCCATTCCGTGCCGGCCATCTCGGGGTCGTCCTTGGTGATCGAGCGGGCATACTTGGCACATTTTACTGCAATCTCCAGGCTCTGTTCTCGGGTGGTTCCGAAGACAATCCGGCGGAAGCACGGGCTGGTGGCCAGGTAGATGTGCAGAATGGCCTTCTTGGCGCCTTTCAGGGAATCGACGGTGCGACGGATCAGTTCTTCTCGGCAGGGAGACAGAACCTGGAGCCAGACATCGTCGGGAGTCACACCGGGCGTCTCGACCAGGCGGCGTGTGAAGTCAAAGTCCGTTTGCGAGGCCGAGGGAAACGAGACTTCGATCTCCTTGTAACCGATTTCGACGAGCTTCTTGAAAAAACGGAACTTCTGTTCACCGTCCTATACATCCCCAAGTTCGTCAGAGGGGCCGCGAGGGAAACGACAAACAAAGAGAGAAGCTTACCATCGGATCAGGCAGGCTCTGGTTGCCATCTCTCAGATCAGTGGCCAGCCAGCGGGGCGGCTTATCGATCACCTTATCAGGCCATTGGCGGTTAGGGAGATTGAGAGGCTTGAAAGGCTTGTATTTCTTCGAGGGATCTTTGAGCCTGTCATTCTGAGTTAGTAACAAGACGCTGAATTGAATTGAACGCACAGAAGTCAATGGGAGCCATACATGGGCATTGTGGCGGTATCGTGCGGGATCCGCAGCGGGGGAGGGGGGAGAGGAAGAAGATAAAAGGCGTGTGGTCACTGGGGGGGGGGGGGAAGGCTGTTGCAAGGAGACAACGAGATAAATGTGAAGTGAAAATACCAGACGGAAGATGGGTTGACTGGAAGATGCTATTATTTAAAGTACGGGAAGAAAAGAAAAGAAGACAGCGTTCGAAGAGCGAGTGAGTCAGTGTTCCCTAGTCGTACTTATTACTATGTTGGATTGTCTGTTCGTCCATGAATGACGCCTCTCGTGATTTTTTTTTCTCATCGAATCGCCGACAGCGGACGGCGGGGGGAGCACTCGGGCAGTGCTGATTGGATGAATCCCCAACCAGCGCCCCCGGAGTGGATACCTGAGGTGTTGATGAAGTGTAACTGTGTAAGTAACTACTGTACTAACTAGTTCAGTCCAAGGCTCTACTACGTAGGAGTAGTAGGATCTAGGTACTAGGTACTGTAGACTAGGTACGCCCAGAGGCTGAGTCCTTCGGCTTGTCAATTTCAAGTTTTCAAACAAGTGTGATTGGTATGCGGGTAGATCCTGTGTCAACGAACGAGCTTCTTCAGCATAGATCTATCTCATCAAGGAGGAGCATTCTTTTTTCCTGCGGGGGCCGATCATCGGAGACGTCTTCTGTGCCTCAGGCCATCGATGTCATGTCCCCAGATGTCGCCGAGCCTAGCCGTCACTAGCCACCACACTTTCACTTACTACCAGTCATGTTCTCATACACAGTAGTCATCCAGAATCCCTTGCGCCCTTGGATAATGTTCTGGGTCATTGATCTTTCCGTTCTGAAGAAGGGAGGACTATCTTGACACGCGTCGAGATAGATCCTGCAGAAAGTGGTAAATAATAAAGATGGTAAATGTCTGATCTGATAATAATAGCTGTCCAGGGATATCCAGTAATTTTGATGCAATTCTATACACGTTCCACTTCTCATCCGCTGTCCTCTCTACTACCAATCCCCCCCCCCCCCCTCATTTCTTGCCCTTCATCTTGTTCTTGTTCTTCTTATCACTCTGGTTCTTCCCTCCTTTGGTCTTGGCCTGCTTCGGGGCCTCTCTCTCCGTCTTGCCCTTCTTCCAGCCCTGGTTCCCTTCGTGACGCTGACGCGAGTCGTCCAGCCGTTTCTTGTCTTTGTTGCTCAGCTTCACCTTGTCCTTCTTCGAGGGCCCGTTGAGCTCGGTCGCTCCCAGTTTGCGGGATGCACGCTTGTCCCGCTCGGTCTCGAACCAGGTACGCTTCGGCCGCGACATAATCTCCGCTCCGTGCTTCATCAAATTCTCGCCCTTGGTCACCTGCATCTCCGCCTGCGCCATGTGCTTCTCCAGTTTCTCCTCCTTCAACACTTCTTCAATCTCCTCCTCCAGAGCCTCGACCTTGGCGGCCCATTGATCTGCAACCGCAGGCTCGACGACTCGGCTGGCGATCTTGGCCCCCTGCGCTTTGCCGGCGCGGACGGCAGCCTTGACCACCTTGCGGTCGGGGTCCGCCGCAATGGTGCATGCACGACCGGAACGGCCCGCACGCGCGGTACGACCAACACGATGCAGGTAGATCTCGTGGCTCTGGGGCGCTTCGTAGTTGATGACGGTCTCCACGCCCTTAATATCTAAACCACGAGACGCCAGGTCTGTAGCCAGCAAGAAGGCCACTTTACCTTCTCGGAAGCTCTCAACACTTTTGATACGCTGTAATTCGGTGTTAGTTTGATAACCAGACAATGGCCTAAAATCAAGAGTAGACATACCTGTTCCTGACTCATGCTACCATGGAGCTCTGCTGCTTTGAGTCCGAGCAGTCCAAAGACGATGCGAACCCGATGGGCCTCCTTCTTCTGCCGAAAGAAGACAATGACCCGTCCCGTGAAGATCTCACTGCAAAGATACAAAAGATATCCCAAGCGCTTGCCCTCTCGTCCTGGTCGTAACCGCACAAACTCCTGGGTCAGGTTCATGGACGTGTTCTTCTTCGAATCAACCATGAGGCGGACCGGGCGGTTGAGACCGACGCGAATGAGCTTGTCGACCGAGTCGGTCATCGTAGCGGAGAACAGCATGGTCTGTCGCGACTTGGGGATGGTGGTCAGGATCTCATTAAGTTCATCCGCGAAACCATCTTCCAGCATCCGATCGGCTTCGTCCAGCACCAGGATCTCAAGGGTGTCAACAGTAAAGCTGGGCGAGTTCCGCATGTGATCGATGAAACGACCAGGGGTAGCGATGATCACATCCGGTCGCTTCTTCAAGATGTTCTCCTGCTCGCGCAGACTGAAACCACCGACAAGTTGACAAAAGGTCACGTCGGTGTGAGTAGCCAGCTTGGTAGCCACATTGTAACACTGGACCGCCAATTCACGAGTGGGCATCAGGATCGCAACACGACTGGTGGGCACTTTCCGAGGCCGGAACAGCAAACGCTCGAGGATGGGAACCACAAAGGCGGCTGTCTTTCCGGAACCAGTCACGGCACTACCGACAATATCTTTGCCCAGGAGGGCGACGGGGATGGTCTTCTGCTGGATGGGTGTGGGGGTGGTGAAGTTGACAGATGCCAGACCACGAAGGATGGGGCGGGACAGATTGAAATCCTGGAATGATCTCTTGGAGGTGGGTTCTTCGGTAGTCTTCTCTTCTGGAGCGAAGAAAGCCTTCCGCTTCTCTGCTTCCTCGGCATCGACTTCACTCTCTGCCCCAGACTCGTCATCCGACGCAACTTCGTCATCTGGATGACCAACTGGGGTTGCTACCGAGTCGTTATCAGACGCAGCGTCGTCATCGTCGGCGTCTCCCTCATCATCGCCATTATCATCTGAATCGTTCTCTTCGTCGGAACCGGCACCGTCGCCTGCGTCGGATTCACCACTCTCGTCTTCACCGTCGGCTCCCATACCGAATCCGTCCGCGGCAAGCAGCTCGTCATCCTGGAAGTCCACCGACATGTCACCATCCGACTCCACATCCTCGGCCTCGGCCTCGTCTTCGCTCTCTTCCATCCTCTTCCTCTTCTCCTCCTTCTTCAGTTTCCTCTTCAACTCCGCATCCTTCTGCTCTTTCCTCCGCGAGATGATATCATCGATATCCACAGCCTTCTTATCCCCATTCTTGTTCGCGCTCGCATCCCCGTTCTGCGTTTCCCATCCATCAAAGCCCTCAATCACACCAGCGGTCGCATGCCCACCGACATCAAACTCGAATTCTGAATCCAGCGCACCGTCATCCTCGCCAGCATCTGCAGCCTCTTCCTCGTCACCCTCCTCCTCTTCTTCTCCATCAGATCCCGCCACAGCGGCACCTTTGCCCTTCTTGCTCTGCTTCAATTGCTTCTGCTTCTTGTTTTTTCCCTTGGGAGCCTCTGCCGTCTCGCGCTTGCGCTTCTTCGATCCGGAAGCTGTCTCTTCATCGGCTTGCTCATCGCCCTCGTCGGCGCCGTTCTCGAGAACATCGTTTTCGTCGTCTGACAGCGTGAACACGAAATCGTCGTCTGGGACGCTTGTCCGCTTTTTGCTGGGAGCCATTGTGGTGGAGATGGCTCGTTAGAGCACCTGTGGGAAAATATGATCGGTAGACCCTATACTCAGAAAAGACAGGTATAACAAAAGAATATAATTGAATAAGGGAGTCGAGCACCCCTTGTCTTTCCTCTAAGCTCTCTCTACTTTTTCTTCCGGCGGAGATGAGAAGGGAAAAAAGTTCAAACTGTGAAGGCGGTGGAGGCATTTTGCGCGGCAGAACTCAGCGGGAGGTCAGATTATCTACTCTGATTGGTCTTTGTCCTCTAATTGAGACAGGCATATCTCACGTGGCTTGGATATATTCTGTAGATGCTTCATCCATCACAAAGTAGCGAGTAGATATGCTCTTTTCGCGAGGATTCGTCTTTGGAATACACTGCTTGTTCAAGGAATAGAAAGCCCATTTCTGTATTTGTACGCTTTGCGAATTCAATTGCTATTTCAATCCATCAAATCCATTCTTTTTCCTTTTTTTTTGTCCTTTTGTGCTTTTTCTGGCTGTACCCCGGTGAGACTGAAGTATTGTACAAAGCCTGATGCCTCAAATAGCAGAGAAAGCAAAGAAAAAGGAAAGAGATATCATCATCATCATCAAACATGAACCCTCGGATTCTCAATGTTTCCCTAATCCATTTTCAAAAGGCGCAAAGGCTCAAAATCCCAAGCGGTGGCGGCGAAAGTTCGAACCTGTATGTTCCTGAGATGCTTACTGGAGTCCATTCTCGTGGCTGTGGCTTCGACCAACACGGCATCCAAAATGGTCAGGATGGTATCCTGCGCAGCTGTGTAAAGCGAGCCATGGCCAAGAGATACGACAAGGGGCGCGCGCTCAAAGCATGTTGGAGTGGACGCGGACGTCCTCTCAAGCTTTGAAAGTGTCTCCATCGTCGTACCCAACTCTGCGAACCAAGTAACTGACATCAAGGCTGTTGCACGGCTTAGTAATTTACCCAGGAGATCCAGCCTGGTGGCAGCTGGAAGAAGGGAGACTTACAACTTTCCAGATTTGACTCTGGCGCCTTTAAGCACGCCTTGTTCTTCGAATTCATACTCGCGCTCCAGCCAGTCAAGCAACCATTTGACATGCAGGACGTCGCTCTTCGAATAAGCAATGGCAAACACAAGACGCTTAATGGTCCGCGAGCCGCCTGCGTAGAGCCCAGTGCGATCTTCACAGCTCGCGTCGCAGAGGTATCCCCGCTTTGGAATGTACGTGGCATCGCACGCTTCAATCAGCTTGTCGAGAAGACATTTACCTATGCCGCGGCGTTTCTGATCAGGCTTGATGAAGACCTCCAGTTCCGCGGTGAATTGACCAGCGGCTCCGTGTCCCAGCGACTCAGTGGCCATGGCATATCCCAGGATCTTCTCGGTGCTGTTGTCGTCGACAGTTCCGCGCTCGGCAGCCACCAGGAATGGCAATCTAGCATTTCTGCAGTCATCGATCCGCTGACGCAGAATCGCATCGTCTATGTGCGCTATTCGTGTACTCAAGTTCGAATTTTGAGTGTACCAGTTACAGATCGGGAGAAGCCCAGGGATATCATGATGTTCGCCGATTCGAAGGTAGACATTCGCTCTGGGACTCTTTGGGTCAGGTGGAGATGAGTTCTTGAGACCCTCAATGTAGCTCTGGCGAGCCATTCTTCTCCGTACCCTTTCCTCATCCTCCGCTTTCTTGATGTGCAGTTTCAGATTATGGCAATAGCCCTCGGCCGTCTCATGGCAGTGGAGGCGCGTCTCTTCGTCACGCACGTCCAAGTGGGCAACAGGGTGATCTAGGTCAGGAATGAAGCAAGATTGAGCCCCGTCCATATGCGCCGTGCCGTCGAAAAATGCTTCGTGATAGACATCAATGTAGTAGTCAATCTCTGAAAGCATTCCGAACCAGCGGCGGAACCAGTCCCGAAAGCCCTCGAAGCTAGAGCAAGCACGGGGACGAAACTCCCAGTCGACAAAGAAGAGATCGGCCCACTGGTTCTCAGGAACTTCAACTGGCATATGACCGACAGGCTTTTGGTCGAACTTAAGATTAGGGTACAGCAAGCCCTTTTTCTGCGTATGAAGATGATCCTGGTCGGGCCCGGGGCGCGACGCGAGGGATACCTTCCCGTCAACGATAGTTGGATATGCAGATGGACTGTTTGCATAGAACTCCCACTGAGCTGCAAATCTCTCCGCCTCTCCCCGAAAGGAGTCGAATCTGTATGTTCGAGTGGAACGTGCACTTTCCCCATGAGGCCTGGTCGAGAGCCTGCATTGAGTGATTCCATTGTAGAAGTCTGAGTTTGGATCCGTTCCCGGTCCATCCCTACACTTCACCAGACTCTCAGGGTTCGCCGTGGAATCATCGAAGTTTTTGTGGCGATTCAGATGAGCTTTGAGAACAATCTCCTCCTGAAGGCGCTTTAGCTCGTCCAGTGCCTCTTGCGGCGGGCCCTTGCGTGCGCCCTTCTGTGTGATAGAAGGTGTCTTGTCCTGCATGCCACTGCCGCCAGGGCCGACGCCATTGCCAATCTCAGCAGGCTCACGTTGAGTATCATTGGTATTGCGTCTGGGTCCCCGTTGCATCGATCTGGATGGAGCTTCGTTTCTTGTATTGAAATAGGCATGTGTGCCTTTGCTCGGACGACGGTTTTGAAAGCCATCTAGGGAATCGCGTTTGCGATGCAGCACAACTTCATCGGACCCGTTGCTATCAGATTTGACCTGGGGGTTTTCTGCTTGATATAACTGTTGTTAGCTGTATCCACAGGATCTTTATGGTCCCAGGAAATAAGAGCAGATATGGCTTACCCATCTTTGTGCTTTTCTGTGGTGGAGAGGACTGTTGAACTGTGTCAGGTTTGGTGACCTGGTTGGGAGTCGAAGGAGCCGCCTCAGCGTGGGTTTTCTGAGCAGGTCTCTTGGGACTATGTGGGTTTCTGTGTTCACTTCCTGGAGTAATCTTATGACGGCCTGGGACCTCTGTGTTTCCTTGCGTAGGTCTTTGTCTCCAAGAAGGATTAGGAGTGTAACGCTGTATAGAGGGTCTCCTTTGGTGGGGTCTGAGATTAGCAGTTCCCTCTGGAATATTTCGATGTGGGAGTCTCTCGATGTTGTCTTGTGTGGTCGAGAGTGCTGGGACGTGATTACTTCCACCACCGTCTTGCTTTGGGTTCGAGGCAGCTGGTCCAACATGAGTGCTGGGGAGCTGAAGAGAAGAAGGACCTTCAGCCTTCGTCTGCCCAGTCACATGAGAGCCTGCTTGATATTCCCTGTGTGGCTCTTTCACATGGTTGGTGATGGTCTCAGGATGACTGGTAGGCCAGGGCCTGGAGAAGAGATTCTCAGGAGCTGGGGGTCCGGGCTGTGTAGGTGGAGTCTGGTGTACAGGATATTCTAGGGTAGGCCTGCGTCTTTTCCATCCATTTGGCTTATTGGATCGATCATGCCTTCTCATGTTTGCTGCTCTAGTGCGAACTCAGTATCAGCAAGGAGCTGTTGACCAGGGTTTTTTCTAGAAGCAGGGATCATGTATAGAGATCTGATAGCTGCTTACCTTGTGCTAAGTCAGAGGCCTTGAAAGAGAAGAGGTGTGAGGGTAAGAGGGTAAGTTAAGGGATCAATAAAGATACAGTCCGAGAAGAAAGGAGCTGTAGTGGGAGAAAAGAGTATGGATGCTGATTGCTAGTCGATGAGAAAGGGTGCAGTGAAGGAGAGAAAGGGCCCTTCAATTAAGCCCTAGTGGTCTATCATATGAGCTGGACAGTGACAGGATCAATCATTTTTGTTAGAGTTGTGATGTTCATTATACCCATCAGTATGGGTATCCATGTTCCCTCTTATGTCAATCTACATTTTAGCATCATACTGATATACAGTTAGTGAAGAAAGGTATAGACTATTTAACCAATGGATAAAAGGACCAAAAAATATATGTATCGGTCTCTGTTCAAGGAGAAAGCGGAGATTATTTTATAGAAAAGGAGTTTTGTTTGTTGCTGAAGCTGTTGTCTCCTTTCAATGGCCCAAGGTGTCGTCCAGTCTTCGCCTGGCCAAATGCTCTCTTATCCCACGACAACCACTTGTACACAATAAAGTCATCGAGACCACTACAGCCAGAATGCTGTCAATATTGAGGAAAGCTCGATTAAAGGATAAAGAGATGCGAATATTGATGCTGTAAGTCTGACGAAGTACAGAGCAGAATAAACAAGGAAGTTGACAAGCATTCATAGTGGTCTTGATAATGCTGGAAAGACAACAATCGTCAAGCAGATCATGAAGGAAGATGTCACGACGGTCAGCCCGACACTCGGTTTTATTATCAAAACAATAGATTTTGAAGGGTAAATAATGAATTCACATGTTGCAATCGCTTCCTAAACTGACTTGGGCTATAGATATCGATTAAACATATGTAAGAGACGCTTCCAGTATCTCTGCAGCGAAGCTTGACTGACTCTTGGCCACAAGGGGATGTCGGAGGGCAAAAAACACTTCGATCCTACTGGAAAAACTACTTCGAAAAGACCGATACACTTGTCTGGGTTGTAGATGCGACAGACCGTCTGCGAGTCGATGATTGTCGCGATGAACTCGCAGGGCTCCTTTTGGAAGAGGTACGGTAGCTCCATCCCCGCCAACAAAAGTTCTGCGGTCAACGCGGACCTCTGCTCACCTCTGTTTCTCCAGCGTCTGATGGGAGCCAGCCTCCTGATATTTCTGAATAAGACAGATGTCGAGGGCTGTATGGCTGAGGACGAAGTCCGACAGGTGAGTAAATATCTTCCGCCTCCATTAGCAGGCTACTTCGAACGCGTGCTGATTGCGAGTTAAGCGACTTCGTTTGGATTCAATCAAGACGCACAAATGGACTATATTGCCATGTAGTGCCATCACAGGCAATAATCTGAATGAGGGTCTACAATGGGTTGTACAGGATGCGAAAGACAGATTGTTTCTCTACTGACTGGCGCGTCTGTTTGCTGCTCGCGGATCTACAGAATCTGCGGAGTACCTAAATTTGGAATCTCAATGAAGTTGACGAATTTACGAGACGCTGTGAGACTCGGTTGAAAGCATGATATTTCCGGGAGAACGATGTCTATTGAGTGATGTATGTCAAGGTGTTGAATCTTCTCAGTGTACTCCGCAGGTTGTCCAAGAATATATTGGCAGCTTGCAGTCGAAGCTGCTGTGGTCAGCTTGCCCAGTCTTTTGAGTTTTGAGCTCAGTCCCTATTCTATCAATTTAAACTTCAATCACGTATTCGCTAACTCTATACTATCACTTTTATTAAGTCTTACATATCAAGCAAACCATCGCCATATACCTCCTTTGTTGTCCATAGTCCATATACTGACCTAGCTTGTAAAAAGTACCAATACCTACAAATCGGGCGCCAAGGGAGGCTAGAAGGCCGATAAGCGATAAGCGACGCCAAAACCCTCCAAACTGACTAGGATTGAGATATTGTCTAGAATTCTAAGGTAGATAAATATCTAGATAGTCTAGACTGCAGATGAGGATTTTAAGGATTTTTGGAGATCGCTGTTGTGCTTGATTCAAAGTTGTACTACTGTCCACCAGGGGTACTAACAATAGTGACTATTGCGTAACCAGCTGCATTAAAGTTATACGCTGGACAATTAGTAATGAGTATTGTGGCTTAACAAGGGATAAAACTTTCAGTGTCATCCCGCATTCCAAATCGAATGGTGTCAAGTTTCAGAGTGAGCATGACAATGTCCATTTTGAGCATTCTTGAATGTCTCCCAGACTTTCGGGGCTCTAGGAAGATGGAATGATGTCGACCGACGGAGAGATATCTATTCTGTTTCGACTCCTGCCTTCGATGCTAGTTTCAGGCTTTCAGCACAAACTAAAAAGCTGAGACTTGCTCCACCAGGAGACCCAGATGGAGCCCGATTCCGACCGGTTTCTTGACCATGATTCTTCCACTAAAAAAGGCTGGGCATAAACAGTCTTCCATGTTGAGAAACATCAAAACAAGCTGTCGTACTCGCAATCCCTCAGGCAAACAGGAAGAGTCAAACCATCTTCCGCCCTGGTTCAGACCACTGCTCTGTGTATCCTGTGCTCACTATGGGGTGACACACAGACGATCAAGACCAAGACCGTTGCTCTAAGTTCTGACTACCTTCGTTCGCCGTACTAATCACACTGCCACAGTCCACAACTGCTGAGGTTCTGTCAGACTTTCGCTTCTCGCCACCCCCCCATCGGAAAAAGGCAGACGTGGATTGGGCGTTCGCGTGGATGGGAATGGTCAATGGATGGATAGACGAGGGCGCCGGGTGCCTTTCAGCAAGGACGTGGTGGGGCTACAGGCTGATGTGCGATTGAGGCAGCTGAAAATAGACACTAGATGGTGGACGGATGACTTGTCGTACGCGTTTCGAGTCACTACTGGAAAAGTCCGGAGAACAGTGTCAACAATCGGTAATAAGAATAAGTTGAAAAAAATCGAGAGAGACTACAGAAAGAGTGTCTGTCCATGAAGAAGAGCCAGGGTTCAATGCCGGGAGGACAAGATGATCGTTCCCGAGATCCAACGTAGATTAACATGAGACGCGCCGTGGGAACCAAGACCCAAAAGTATGTCGTTAGAGCAGGCTGGAGTGACCTCGACATCTATCTCCCGTATCTTAAAAGAGTCCCTAAACTCTTGAAGCAGTGAAGCAGTAGTGAACCAGTGAAACCTAGGTAATACAGACAACGAAGGAATTGATGATAATCACCATTTCCTTCCCCCTCTATCACTAGACTATCTATCGCTAGATGGTTATTTACGACCATTATTTATTGCGATTTGCGCTTCTCGCCAGGACCCCACACCAACCCTGGTTCGACTGCTTGACTAGAATCTAAAGGGGAGAGAGAGAGAGAGAGAGAGACAGACAGACTAGGTGATCCTGGCTGGTTGTGGTTATTATTGTATTGTCATCCTCGTTTTGCTCATTGCTTTTTGTCTTTCCTTTCTCCCTGTCCATATTTCCTTGTCATCTTCTTTTTCTTCGCTCCCTGAAGCTTGAGGTGGCCATGACAATCACGACCGATGCCGAGAGCACCGAGGATGTCAACGACTTCCTCCTACGGATCCGAGAGCTAGGAGAGAAACGTGATAAGGAGGACGAGGAGCGGACCAGGAAGCTGGAGGAGGAAATCCTGCAGGGTCGGAAGGAGAGGCAGGCTCGCAGAGCTGGTAATTTGGCGTCCCTCATCTCCCAGTCACCCCTGATTCATGGATTTGTGGATTTGTGAACTACATCAGCCTCCTCAGACAAAATTCAACCCGAAAAAAAATATCCATTACAAAAGCTGATCGTGTGTTGTCTTCCTTTCGAATATGGTGTAGAGCGAGCGCGGTCGATTTCTCCCACAAAAGACTCCCCGATCCTGGACCCTGCTCGCTTGAGTATTTCTTCGCTAAGCCAACGTGCGATCGACCCTCCAGAACAGCTCTCTCCCACACCCCGGACGCCAGAACATGTTAGCAGCACCAAATCGGACCTGATCCGGGACGACGAGTCGATAGCTACTGATGGTGATCTGGGAGGATCGAAACCTGACGGAAGCGAAATGGGAACCTCTTCGAGGCCTACTTCTCCTGTTGCGCGCAGCAGAACCGGGACGCTGTCCTGGCAGCAACGCCCGTCGTCTCGCGATCTGAGTGGCAATAGATCATTCTTCCCTGCCTCGCCCACTCGCTCGCCTACCCGCCTGAATCGCTTGAGCGCCCTATCAAACTTCTCCAACGACGATCTAAAGTTATCCCGCAGCCCACTCACCCTCTCACCCTCAGCGAAAGATGTCTCTCCGGCACACCCGACACCTTTGGAAGAGACCGCCGACTCGACTGTGGAAGAGACCGTTGAGGAAAATACGGATACTGGAAAGTCTGTACTCGAACCGAGCCATACAGACCACAAGGATATCGATATGGATCAAGAAGCCCCTGACGCAGGAAAGCAACACACGCCAGTTGACATCGGCGAGGAAAGGTCGCGCTCTCCGTCCAGAGCGAGCTCGACCTTCGGAGACAGCAGTTTAGGACAACGATATTCGAGCGTATCTTCCGTATCCACGGCGACCGGACTTGGATCCCCAATCCGTTTGTCAAGCGCACAAAAAATCGAGCCTGACCCGATCACAAGTCCTTCCTCTCCCAGGAGACTTTCACCAGAGCGTCCAGCGTCACCAACAAAGGGTCTAGGGGGTTTTGTGCAGAGTGCCATGATGAAGCGATCGGACAGCGTCTCGAAGCGGTGGAGCGCGCAATTACCAGCTGGGCTCAATCGAGGCAGCTCTTTTGTCAACAATCGTAATAGCATTGCTGCTCCTTCTTATAGCGATATGTACTCTGGTGCATCTCCGCGGTTTGGTCGCGAAGATTCGTCCTTGGCGTCCAAAAGACCAAGTTCGAGTCACAGCGAGGCGACGATTGTCCATACTGCAAAGGAGGATGAACGGCCGTCCACCCCACCTAACCCGAGCAACAATACGCGAACTGACGAAGGTGCTGGAAGACCGATTCTTCATATGCGAACGTCAAGTACACTGAGCAGGAATGACCAAGATTCAGAGACAAGTCCTGCGGTTTCAAGGACTATGGATCAGAGACGCTGGAGCCCGACAAAATCCACATGGCTGGAGAGCGCACTGAATCGGCCTGATTCTCCCCGGCATAAGAGGCAGCAGTCGCAGCAAAGTCCATCTTGGAAAGACCGACAGTCCCGAGGTAGTGTGGATTTGGGCCGAGTGAACTCCTTCAAGGAAGTCGCGACGGTCGGCCTTATGCGCACAACCGCACCCGGGAGCCATTTCAAGTCGCTCAGTGTTTCTGGCATCCCAGATCTGCCTACTAAACTCGATACAAGCAATACCAGCAAAGCCAAGGAGCCTCAAGAGGAATCGACACCCAAATCGGAAGACCTTGAACCGAAACCCGCAGATGCAAGTCCGGCGATTTCTCCTACGAAGGAACAGAAAGGGGAAGAGGGAGAACCTGAAGCCAAAAGCGAAGATGTTCCAGCCCGCAAACGTGCTCCAACTCTGCTGACACCTACGACTAAGAAGGACATCAGCGTATCTTTGCCGTCTCCGCGTGATCCTCTTTTGAACCGACCAAAAGTACAATCTCCTGTGGTCGATTTCCGAGCAAATCTGCGAAAGCGAGAAGTTGTCAAGGATGATGCACCCCAGAAAGAGCCGGAGTTCAAGAATGTGTTTGGTAAATTGAAGAAAGCAGAAGCATCGAATTATGTCGCGCCAGATCAACTCAAGGAAAACATTCTGAAAGGCAAAGCAGCGCTGAATGCAACGGGTGGACCGAAGAAGACCCAACGAGTTGATGATCTGAAGGAAAGTATCCTGAAACAGAAAGAAGCCATGAAGTCCAGCGGGGGCTCACAGCGACGAAACACCGTTGGGGAGGATGATGTCCCTGTAAAGAGCATTCCAGAGGCGATCGCAAAACGGCATAATCTCTCTAAATCTAGCAGTATCAGGAGCAACCCCTCCATTGATGGCCTGCCATCACCGTCGTCCCAGGAATCTACGGCACCACAAGACTTCGAAAATCGCCCGCGATCCTTTGTGTCGTCGCCGGTCGTTGAAGCTTCGCAGGATATCCAGAGTCCACAAATTGCCGCAGCAATCCCAGAGCCTGGCGAAGCGGAGGATGCAGTCACCAGCCCGACCTCTTTCCCTGTGAATAGTGAGGAAGGTGGTAAAACCAACGGCGATGGCCAGGGGAATGAGTCGAAAACAAGCACTGCAGTCCCTTTAGAGATGGGGGATCCCGAGGAGGAGGCTGACAAACCGGTGCGTGCTCTGCCATCGGAGACTGTCGCGGAGGTTGCCGAAACGCCTGCTGCTACTGAAGGTCTTGCTAAAGGTAAACTCGCAGGCCGAATAAATCCTGCCTTGGCAGGGCTCCTGTCACGCGGTCCTCCAATGTCCAGTGAGGGTTCGAACAAGCCAATTTCAGCCAGATCAACACCAGGGAACGATCTCGAGTCGCCTGACAGTCAATCTGCAGCGCCTCTCACGCACATGACGAAAAATCGTGCTAGGGGACCGAAAAGACGTCTACCAAAGACTGTGACTGTTGAATCAATTCCCTCGCCGGTGAAAGATGAAATTTTCGCACCAAAACATGACGAGCCGTCGGCAAACGAGAGCAACGAGTTGAATCTCAGCCCCATAGTTAGTCAAGCTCCTGTTAAAGTGTCTAGCGGCTGGCCACTCCCTGACACGGAATCGACTCCTGTTGAAACGTCCGAGATGATCCTGCCTCGATTGGCTTTCTCACCTCCTGAGAGACCAGTGGAATTCAAACGAAGCATACCACGACTGATGGAACGCAAGGTTGAGCAAAATTCAGACAAGCGAGCATCCCAGGTTTCGATGGATTCGAAGATTTCCCCAAGCCCTCCGAACGACCTTGAAGATATCGAGAATCTTGGAGACTCTCCCTCGCGAAGACCAAGTTTGCCACCAAAGCCAACAATAGCACCGTCATTTCCTGTTGAAGGGCTGACACGTCGGTCGCCAGCGCAATATTCATCTCCGTCACCCTCGCCGTCTCCTCTTCGAACTAACTTTAGAGAAAATCGGATCCAGTCTCCCTTGGCAACTCCTCAGAAAACCGCGCCTGGTGGCTCCATCGACCTGTCCCGCCGGGACAAGGCCTTGCCTTCGCCTCCTGTCCCTTCAAAGGGGCCACTATCTCCTGCTGATCAGCAGTCATTATCCACGAGATCAACAAGATCATCGGTATCGTTAGTTCCTCAGGCCGAGGAATCCCACGAAATCATCTCAAGCTTCTTCAGGACGTTGCCTAACTCGAACGATCGCGTCAACATTGACACGCAATTGATGCTTACTACCCCGCGTGGTGATGGTAGAATTCGAACATTGAGGAAACAATTATGGGAAATCACCGGCGACGGGAAGCGGCAGGATCTTCCAGTCAATCAAGAATACATCCTGTACGAGGGAAGCATGTATCTGTGTGTCCATGTTTTCGAGTCCGATGGCATGGCACGGATTGAAACCCACCTTTGGTGTGGTGACGATGTGGGCGATGCGGCCATTGACGATGCACAGCCATTTTCCCGCAAAGTCGCGCGAGAAAACGGATGCAAATTGGAGATTATCAGGCAAGGTAAAGAAACTGCACGATTTATCCAGGCCCTTGGTGGGATTCTCATCACCCGTCGTGGCGCCAACTCTCGCTCCAGCTCTTCGGCTATCTTTATGCTCTGTGGACGCAAGCATCTGGGCCAAATGGTCTTTGACGAGGTCGACTTCTCGAGGAGTAGTCTGTGCTCGGGATTCTCCTTCGTGATATCTGCTACTTTTGGCAAGTTGTACCTCTGGAAGGGCAAGGGAAGCACGGCGGAAGAGATTGGTGCCGCGCGCCTCATTGGCATGGATCTCGGTCTGACCGGTGAATTCGAAGAGGTGGCGGAGGGAGACGAACTGGAAAGCTTCTTCGAGATATTCTCCTACCCCAGAGAGGTTGATGATTATATGCGCTCCGACTACTGGCAGCAGCGGCCGAATCACGACCGTTATCGACTCCGACTGTTTCGAGTCGACCACGAGCTGGGTCAACGAACGGGCTTTTGGCTTCGGCGACGCTCAGGGTCATCCTCGCCTGTGATCCGACCAAATGATACTGTGCAAGAAATTGTGCCGTTCCGCCAGAAGGACATCACGGCCAAGGGAATTTACGTCCTGGACACCTACTTTGAGATTTATGTGTAAGTGGACTACTGTTTCTTATGTCACAGTGAAACGTCCGCTGATTTGTATACAGTGTCGTTGGTGAGCAAGCGTCTCAGCGACCCGCCGAGTTTGCTTCCGCCGTCGTATTTGCGCATGAGTACGGCATTCTAGCTGCTTCCCTTCAGGATCGACCCTTTATCCCCAATAGTCTGGTCTCCATTGGAGGACTTCCCGAATCGTGTCGCAGTGCATTTCGCAAATGGGACAAGCGTTCCGGGTCGGTCCAGCCGCGCGTATTCCCTCTCAACGCGGCTATCGAGTCCATTCGATCTTGAACCCTGTTCTTTCTCAGGTTATGGATGTGTATCTTCTCTTTTATAGTCCATAATTGTTTGCGTTTTGGGCGGGATTGTGCATAGGGTGGCCTGTACAGATACGGAGCTTGGGCGGTGATTCATCGATGATCTATGGGGTAGGGATGGCAATAGATGGCTGGTGCGCTTCTTTTCAGCGGATATATTGTGTTGTATGATACTTTCAGGCGTCTGTTGTGCTATGGAAATGTGTAAACTGCAAAGATGACCCGCGTTCTAGGCGGATGGATTGATTCTGGTTTTCGGGCTGATGCATATGCGAGTATGGAGATGATTCGGTTACTACGGAGTAGACTGTTGATCTACTACCGATGAAGTCAACCATCGAGTCTTCGGCTTCATCAGAATCAATACTACTACTGATCGATGAGAAACAAGAACAAGAAGCTAAACCATCCGGAAATGGCCGTTTCAACTTGACCCACCATCAATCAATCTTGCTTAGCTCACTTTGGTTATCGCCTCTTTTTTTTCTCTCCCCGCCTCGCCATCGTCCCTGGGCTTTTCATCATCAGACCATGTGAATTAATCTAATCCATCTTATCGCTCGAGATAATTTTTCTTTCATTCATCCTTTCTCTTTTATTCAAAACAATCATCTCTCATCATGTCTTGATGCTTCCACCATAAATACCCATTTCTCTTTTTAAGAAGAACACAGTCCAACTCGATCCGATCGCCCACGATGGACGACCCCGCTGTCGTTCGCGAGCTCTCCCGGCTCGATCCCGCGATTCCCTTTCGCGCATCCTCCGACCACCTCCATCACACCTGGGCCAGGACGTTCTACTCCCGTCCCGAGCTGTATATCCAGCCGCAATCCATAGCCGAGATCCAGAAGCTGGTGACGGTGGCCCGTCGGTGCCGGCGTCGCCTGGTCACCGTGGGTAGTGGCCACTCGCCATCGGATCTGACCTGCACCTCGTCGTGGCTCGTCAATCTGGATAACTTCAACCGCGTGCTTGACATCGATCGGGAAACATATCTTGTGACGGTTGAGGCGGGGATCCGGTTGAGGGATCTTGGGCGGCGGCTGGAGGAACATGGCATGACGTTGTCGAATCTGGGGAGCATTGATAGTCAGTCGATTGCGGGGGTCATCGCGACGGGAACCCATGGGAGCTCGCTGTGGCATGGTCTGATCTCGGAGTGTATCATCTCGCTGACGCTGATGCTGGCCAATGGACAGCTGGTGCGCTGTAGTGCGTCCAGCAACCCGGACCTTTTCCGTGCCGCGTTGATCTCCCTCGGTGCATTGGGTATCGTCGTCGAGGTTACTTTGCAGGCGGAGCCTACTTTCAAGGTCGCATGGAAGCAGAGTCGACGACGGCTGTCAAGTGTGCTGGCGGAGTGGTCCTCCGGCCTCTGGACTTCACACGAGTTTGTACGTGTGTGGTGGATGCCTTATGAGAAGAGTGCGATCGTCTGGCATGCAGATAAAACCAACCTGCCTCTTCGGAAACCGCCAAGCAATTTCTATGGCGAGTGGATCGGCTACCAGATCTACCATAACCTGCTGGCCCTTTCGAACTACTTCCCCCGGATCCTGCCCTGGGTGGAATGGTTTGTCTTTGGCATGCAGTATGGTTTCAAGGCCGAGGCAACAGTGACGGAGGCGGTGGAGCCCGCCCGTAAGGGTCTTTTGATGAATTGCCTATACTCCCAGTTCGTCAATGAATGGGCCCTGCCTCTTGAGAAGGGCCCGGAAGCGATCACGCGTTTGTCGGCCTGGCTGCATGGGGATATGGAGGTGGCTCGTATCCCGTTCCCTGTGGATGGGCTGTGGGTCCACTGCCCTGTTGAAGTCAGGGTGGCAGACTCGACCCATAATAAGAGACCTCGCCCGTTCCTTGATCCCACCTGTCCTGATGGACCGACTCTGTATCTGAACGCGACCCTCTATCGCCCATATCACCAGGACCCTCCATGCAAAGATCGCTACTACGAGGCTTTCGAGTGGCTCATGCGGGACATGGGTGGGAAGCCACACTGGGCCAAGAATTTCCACACTGATCGTCACGAGCTGCACAAGCTCTACGGCAAGGATATGGATGACTGGCTGAGGGTACGGAGAGAGGTTGATACCGACGGCATGTTTCTTGGTGAATGGCATCATCGCAATCTTCCCTTGTCGGATGATGAGAAGGAGGAAACCGCGTCGATCATCTTCCCTCTTTCGGAACGAGAGAAGACTCGTCACCAAGCGCACTTTCGTGGAGCTGGCGATGGTCTTGAGTGGATCGGAGATAAGCGATGGCAGGCAACTTCAGGACATCAGGCTGTTGCCCTGTCGAGTCTCGAGGGAAAAGATTTGGAAGGTGTGTCAGGTCCAAGCCCTCCAATGACGGCAGCCAGTGACGAAAGCTTCGACATGCTCGCCACTGGAGAAGCCAGCGTTATTCTTCCAGGTGACCGCTTGTCGAAGGAGGATGCCTGATAGAAGAGCCTAAAGTAGCAAACAAATCTAGTCCTTGGAAGTCTCTGAATGGCTGGAGCGGAATCCTCTTGGCCAGGGGTGTATAAGAAACGGCCTTCTCTGGCTGGCTGACCGTTAATCGCGCCAGCAAATATTGTACTCTACTATATCTTCATTCAAGCATGCCTAACGGTGATTCGATGCTTCCTTGCTGATCTTTTGTTTCTCATCCATCCTGTTTTTTTCCCCCCTGGATTTGGCTCACCGGTACCCTGCTGCTGGCGTGGGCATCACAATGTCGTCTTGTGAGCAACAGAGGCACGATGACAGTTGTTCTCAGAGCCCATTCCGATGTTCGCTAGATCGGTCATTGGAGGCTGACCCTGCCATGTTGTCAAAAGGGTCTGAAGCTCTGATCCTGAGGGCTTCAAGGTGTGCTACTTCGGTCAACTTTAATCGAATTTCGACAGGGTAGAGTACTGGTTGTAGGCGACACCGATCACTTGCATCGTTTTCTGGTCCAAACCGCGATACCTGCTCGTTACCACGGGGCTGAATCTGTATCTATATCGTGCGAGCAACGAGATCATGTAAGCCCGATCTGTTCTGACCTTCAACGGCAGCTAGAACTGGCAGGCATGACGCTTCTTGACTTTCAGATTGCTCTGCCTGGGTAGCTGATGAAAAGATTTATCAGCAGTGCTTATCATCGGCGTTCTTCTTCCCTGTCGACACGGGATATGGATTCTTTGAAGGGATTGGCATGCTTGTTTTTATGTCATTCCATGCAAGGACTACCAGGATGACTCTTTTCCAGAATCCCAGTTCGTGATGGACACAGATGAACTGCTGGTGGAATCATGAGACTCTTTCTATGTAACCAACTCGATTCTTCATGGATTGATCATGGAAAAGGTCAAATTTGAGAAGTACTGGTACTCTATCAGTATAGTTGATGATGGATGACGGCGGGTGAGTGAAAGTGGTGGTGCTGGTGTTGTGGGTGTTGGCACTTGGAAGTAGTAGTAGTAGCAGTTGTTGGCTTGTGGCTCTCCCGAACACTCACAACTCTGCCCACTTTCATCCCCTCCATCCTTTCCCTCTTCATCGTCAAGAAACACCAGATGAACATTCACAACCGTTCTTAACAGGGGAGAGAAACTCGAGGATCAGTCGGCGTAGATAAGAAAAAGAGACCAAAGAGAAAGAGCTACTACGCAAATGGACTTCACACATTGCTGCCTCCTTCTTTTGCAACCTTCACAGCACCGCCACATCTTCCTTGAGCAGAGAGCAGATCGTTGTCAATCATCCTGTCATATGCAAAATGAGCGCCATCATCTACTGCAGACCTCATTATTCATGTCGTTGTGGACAGATCGCTAATCATATGCGGACTTCTTGACGACCCCTCGCTCTCAGACCCCGTTTTTGAGCTATGACTGCGGTAGCTGCAAGCACACAAACCTCCCTGGAGACATCTCTTGTGTCTTCTTATACTCGTGAAATCAGCGAAAAACGATTCGCTCGCCATGGGTTTAGGTAAGATCACGCCTACAACTTCCATCATAGCCATCGCTGCGATGCAGGAGACCTCCCACTGAGAGCACTTACTCCTCCGTGTACTCCCCCTGTCCTGGTCTTCACTCTGTCAATGCTCAGGGAGGGGTAGGCTGTTAGACAGAGTGGGATTGACCCCTGTGCGAATATTGCTGCCTCAATATTGAGCTCCATCTCTCCTTGTGATGAATGGTCATTGTTGGGCTTTTTTTTTGCTTTTTGACCGCGCCGGCGACTCAGTTACTGACCAGAGAGACCATCTCATTTTCTTCTATGTCATCGAGCCAGTCCATACTCACTGCTCAGCTACAGTATGGATTGTCAGTTGCTGCTATGCACGGTACTTTCCATATGAGGCCATGCATTGCAGAGTGACATGCAGTCCTCGCATGCCGTCTCACCCCCTCAGTGCATCCCCAGTCGAATGAGGGCCTGATCGGCTGAGGCTTCTCATGCACATTGGCTTTTTGTCATCACTAGGAAGAAATCCCTGTTTCGGCCATTTTGCTTTTTTAATTTGTTCGGGCTCGTTTTCTTACCAGTCGATTTTATCTGCTTGACTCGATGGCTATTCATCATGTGATGCATTGTTGTCCAGCCTCCCCAACGAGAGTCCATCCTTTCTGACAATGGTTGTCCATCACACAGCAGCGGAAAAATAACTCTACCCTGGTCCTGGTAACCGTCCATGCGCATGATTTGGGGGCCTAGGACCCGCATTTCTCAGCCGTTTGTGTCTGATTCATGAATGGCCGACTCATCAATATCTCGCTGGGTCCTCGCAAACCAGGTTATACGGTGGACCGCGGACATTAGTTCGCGTTTTGTTAGCTATGCACTGAACTTGATACATATTCTCAAGCTTGCCTGTTGACATAACTGTGCATCGCGACAGGGAAGTCATTGGATCAGCGAGTATATCGCCTTGGCACGACACTGAGCCTAGGAAGAGGCACGCGCCCATTCACTGCATATATACGATGGACAGGAGTGTGACAATTGCGATTGGGAACTGTGCTGGCCGTCCGATCGCCAATGAAAACCATCGAAATCGCCGATAGGCGTCTATCACTCACCGGCCCAATCACCTCCGGGTCCTGCAGCACAAGCTCGCCGGTGTGAATGACTCTTCCTTTGGATGACGAGGTACTGCCACCGAGGATACGGAAAAGTAATACTCAAGGGAAGCAAATGAGCATTGCGCACTTGCGCAGTAAGGTAGAAACTGCCTATGTCACTGACACCGCGCAGCTAGCTGGTCAGAAGGTGATCTTGACGCTGACCTCCTGCGTTTCGCTGCCCAAATGACAAGGATTTTCTCCGGCTCGTGCAGACTTACAATGCTCTGCTGGCTGCCCCTTTTGATATGGCGGCTCGGACCGTTCACACTGGCCTGTCTCTGACTACTCGTGACCGGCAAATTCAGCAAAACTGCCAGCAAGGTTGATGAACACAAAGCTAGGCTACCAGTCGGGGCTACAGAGGCCGCTGCCGCATGTACCTGACACAGCCACATACCTTTGGCGACGTCGAGCGACCGCACCGGTCAATATCGTGATAGATCGCTTTTCCACGTCAGCATCGATAGCCCATGCGGTGTACATCGGGGTGGGGGAAGTGTATGCGGGGCATTGCGAAACATATGTTCCTTTTGTCGGACACTGTATCAGCATGTATAGTGACCGCAGATGCTCTCTCAGCCTCCCTCGTCTCTTTGCAGTTGCCATTTCTCGCATCTATCTGCCCCACCTGCTTGTGTCTTCTTAGCAATACAATATCAGCAGCTCCCCTCCTCTTGCCCCGAGACCATTCAACTGATTAGTCAGAATTTGCTTCTGAAGTCAGGGTCTTGTTGGTCTGCAACAAACACAACTGTTTTTGTTCAAAGTCTTCGAAGTTCCTCTCAGCTATTGCAACCGCACGGGATGTCGCGACAACCGAAGTTGTGTCCGAAATCACATATACCAGGCTACCCCAATGCTTTCTGTGATATTGCTGCTTTGGCATCGTTATCACAGTCCGAGTCTCGTTCTGCGCTGGGGGAAGAGAAGCCTGAACAACGTGTTTACCGCGTCAAGAGAAAGCATGTTCTGAAGGCTTGCGATCGTTGCAGGGTCAAGAAAACCAAGGTCGGTGCTTTTATCAGAAACCAGAGCAGTGTCTCTGGGTCTCCAGTTATTTGGTCATGCTCATCGCAAGTAGTGTGATGGGAAGCAACCATGCAATCGTTGCTCAGCGCACAACCACCCATGCCTGTTCCGGGAGAGAAAGGCCACGCAGGCGAAAGTATATTCCCGAGGGTGAGACTATTTCAACTCCTATATGACTCGTGTTTCCGATTCCTCGATCTTCGTGTTCCCGATTTTGGTGGGGTTCTGGGAGATCCAGTCTGACAAGCGTTGTCTGCCTGTACAGATTTGTTGAGATGCTTGAATCGCACCATTCCTTGGTTGTTAAGGCGCTTCAGCAACTCTACAAGCTATGCCTGAACAAAGAAGGGTTCCCTGGAGAGCCTCTCGTTGAAGCGCCTGACGGTTACCCCTTGACACACGCCATTCTGGACCGTCTGGGGCTGATTAAGCAAGCCGAGGAGAATCCAGAAGAGGGCAACGAAGATTCAGAAGATCTGCAGTACTTGCGACTGCTGTCCACTTCGACTGACTGCAGCGGGACGACCGATCCCTCCCCGGAGCCTGCTACTCCTCCTGAGCCCTCATCTAGCAACTGCAGTCCCGTCGATCTTTCACCTACAGGCACTGAATGGAAATGGAACTTCCCTCCAGCGCAAAGCATCCATTCTGAGCAATATCACAGTTTCCCGGATCAGCAATTCTCTGGACTGGCGCTTTCACAGTCGCCCCTAGGACCTGGAGTCCTTGCGGGCGAATCTGCCTGCTTAGACGCCTCTCCGACAGTGCTCGACCATGATACTTCCTACCTCTACTATCTGGATGGTTGTAACGCAGTTGCAAAAGATTCAATGAACTCTCATGTATCTGCAGGGCCTGACTTCCATCCAGCAGCATCCGCTGTCGGCATACCTGTTGACATGCTTGCAGGCTTCGATGTTCATCTGCAGGGACACCAGGCTCTACATCCGCCTCTTGTCCCAGGCTGGATCTACCCCCGTGGTTGACGGCCTTGATATGGGTTGGAAGAGTTTGATGAATCCATCCCATTTTTCTTGACCAAGATCCCATCTTCCTCCTCCCCTTCAGCGCACGCTACTTTCCTGCCATGCAGGCCCCCAACAGCCTACCTTTCCCTCGCTCGTTTATTTATCTCGCTTATACCCCCATTTCGTTGTCTCGCAATCGCATGTGCATGGTGTTTTCTCTCGTTATTGGTTAGTCTGTAATGCCCTGAGATACCATCATCAGATATCCAAATACAGTATGTTTCAGTCCGAGCAGAGGGAGTATATACAAAGGATCGACCTGCCTGCTAGTGTTAGGCCACGACTGGTGGTTTCACGACGCGGTGCCTTGTCTGGAAGACTTGTTTGGCCTCTCACTCACTCTCCTTAACCTTTATCCAGCTTACATACAAGCTTCTGGGTCACTCACCGATATTGACCGAGAAACAGGCTTGCTTAAAAGGAGAAGCCCAAACCAAAGCATTCAACTGTTGCAACTCCTGGACTAAATGCATACTCTAACATATACAGTGCACGAACAAACAAACTAACTCCAGGAGAAACAGTAACCCATCACCAGGGAGAACTTCCCAAAAAGAAAACAAAAAATAAAAAGACATCAACGCTACACAACCAAACCAAGATGACATGAGACGCGACTCTAAGTTCTTGGGCTTGATTTTGATGGGTGTATCATGTTTTCAAAATACAATTATCGATGGGGATTAAGTTTCTGGATTTCTCTTTTTTTCTTTTCGTTGCACGCCCGCTCTGGATATTTCATGAATTTTTACGACCAATACAGAATGCTCAATCATCCACGTCGGTCTCCGTGTTCGTGTCGCTGGTATCGCCCGCGTCGCCGTCGGTATCGCTCTCCTCCTCGCTGGATTCGTCAGAAGCCTTCTTAGCCCTCTTCTTGGGCGGTTGGCCCGTCTTCAGAGCGTGCATTTGACCCGCAAGAGAATCTAAGTAGGGGGAAAAAAAATTGTTAGTACATGTAAAGACGAAAATAAAGAAGAAAAAAATGAATAAACATACCTTCATCGGGCTCGCTGATGTCGTCGTCTACATCGAGAGCAGCTGCTTTGGCCGGATCATCAACATGTAAAGTGATCTCCATCTTTGTATCCAGACCCAGGTAGCTGTCACAGAGCATGTGCATGATGAAAGTGAAGTCTCCGACCTGCGGGGGTGCCTGGAACTGCATCTTGAGCGTTTGCACGTTGAACGTGGGCTTTCCGGCCTCGTCAAACAAGGGTTTGTCGAAAGTGGTGAAGGTGAAGGGAGGAACGGCCATCTTGCCCTGCTTGGAGTCGGCGAGAAAGATGTGCCAGCGGGGAGAGTGGTCGCGAGCCAGGTAAGGTGCGTGTGCGAGTGGGGGCTGGATGGTCTCGAACGTGTTCTCGACTCGCTTCCCGTTGACGAGCTTGGTGGGTCGGTTCTTGGGGGGCTTCCGCCCCATGAGGGCATCGAGATCATCTTCATCGGGATCGGCATCCTCAAGATCTTCGGGGCTGACGGGAGGAACATTCGAGAAACCGGGTGGGATGAGACGTGCTTTCACAACGAACTGAACCAGGCTGCTGGGGGTAACGACCTTTTCTCCCATCACTTTGAAGAAGGCCTTAGAGACCTCTAGAGCGGGGAGTTGTTTGGCGACGGCGACGGCGCTTGAGTACTGCTGTTCGGACAGGAGGCCAGGACCGACGGTAAGACTGCGTCGCTTGTCTTCGGGCAAGCCCATAAACTTCTGAACGGAGTAGTGGTCCTTGGAGTCTGCGCCTTCGATGGCCTTGACGACTTCATTGTTGAAGTGTGGCAGTTGCAGAAGTGGCGATGAACCCGGGGCAACGGCTTGGATCAAGTGTTGAGATGTGCGGAAGGAGCCGAGAATAGGACGAAGGTTACCGAACGCGAGGGAGATAGCTGTGAATGCCTCATTCAAAGACAGGGCAATTGGGGCAGCCTCGTATTTCTCTGTAGATAACAGATGTTTGTTAGTGGATGAAACTCCAGATATACAAGGAAGAATTGAACCCACCTCCATTGAGCGTAGCATCTTCCAGGTCAATCCGGTCCAGATAAGCCCACAGCAACGCTAGCGCCTTTCGCCGAGTGGAATCGTCCATCTGCGCAAGGGTCTTTCGTTGCTCCGGCGAGAGGATCGAATCCTCGGCCAGAACCCTCTTCTCCAGCTTTGCAAGGCCAGCTTCTGCCTGCGAGCCCTTGAGCATGTCCTTGAACTCGATACCTGATGAAAGCGCATCGATAATGCCGGCATCGGAAATGTCGTCCTTGTACTCCCGGAAGATGTTGCCCGCGCTCGCGACCAGGACCTTCTCCTTGGTGTAGCGCTGGGAACCGTACCACCACTTTCCAACGATGTAAGGCAGCAGCACGCCAAGCATGCCTCCATAGACCAGCAAAACATACTTTCCATTTCCTTCCGTGACGATGAGCTTGGGAAGAGCAATACCGATGCTGAAGCTCTGCTTGCCATCGGGGTGGCCGTACTGGACGTAATTGTTGCGCACTTCTTCATCGGTCAACGCCTTATAGGCCTTGGTCAGCTCAACGAAGCGGTCATTCAGGGTCTCGATCGTCTCATTCTTGGATGGGTCAGGGCGGATTTTGTCGGGGTGGTAGATGAGAGAAAGTCGCTTGTAGTGTCTGGAGATGGCTTTCTCATCGGCACTCTGTTAAAAGAAGAGAGGAAAGCAAATCAGCACACATCGCTCTTCGCTATTGCATATATCGCAGCGGTTGTTAGCCTTACTCTCGAGATACCCAGGATTTCATATGGATCCCAGATCTTCGGCACTGATCTGGCAGTGACGGCAATGAGATACACCATCCATGCCATAATAGCATAGCCAGCGACCACAGTCACTATGCGCTTGATGCGGCGTTGTTTGCGCAGACGTTTCCGCTTCTGCGCGTCAATGATGTCGCCATGTTGTGGCTTAAAATCGGATTTTATCCGGGGTGCGGTGTTCTCGAGCTCTTCATATCAACAGTCAGTCTCACTTCCGGCTGGAGATTGTCGCAAAGACCAGCACTCACCTTTGCTCGGCTTGAGGAGGTTGTATGTGAGAGGGAGGGTGACAAGGCCAGTAAGAGTCAGAATGAAGAACGGGAAGAATTGTCCCTAAGAAAGTGATAAGCATGGTTCTTGATACCAAGAATTGTGGGAACACAGTCTCTTACCTGCTCGTCATAGTTGTAATCTGTAGACATGGTGAGTTCACTGTGAACTCGCCTACCCTAGTCGAGTAGGAGAGGACACTTTGGGGTATAAGAGCAATCAAAAGAAAGATGAGGTGCGAGATATCCCCCTCATAGACAATGATATTCGTGGTAGAACGGATGGATTTATCTCAACTTCAAGAGCATGTCCTCAGGATGCAGAAACAAAGGAATGGAAAGGACAAAGGAGAAGGCTGTCCAGCATGCAGCATCTCAGAGTGAATCGCAGTTGTAGACACGGTTTATCACAGCATCGGACTTGGCTCAACTTGTGATCGACCGTGTCCTTTACGGGGGACGACGCATCCCACCGCCTGCCCGATATGGATTAGCACCATATTACAATAAACACAAGTAAACACAAGGCTGTCTGTCCTTTCCATCACCGATTGATTCCGGTCTACAATTCTACGAAGGAGAAGCAGTTGATTGAAGTGTTCTAATGAAATTGCGTTCAACTATTTTTAAGTATTGAGATATAGGTGGGAAATATTTTTTACTCATGGACACATTGATATCGTAGCTGTCATTTCAAAGAACACCTCAGGTCTGAGCTTCATTCTGTCTATCAAGCCTCGGTAACCTAGTCTGTTCTGTGCGTATAGAATGACGCTTTTGCTGCGGACGCAGTCCTTTCTTTTTTTCTAACCAGAAGGGGGTATCTTCAAAGGACCGTGCGGGTCCCTTCAAGAACGAGACAGGAATCTTCCTCACACCGGTTGCTACACAAAGCAATTTGCGACTCATCGCATCAAAAAAGCAACAAAACTCCGACAGCGTGATCCGCTTCGGGGGAACTCAAGCATCGACAACCATGATTAGGTCGGACGCGAATTCAACCCACGAAAGCAAAGAATCCGATGCGTGTTTCGAGTTGCCTTGTCTGATGCTGAAGGTTGCGCCAGCATGGTGAAATTTCCTGTACCAGAGACACATGGCCGAGTCTTTTATAGACCAATCCAATACCGTTCTGACTAAACTGCAGTCGGTGAGTACATGCCAGTAGGTGTTTTCATTGCTGCAAGTCATGACCTGGGGGGTCCCATGTAAATTGGTGCTCTCGCCCATTCGAAGGGAGTGGCGCTTTTGTTTTCTGTCCTGCTAAGGTCGGATCTTTTTTTTGCAGGGATGGTGGCGTGCAATCGTGATCGATCGACCATCGATTGGAATTTTTTGTTTTTGTTCGCTTGCTTCTCCGTTCCGACACAGGTGAGAATAGAAACCCGAAACAGTGATACGAAACCGGTCATCTGGATGAGAATTCACCCGGGTAGCGGTCTGATTAAGCTTGGTCTACCAGAAAGTTTCATGTCAGCACGGGATTTTGAGAGAAGGGTGACATGAGGATAAGGGATGACTCACGAGTCGATATAATCGAGGCCACCAAAGTACTCCAGCATGCGATAGCAGAGATCTTCATCATCTCCGGGTTCACCACCGAATAGGCGAAACTGCTCGTCCTCCATGCGCAACTTGCGTTCACGCATCTGCCATGCCGTATACCCATGAAGCCAGGTCTGGGCGGAGGGTACTGCAAAGCGATCCAATGAACTATGAGTGGCCTTGGCCTTGCTCACAGAGTATGCGAAGGGGACACATGAATTGCAGAAGGCCGTAAAGGGCACGGATGATTCGGTCGAGTCGATCTTGATGCTGCGGTTCCGAGAACTTGGGCGGGTGCGACGTCTGTTATGTCTCTGTCCCATTCTCAGGAGGGGAATTGGCCGGTCAAAAAGATCGAGAGAGATTGGATGTCGATTCACGAACGAAAGACGAAAGAAGCGTTTTTGAGTTGACTTTTTTTGTTTGTGGTATAAACTCCTCTCCTGTTGATATGGGGAGAAAATATAGTGAGCGGGCGAGCTGGGGGGTATAGAACTGGATAGACCACTTCTATACAATCATCAAGAGGGGAGTGACCATCACCCCCTGGGAAGGATGAGATGAGGTGAAAAAGAAAAGCAAGAAGGGAGAAAAAAAAAACCAGAAGCTCAAGAAGTACGAAGCCCAGGAGACCAGGGTATATAAAAGTTCAAGATAGCTCTGGGATGCGTTGGCGCTGTGGTGTGACTCACTACCGCCCAATCGGGTAAGCCATGCAAGATCAGGGATAGTCCTGAGCCTAATCCTGCTCTCTGGACTTTATTCAGGGTTGCGGGAGTTGGAAAACTCATCATTCCGAGCAATCATCGGGATCCACTTGGGACACAAAAGGACCGCCAAAAGATCCACCGCAGTGATCGGGATTAGGAGTCATCGTACTAAAAAAGCAGTCCTAAATGACTCCAGCCTATCGAATTGGTTACTAGTCTAGTCTAGATGCTCAAGCAGGGGTACCTAATGAGGAATTTTTAGGATGGTGACAGATGGACTAATGGCGATCCAGAATGGCGCAAGAAAAAGGCATCATTCGTGATGAGTCAGGCATGATCCGATGCCTAACCACCAGCGTTGAAGTCATTACCAGGGCCTATGGAGTCATGTAGAGCATCGATGGACCAATTTGTTGCAATATTCACCATTTATTGAGTATCAGGGCCAATCGACTCTACAAGTTGTGACTATCTATCTAGTATCTACAAACTACTCCGTACCTTATTCATACTTATGGTTTGATCTCGCAATGCCTGCAGCAGTACGGAGTAGGTTCAATATGTACAAGTTCTGTATACTACTAGATCAGGAGACATTGGCATAAACCCTCTGAATATCCTTCCTAGCCAAGGGTAACCCGGAACCGATCAAAAAAATATGACCTCACTCTCTAATAATCTGTCCTCCTGAGTGACAGATTTTTTTTTTTCTCCTCCTTTCCGTAATACAAAAATAATCAAATAAAAGTGGTCTGACGAAGAAGACAAGCCGGAAAATCGGAGAGAAAAGGAAAGGAAATACGGGAGTAGTAGGTAAGTTGGGGAGTGTGAGGTGGACACGGAGTCTGCCTGTTAGCCCCGATGGCCTTTGAAAATACCAATCATCGTGGCAAAACCAGCCATGCCGTATGGTCCGACTTGGTTTTCATTCAGGGCATGTCTGGCTACCCCTTTAACCCTAACTACTAATTACTGTGTAGATACTCCATAGAAATATTATTGTCAGTTGAAACTACGGAGTTGGCCTTGGCGAAATCGTCGCCGATTGCGAAAAAATTGAATAACTCATGATAGTCCTGTGGCTGTTGTGCGGACCTCGTCATGGCTGAAATGCCGTTTGTAAGAGAAATCATCCAGCCAGGGGAAGTTGGGAACAAAATTTCGATATTTGATCCATATATATCCGTTATCCAAGAATGCATAAGAACAAGTTACACACGCATTACGTGGTTCCATCTCGGCCCTTCGCACAAAATAAAAAAAAAAAAAAGTCTCATCTGTCGCTGATTCAGATTTGCTGCCTCAAATGAGGATGAAACATGTTCCCCCCTCTCTGTTCAAGTGTCCACGCAGCAGACCCTCTTTTCAGGGCAATGAAATTAAACACGCTGGCTAATTGTCGATCCCGCGACGGATGATCTCTAACATTGCCTCGCCCTTGGGCGCTGTAGTCAGGTTTTCATATCCGGAGCTGGTGACTAAGATGTCGTCCTCAATACGCACGCCGCCAATGGGGATGTATTTCTCGGCCTCGTTGAAATCGATGTACTTTGCATAGGGTAGTTTCCGGGCATTCGCAAGCGCGAGCCGCGAAAAGTATATCCCAGGTTCGACGGTGACCACCATTCCTTCCTCTAACGCGGGAGCGGAAAGGGTGCAGGGCCCGTGGCTGGTGGATGGTGTCAGGACTGAGTTATAGTAATCCCTGTCCGCATCCGAAGCTCGGAGATCCTTAGCTGAAACATCGTGGACCTCGAGTCCAACATGGTGGCCTAGCCCGTGTGGAAAGAAGACGGTGGACGCTCCAGACTCGCGAATCTCTTCTACCGAGCCGCCTCTCAGGATACCCAGTCGCATCAGCCCTTCAATCGCGATCACGTGGGCGAGGACCTGCAGATCAATAAATCGCACCCCCTTCTGGATCCGTTTGATACACTCCTCTTGCATCTCCTCGACCAATTGGTAGATGTGTCGGGCCTCTGCACTGGGCCAGTCTGTACCCAGGGGAAATGTGCGCGTTACATCACTGGCGTAGCAGTTCCACTCAGCACCCGCATCCAGGCAGACCAGCTGCCTTCCTCGGAGGGGCTCGTTGTTCTTCACGTAGTGAAGGACGGCCGCGTTCTCGCCAGACCCGGCGATAAGCTCATATGCCTGGTTCTTGGCTCTATGGGATATGCATGTGTTCAGAAATAGACCCTCGATTTCAGCCTCATTCGACATCCGATGGATGTTTTCAAGCACCCTCCGATGTGCTAACCCGGATATCCGGTTCGCTTCGCGGATCATTCGAATCTCATGCTCATCCTTGACTCCTCGGGTTGCATCCATGGCTGGTAACAGAGATTCGTCATCAAAGCGAACTTCGTTCGAAGACACTCGTGGTCTCTGGGTATCGTGCAGTATATATAACGGACTAGACTGGTTGTACTTGTCCACCCACCGTTGGACGTCGCCCTGAAGCGAAGCATAGTATCGCACCTGATCGACATCATACCGTTCCCGTGCCTCTTCCACTGTCAACGTCGGGCCCATCCACACTGCGCGATGCAGGTCGAAATCGGGAACATAGAGCGTCAATAAGTCGTTCCTGATATCGTACGTTACATAGCAGTCCGCCTCGTCCACCCCGCTCAAGTAGTAAAAGTATCGTCGCTGGCGGAACGGACGCGGTTGGTCCGAATCCCCCCAGTTAACCGTAGGTTGGCCGGCAAGGTAAACCAGGCCGGTCGAGACACCGAGCTTCACTGCTACTCTCCGCGCATGTTGTTTTGCTATGCGATAAGTCCGTCTGTCAGCCTCAGGGAACATGCGATTGCAGTGTGGGATGAAAGGTTAAGAGAGCAAAAACAGCAATGGGGCGGACACTATCCAGAAGGCGCGATGTCCGACGTACCTGGATACTTATCGCATGCATTGCTGGTCATGGCAATGTGGATGTCAAGGGCGTCAACGGCACTGATAACGATGTCTGACCGCCCCATGTCACGCATTGTTACGTTGGCATTTACCTATCCTTGTCTTCCGCTGTGACGAATGCCGAAGTAAAATGGGTTTTGACCAGTCTTTGAAAACAACAAGGAAGGCAAGGAGCTGCGACGACGATGAAGAGCGAGAATACGCTGCAATGTAGGAGCCTACTAAATCCCTGACTCTCGAAGAGTAGGAGGTCAGATGGGAGGGAATGTGATGGTCACCGCCTCAGCTTACTAGGATGGACTAGCCGCAGTATGCCTTATCTGATACCATAGGTGCTAATAGATCAAGAGACAATCAACATCTGACACCAACAAGGTAAGTTTCACTCATAATAAGAGATAAAAGCTTACTATGACTGAGCTGAATCTATATTCCTAACTTTCAAACTAGTTACATGCGAGCAATTTTGAAGGAAGATCTCACTTTTATTTCGGATTCACCAACCTCGTCCGTGGATAAGGTTAGCAAGAAGTACCCTGTCATCAGTGGATGGCATGCAGAATACCGCAAACATATCTGCGGAAGAAAGGAGGCCGAGGTCGGCGAACAATAGGTCCTATATCTCAACTACATCTCGCGAATCTACAAATCAATTCCCCATCCACCGTCATCAGTACGAAAACTCCTGTCCCACCAGCTTCTCACTCAATCGCCAGAGCCTTTCGGCTTCGAAGCTGCTTGTGGCCCAAGGTTTGACGGTGTCCACCAAAGGATCGGCCACATGACAGTCGAGTAGGTACGCTCCATTATTGGCTACAGACATGTCAGTACATAGAAGAAAATGCATCGAGGTCTTTATGCGGACCACATACCTTTAAGGCATGGATCGAATGCCGCGTAGATATGTGTCGCAGCGCCCCTTTCTAGAGGTTTCACATCAAACTCCTGCCAACCTTCCCTATTACCCAGAGATTTGTCCAGGGCCCCTTGGCCAGAGTCAGTCTGTGGATCAATGCATGCGGTAGAGGAAGTGCAAAGACTTACCCAGCCCGTCAAATGCAACACTCAAGTCTAAATGGTTCGCCAAGTTGGTCCAGATCACCCCCGGGTGGACACTGAACGCCTGGAGATTATGCTTCATGGCAAGCTTCTGAGCCAGGGAGATGGCAAAGAGCATGTTAGCTGTCTTGCTCTGGCCATAGGCATACCAGCTGTTGTAGGTTTTGCCATCCTGCAGCGGTCATCTCTCCGTTAGTTTTCCTTTGGATACTGACAAGTCTACCTAGCGCCGATTCAGGAGTCCAACATACATCAAAATTGTAATCATCGAAGCGGATAGGGTTCAAGCGATGCCCAAAACTACTGACTACCACCACCCGGGGTTCCTTCGCAGCCACAATCTTCTCCATGATCAGATTGGTGAACAAAAACGGACCTAAATGATTTGTTGCTAGTTGGGACTCAAATCCATCAGGTGAGAGCTTAAAGTCCACCGCCATGATTCCCGCATTGTTGACAAGAACATCGATGACAGGGACATCTTGCCATGAATTAACCTGCGCGGCCGCGGCCCGCACGCTCTGTAATGAGCCCAAATCCACCTGGAGCGTACGGACTTGGACCGCAGGATGGGCTGTCGTGATCTCTGCTGCTGTTTGGGCCAGCTTCTCAGCGCTGCGAGCAGCCAGGATCAACAATGCTGGCTCGGCCTTCGCGATGGACTGGACGAAAAAACCGCCGAGTGTGCCCGATGAGATGCCTGTGGTCAAGACCACTTTGTCTTTGATCTGGGGGGCATAATCAGCGACTAGCTCGTCTGCCACAGTGTTGGTGTTGTATGGGGCGGGCATGGTGATAGTTCCAGATGAGTGATGGTGAGTGGATGGGAATAACAACAGAGATGCTCAACACCACAAGATCAGGGAAGTAACGGTTATATATCCTGTACATTGTCGCCAAGTTCCTATGATGTCGCGATTTCTAATACTTCTTTGTCCTTGACTACTCATATACCAACACGAACCCCTGCTGATGCGTATGTAGATGGGCAGAGTGGTAAGAAAGTACGGCCTCGCCGATTGCTCGGGATATGGGGTGGAAGCATCTAACTGCAAACAAGAAACCACCAATCCTGCTTCGAGGGATATCCTCTCTGGCTTCCACGCCCCCCTCTATTTTCGACCTGAACGGTACTAGCCCTGTGCAGTGGAAAGTGGCTAGAGTCTAGGCAGATCCCGGTTAGAATGTAGTGCCGTTCAGCGTTCCCCTTCGTTTTGATCTTCCTGATGGTCATCCTCTGGGATGGAGTCAATTGCCCATCGTGGATTCGGTGATACCCAGCCCGGATATAAGAATCTTACTCCGTGATGACCGGCTCGCATGGGAGTCACGGATAGAGCTATCGAATGGTATTTCCAAATCCAGAGATTCAAGAAAGAAGATCACCACGGGGCAGATAGAACAAAACCTACATGGATAGCGAAGATGATCGAAGGCCATCGTGTCGAGCATGTATGTGGAGGAGGGCCATTTTTCTTGCCCAGAATATGCAAGGGATTACCCCTGCCAGCAGGGACGACGTACAGGTACTGCATGATGATACCAGCGCTAGTCGTCGTTGGAAGAAGATGGTCCAACCTACTGGAAAGAACTATCATGCCATAATCTATGGCGGAGCTTGTGATCATTCAGCCCAATATTTCAGGGATAGGAGGACTGGTGCGCAGTTACTGGGCAGTTCATAATGAGCAGCATTGTCCTTGCGAATAGTCTAGGTGTCAGTGCAATCATCCTCGTGGTAGGCTGGCATGAAGTCAAGCAGAACTCATTACTTTGTAGCAGGAGTTATATTTCGGAATTGATCTTATCTCCGATGATCGCTTACAGACCTGGCAGCATGATCTGATACTGTGCCAGGAAGTAGATCCACTTAACCGAGATGCGATATTGAAGATCCAGTCGTGACGTTCTTAGGGAAGTTAATGATAAATGTTTTTTTTTAGTAGACCACCAAAATCTGGATTCAAGAGCTTCGATGATTCGGTACAATAAATCTCTCGTTCGGAAACTAAGGCAGCTGATGCCATGATGCTCCATAGGCTGACTCGAGAGGCTCGGCCATCATAAATACTGTGGTAAAGTAGGGTTTTATACTGAAGATATACCGCAACGATTCGACATATAAAGATGCGATGCGCGACTTCTTCGACAGAGAAAGATAAATATAGACCGGATCCTGCTATGAGTCTAATACATCACAGCCCTTTTTGCAGCAGCGAAGGGTGCCAACAGTTGAGTAACTAATAATGTATGAAGGGCTCGTGTAACGGTCTTAGCTCTTTTAATTTGCTTTTCTTGTTACTGTCAATAGGGGTATTAATACTCAGTGGTTATCCATCCCTCTGTGGTGTCTTTAGCAAATCTTGCAGATATTGTCAAGCAGCACGAAGAGCCAAAGGTATATCACATGTGCTCTGAAATTGTTCATGCGTGCCCTATGGAGATGCAGAGCAAGCAGAAATGACCTTCTGTTCAATGATCCTGCCTGTCAAGGAGTTGTCTCACTATCCCTAGATCAATAGTCTAGGAGAGGTTCTCTAGACGACTCCTTGTCCTGAATCTCGTCCCTTGACGGTTAGTTGGCTGAGAAGCAGGGCTTATCATCCATACTTAGGTTGATAGGTAGTGTTGCCGCCATTTTGTATCTGTCACAATCCGTCATCGATTAGATAGCAGGTCCAAGATAAGTATGCTAAGGTATGGTAAGGTATGGTAAGTTACATCACAGTCTGTATCTTACCGATCATGGGCTGACAGAAGGGCTGACACAAACTCCATCCCTGTTCAGGGGATCCTGCATTTTTGTCATGTTGGATATGGAGGAGAAAAGGGCTTGGAATTGAGCGAGACACAGAACTGGGATATGAGCATCAATAGAACTCATATAGAAAGGAAGAATGTCTAAGTCCTACCTCGAAGTCGAATCTGAATGCATCCCCCGGAAGCGTCATTCTGGGTAAGCTACCACCGTATCTAGGTCGGTTACTTACATACCATCGTAGGTAGGTGGTCTACGCTTCCCAGCTAGACTCTCTCTCTCTTCTCTCTCGCTCTTAACTTGAACTTCCACTCTCCTCCATCCAACAACCCTCTTATCTCCTCGGTGTCAACCGTCTTGTATTCTACGTCTTTGCTTTTTTTATATTAAATCTTTTGCTGTCGGTTATTCCTGTCCTTGTTTGTAATAATTATCAGAGATCCAAGGCCAGATACTCTGACCTTCAACATCCAGTCGATGAACGATGCGGGGATCTGAGGCATCGGGGCCTGGTGCTCTCTTGGGTGCTGCCTCAACTCTCACCACTTCGGTGATAAGGAATCCAACCTCGATCCCGACAAGTTCAGCGCCCATCCCGTCTACTGATGCAGGTCTAGTCGCTAAAAATGTCGAGCATGTTTTAATGTCACTCACAGCCCAAAATGATGGCGGCCTGGTCAGCGTCAGTGGCAATTCGTCGGGTTCGACCGGCAAGGGTATCTTGATCGGTGTTCTCTCAGCATTTGGCTCCGCGGTCGTTGCTGTCATCGTTCTTGCCATTTTTTTCTTCTTCAAGTACACACGGCGTGGCCGGATTATGCTTGATCGCATCGGGCGACCCGGCGAGTTTGACGATGAGCAGGCGTTTGCGCGCGAGGAGGCGGAAGCGCTGGAGGTGATGGATGATCTGTCGCGGTCCGAATATATGAGAGCAAAGGGTGAGTCTTGATAGGATGATTTAATTGCGATGTAGTCAATGCTGATTTGATGGTTTTCAAGCATTTGTGGAAGCCTACCCGCCCGAGTCGATGCAGACCGACATTTCGTTATCTCAGTTCCTCGCGATACAGGAAAAGGGTGTCTCAGCGTGGGAGTTTCAACCAGAGTTGGAAATCGCCAATTGTTTTGTTGAAGGCCGAACGGAAATTGAATTCTATGATTCGGAATGCAGTGTTCAGACCAACTTGCCTGTACCCAAGCAGAATGACGTTTACTACTGGGAAGCGAAGATCTACGATAAGCCCGAAAACACTCTTGTCAGCGTTGGCATGACCACAAAGCCATATCCTCTATTTCGACTCCCGGGTAAGTCAATTGCTCAATGGCAGTTTGATTCGTTTTGCGCCATAAAGATTACTGACTCTCTTTATATCTCAGGCTTCCACAAGTATTCCGTCGCATACTCATCCACAGGTCATCGTCGGCATAATCAGCCATTCGCATCGACGCCCTACGGCCCGCCTTTATCACAGGGAGATGTTATTGGCGTAGGATATCGTCCTCGATCAGGTACAATTTTCTTCACTCGCAATGGCAAAAAGTTGGAGGATGTGGTCCATGCAGCGAAAACACAGAATTTCTTTCCCACAGTCGGCGCCAACGGCCCGTGTACCGTCCATGTCAACTTTGGTCAGATGGGATTCGTTTTCATTGAAGCGAACGTCAAGAAATGGGGCTTGGCCCCCATGACAGGCAGCCTAGCCCCTCCCCCACCCTATGGAAGCGAGCAAGGCAGTATCCTCCTGGAGTCTGGTCGTGAGAGCGCCGCCCAGATCTCCCAGCGGGTTTACCAAGAGGCAGGCTATGCAAGGACGAACTCGACCGTCAGGATTCCACCTTCCCGCAGCCCCGGCCCGGTCCGGTCACCGACAGATATATCTCTCGCCCAGCTTGCCCATATACCTTCTCACGAGGACGTTGGGGAGGGATCGAGTCAGGCAAACACCATTGATGGGGAACAAACGCCTCTACTGAACACGAACGATCTCGATGATCAGGTCCCACCTCCCGAGTACTCAAGTCCCGATGGTAGCCGAAGAGGTAGTGATATTGCCGGAGACCTGCCACGTCAGGGTTCACCACCGATACCAAGCTACGATGCTGCCGTTGGTAATCACAGTGGTGATACTGCACGATCGGACAGCGAGCCTTAATGTAGCGAGTTATTTATTCCCCTGCTTTTCCGAACGATATTAATCCATTCGTCAATCATCGGAAGGGCTTTATCTATCTGTCCTCCTAATGTGTATACCTCATTCCAATTCGTCTTGTCAATTATTTAGCGGGTCTGGACTGGCGTTTCAGTGGGCGGGATCTTGTGGCTGGATTTTTATGGGTTATGCCGCTCAGACGTGGCAATGATATGAAGTTACGTATATAGGGATTGGAAACACGTTTGTTCTGTACTTGCGACTTGATTGTACATGGGTGGATCGCAGTGATTGTGCATCCTAATTCTTACTGATACTTATGAGGATCTCGCTGCCACGATGCGCGGAAATCATCTCATCACCTTTCCCGTTGAATGTATGTCGTCTTTCATGGTGAGGTGAGCTGGTATGGGTCAAGACGAGGAAATTCTGATCTTTGCTACTAACCTGGAAATTGTGCTCAATACTTCTTTTGGACTTGCTATCTTCTATCTCCTTCTGAAGAATCCCTTACACTGACAACAAAGAGTCATGGTCAACTATCATCTGTAATCAATCTTCTGCTCTATTGATCCACCGCCGTCAAAAGCACTACCTATGTTGTCTGTAGTGTGGTCGTAGTCTGTTTGAAGGAGGATGGTCATTGTATGAGTTTCTTACCGAAACTACTTGCTTCAAAGAGGATTACCTGTAGACTTTCATTTCAATAGGTTCCGTTATGTCATATTTTCTCTTTGCTTGAGTTAGATCTTTCAGATCCTTCATAAATTGTGTGACAGTGAAGAGGAAAAGGGAACAATATCCAGGCATCAAGGCTGCCAGGCGGAAATACCACATGGGCCTCAGGCACCACTCAGTCTATTCCTGGAACAAAGATCTTTTGATACCGCTCAAACAATGCAAGAAAGGATCGAAGTCAATATATATAGGTACTCGGTATAAGCCGTTGATCCAGTTAGAACAGGAGAACCAAATCCCCACAAAATCCTGACCTGGCAGCAGGAGGAAGAACCAATAACTACCTTAGATACCTAATCTGTGGAGTACTTCGATGCCCATGCTAGAGAAATCGGCGATAAGGCTAGACATTCCATGCCGCAGTAACGTCATTCTAGTTCTCCAGACAATGAAATCACTTCCACCTCCCCTATTCTGGTCACAAAGAAAAACAACAGCCTTTAAAGGGAGGTGAGTTATTCTCCCCATGGAACTGCATGGACTGGTTGTTATTATTCTAGAACAAACAGGGTTCTCCTCTCTGACATTCCGTCCAGGTCTTTCACATCTTCCACCTCCAGCTAACTCGCACCAACAACAGACGGCCTTCATTGCTCCCTGACCACAATCGAAACATCGTGGCACAGACCCGTTAGACTTTCGGCGGCCATTTCAGCCTCAACCGCGATCACTCATTCGCAGATCTGCCGCGCTTTGATCAGTGTCTGACCCATCGATCGGAACTCTCCCTTTTGGTCTTATCGCCGACCTCGCTCAGCCACAGTCTCTTTGTTAATGTGCTCGCGGGTAGACAGATCCTTCGAATAAACTCTCTCTCTCAATTCATGTACGCCGCCTTTCTGCGACCAGGACTTTTCGCAAAAGTCCTTCCTGTGAACTACATCCTATCCGGATCTCTGTGCTGGATGGTTCCGTGACCGATAACTATCGCATTGAGTGTGCTTGGATCGGAACTCTGCCATCGCCAATAACAGCGGGCCAGAACAGTACAATACTTGATTTCGGAATCAGCTTCTCACCAACTGGACTGGATCTGCGGTTTTTATACGAGTCTAGGCAAAGCCTCTTACACCCGTGTACCACGCACACATACATTTACGGGGAAAGAGATCTGAATTCGGAGACGTCGGCTACCCTGCAACCTGCCGGGTTTTGCCAGGGATCTCGAAGAGCAGTCACGCGCGTCGCTTACATACATACTGCATCCTGAATTTGCGTGTGACGCCAGCAGGACCCTTTTTTCTTTTTCTTTTTCTTTTTTCTTCACCCATTCCTTCTGTCGCTCGATACTGGTTTTGGAATCGGGGTCACTGGTAGGGAGTGTGTGTGACGCGCGCAGAACCGAATGGAGAGAACCCATAAATTGTCGCCTTTACTCGCTTTCTAGATTTGAGTCCAAGGACCGCATCAACGAGATTGAGACATTGCCCGCTGCAGGGCTCGCTTCTCTGAGACAGGGAAGTTGCGACTGTCCTTCTCATAGAGTCCTTCCCGGGACACATCTCCACTCCGTCGTTTGTTTTAGAACGTGAGAAGGTTGGCTGGCTAAGTTGTGGATAATGGCGGCAAAGGCAACATTCCAGGTTATCGTCTTGGTAAGTCTGTTATCTCTTCCTTGCTTGTTGGCTTGTCATCTGTTGGTTGGTCTGGTAAACAATGGCTCTTGGCATGGCTCTGAATACCTTCGCCATGTGATATCTACCTCAATAATACGTATTGTACTTTGTTTCTCTCCATTTCATGTCTTATTCTTAGAACTTGGATTCGGCGAAACTGGGCCACCTAGTTCGTCGCTTTGGAATAACTTCGGGTTCTGGCGTTGTCACCTGATAACTGACGTTTGTCTCTCATAAAGGGTCCAACCGGAGGTCCTCGCGAGGACAGTTTGACTGGGCTTCTTGTCCGATCAACAGCAACCAATTGGTCAACCAATTCGGTGATTGCAGTCGATGCAGGTACCCTTGTCTCGGGAATCATTTACACCTTGGAGAAAAACCATATAGAAACCAAAGATGGAGTACATATGATGAATGACGGGCCCTTTGCCGGTCTCAGACTGCCCTATGAAACAGCCCAAGCAAATGCGGCGCACATTTTCCGAGACATCATCGGGGCCGTCCTGATCACGCATGCCCACCTGGACCATCTGTCGGGATTGGCAATTAACACGCCCATGCTGGAAGCAGGGAACGGACCAAAACCACTGGCTGCATTGCCGTCGATTGTCGCTGCCATCAAGAACCACATGTTTAATGATGTGATCTGGCCAAATCTCTCGGATGAAGACGGGGGAGCTGGCCTCCTCACATACCAACGGCTAATTGAGGGAGGGAATCCGAGATTCGGACGCGGGGATGCCAAGGGGTATATCAGAGCGTGCGATGGTCTGTTAGCCAGATGTCTTGGTGTCAGTCATGGGCGTTGCAGACAACGCTACCATCCAGAGAGCGGAACACATCATCGCGTCGGTAGCTCAGTTTTTGCTGCAGATCCCTTGCTGCTGCCATCAAGAGCTATATCGGTTGATCACACTACTGATGCAGGGTAAGTTTTCCAAAATCCAATCACCCTGACCTATTTCACTGACTGTCATGAACTCAAAGGATCTATTCGCCTGCTCGCTCCCCGCGCCTTCTTTCAGCGAGCGCAAAAGATGCTATCTGGGCAACGGTGGACAGCTCTGTTTTCTTCCTGCGTGACCATCACACTGGTAACGAGATTGTTATCTTTGGCGATGTTGAACCGGATTCTATCTCGCTTGATCCCCGCAATAAACGCATCTGGGAGACCGCGGCGCCCAAAATTGTAGCCGGAAAGTTGCGTGCTATTTTCATTGAATGCTCGTACGACGATTCTGTCGATGATGCCAGTCTATACGGCCATCTCTGTCCACGACATTTGATTGCGGAATTAAGCGTACTGGCTGGAAAGGTCGTGGAAGCCAAACACCCTAACATTGCGATCCCAGCGTTCGGAAAACGCAAGCGTTCAGACACCCATGCCAATGATAGAAGTGCGGATCAATTGAGTCCGAGATCAAAACGACCTCAAAGCTTCTCAGTCGCACCGGAGAAAGGGTCGAACCCCACCAGTTTGGCCTCTGCCACGATAGACATACGGCCACGATTCCACTCGTCCGGGTCTGGCTTGGCGGAGGTTCCTGAACTAGTGTACGATGGGCAGACACCGAGCTGTCACGGACCTGACGATATTGGTGATCATCAGAATCTATCTGATTTTACTCCATCGCCGACTGTCCCTGACAGAGCCCAGAGTGCAGATTCTAGCTCTCTCCCTTTGAGCGGGCTACCGATCTACATCATTCATATCAAAGAAGATTTGACGGACGATCTCCCACCTCGGGAACGAATCTTGCAACAGCTTCGGACCCGAGGAGAAGCAGCAAAGCTGGGCTGTGAGTTCTATGCTCCTCATCGAGGAGAGGGGATATGGATATGAAGCGGCAGTCTTGGTGAAACACCACAATCGACATCTTCAAGACGATAAAATACAACCTGACACCATCACTCGTTGCATGGATGACGATTACAAGATATCTATCGAACAACTTCCCCTTGTATCCTAGTGGCCCACATATCATACCAACTGGGACAGTAACTTCTTTCGCTCTCGATCTGCCACTGTCCTAGGTCGTACCATGATCCACTATCTATTTGACCCCCTCCAGCATAATGAATCTTGACGACATTCTGTATAGTTATGGCTGCGGAAAGGCTCTATGTCTATGTTTGGCGCTCTCATTCAATCTGGCTCAGCATTCATTACCAGCAGTGTTTCACTTTATGATCCCCTTATTGTTCATAGCAATTGATCTTCAGGTATTCCAAGCTTTAATGGGCGGGTGTTCTTATTCCGGACGATGTCTTAGTAGGCAGCATGTGATTTATTCTTTCATAACATATGTCTTTCTGTACATGATGTAAATGACAATGTCAAGGGCGGCATGATCGAGTTTGGGGTATGGGAACAATTACACTAGGATAATTGTGTATATCGGCTGGCTCAGTCTTGGTTCCACGTCATAGTTGAAGGTTTTAGTTAGAAGTAGCTGCGGCCGTAGCCTTTGCGATTACATCCTCCCATGAGCAACCTTCACCGCTTGGGATCCTTAATCCCGAGGACCCTTCTTTCAAGCCATCGGCCTTCGATAGCTGATTCCTAGGGAGATCCAGAATCGCCTCTCCGTCCCTGGCAAATGCGAGCAGATCCTCCTCCGTTCCCCACTCGCCCATCGCCATCAGACCGACGGGGACCCGCGCCCCCTCATCGCCACCGGCATAGCCAGCGGGACAGCTGATCGCCGGACATCCGGTGAAGTTCGCCAGCCAGACATACTCCATGTTGCGGACGGAGCCCTTGCCGTCCGATACGCCGCGGACGAGGTCCGTCGCGCTGCTGATCTTCCAGCCTGGAATGGGGGTCGTCGGGGTGAGGATGAGCAGGCCCGGATGTTGCTGGAAGAGATGGGCGAGGTGGGACATGAGGAGGTTGCGGAGGCGCTGGGCGGCGATGAGATCCTGCGCGGTGATCTGCCACATGCCCATGGAGACGAGGACTTTGGTGGGCGCGGTGAGAGTGCTGATCTGCGCGGGGGTGAGGCCTGAGGCGATCTCGGCCATGATGGTTAGGATGTGAGCGCGCTGGCCCTCGGGGAGGTACGGGATGGCGATGTCGACGACGGTGTAGGAGTGTTTACGGTAGAAATCGAGGGCGGCGTCAAAGACGGCGCGGACGGGCGGTTCGGCGCGGTCGATCCAGTCGCGGACGATGCCGATGGTCTTGTTCTTGGGTCGCGGGTAGCTGGCTGAGAGGCTGGATATGGGGTCGGGGAAGTTTGCGGAAACTGGGTCTTCCGTGGCAGGGGCAGGCGTCGCCAGGAGCCGGTAGGCGAGAGCAAGGTCGTCGACGCTCGCTGCCATCGGCCCGTAGACGCCCACTGTGGGAGCCAGCGAGGCTGTAGGAAAGCTGCTGATGCGTCCATGCGAGGGTTTCAGGCCCCAGATGCCGCAGAATGAGGAGGGGATGCGAATTGAGCCGCCGCCGTCTGCGCCCAGGGCGATTGGGACGAGGCCTGCGCCGACCGCGTAGCCAGACCCTCCTGATGAACCACCACAGTAGTAGTCCTGATTGTGGGGATTCTTTGGCGTCCCGTAGTTTGGGTTGTTGTTTGTGGTGTCTGTCGCCGGGATATTCTTGTCAGATTCAAATCATTCGGTTCTTTGGGGAAGAGATGGCGAATGGGCCACAATCTTGGGCGATGCTTACCTAGACCGAGTTCATGCATAGTTGTCTTCCCAATAACAACGGCTCCGGCTTCCTCTAGCTTCTCCACACACCAGGAGGTGCCATCAAAGTCACCTTTGAAGTCCAATTTGCTCCCCAAGTTCCTTTGGTATCCTTCAACGTGCACCTCATCCTTCACTGCAACTGGCACGCCATCGAGAGGGCCCAGTGGCTGTCCCGCCTTATATCGCTTCGTGGACGCTTCCGCGGCCGCAAGTACCAATTCCGCCTGCGATTCCACAAAGGCGACCGAGTGCTTCCCTGGTGGATGGACATCACGCCTGATCAGCGGTAGCAGCGTCTCCGCGACAGCGGTTGGAGTAAGTTTCCCAGAGCGGTACAGCGCATGATAATCTGCCGAACTGTAGTAGCCGGTAGATCCTTTCTCTTTTGCTGATGACGGTGGAAGATCCTCTGCTGCTGACGTGCTCGAATCGCCCACCGGAATCACCGTTGGATCATAACGAGGAGCATACTGGCGAAGTTCAGGTACCTTCTGAATGACATCAAACCCGGCATTACGCCAGAAGAAGGTTTGAATAAAACCAACAGAATGAATACTGCATGAATTGTCAGACCGCTACGATTCTTTTGGTTGTACTTTTTTCCTAGTATGGAGGACAACATCCACTCACAGAGCAGCTCCGATGGCCAGAGGCGTGCCTCGGAAGACGGGAATTGACTGCGTCTCGTTCTGATAGGGAACGGAGGGACCTTCACGAATCTGGGGATAGTGTACGAAGTGGGATTCCTTCTGTTTGAGCTCCATGATGACAGGAAGTCTTCCAGTACAAATTGGTGATCGGCGGCCAAATTGTGGTGATTTGCAAAGCGATGAAGCTGATGAAGGTCATTTAAGCTCGCAGTAGCTTCTTCGCTGACGTAGTCTGATTTACCGCGGCTCACATGTCGGCCGAAGTTCACCTAAAAAAGCAAAACATGTACTGATGAATTCTGTTGACATCTACTGTTCGGTGATAGTAATATGCTACATCTATAATTTTAAGTATACACGCCTGATATGGCAGCAGCCTAAAACGGCAGTACTTTGATGTTGGCATAGTCCAACGCTACAGCAGTACCTGTAATGATGGATGAATATCCGATCAGAATCGCCATGGCCTGCGCCGTACTAGCATCCAGAGTAGAAACACTCAGGTTCACAGCTCCAGTTAGGAGGTTGGCCAAGAGGAATATCGCGAGACTATTCTTGTTAAACGCCAACATGATTCGGCTTGTGGCGAAAGTCACTCGCTCTGAATCACCGTCTTTGGTCGTTGTTCGGTGCGCAGCCGGAAAGAAGACAGTTTCGAGCAAGCAAAATACAAAAAGCTGCGCGTTGTTAAAGGCCGCAACCCAAAGGACATAGGGCATATTAGCAAGGCGACGTGAGACCGGAATATTAGCCCCGTATCCCATCGCGTATGTGGAGTTTAGTGCGAAGAGAGAGATCCATGCGAGTGCTTGAATACCCAAGCTCATGAGGACACCCTTCCGGGCCTGCTGTGGGTTTCTAGAAGGCGATGTTCCGCGAGGTATTATTCGAATACCAATCGCTCGACCAGCAAGAAAAATCGCAAGATAGCCAAGGAAGGAAAAGACACCCTCGCGGTTCTTGGACAATAAGCTTGGTCCACGTGGAGAGACAAGAATATAGCTCTTCAGATCGGTTGACTCCAGAGCGATTTGATACAAGACCGCAATACCCAGAGAAAGAAGCTCATATGAGGGAATGAGTACGGCCAGAGCATCGAAAATCTCGACAAATGGGGGCAAAAAGCCTAACGTGAAAAAGAAATTCCAATGCACGCCGTATTCGGTCACATGCTCCGCATAGTCTAGGCCTTTGACACTGTACAGCCGTATTAGGCCAAGGACAAGCAAGGGGATGGAGTGGCGCGTCGAGGCCATCAATCTCTGGATGAGAGGAATTTTCCTGGAGCCATGAATTCTGTTTTTAAGAAGCGATCGCGCAGACACCACTCCACCCGAGAACACAAAGGATCCCACGCCCAGATCCATGAGGGAGGTGCCCCAATTCTCCACCTTGGCGAACCGGCGCGGGAACACGCGAAAGTCAACAGCCAGGATAGCGATACAAGTGATGATCATCATCGCAGCACGGTAGGTCGTGAGAAACGGATGTATGGGTAGAGGTTCTAATGAACCTTGAGCGTGCTTTGAATCATCTTGCTCGACTATAGCCGATTGGCGTGGAGGCTTCGCTTTCTGGGGTATGCGGCGAGATTTGGTATTGAGAAGGACCAGAATCGCAGGAGATATCAGCAAGAGATTGAGTAGGAGAGGCGCAGATGAGTAGAGTGTCGTCGCAAACAAAATGGCCAGAACATTGAGCAGGAAGTCGACAACGAGTGCTGCAGCACTGTAGGGCGCAAAGAAGGAAAGGCGCGACTGTAGAACAGACCAAAGGAAAACGGATACCTGATCATTCATGAATTCTAAGCACTCGGCTGCAAAACGTGAGGGTTTGAAGCTGATTGAACACTTACTGGAGCGACCAGAGTGACGCTGTTGATCTCTAGAATGGTTCCTCCAGCGAGGCCGGAGACAAAGGCCTCTTTTCGAGCTTTATAACTCGAGTCCATGTCGACTTAGTGTCCCGCAAGATTTACATTTATCCCAGTGGCTTGTCTGGACTCAGGAGAGGTCATGTAGAAACCAAGTGAAAACAACAACGTTGAGAAGATACCATCTGGCAATTATCGATAACAGATAGGCTTATTGGTGGCCTGAATAGTCAGGCCGCCAGTAGTTCCGTATCGGGAAGGTAAACTTGGTTACGTCCAGCTTGGTGAGAAGAAGAATCTCATCTCATCTCCCTCGTCCATTTTCTTCCTCTTCTGAAGTTCTGCTACTATCTCATGTAGATATTTTTATCATATTGAATGATTCGTCAGAATCGAAAACTGCAAGACTACCCTGTTCCCAGCCTCTTTACGGAGCACTTGCTTTTGAAATCATCGAATTGTGGGATGGCCCATACCAAATTCCATGTTGTTAAAAGGAACCACACGTAGTGATGGCTCTGCTCAAGTACTTATGGATCAAAGAAATGCACTGACACCACATTACTGGCTGGAGAAAACAAGTTGTCAAGAATCAAGATAAGTGCAATTATTGAAAGCAGCCATTACTATTATTATTGCACAGCTGGGCTGCAGAACAACCCTTGCACTTCCCCCCTGTCAAAAGACCAGTCTACTCTCATGCCGTTGGCTTATGTTTCTAGCCGACCATAACGACTTTAGCCTGCCAACAGAACGAATAGGAGTAAAGAGGCCTGTGATTGCGAGAAGACCTCGCAGGAAATAATCAAGGTGGCATCCATTATCTTTGTCTGAGACCCAATTGCACGCAGCTAAGGACTTAGGAGAAGTTCGAGGCATTTATGCTACTGTCAGCTACATCGAAACACAAATTTGGCTTTCACTGGTGGCCAGAATGCGAGGCTATACTGTAAGAGCCTTTGAACCTTTGCATTATCCTGGGGTACAAGTGCCTGTTGTACTTTCATTGACATGTTTTGTTTTGATGGACTCTCTCGACTAAATAATAATTTTGATACTGGTAACTGACTTGAGACTTGGTACAGACCAGAATCCAACCGATTCATTGACCTACTTGCGGTTTGATATCACCCCGAGAACGACAGCGACAATTCCCACGCTGTGCTGATTGGATGTGATTCAGACCATACACAGAAAACTATGGACTGCTCCGATGGCCTACCACAACCCCTGGACCATGATCTCACAGCCGGATAGGCATTTTGAGGCTTGGCTGAAAAGAGTTAATCCGCATGCATTCCCATTTTGAGGTCAGTGCGAATTACGATTAAATTCCGACTTCTAAGCGCCATCTTTACACTTTACAGAACTATGCTGGTGGTCATTAATCTAACAACACAGGGGTGGCTAGGCAAACAACATCTCGCAGTCTCTAACAAGGTATGGGTACTCCCATATACCGAAGGAGTTCTGGTTCAGTTTCCCTTTGGTAGTCTAACTAGGTACCGAACTACCAATTCTAGTCTATTTTACAGTATTTATACTGTATGGACTAAGGACTCAATGCTTGCCTACCATCTGGGCCTTAGTCCTCTGTACAGGATACGACAATTCCTTGGTATGAAGGAAATATTATTAATGACACTATGTTGTGCAGCCGCCAGGCCCACATAAATCTTAGCATCAGTGCAATTACATGCGACACCGGCATAACTTCGGGACTCACCGCTTTCTTCCTTTCCTGCTCTTTCTGTGTGCTGGTTGGTGCCGGTCAAGACAGAATTTTTGAGTGGTTATGGAAAAAGATGCTTGATTCTATGACCGAGGTTGAGGGCCTGAGGCTTTGAACCTGTTATTCTTGCTCCATGGTTGTTGAAAACCAAATTTCAAGAGACAGGAGGTGCGCCCAATGACCCAACATCTACCCTTGCGTCATGTCCGATCAGTCATCCAGTCTTCTCCAGCCGTGGACTGCGCCGTAAGAATTTGCCCGACAAGGCCTGTTTCCTCGCTTACTGGCCATCGAATTCTTGGGGCCTGGACTCCGGATTCTGGCATCTTTTCAATAGCCTGCTCTGTTACACGGTTGGCTGGTCTAATGGTCCTGGTACCCAGCACCTCAGGTCCCTAACAGACCCAAAGTCGCAAACAAACGGACAAGCAGACCCCATGGCTTCGTTAGCCTATCATATGTCGACAGCTTTTATCCAATTTGGATAGGCAATTCAACAGACTAGGTGCATTACGTAGTCATGGAATGATAGAAGATTGGAGACAGTCTTCCAAACCGTCAGCCTCGTGGCAAGCACCCATACACCCATGGTTCCCGCATCCTGCTTCCTTTCAATATAGCCTCCAGATCTTATCATCTGAGACAGGTTTTGTGGAATTCGAGATCTGATTTCCCCTTCTGGGTATAGGATGATGGAGTTGACAGATGATGGACGACTTTGCTCAAGCGACAGTCTGCGGCAGGACAAATATTGATGAAGCACTGGGGATACAGACATGTGAAGGATATCTATTATTGGTTGCCAAGATACAGATGGTCGAAATCATCCATCTAATTTCCAACTCGAAGGTCGGCACTACCAAGTACCAACATGGCTAATCGTTCTTAGTGCACGCTTTGTGTCCGGGTTGCCTTCAAATTCCCCACAAAAAGAAAAGAAGAGAAAGAGGGAAAGGAAGACATGTGCATCATCATCTTCCCTAATTCCTCCTTGCAATCACAGCAAGGACCTTGCATTTTAATTCTGTTTCTCTTTTCTTTTTTCTCCATACAAAGAAACCGCTGTTAGGTGAGGGAGCGAGCATTGACCGGGTGCAACCTCCAAGTGTGATCCTCAATTTTAGCTCAATTAATATGGTTTTCTAGCCAACAGAGTTGTGGACTTGGGGCGGGTCTGGCGCTGGAGTTTCTCGGCGATGTGCCCGGGGCTGGCCTAATTTCCAATGTTACTCCAGTCGAGCTCGCCATTATTGAGGCATTGACCATGTGGGCAGGATTCACCCAGGTCCCAGGCCCACTGATATCAGGCATATGAGTGCAGCACTAATAATGTATCCTATGCGAATGCGATACAATCATACCCTGCCCCAGTCTTTTGGGAACTTCGAGGATTAAGGGCGGCATTCATCCGATTATCGAGTACATTGGCAGGGAATTGAGCACATGTTTGGACAAACCTCCTGCCCTTTCATGCCATATATAATGCACCTGGGCAAACGAAATAGCATGGGAGGGGCCCCGTCTATTACCAATCAACTACTCTCCTGGTGCTAACCAGGCATGGAGCATAACTCGTAGTAGTCGGGAAGATCGGAAACCGTACATAGCGCCGACCCATAGGCCATCAAGTAGCCTCTTGGGGAAAGGCGCTATGCCCATTCTTGTCCATCCCACTGATTGTTTCGTCCTTAAGCTTGCTCATTATTGGCAGCCAAACTACTCGAAAAGACGGTCGGTAACCTGGCAAGGTGCTTGGAAAGTGGAAGACACTACGCCCTTCATATGCCATATTGATCCGTCGCAGTTTTGCTGACAGTGTAAAGACCACGCCCAAGGCTACTAGGTACTTTTAGAGGCCCGCGCATGCCTAACTCCGAGGCTTTATAAAGATGCCGAAGCTGGGGCTCTTTTAGTTGTGGTCCGGGCGTTTCACCTCTGTCATCTGTTGGAAGGCTCAAGTACCTAGAAGTGTTCCCCAAGCGCCACATGGACGTGTGCTCCGTCATCCTGGCATATTTACCTATCGTCTTCCTTTCAACCACTGTCATTCAGTGACCTTTTGCGCCCTTGTGCTGTTTATAGCAAGTTTAGCGCGACCCACGCATATGGAACGGCCAAAGTCACATATCGAAATCTCAGCAGCCGAGTTCTGAAATCTTTGCCGGCGTATGCGTGATCCTGGGAAGGTTTGCATTGCTATCGCTGGCCAAGGCATGCGCCCCGACGTCGAACAAATCTTTTTCGAGGCATACGTACTATCTGACTGGTAGTAACGACCCCACGACAGATGCAACAGTCAAGAGCACGATGAGCTCTACCCCGGACAACGCGCAGTCGAAGAAACGAGAATCCCGTGCGGGGACTCGTAAAGTGACAACTCTTTCCGCTGAACAGTTGGCCAGGAAACGCGCCAACGATCGAGAGGCACAAAGAACCATCCGTCAGCGTACGAAGGAACATATCGAGCGACTGCAGAGTCAGGTCGCGGAGCTTCAGGCCAAGAACCAGCAATATGATGATGTCCTACGACGTAATGCTGTCCTGGAGCAGGAGATCAAAGGCCTGAGACAACAACTGACCATACTCACCGGCGAGCAAGGATATTCCAATGTCGGTACGTGACTGAATACAAGCAACACTCACCCGCGAACCTGCATTGGTGTTACAAAGATGGCTGACTTGTGCTTCTGCCGATACAGCAGAAGGACCCTATAACAGCCCTTCAGGGGCCCAGTCTTCCGCCCATTACTCTGACTCCTTGAATGTACCTCCAGTGTCGCGAGCCCCCTCGGTTCTTTCCGCGTCCAGCCAAGTCTCTGTAGCGCCAGAGTGGCAGGCGTATGGGTCGACTCGGTCCTCGTCCATATGCGAATCATCAGAGGCAGACTACACCAATCGGACCGCTGAACCCTATCGGTTCGAGGGTCAAATTCAACAACCCGCCAATACACTGTCAGGCCCTATGCCTCACGTCAACTTCAACCCCCCAAGCGCCGCTCATCCGCCCGCGCCCCCTTTTCAGACCTATCCACAGTACTTCCGAGCCAGCGGCCCTGAGGGCACACATGGAGAGCACCTCCTACGGAATCCCCAGCCAGCCACGCCATACGTACCTGGCCAGCCGTCCCTGCCGATGCCCGAAGTATCCTCGGAAAGAGGAACTGGGTACCCTGTCCTTCAAAACTCACAGCATTACCACCATCCCCCAAATCAACCGGGAAATAATCAAGGCTATGGTTACGGCTGGCCTCCTCAGTCTTGAATTTGGTTGTCTAAAAGATCACGGCAACCTCCGACCGAAATTCGACGGAGGCAAAGAACACACCGACATCACGGACATAGGGAATAATAGCCGTTCTCCGGCCGATGGCTTCGATCGCATGTTACTGAGCCCCGTGGGCCATCTGGAGGGGCCGGCACGGTGCGTGTCTCAGATCTTTAGACAACGTTTCCGGGCAGTGATTCGAGTCACTGTGTAGTGCAGGCGTAATCACCGTTCATCCGATTCGTTGGGTCTAAGACATACGGGTTAGTGCGGCAAGAACGAAAGGTCGGCTGCAGACGCATGCTTACAAGATAATGGCCATCCAATTCTGACCTTTGTATGAAATTGATACTTGCCAAACACCATCGGCACAGTCAATCCAAGGGGCTAAATAAGAGGCTTTGACCCTCGCCGGTGGAAACAACTCCGTGAAGGAGACGGGTGACTTTTTATCCAACCATGACAAAACTCATTTCTGTTCTGTGAAGCAAGACGAAGAACGAGTCTCGCTTCTCTCATCCATAGCCGAGATGCTGTTGATATCATACATGCAAAAATGATGGGTCGTTAGTCCTCCACAAATCGAGACTGACATGCATAGAGACAGCAGAATATGTGCTCACTCTGCTGGCTGGTTCGAACACGCGAACCCTTTCATTGCTCTTTAAAAAAAAAAAAAAAAAAAAAAGAAAAGAAAAGGAAAAGAAATCAAACGTCCCTTTTAGACATACTTACGCCCCCACTATTTACTCAACAAGAAGGAAGAGCTCACGAATTTATTTAGTGTACTGCTTCTGCAGCAGCTTAGCAATCGTCTGCAGTTGAATGTTACTTGTGCCTTCGTAGATGGCACCGATCTTGCTGTCACGGAACATCTTCTCCGCGATACCCTCACGGACGAAGCCCATGCCGCCCATCCATTCAACGGCGGAGCCGGCAACACGGCCCGCAACCTGCGAGGCGTACAGCTTCGCCATGGCGGCGTCCTGAACAAAGTCCTGTCCTGCCTCCTTCTTACGAGCGGCGTTGTAGAGGAGAGCCCGCGCAGCGGCGATCTCGACGTAAGCCTGGGCCAGCTGGTGCTGCATTCCCTGGAATGTTCCAATGAGCTGGCCGAATTGGCGACGGTCATTCCAGACGTAGCTGTGGATAATGTTAGTAGAGACCCCAGAAAACATGCGCATCATCCATCCGTTCGAGGTGACAATCCTTACCTGGCGGCGTTCTCCCACGCACCCAGAGCCAGACCAGTCATCTGGGCAGCGATACCGATACGGCCCTCGTTGAGCAGGCCAATAGCATACTTGTAGCCCTGGCCTTCCTCACCAAGGAGGTTGCCCTTGGGAATAACGACATCGTCGAAGTTGAGCACACAGGTGCTGCTGGCCCGGATACCAAGCTTCTTCTCCTTCTTCGCAATGGAGAAACCGGGAGTACCCTTCTCCACAACGAAGGCAGTAATGCCCTTGTAGCCCTTGCTAGGGTCAAGATTGGCAAAGACGATAAATACACCGGCCTCCATGGAGTTCGTGATCCACATCTTGGATCCATTCAGCTTGTAGCCATCCGCAGTCTTCTCCGCCTTGGTCTGCAGAGCGAAGGCATCGGACCCGGACGCAGGCTCAGAGAGACAGAAGGAGCCGACAGTGTCGGTCGCGAGCTTGGGCAGCCATGTCTTCTTGAGCTGAGCATCGGCCCAGTTGTTGAAGGCGGTGTTGACGAGGGTGTTGTGCACGTCGACGAGGACACTGACGCTGGGATCGACACGGGCCAGCTCCTCGATCGCCACGATGGCGGCAGTAAAGTTCATGCCCGCACCGCCGTACTCCTCGGGGATTTCGATGCCCATCAGGCCCTGCTCGAACAGCTGCTCGACCAGAGCAGGATCCATGACTTCGGCCTCGTCCATGTCGCGTACCTTGGGGCCGATCTGTTCCTGAGCGAACTTGGAGACGGACTCGGCCATCAGTGACTCGGTCTCGGAAAGATGGGTTATTGGAGTTGGGGTCAAGCTGGACAGATCGATCTCCTGCCGGCGGGATGTGGTGGAGAATGCATGGGTGCTGGAGATGGAGAAGTCAGTGACTGCGAGGACATGATATTCTTTACACTCGAAAGAAAATGCAATTTCAGAATAACACTTGATCAAGGTACTCTCAGATGCGTAGGAACATACCCTTGTACCAGACGGTAGGGCAATGGCTGTCTTGCAGCAAGTCGGAAGGAGGGAGCGGTGCGGGACAAGGGCCGCAGGGCACGGGCGATGGAAGCCATGGCTAAATGTGTGAGACTGGAGGGGGATTCAAAACCGAGAGAGAATAGTTGCGAGCTCGTGAAGCATGAGAAAACGAGGGGAAAGAAGAAAAGAGAAAGAAAAGAGAGGGGAGAAAGAAGAGCGAGTTGTTTGTGGTGACCATGGAGGAGAGAGAGCGAGATCACGGGGAAGCAGCTCAACTCCAAACGTGCCTCGGTTAACCACGGCTGTCCAAAGAGTCCCTGTCTGGGTTGATGGAAGCGTGATCATTCGCTGTGATACCCGACAATGTGTTCAATCCTACAGAATAAGCTATTTAGATAACGATGGTGATTATCGGCTATTTATCACAGGAGAAGTCTGGTGTATAAATGGTTTGTGTGTGTGTGTTGGGAATTGAGCAGGAATGGAGTTTTGAATTCCCCAAGGGACAGGCTCCTCTTCTATCTACAACAACTTCGCTATCAGATGCGAACCACCAACTCCGCATCATACCCTTTTGACTGAGCAAAATAATAACCCCGTTGATTCGCCACAATCCGTTTTCCCGTCCGATCTTCGACAAAGTCACAGTTATAATGGGTGTGTCCAAACGCCCATAACCGCACCTGGGGTTTCTCCCAGCACGGTTCACCTCTAAGATCTGTCGCGAAGGCCGATGTAATCGGACTGTTCACATGCACTGGATCAGCCGCACGAGCGTCCATAGTGGGACTATGATGGGTGAGGATGACGATCTTGCGATGCGGATCCGACCGAGCAATCTTGGTGACTTGGTTGTTCAGCCAGGTGAGGTCGGCTTCGTGTGCTGCACAATGGTCCTCTACAGTCCAGTGCTTGATCGAGTAAAAGTCGTTCAGCATCCACGACACGCGCTCTTGCTGGGTCTCAACGATCTTGGAGTGGAGTGTGCATCCGAGGACTGTGACTTCTGAAGACAGATCGTAACGTGTTTGGTCTAAAAAGACGAACTCTCCCAATTTTGCCGGACATTTTGTTTGCGCTTGCTGAGATTTCTGGCGGATGGAGTCGGAGAACTTCCTCACTCTGGCTCTCGCCGTCGCCCAATCCGAGCGATATGGCTCGTGGTTCCCCAATAACACAAAGACTACCTGGAACTTCTGGAGCTGAGCCTCAATGAAGGTGAAAAAACCGTCGTCGATGACATTGCCGATGTCCCCCAACAGAGCAAGGTAGGGCGCTTGCGCAGGGATGTCGAATAGATCGTATGCTCGCGGCGCTTCCAGATGGATGTCGGATATCAACTGGAAAGAAGCCATTTGCAACAAAATCGTCGTCGAAGTTTGCTATTATCAAACCGCGTGTTTTCTATACTTGGAGAATAATCGGGTCTAATATTAAATCTAGGTAGACCTCTGGTCCTCTCGTCTCCATCCGTAACCGCCAGCCGATGCGGATGAGCGGGAGTCATTCGTGGGGAAAGCGCCCTTCAAAAACCCCGACTTCTCGGTCAACCAGTCGGGGATTTTGGTGGGTGTTGGGGGGCCCAGATCTCCAGAAGAATGTTAATCTCAACAATTTTCCAGTTTAGAATTCCTCCAAAGGGACCCTGATGAGTCTGCCGTACCTCCATTCCATCCACTGCCGTCCGATTCTAGTAGCAACTGCGCCACAGGCAGCCTGATTGGTTCTTTTCACTTACGATGAACTGGTTCTGTGGCGGTGCACAGACACTGATATCATGTGGCGCAGCAGTGCCAAGGCTGCCCGGATTCCAGTTCGATCATCAATAAATGATCAAATAATAGAAAATAATAGATAGTACTGAGAGCATAAGAGGGCATACATAAAAGCACCGTCTTGGAAGCGCCCTTCCCTCCCCGTCCCAAGAGCCCAAGACTTGCGATGTCTCTGATCTTAATATAGATAAATCACGGCCTCCCTTCTCCTTTTTCTTCTTCTCTTTATCTTTCTTGATATTTCATCCTCCTCTCTTCTCTTCTTTTGATCTCTCCTGTGTCCTCTCTCTTATCCATTGTTCTTCTCCCTACTAATCTAAGCATCTGGGACGCCGACGTCATCTCCCTCCTTCCCCACCCCCAAATTCCTCTGGAGGGGCATCCCGATCTCGGTTTCTCATCACCCAGACAGTTTCACCTCTTCTATACGTATCGCCATGTCGTCCACGATCCATGACCCCAGGTTGCTCTACAGCATCCATAACATTCGTGCCTTTCACATCCAGAATGGCGAAGAATCAGATCTCACTCCGTCGGGACCCCAAACCCTGTCGCTGATGATGGTCCCCACCAGCACTTCTACACCTAACTCTGGCGGCGCAGATGGACCCATAGAGGAGGACTTCTATCTTCATTTGCATCTGCCGCCTGAATTGGATCTTGCACTTCCTGCGACAACCCAGATTTACCATCAACCTCCCAATAGCTATCTGATACCCCGCTGGGATCTGGGACCTGATGCGGGCGCTTTCATTCGCATTCAATTCCCTGAGATCGGCACCGGCCCCGATAAGGTGGCGCAGGAGGATGTTGACACTTTCGAGACGATCTTGGCCCAATGCACTTCATTCCTCGAGCGCGCCGCTCCGCCAAAGGGCCATACGCCGTATAACCCTGCCACCTACGCTCCTGGAGAAGGTTATATCTCCTCCGGTGCTGCAACCTCGAGTGACACCCAAGGAAAGATCGTTTTGGTGGATGAGGAGAATGGCAGCGTCGTGGGGGAAATGGAGGGATATGACGTGGTCGAGAAACCCGGTGTGAAGCCTGGTTCGAAGAGTATGCTTCCATCCGATCTACCAACCCTGGATATTGCTAACGAGTGCTTTGGTAATAGGACCTGTGGAGATCCAGCTCCCTGCTGAAGGTGAAGGAAACCAGATCAGCGTGGGCAATGTATCAGAGGAATACCTGCAGATGGCCCGGCACCCGGCGTATAAGAATTCGACTATCGTCCAAACCTCTGCCATGGCATCCCGCTTTATCGTAACCGGTTCATCCTACCTCGCCAATGTCCTGACCAGCGGGGCCGAGAGCTTCACCAAGAAGACCAAACCTAATCCAAAGCCGATGACATTCTCCGAGACGACGCATACGCGAATTCGAAAGGTCGGCGACTTTTCTCATGGTGCGGCAGGCCTTTCTGCCAGAACGGTCGGCCAGGTTGGCAAGTATGCACAGAACTTTGGTGCTACCCTAGCCCGGCGCAAGGATGAGGGCAAACAGAAGGGTGTCGACAGGCCAAGCGACTACAAACCGGGAATTATGAACAAGTCTCTGATCGCGTTCTCCACTCTGGCGGATGGTATCGAGCAGAGTGCGCGTAATATGTTGACTTCCGGGTCTGTTGCGGCTAGCACAATGATCGGACATCGCTATGGAGCGGAAGCAGGTGCCGTAGCGACCGATCTGACTGGTGGTATCAAGAACGTGGGCTTGGTGTACATTGATGCTTCTGGCGTCAGTCGCAAGGCCGTCCTCAAGTCCGTGGCGAAGGGCATGGTTGTTGGACGCATGCGCGATGGTAAGCAGGTCATCGTCGGCACGGGGGATGATGTACCTTCGCGACCGGGCGGCCCTAGTCAATCGACACTGGGTGCTCGAGATCCCGTCGCGAGACGTCCCTCACCCAGCCCTACACCACCTCCTGCATACGGTGCTCCTGGTACCATTTCCCTTGGGGGGAGTGGCATGCCCGGAGGGAAGTGCTGAGCAGAGGGTTTCATGTTTTGGGTTATTTCGCGTTCTAACGAGTCATGCAAATCCTCATTTTAATCTGGACAATTTGCGCGCTAAGGTACATATCTGCTATGATTATTGTTTAATTCGAATGAGTTAGAAGAATAAAGATAATCTGTCCATAAGAATATGATGGATCTCTTGAGATCTTCCTATGCAGCAGAGTGAGCTATGAATATCGAGTAGAAATTCTCGGTTGAATTATTCTAGACATGAAACACTCAGATAAGATGAAAGCATATGAACTACACCATGCTCACCCCAGATGATTCTTTCATCGTTCTTAATCAGAGATCCGCGTGCAGCATATAGTCCTCCGACTGAAGCAGCTTCTGCAATTGCCGCCGTCGAACACCTAGATCAAACAGGGTAAGACATAGAGCGTCATTCATGAGAGATCCAAATGGTTGCTTCTTGCTATAGGATGTCCTGTAAGCGCAGGTCAGCACATTTGCCACCACAATTGCGGAAATCTGACTATGTAAGATGAAACATACATGCCAACACCTTCATTGCTTTCGTCACAGATTTGACTACCTTGTCCAACCCGAAGATCTTCGCCTGCAGACAGGACTCCAACCACCGATTTGGATCACCCATCCCGGTATCAACAGAGTGCAACGCTTTCTATTTCAGCAAACGTGACGCATCCATGTCCATCTTGATGTCAATCAGTTGATCCCGCAACGCTCTGCTTCGCGATGATGCGCTCGGCGCCACCGCGAGTGTCGGTCCTGGCGAACTCCAGCGCCCTCCGAAACGCCGCCCGTATGGTGCTGACTGCCATGCCCCCCACCAAGGCAACCGATATTCCAAAGCTCGTCTCGATCAGCCTCGCTCCAGCATCAGGGCCGGCCAGTAGGTTACCCGCCGGGTAATCTGAAGTCCACGAACTTGGTGTGCGGCCCCGAGACGGCAGGATGTCCGATCAAGTCCTGCTCCTCAAGCACAGTGTATGCGGCCGGGTTATTCCGCACGATGTCTTCCCGGGTCACGAGTAACACGACGACTGCAGCGTTCAGCTGGGCTGGCTTGGGCTCTGAGTCGGCAGGGGCAGTACCGGCACACCACGCATTGGAGATCAGCCCTCCTTCCGTCCCAACCGGCGCTGTTCGTCGTCCATAGCTGCAAGAGAGTCTAATTAACACCGGGGCTCGAAGTAGGGACAGAGAATCCCGATGATCCACGATACTTTTTCTCCTTAGATGACCCAAGCATCCCCGTCGCGCATAGCGGTAGTCTGCAGCCTAGGCCCGTCCTCCTCCAGCCAGTTAGCTGTTCCGTTCGGCTCGGAATGCACGTCCACGAAGGCAACACTTGTCCCTCCAAGTGGGCGCGGGGATCAGAGCCTTGACTTGTCCTGCTGCGACGGCTTTGCTGTAGATAGGCCGGATGGACTCAAACCGCTCGGACTGCGTGGGGAGGTGGGAGTAGGTTTCTGATGCACCGTTGAGGACGGCCTGGGCGAAGGCACGAGCTGATTCCTTGACACGCTGCTGGTGATCTGAGAGTTCGAATTGCATCTTTATTTTTCTGGTGTAGAATGGGTGCAGAGAGACTTGAGGGAGAGCAAGCTTGAGTGTCTCTCAATGCAAAGAGCAAACGGGTGCAGGCCGCATAGTTAAGTATCTTGCTGGCAGGTCTACCTGCTGAGCTTCTTGCGCGTTGATTATGCCATAACCCTAGGCTAGGTTATGTTGACTATCACATAGCCCTAGATTAAGCTAACTTACCTTGCAAATCAATCAGTTATGGGCCTTGGCCGGCTTGGTTAGACCATGGAGGAGTGAATATATTATGGACACTACTCAGGCTGTAATTCCTCAGGGGATCTCTATTGTCCAGGACGTAATGGGCTATGTATATATATATATATCATGGCTGTATAGAGCATAGTGACTTTGTGGTATGCAGTAGAGGAGACTAAGTAAATAATATTGGTTAAATATATATAGGTATCTATAGATTAGTACCAGAAAAAAACCTATCAAGAAAAGGCACCTAGTACGAAGGTATTATACATATAGGCTTTGTTCCTTCTGAAGGGAGTGGGATTAATGATTCTGAAACTGGGACAATGGCCATTATTTATGGACAATGTTTATTTCCTTTCTCCCGACTCCCGAGGCCCTCAGTTCTGCATATACGAAGGCTGAGACCCGGAGCTGAGAAGCGAGATGATGAGACGGACGATGAAACCAGGATGTATCAGCCCTTACTGAATGATAGCATCATAACAGCAAGGAAGCTGGCGAGCTGGTGAGCCCACTAAAGTATACAAGCCTGCGTCTGGTGACAAGCGGTTAGTTACTACTCGCATTCCTGCTTGGGTTCAACTCTGCTATTCAACTACCTAATAGTACATCTTATGTGGAGGAAGAGAGAAAGGAAGATCTCTAAAGGGGAATTGGTATCCAGGACGGAAGGAATGAATCTTACTCTTCAAGGTACGGAGTACTACTAACCAAGTGTAATTGATTAGTGTGGTGTAAGGTAAGTGGATTACATACAGTATTGAGGCTAAAGAGAGACGTCTAGATATATCTCGACAATGATAGGACAACGTTTAAGTGACAGATGGTCAGCATCAGATTTCAAGCTATATACAAGCTATACAGCCAGATAGTAGTGATAGGCTTCTCTTCTTTCAAGAAGCCTAATCATCACACCAAGCACCACTCTCAATGCCTGGAGACGAGATAAGGTCCCTGGAGGTTGAGCGCAACTGACTTTGTTTTGTTGCTCCCCCTCACCTCTGGTCAAGGATAATCGCATCCTTGTTCATATAGTTAGTTGCATGGGTGCTCATAACTATAGCAACCACTGTCTTACAACATAGTGCTACTGCACTGGAAAGCAACGAACCTCATACTATATCTATCCATAGCCCATCGAGACATATCCACGAATTATGTGGGTTGCAACCACCGCATAATCGAGTACCATTATGCATCTCATCTGTTTCTCTGGGGATATCTTGTCTATCGGCTTGTGACCGAAACCTGGCCAGGGCAGTGAAGAAGACAAGTTAGAAGGCAGGCATAGGACAGAAGGGGGTGGTGGAAGCACCAATAATGGTCAGTTCTTGAGAGGAAGACCTAGAGGAAGAGTGGAAGAAGAAAGACAAGGAGGACGATTTATAGAGCCAGGGAACCATCTCCACTACCTCCAATAATACAAGGGAATAAACTCGATCCCAGACATGGTTAGTATGATTAGGTACCAAACTTAAGTCATGGACCAGCTTTCTTCTTGTTTAACAATGTTAGGCAGTTGGTGGTGGACTAGGCATAGCTAATTATACCTAGCAGTAACTTAACTAAACAGCTACCAAGTAGTACTTACTTAGTGACTAGTGAGTCTATTAACTAACTAATAAGTCATCTCATCTCATCTCATCTCTTTCTTACTACGGAGACTACGTAGTATTATTATTCATTATTATTCTTAGGTGACCCTCCTCCTTTCCTTTTCCTTTCATCTTTCCTCCTCTTCCTCCTCCTCTTCCTCGTCGTCCTTTCTCTTTCTCTTTATTTTCATCTTCCCTTTTCTTCCCTTCTTAGTTCATCTCCTATCGTCTTCTTCAATTAATTCTTTGTTATTCGTTTCCCTCGTCCGATTCATCTGGCCATCCGCTGCCATCGCGTCCGAGCTTCCTCGCCCCCTGTCCGCTCTTTGAGAAAGCGACCAGCTCACACAACCTCCCCCCCCTCCTCCGTTGTCGTCGCGCTTCTCCCACCACCTACCCCATCGATCATGATCCTCACCACAGTGGTGTCCTTGTCTTGTCAATTATCTCACCAGTGTTGAGCGTGCCCGGCGCCTCGAAAATACTGTCAGTTGTCAGTATCTAAAGCACAAGGGAAATTATACCTGAAAGCGCGGCTTGTGGTTGGTTCCTTCGCGCCTCCGAGGCTGAACATTCCCTTTCCCGCCCGCGTTTGTCGGACTCCCCGATCCTCAGGTCACCCTTTGCTTCGAGCCGCAACATACTTTCGATCTTTCCCGACAAGTTTACCCAACTGGGTTGTGGATTGTTGTGGAGAAGAGGTGAACTTCAAGAGGTAATAATTCTGCAGTGCAGATTTCACCACCCTTTCCAATTGTTTTGTTTGCGAACGAAAAGAAAGGGGATATCACAAGAAAATCTCCTAGAAGAAAAGAGAGAGGGAGAGAGAGAGAGAGAGAGAGAAAAGAAGAAGAAAGAAAAAGAATAAGAATAAGGGGGAAAACAAGAATAATAAGCTATCTGAGCTTCTTGACGACGTGTGTTCCCTTTCAACTACATTTGGTTCCTAGGTTGATCTCATTGATCTGCTTCATTTTCGCAGCTTTCTTCTCAGTTAGCCTGGTGTCTGCGTCCTGTGCTTGCTGTTGCATTACTTTGAAACCCCTGCTGTAACTTGATTTACTATCCCCTATTATTTGCTGTCAGTGCTCACACACACACACATCTCCCTCGCTCACGATGGAAACCCAACCATCATCCAAACTAACTTTTGTTGCAAACACAGCATTATTACTCGACCACAACATTCAATCCTTCTGGTCGCCAAAAGGAGGGAAGACTAAGGGGGGATAATAAAACGGGGAAAAAAAAGAAGAAGAAAAAGAAGAAGAGAAACTTTCGAATAATCGATTTCGCGAACCGAATTGAGCAAGACTGGTGAACGAGTCATCCAAGTACCCCCTGAAGGGCTTTGACGTGTCGCACTCGCTTTGCCGATCGCAATTGGTCCAACGGAGGCAATTGACCGCTCATCTCCCGCCCACCTCTGGAAGAGACTGTGTCGGTCCATCACGCAGCGTCTTCGATCGCTGTGCTGCGCCTTCACCAAACGAAGGTATGTCGTCTGCTGCTATGCAAACGGTCCCTCAGAACACATTCGCCCACTCTCCCGTCACATATGCTTCACCTTCCCATTCAATTTCCCCTTCGGCGTCGCAATACCATGATGCGCCGCAGACAGACTCCAATGATTTGCCCCGATCAACGCTCCAACCGCCGCGGTCGCGTAATTCACCACGCGCATTCATGAGCTCCCCACTAAATCCTCAGCAGCTGTCTCACCGTCCGATTCCGATAGTTTCTTCGGCTATGAGCGACTCCCACCAGCAGCCTCCGCCATTGTCCACCCATGTATCTCCAGCCTTGAATCCTGTAGCGCCGTCTCCCGCTCAGAGCAACAATCGGTCGCCCGTCTACGCTGACTTCCAAGGTGGCCCTCCCATCCCGCCGCGGACGTCTTCGACTCATCAGAGTCATCATGGTTTGAGCGAAACATCACCTTCAACCGACAGAGCCTCCAGTTCCCGACGCTCCAAAAACAAGGTGGATGATCGAAGCGCTGGCCACCGGGAGAGAAGGGGCGACGAAACCCGGACACGCCGTTCGGCTCCTCAATCGTCCGAGAACCCAGCGCGGGGGACATCCCTCAAGGGTACGAATCAAAGTCACGCAGAATCGTCAAGGGCGGCTGAGCCGCGCTCGGAGGAGACCATGGAAACCATCTCAAGTCAGGGAACTTTGGTGAAGGAATCCAGTACGGTGATCAACCAAGCGGCGGTGAGTGATCCCTCTGTGGACATTGTCAGGGAACAGGCACGCCAAACCGAAGCGTCAGAATCCCCACCACCAGAAAGTGCTCGTCCATCGGGTCTGGCCTTGGTTGGTAGCGAGGGCGTGGATGATGGAGGGCGTGGCGGCTTGCGGAGTCGACACGATTATAACGAGGATGCGAACAAGCGCAAAGAGACCACATTCGGCGAGTACATCCTCGGGCAGACACTAGGAGAGGGTGAATTTGGAAAGGTCAAGTTGGGCTGGAAGAAAGATGGCAGCGTTCAGGTGGCCATCAAGCTTATCCGGAGGGAATCTCTCGGTTCGAATCCCACGCGGTTACCCAAGATCTATCGCGAAATTTCCATCTTGCGCGACCTTCACCATCCCAATATCGTTCGCCTCCATGAGATGGTCGAAACCGATCGTCACATCGGCATCATCATGGAGTATGCTTCCGGCGGAGAGCTCTTCGACCATATCCTGAATAATCGTTACCTCAAAGATAATTCCGCTCGGCGCCTGTTTGCCCAGCTTGTGTCTGGGGTGGGCTATCTCCACAAGAAAGGAATCGTTCACCGCGATCTTAAATTGGAGAACCTGCTTCTGGATCGGAATCGCAACATCATCATTACTGATTTCGGATTCGCGAACACATTTGACCCAATCGATGAGCTGGGCGAGGAAATCGAGTACAATCTCACCAACAAGGAGTTCGTCAAGAGATTGCGCTTGGACAAGCCCAATTCCAAGGGGGTGAGGCGGGGAGACCTGATGCAGACCAGCTGTGGAAGTCCGTGTTATGCGGCTCCGGAACTGGTGGTGAGCGACTCGCTCTATACGGGACGCAAGGTCGATGTCTGGAGTTGCGGTGTTATCCTGGTATGTCGTTCCGTCAATCGTTGCATTTCTGAACATACCAACTCATTCCTGCCAGTACGCCATGTTGGCCGGATATTTGCCATTTGATGATGATCCGGCGAATCCAGATGGTGACAATATCAATCTGCTGTATAAATACATCGTCAGCACTCCGCTCACGTTTCCCGAATACGTGACACCGCATGCTCGTGACCTCTTGAGACGGATACTGGTACCCGACCCGCGGAAACGAGCAGACCTGTTCGAGGTGGCCCGCCACAGCTGGCTGAGCGAATTTTCGCATGTCGTGTCGCACATCACAAGCAGCACTACCAAAGTTGCTGATATCGCCGACACGACGGTCCCTCCTGGTCAGTTCCGATTCATGTCCTGCGGGTTGCGTGAGCTAACTATATTGCGTCTTTTACAGAGAACCACAGAGAAGCCCCCGTACTGGCCCGGAGCGCCTCCGTCAGGGAGCCCCCCAAAGCATATCAAAGCTCAGTCCCCACGGTTGGCGGTTTGGTCCATCACTCCGGAGACATCTCTCAAGAACAATCCGCCGATCGGTCATCGAAGACTTCCCGGGATACGAAGCGGAGAACAGTCCAAGTCGAGTACGTCGCGCCGCAATCTCAGACAGCCAGAGGGGAAAGTCCCACCGCGCCCGATTCACCCACTGCCAGGCCATTCGACGCAGAGGCCGCCCCGCCGGCCGCGAGGCCCACCAGCCGAGATGCGACCACGGGCGCTCAGCCAGGTGCTTGGTTACAGATTTATCCCATGGAGCAGAGCTCAAAGCGGGCTGGAGAGGCCAAGGCACCCGCTGGTCCGGTACCGCCTCCTCCAGGGCATTTGCCTCGTTCCATCTCGGACAGCACCGCACTCACAGGGACGCATACAACAATACCTTTCACGCAAGCCACCCGTCCGGCGACAGGCGCCTCCATGGCCTCCTTCAATACTGGTCGCCTACCTTCCCGAGGATCATACGGACAGCCTGTGGCCCCTACTGTTGCGGCAACTAATGCACAAGGTCGTCTTGCACAGCCGAAGAGCAAGCAATATGTGATCTCGGCGCCCATACCCCAAGACTCGTCGCAATCCGGCGCTCTGTCTATTGGGCGCCCCAGTACCCAGGCTCTTCCGGCGAAATTTAATACCACCCCTCGGCAAGAGCCGCCCAAAGGACACAAACGGTCAAACACTGTTTCAGGTTTTGGCGAAAAACTTTTTGGGCGGTCTGGCTCCTTTTTTGGCGGCCGTGGGACGCAAACCGCTCCTCGCCAAAAGTCCGGCAAGAAGTATCCTCCCACAAGCATGAGAGATCCTTTTGCCGGCGAGGAAATTCGAGTCTCCATGGATTCGCGTCGTTCTGGCCAGTATGGCAGCCGTAAAATGAGTGACACTGGCGGAGAGAACCGACCACGTCGGTTTTCTCTGTTGCCAGCCTCCTTTTCACTCAAAGGTTTCTCCTCGAGCAGATCACAGACGCCTGAAGAGGAATCGCAAACAAATCGTTCCTCCGATCCACGAGTTCAACAAAGACCATCGGCCAGCATTATCCGACCTCGTGCTCGCGCGACCAGCCATGGGACACAGGACGCAATGGGAGTGGTGGCTGACGGTCCGGGAGACGAGGTGCTTGCTCACGAGGAGCCGGTCAACTATCAAGCGCGTATTGACCAGCAGTTCGCGGAATTGGATGGGCTTCAGTCGGGGCCGTATCAGCCAACATCATACAGCAGCGCTTCGGCTGAGCAAGTCTATCCTAATAACAACAACGAATCGCATTATGCATATCAATACGCCAATCACTCGGCGCCCAATTACTACGATGATTACAACAACGCGCAGGACCCGCGACCGTCGATGCAAGCTTCCCGGCCGGGAAGAGGCCCGAATGTCCTACAGAAGAATCACAAGAAATTTGCGGACGCCTATGAATATGAGCGAGACCCGTCCCATCACTCTGGTAGTTCTGGCGCGGCTAGGAAGGTCATGGATTTCTTCCGCCGAAGAGCCAAATCCAGAGCCACCGACGATCGTTGATGTGACCATGGATGGGTTCTCAGCCATATTTCGGTCCATTATCCTCCTCCTTTCTTCACCTCCACACCAATAGTATCATTGGCACACGCAGGGTGTACTACCATACCTCAACAGACAACCACGGCAGACCACGCCGTTTCGGTGTAAATTCTAATTTCTATTTATTCTTCTTTTCTGTCCATCTACCGCCCCCCCCCCTTTTTTTTTTTTCTTTCTCGGGAATCGAAAACCTCTCACAGTGTCCCATGGCTTCCTATGCGGCAAGTCCAAAGACTGCGTGTCATCGACAGACCGCCTAGCAAGATGTCCATCAGAAATAGGACGGATCCTCGCATGCCGATACTCTCATGCCAAGCATTTTGACACAGGAACAAGGAGGAACATGCGTCTATTAGGCTTGAAGAAAAGAAGCCTACATCGATAGAGCAGAGCAGAATGGTCCTTTGGATACCCCTTTGATACCCACCCAGCTTGTTGTCCGCTTCTGTTGCTTGCCGCATCGGTTTGTCCTCGCATTTGTCCAGCGACCGTTTGTTTTCGCATACATAGCCTTTTTTATCTAGCACATGGCGCTTCTTTCGATTCTATATTTTTTTTATTTCTCTTTTTCTTTTTGAACCCCTTTTATTTCCTTTGTCAGAATACATTGCCTTTTTTTTTCGCTCTGTCCAAATCCCTACCACTTATTTCACCCTCTGTTTCTATAGCCCTGATTGTAAATTGATTCAATGTCTGACTCTTCTTACCCTTGTGGATTCCCCCTGTTGACTTGTCTTCTCCAATTCATGTTATCGTGATTATGAGTTTACTGCTAAGGCAGGGCCTTTACTCCGTACTTGAGATGAATGTTGCGTTCACTGGCCAGGATTCTGTCTGAGTAATCTAATATGGTCCCTTTCATCCCCCTCAGGGTGAGGATCTCTTCGCTTGGTAGAGCGATTCATTGGTGCTGTGCACTGTTGCGTGCATGTGAAACATGATGCGCCTTAGTTGGCCAGGCATACTTACATGTATGCACCTAGATGATGATATGTGATTCATTCCGTATGTGTCTGGTGTTGGCAACCTTGAACCAGCGAGGCGATGGGGATATATGTTGGCTGTCTATATTATATTCAATCCGGAGGCTCTGTGACATCTGGGATGTTTCATCATTGGTGAGGTAGTAAGGCACACTTGGGAGTTGAGGGCCGAAAGTAACCGTTGGTTGGTGATGATGCAGCATCACCGGCAGGGAACAACTCATGGGGAAGAATGATTCTGCTTTGCCTCAGATTGTGACATATCAAAGAACTACTCTGCATATCACCAGCATTGATTAAGCCTTACCCAACCGCAAATCTCATCATATGCCACCGTTCAGTGATGAAGGTTCTTGGTGGCGGGGGTGGGGGATGAAAAGTTGAATATTGATAGATAAGCCTTGCTGATGGCCCCTAAGTGCATAAAGATGTCCACCCCCGACAGCAAGGACAGCCTCAAGATTCAAGATAGTAAGACAGTTAATCAATAGTCATATCTATCTCTGACATCCAACCCCCAAGCTCCAGACCAAACCGAATCCCGACTGCATCGCATCCTGCAGCTTACATGTATTCTATGCATCTATACCTCCCCTCCATTATATATCCTTCATTTACCACATTAGGAAAAATCCATTCCAATCCACAAAACCAACGTCCACCGTCCACCGGCCAACTTGTCCAGACTCCAGACTTTCAGAGCCCAAGCTGCAAGCCAAGAGGATCGCCATTTAGGGTTGCTGATGCTAATGCTGATACCCGACGTGATGCTGAGAACATCCGAGTAAGGCAGACAAGCTTGAAACAATGCAAACATAAAGCTAAGCACTGTGCATGGCGTACGGGGAGGACGGAGAGGTATGTGTGTGCTACTCCTGTGGCCCTATGTATGCCTGACCCCGGGTCATTTCGTTATCTTTACAGAATACTGTATCATATGGACCCTTCTCGACCTAGGGCTAGATAGTAGTTTAATTTTATTTTATTTTATTTATTTATTTTTCCCCCTCCATGCTCTGGGGGGGCGGAGGGTGGGAATCTGGGAGAAAAGAAAGGGAGGGGCCGAATCGCCCGAGCAGCGGTTTTACTTGGCTTGGCTGTGCTGTTACTGTCAACTGTCAACTGTCAACTGTCACTACATCAGTCACTCATCACTCCTATCTACTAAGCAGTGTGTAGTTATATATGGGGGGATTGGGAGGCCCTGTTGATAAGGGATCTGACTAAGGTTAGTAGTGGCTTACAGTGGAAGTAGATGGTGTTTGTTTCAGATCAGTTCAGCCAGAGCAAGTCATCCGTCATCCGTCATCAGTAATCGGGATTCGTAATCTGGGATGGCATTGTTGATGATGTACTAGGAGATGGGGAGATTCGTACTTTTGGTGATCTCGTTGATTATCATTATGATGATGATGATGATGATGATGATGATGATGATGATGATTGAATGCAAGCTGGACGGGAAAGAGGTGTGGACAACTGGATTAGTCTACTCCCGCACGGAGCAGGTAGGGTCCTTAGTAACTACTACTCTATCTAGTATCTACACCGGGAAAATAGATTAATGGAAAAGAGATATGTGGGGGGAGGGGGTGGTTGATCGCTTGGATCAACAAGGTACTACTAAGTACTAACTAACTACGGAGTAGATAGGAGATAGTTCGCCCCTTGGATCTTCTATCTACTGGTCCGATTTGTCATTGCGGAAAGAAGCTTCGATCAGATTCGATGGCCGGTGAGCATGCGACTGGGATTCCCCTGTTGATGTAGATTGATGGTGATTAGAAACTGGGTCCAGCGGGTGAGCGGAGAAGATGGACGGACAGGATAGGACTAGATAATCACTAATTAGTGATTTTTTTTTTTTATCATTGTGGAGGGGAGTACAAGGTACCAGGTACTTAGATAGAGTCCGGGGTTACTTATGATCCATGGATGGGATATGATACGTTACGGGGAAGTCTACAGTGTTGATACAGCCACCTATTGCTCTCCGCTGCCTACGGTTGCACAACGGACGCTCAACAAGGGATGAAGAGGATCTTGGCAAGATATTCCGACATCATTTTGCAGTCTCCCATTGCTTGGCTGTGAAACATACGCAGTAGATAGTTGCCATTTTGGCATTATCAGATCGCACACCTGCCTTGGCTGTCATCAACAAGTCACTTGGCAGCCATACAATCCGCCACCCCTTCCTTCGGCCTCAATACAAACAGCTGGACAGTGGAAGGCGGGGTGATATCTAGGGCGCCGAACGGATAGACATCGATGTGATTTGACACCTCCGCCGATGAGCTGGCGGGTAGGGGGAAAAAAGAGAAAAGAAAACATGATGAAAAAAAAAGCAAAACAAAATAAAAATCCGAATCCCGTGGGCCTTTGACTGGGCCGTGTTTTATCCATCACAAGCGCTAAAAATGAAACCAACGAACGCCATCGAGCTGTCTCAACTCTCAAAGCCCATCAGCTGACAAAGCTGATGAATATGCATCAGGTCCAGCGCGATTGGTTTACATAGGCGACAGGTTGATGAACTTGTGCTGCGCAGGAGGAGGGGTATCGTTGGTCTGGTTCATTCCAGCATCGACTGGCACAATAGGCTTGGGACGGGCCCGGTGGCCCAGATAGAGAAAGTTGCCATCGAGGGAGAATGTACTTCCTGTCTCCGAGCTATCACTGCTGGTGGAAGACTGACTATCGGAGCGATCACGGACATGAGAAGCGCCCGTGGAGCTGGCAGAAGATGGGCTGCTCTCATACTGCTCGGGACCAGACTCAGTGGGAGAGAGGACGAGGAACTTGTTGAGAGGGGTGCGTTGAAGAGGAGAGAGAACAAGGAATTTGGCAGTGGGAGTGTAGGTATACATTTTGGCTGTATCTTTGAGATGGAAGCAGGCACGTAGTTCAAGAGTCGGCGACAGGGTGTATATGTGTTTTTTGTCTTGCTGGGACGGAGACTTGCGGGAGAGCGAGAATGAGAGGAGAGACGATTACTGAAGGATGTTCCATAAAAGAAACCGGCGCGAGATTCGGCGGCCTTTATATACATGTGAACAAACCAGCCAAGACTGAGGATCGAGAGGAGGAGGAGGAGGGGTTAACATCGGAGGTTCGTAACTTCGCAAGTAGATGATCCTCCGGCACCGAGAGGTGCCGATCTGGTAATTTTCCCATCTCACTTGCTGAACAAGTCAGCGCTGGGCGGCCGGGGTCGAACATCTCATTTCCCCCGTTGGAAGGTGGATCAAGCATAAAAATGCACTTTGTGCTTCACATGATTCAGCCATCAACAAAAAAGGGAGGGGCCAAGACGTCATTATTGGAAGATGAGGTCTCACCCTTTCCCTTTTGCAGCTCTAGGGCCAGATAGTATCCAAGACTCAAGTCAGCTTGGCTCATTGGACCCCTGATTATCATTGCTTGTAATTCCATATCTGCCGAGCTTTGCGCAGTCCGCTTGTAAAACTTGGACATAGTCGTCGTGTAAGTCAAAAAGGATGTTTGTACTCCAGACTTCAGAGCCGTCGATTGTGGGTTGTCCCTCACACAAGCATCCGGACCCGATACCAACCGCTCTGCCTCCGATGATCAGCGGCCAGGGACTGTAGCCAAGGCACAAGCTTTAACTATTGATTAAGACTATCAATGGCGAATAGGAGGTTAGTGGTAAGCGAATACAATGCCACGGTACCGGCTTTGAAAGGGAAGAAACAATGATGTTTGGACTGGATCTATTATTAATCCAATCTCCGTAATGTCCGCAATCCGCATCCCTCCTTTATCTCCAGCATTCCTTTTTGTGGAGAGTCCAGGCACATGACCTCGTCGATCATTCTGATAGTTTGCTTGGCAGTGTAGGAGATTGTACTCCGAAGCTCGATATAGATATCCCATAAGAGGTCCTCGATGAAGCTGTTCTATGTGAAATTTTCAAGTGCAGGTCGTACAGAGTAGATGAGAAATCATGAGTAATTGAGAGACATGATGCCATGACTCTCTTCCCTGCCCTCAGCTGGAAGAAAATTATCAATAGAGCAAAAGGGAGGAGGGAAATTCAACCATGACTGGATTGATATCCAGAGAGATGAATCCCTGCTCAAAAGCTGCTTTTTGTCAAGTTAAGCCATGGTTTCTCGGAATGATGGCGATGGAGGACGACGAAGATGATGACAGTGACAGTTGAAGCAGATGAAGAAGAGATGGAAAGGGCCAAGTCACGTGGTCTAAGGCTTCTACAAGCAAGACGAATTCACAATGCAACAAATATAGCAACCTCAGCCAAACTTGCTTCCATGCCGTCTTTCCCTCTCTCCTCTCTGACGCTAGTTCCTCCCTGACAATTCCGCCCTGTGAGCACAGTGAGTCAAGTAAGCAAAACAGCCTTGACCGGTTGACCCATCTCACGTTTTCCCCATACTCGAGTCAAAACAGCCAACGGCGGCTAATCTTAGGCCCTGCCCCCCCGGTTCGACCTGTGGATAGTCGCTGACTTGGCGCCCCCAAGCCTCTCCGCCGCCGTTACGAACGTGAAGTACAATGTTTTGTTTGTGGCACGGGCGTCAGCGGCTCAAAGAGGCCATCAGACTCAGCTCTTGTCCATAGATTTCCCTTCATCAACTTTCTTTGAGAGCGCCGCAAGTGCTGTGCCATCTTCACATTCAAGCTCATCACTTTCTGTTGAGCCCATGCTTTCCATCGATCTCAGTCAGAAGGGGGATTCTATAGGCGGAGATGGTTTTGCACCGCCGAATAAACTTCTCACAGGACGAAGTTCTTGATGTTAGCTTGGTTGTGGACAAACTTTGTCAGTTGTCTAACATACAGCCAACATGGAGGAGCAAGTCGCAATACAATCAACAGACATCAGACTAGATCATCTACGCCGAGTCGACTCAATCATCACAATGCAGTTTTCGCCAACGACTTTGTTTGAATCTTGCAGACATCACCAACTGCGCCTTGGTAGGCGATTCCAAAGATTGGCCAATTGAACAATTAACAGCCTTTATTCTTGTGATCACAATGCTTTTCTTGCAGATCCTTCTATTGCTTTGGACCTCGAGAGTCTATCCAACTGGCTTGAGTCACCCAGTCACCAACCCATACGAAGATGCCCATCCATCACCGCGGATGGGGGACGAGTATGCCTGACGGGGAAGTTGCGGCACCGTCAACTGGGGCAGGTGGCTCATCGGTCCAGGTATCGTTTCAGCCTTGATGCTGATTGCTCCGTACCAACTGCGACGATCAAGAAACCGCGAAGATGTGTTCTGATTTTGATACTGGACCGATCTTTGCCGGGGGCTGTCTGATGATGACATTTCCGTCCCCCACCCCTTGCAATCGATCTTATCGTCTGGGTTCAATGGAGAACACATGACCGATATTGCATTCTGACAGGCGTCCATCTTCGACAAGAGCAGTCAGTGTCTGCCGGTTACGTGACAATTGTCAGATGCTAAGGCAAGCAGAATGCCTGACTGCGGCATGACCGATAACAGACGAAACTTGTTGGCCCGACTTGACAAGTGATTTGATAGTTGCTTCTGTTGGTGCCTGTCTCCCGCATATGTGACCGGTCACCCCCCCCCCTGGCGAAGTGCCACAGTGTCTTCAAGATGATGTCAACTTCTTACACTTGATGCAGATGCGGAACTCTAAATTTCTTAGGAGCTTAGGATCAGGGTCTCTGATCGACTCCTGCCGACGGCCTCGATAATCACAGTTACCACATAATTTAGACCGACCTCGTCGTCCGCCACCCTCCCTGATGATCCGCATAACCGCCAATCTTGCTTGGTGTTGGGGAAACCTAGTGCAGTAGTTCTCGGGGCCAAGCAAGCGTTTGATTTGCTATCTGACTGAGATTGTTGGGTTTATTTTCATGCGAACGTGCTGTAGATCGAATCACCAACTTCCACCGTGCACTCTCCCATGGTGACTTGCCAGGGGAAAAAACGCAGGCGAAGCTGCATGCGTAGTTTACTGTTCCTTGACTATCTTTATTCTCCATTTTGGAATATTGGAGAAAAAAAAATCTGGCCTTTAATTTTGTTGTGTTTTTTTTTATTTATTATTTATTATTTTTTTTTGTTCTCTCCGGGCATGCCTTCGTTTACCAATTCTAAGTAGGTAGTGTTGTTGCGGCACAGTTGTCCGCAGTCACCTTTCTCTATCATCTTCATCTGAGACCAAGGCTACCGGAATCTTATTTAAAGGCCATTGTGACCCGTCGAATATCTCAAATCATCATCGCAACAATCCTCAGCTCATCAGCTTGCAAAGCAACTGCCTCGAACTCACACTTCATCATCACTTTTGCGTTCTGCAGAACCCTCTCTTGGCTCGAGTCCACGACCACTTCTTGCGAAGCAAACCAATTCTTCTACTCGAGTATCACATTCTTTCCCGCGGCTACTCCCATAGCATCCAGCAAGATGTGCTCCCAATACTTCTACAAGTACGACTGCGGCTGCACTGTCCCCGAGGGTGATGTCGTCTACTGCGCAAAACGGGGCACCTCTTGCACCGGCGTGAGACAGCAGATCCGGCGACGAGAGGGCTACAACTGCCCTACCCACGGTGGCTAGATCATCCAGAGGTACAGCTAGCGTCCCCGCATACAGGAGGTGACCTTGGACTGACAAAGAGACAGAGTGACCTCGTCTAGACTCGAGCTCTGCGGACCGTCATGGTCTGCGGTTCTTGAGTGCTGGAGGGCATGATCTGCGAAATGTCCAAGTTTGTGCCATTACAATTTGGCTCGACACATGCAGGATTGAAAGCGCTATCTGAATAAGGAGCAAGAAGGTCATCCTGATCTATCAAAGAGAAAACCCCATGAAAAAAATAGTTTTGGCTTTGTTCTTGCTTTCAACTGTTTCACACCATTATTCCCCCAGCATACATGTTTCGTTGCTCATTGCTCATTGCTCATTATTGTTTCTCTGCATTCGTACTGCTTTTTGATCTGCTTGCAATTGTTCAAGATATCAAGGGCCCTTCTGCTCCGCTCCAGCATCTTCTGCCTGTCAAGCCAATTACCTGCTGCATTGCACTTGTCCAGAGATATCTACTTCTTTGATTAGCCGATAGCTTAATACCACGCTCTTTCGTCTTTCTTCATTATGAATCCATGTGGCTCTATTCGACAAAGGCCGTACTAGCCCTGTTGGTCGCTTTGTTCCCCTTTACTCCTTGCATATAGGTGCAGATCAGCATGAAAGCCATGTGTTCATGACTGATCTTCAAATCTCTTTGCTTCGAGCCGTAGTAACACAGGGTGGAGCCCTGGGCGTAGCTTCGGGCGTAACAAGAGTTGATTGCAATCTGCATAGTGCTTTCCAGCTTCCGCGTTTTGTTTCTAGAAACTCGTTGATATTAACCAGTTCTTATGAAACTGTAGACGAGGACTGCCAGAGTATCTAAGCAACGAAGCTAAGCTGTCTCAGGATATGAGAATACCTCGCTTTCATCGGGCAAAATCCCAATGCTCTGGAAGATACCGCGAAGAAGATGTGACGATTAGTGATGAACCGACTGCCAGAATGAGTAGTTGGTCGGCGAAACCTTTCGAACGTTTCTAGTGCCGGGCAGGTGTACGACGATCCCAACTCTGGCGCACTCTACGGGACAGATCTGTGGTTGAAAGAACTGTGATGGGAAAGAGGAAAGAACAACTTCTAGAAGCCACTTGACACATGGCGCGAAAGCAAGAAGAGTACCACATCGGAGATTCGGAATTTCAAATCATGAAGGGAATCAGGGACGGGCAATGATAGAACCTTCGGAACGAGCGATCTCCCTCTGCGATCTTTGAGTTTTCTGTTTGAGTGTGCGCGCAATCGCCTAATCGACCCCACCAAAGGATTAAGAAAGGTCGAGGCTGGACGACCCCTGGCCGCTATGACTGAAAATGTGCATCACAGGTCGCATGGTTGCATTAGCACCGCAGAGAAGTTCTGTCATCTGATGTGGAGCCATCGAATCAAATGCAAAATAAGGTACAGACACGACTTATCTGGTGGCGATCTAAGCCTAACTGGAGCCAACACAGGCATGAGAAGCACCAGTGGGGTGAGAGCGAGGAGATGACTCAATAGGGATAGTGGTAGCGCCTATGTTGGTGAGTTTTGGTGGGTTTGAGGGGAGGCAATGATGGGCCAATATTATGCCAACAGAGCAGAGCAGTTCGATGGCACGGATCATTGTGCGAAGACGCAAGCTCCAGATCCACAGGCTTTCAGTGTTAGGCTACTGGGTTCTCACAATTCGTAGATAAACTCGACCAGTCGTGGTGGGATCAGCAATTTGGGGTAGGTCTATTCAAAGGAAACGACCTATTTGTGGCGGGTTCGAAATTTTTTTCACTGCGCCAAGCTGGTTGTCGAGGGCCTTGAAAGAAACGGGCGACGCGGAATTTCCGGTTCGATCTGCCACGCACATCGCGCCGCAATCAAAGAACCAAGTTTACCAGCCTTCTCTGGGACCAGGCAGCCAGCTCGGGTACAAACCCCGACGTAGGAAGACAAACGAGCCAGATGGCAAAATTGCGCATCCTACCCTTGACGAAGGCATAAATAAACAAGCCAATGGACATCCCTTGAGCTCGGGAACTGTTGGTACCTTGATGGTGGAATGAAGTCAAGAAAGATAACAAACTTCTCATGGCCTAATGGTTGCACAGCAGTCTCATGGCAGTCCTGAACCTTAACATTTCTTTCAGTTTTCTGTCTCCACGAGTGCAGAGCGGATCCATTGCCGCTGAGTGTGTTTCACCTTCCTTTCAGGGCACCACGCCGCGGAATTTTCTGTGGTGTGTCTGCGACGGCGTCGGGAAGAACTGGGTGAACCAGACTGCTGGGACAGGCATAGTTAAAGCGGTGTGAAAGCCATGTGCAGTAGAGAAGACGGGCCAGATGAATCAACCAGCCGACAACGTGGCCAACAAAGAAATCAAATCTCGGCCCTGAATGTTGTGTAGCCAAGATGTGACAACTGAGAGTCAGGCGAAGCAGTTGATTGAAGATCTTGATGCTGGTGGTTGGTTTTGACGATGTTGTTTGTCGTTGACAATCACGTGACCACACCAGCTGCCGGCGGAACAATGGCGTCAAGGTCCCGGCAGAGACTCAAGCTCCATCTGCTGCTGCATCATCATCATCATCACCAACATCACCTCTAACTCTCGGTCGGGCGCAATTAGTCGTGTGGGACCTCGTTGTTTTTGCACATGTAATGTCCATAGACATCAACTGGAGGACCGCCACCTCTGGTCCAGACGGCGAAGCTCTCGCGGAGCGCATCCGCTCCTTCATTCACGACAGATTTCAGCAGGTGGCTCTCCCCCGGTTCATCCGTTCTGTTCAGGTCCATTCCTTCGATTTCGGAACAATTCCGCCCGAGCTTGAGATCAAAGATTTTTGCGAGCCCTTTGCCGACTTCTACGAGGAGGATGACGACGCCGACACGTCCGATGTGTCTGAGGACCTTCTCTCGGAGCACTCGAGTCAGTGGGACAGGACGCACTCGGAGCTCAATGAACCACCTTATCGAGAAGAGTCGGCGATGAACCATGGTCTACGAGACCCATTCCATGAAGGATTTCCTCCCTCACCCTTGCGATCGCCTCTTGGAGAACACCTCAACCCCCACTTCCTACCCCGTGCCGGCACTCCTGGTATTCCCGGCGGTACGTCGAATTTGGGTTATCACTTGATGTCCCTGGGTGGCCTTTCTGGTACGCAAACGCCTCTTGCTGCAGTGGCGGGCGGTAACCCGTTTGCAAGCGGGTGGTCGGACTCCGGAATGGGTTTCGGGAACAGGGGTCGATCGGAGAGACAAGGCCCAATACCGCAACACCGCCCCGAGCCCGAGATCGACACCAGTAACTCAACCTCTCGCCCGTCAACAGCCAACACTCTACCTTCCCACCTCTCGGAATCTAATAATCTCAACGCGGACGGTGCGACCGGGAGGAACGAGCGTGGCTCGCTGCACAACGGAGACCCACTAGCAGATCATACCTGCTCAGGCCACCTCCCACTCCCCCCACGGATGCGCGAGCGCCGGCCCGAAGACTTCCAAGTCCTGTGTCATGCCAAATACGCCGGCGATGTGCGTCTGTCTCTGACGGCGGAGATCTTGCTGGACTATCCGATGCCCAGCTTTGTGGGCTTACCGCTGAAACTCAATGTCACAGGTATCACCTTCGACGGAGTAGCTGTCGTCGCGTATATTCGTAAAAGAGTCCATTTCTGCTTCCTGTCCGCCGAAGACGCGGACGCCTTGATTGGTTCGGAGCAGCAGCAGGAATCTGGCGGGGACGATCACCGCCCCCGGTCCGGTGCCGATTCCTCCGCCCACACGTCCCAGAAACGCCAAGGGGGCCTGCTGCAGGAGATCCGGGTGGAGAGCGAGATTGGCCGCAAGGAAAACGGGAAGCAGGTATTGAAGAATGTGGGCAAGGTCGAGCGATTTGTCCTCGCGCAGGTGCGCAGGATTTTCGAGGAAGAACTTGTGTATCCTAGCTTCTGGACATTTCTCATCTGATCTCCGAAAAAGCGTGATGAATAATGATTACTTTTTTCTTTTTGTTTTTGTTTCTCTCTTCATTGAGTATTGTGGAAGTTCTTTTGTTTTTTCCCTTTTCCTCTCCCCGGGTCATCGTTATTAAGGATTTGGTTCCCCTTGTTCAGCCCCCAAGCGTCACTGCGGCCAGGATTAGCTGAAAAAGCAAAGCTGCATGAACCTGTACGAGCTGCCGGCAGTTAGCCTGCAGCACTCATCTTACCTCTTAGTAATATGTCTAGAAGAATCCTGTCTCAACTTATTGGACTTGGCCAAGACCAAGTAATTTCCATGTGCAGGGCCCCTCTTCAATCCCAGTGTCTGGAATATATCTAAAATATAACTGATGAGAATTGCGTACATTGTGATGACCATGAGTCATCTTGATACCCACATCATCATACAAAAACTGCGGATTGTGAACGGCTTATACAGGCATCGTAGTGTTATCACAACGCGCTGTACGCATGCCCAACAAACAAACGTAGTCTTCGGATAAAAAGTCCCCGAAATAAAAGCCCTCTGCCTAATCTAATAGTTAAGAATCAGTTGCTAATTGATAAATCCTATCATGCCACATTGCTCCATCTCGACAAAACACACTCTCACCCCAATTTCCCCGACTCCGGGATACCACAACTTCATCACTTAAATCAAGCCTTTCGGCTGGCCAAATCCGTCAAAGCTGTAGAGCGAGCATCAGGAACGCAGACAGCCAGTTTACAGATCCTTCTTGGAACCGTCGGTGGTAGTGCCAGCAACCTTGTCGCCTAGGCTGTGATACTCGCGGGTGAGTCCCTCACACTGCTTCTTCAGAGTCTCAATGTCGCGGTTCTTGGCCTCGAGCTCCTCCCTGAGACGTCCGATCTCTCCGATATCTCCAGCCTGGGCGAGACGTGCGGAGTCCTTGCCACCGGCTCTCTTGTCACCTTCGAGGTGCTTGACGCGGTCCTCAAGACGGAGAACCTCGAGGATCATGGTATAGGTGCGGTTGAGGATGAGAGACAGGAAGAGCGTGAAGCCGCAAAGGTACATGTTGCGCTGGGAATAGAACTTCCGAGCCTGGACTTCCATCCGATCTGTGCCAAGTGCAGCGGCTCTACAAGTGGCGGGATTCGCCGTATCGTCAGAACAAATTACAACTGATATACCAGGGAGCAATGGGAGACTGTAGACTCACCCCATAGGATTGCCTTCCCGGGAGAAGGAGGCAAGCTCCAGCTGCACACGGTAGACGCGGTTGACGCTGTCAATGAAAAGAATCAAGATAAAAATAAACGTGATCTGGCCACATAAGTTAATAGTTATTCTCCTTCAAATCACAGTGCCATGAATATACCTTTAACCCATATTGTAATTTCGCTACTATGGGACTTTCTGAGATGAATGTGAATAGCTTGCGCTTGATGGTAAACGGAAGAGGGACGATGAGGCCCATGAAGACCACCATCTCAAAAATGAGAAGGCAAAAGACCTTTTCAAGAGTTAGCACAAATGGTTCTCATCATCAATGATAGCTGATCCCATTGAGAGTATGAATCTGGGATGTCACAGCAAGTAGCGGAGGTTTTAGGCTCCAATGCTCTGTGGCCTCAAAATGCCGCAACCAGCACTAAAAAAGGGACTGATCAATACCCACCAGACTGTAGTAAAGAGTCATCGTGGCTCAAAGTAATTGACGTGTGCTTTTGAAAGAGATTGTTGTTGTTTGTGCTTTTTGAGCTTGGAACCAAGTTTGTCGGTGGGGAAGTTCAAGAGGATAAACAAAGAGTCGGAAGGGCCAAAGATAGCCTAGTGAGTAGGAGATAGTAACTGAAAAGCAGAATTTATAGTCGGCAAGGCTTTGGATGCCGAGTCTGACACTTGTAGATACAGGTGAAGAGTTGAATTTATGTGTGAGGGTGCAAAAGGGGGCTGAGGTGGTCTTTTTGCAGCTTTTGAGATGCGAGGAAGACGTCATCACCGCTCAGATCTTGGACAGGTCACGTGCTACGGCCGTTCTTTCGTTCACGCCGATCCTGATATCGGGGAATCGAGCGGCTGCAGATGGAAGAATGCTTAGCACAGGTTTCAATTTTGGTGCCTGAATATACCAAGGGTATACTGTCTTTGGGAAGAAAAACCCTCCGTATCTATATTTGTATGTACATAATTCGTTCCTTAAATTGGGTTCTAGTCTCTACAGCTCACTTGGCCATGGCTAACTAGCCTTGTGGCTCATAAGCATTGGATTTATGCTTGGGCTCAAATTTGAAGTCCTTATGTGCTGGGCCAAGGAACATCTCACTGTAATACCTGGTTAGTACGGATGTATATCGTAAATGCGAATTTAGGAAGAAACCCACGTGATCTTAATCCAGTCCTTGTAGTTGGGACTGCCCAGGAGAGTTTCCAATTCGTTTCTGCCTCTCCAGGCTGGAGGTCTGTCTTGGATATTAGGAGGCAAATAATCGAGCAGCCCAATTGGTACATAGCGCTGAGTGAAACTTAACCACTCGAGCATAAAGCGCCTGGTCGTACCGACACCGTGCTCATCCGAACCCCATGTGTCGAGACCGTACTTGGCGAATTTTTCGACATAAGCCAATCTTTCCGTAGCTGTCTTGTCAAGGTACTGCCCTGTCTGGATCTCCTCAAACACCCATGGCTTGATAATTGCACCTCGGCCAACCATGACAGCATCCACGCCGGCATTGTTGATATGGTCCTCATAGTCTTTATGAGAATAGCAGTCGCCATTTCCGAGGAAGTAGACTTTTCCGCCGTTAGGCAGCGTCCGCGCGTCCGGTTCGCGAACAGTATCCGTCACTTCGTCCGTCTTCTCATTCAGTCGTTTGATGAGCGCGGCACATTCAGCGATGTAGCTCCAGTCAGCTTGCTTGGTGTAGCGCTGTTGTCTGGTACGTCCATGCAGAGTAATGGCTGCGACGCCGGGAGGCCCGATGTTCAACATGCTAGACTCATGACCCCCCAGAGTCAAACGTTCGATGAGTTTTAAAGCATTCGGAGAAGCGTCTCGAGTCCCCGTCCGGATTTTGACCGTGATTGGAATGGCCTCCGACACAGCATTCATGCCACGAAGAATTTTCTCCAACTTCGACTGGTGGTCAAGGAGAGCAGAGCCTGCTCCGTCACGGTAGACCTGGTCAATGGGACAGCCGCAATTCAAATCAATAACACGCAGATGAGGGGTCAATCGTCCTAGCAGCTCGGTAGCTTTGATCGCGTGCCAAGGTTTGTTTGCTGCAATCTGAGCACCGAACTTGAGGTCCTGAGAATTGTCATAGCCCTGGACGATGTTGGCTCCCGAGGAGATCGTCGGTGGGATAGCCTCGGTCTCATGCGCTTTCATCAGAGCCCATTCAGACTTTTGACCCTGAATCAATGACATGCCCATGGCCATTTCCGAGTAGGTAAATTGGGCACCAAGGTCTGTACAAAGCCTTCGGAAAGGCAAGTTTCCCTGAGTAGTCAAAGGCGCTAACGCAGGAGTTTCGGGACCGAAGTACAGACGCCGCTTTTCCGACGGCAAAAATGGGGGCTCAACATAGGCAGCTCGGACGTCTTCGAGTGAGACCTTGACGTCCGCACCAACCTCGCCCTCTGCATCGTCGTCGAAGTGTCGGCCGTGAAGGTTTTTTTCCAGGGCCTTCGAGGTCTTGTCAAGCCATGTCAGGTATGCATCGGACCTGGGAGTTTTAATCTTTCTCCGCGCCACTGCAACTTTATCCTCCATCGAAACAGCGTTCACAATCCCATCTTCAGATGCATGTGGGACCAAAGGCTGAGCCTTCTTGCGTGTTTCATCTTCAACCAAAACCAGTTCTTTCCTGCCGTCCGCCGTCTCTCGCTCTGTCATATGCGAGCCCACAAATCGACACTTGTATCCATACGGACACCTGCCTTTGGCTTCCCACAATGGGCAGATACCGCCGAAAGTCGTGAGATCTGCCCGCTTGTGCTCCTTCAGGTACGTGCGTACATCGTGTTCGAAGCGACACCTGTCGCCAAACTTGCATTCCTTCGGGGAGAATTCGGGGCTGAAAGCTCTGGAAGGGCACAATCCTTTCGCATCGTTATGCTGGCCGAAGTCGCGCCCCTTGTTTTGACCGGAAGTCTTCTTCTTGCCTTTCTGCTCGCTCTCGCGTTGCTGGTGTGAGGCGGCTTCGGCCGCATCGTCTGCGTCGACCGTGTTATCTGCTTCAACGGGTTGGGGTCTTGCGCTTTTCTGGACAATGAATCTATCGCAGCCACAGTCAGCAGGGACAAATCAATTGAGAAATGGAGGCGTATCGGTACATACTCAGCTTTGACGGGAGCAATACCCTTCACCCGTTTAGGAGCGGCATCAGCCTCTTCTTTCTCGGTGACCGGAGCGTTCTCCAGTCTCGGTTTCTTGGCCGGATGCTCTTCAATGGTATCAGCGGTGGAAGCGCCGTTCTCGAGGTCGTGCTTGGGCGTCTTGTTATCTGTGTCCACCACTAGCGGTTGCGCCAGGGGGGTAGAATCCATACTAGCGCCAAGGAGAGATCTGAATTGAGCGACCTTAGATGACAAAAATGTAACGACAGTAGGATCGTGTGATTGTAAATCGCAACTTAATTCAATAATGTGGTCTACTCCGCATACAAAAAAATTTCCGATTGAAGCCCGCTGATATCGGTTTGCAGCGTGTTATCAAACAGGAAGGCGGTCACAGTGCTTCATCACTAAAGTGCTCTTAGATAGATGGGGGCTGGTCATGTGAGGAAACGGTCTACCTTGCCTACTTTGGTAGGTACCGAATTGGACAGTATGGTTACATGGTATCGCGTATAGCGCCGCTTTCCTCTCCGCCTGGGGAAAGCGGCATGCGCGGTAACATAAATTACAAGATCTTTGGAGATACGTAGGACGTACCTTACAGTGGCGGGTTTCAACTTTCGAGTCCGGAAACTATGGAAGCGATCTTCTTAGTACGTACTCTGTACTTACTTGCCTACGTACCTATGGTACCGGTCGAATGGGTCAGGGACCCACAGAATACACCCATCTGGTTCGAATGTTTCCAGAAGGGCTTGGGTAGGTAATAATCTCTTATTTCTGAGAAGCATTTGGTATCTAGTCTGTCGATGGTTAAGAGGCTGCAGATTTCAAGGTACGGATTGCAGAACTCAAGTAAGGTAGCAGATACTTCAATCCCACGCAGCTAGAACTGGCTCAGGTATTAGTAAGGAACATGGCAATGAAAGTCAAGAAATCCTGCCGTCAAAAAGTCGACTACTCCAAGCTAACCCGAGTAATGGGATCATGGGATCATGGGAACAGCTCAAGTCCCAACAATAGTACTAGTTATCTAGTAGTATCTACATTCTGGCTGTAGATCATATGACACCGGAGATATCCTGGCCTGGTCGGTTATTCATCATTCTCGAGTCTGATTAGGATCATACCCCAGTTGAAGTGATGTTTATCCATCAGACGTTGATCCTTACAGAGCCCTTAAAGAGTTAAGACACCTGTAGAGAAACTAATTATACGGAGTAGAGGGATTCTGATATGCAACTGACCGAGCTTGCAGCCCGGGTGTCCGAAGATCTACGTGTCCGAAATTATTTCCTCTGTGCCCCTGCATATGAGAACCACTCTATCACCAGGATTGAGCAAGCACAATTGCACAAGTGGCAGTCCGAGAGTCGAATACCAAGCCTTGATAGTGGAAACTCCCAGGTCTCGTCATTGTCCAACTCCAGTGTACCACTGTACTTGGTATTGGGTACGTAACAGCTAGCAGTAGAACAAGTCTCAAGGCTCAAATGCCTCAAACGGTCGAACCCTAACTGGAACAAGTGATCATAAGTTAGCTGAAGGACCTCAGGGGTGCAGTATTACTACGTAGTATAGATTCTGGTGATTTAGCAGTTGCACACGTGGCTGGAAGAGTACACTTTCTCATGAAGAATGAAGATGTGCAGTGTGCACTGTAATAATCTGATTAAAGGTACTCACTTCCCTGTACCTAGGCAGTATTTAGTAGATACATGGTATTCTTGTATGTGGGATACATGCTCTGTACAGAGTGTCAAGATCAAGGATCATCAACAGTCTGTTCTGGTACTGAGCAATACCTCTTTCGAGTTTCGACAGAGCTAACCGAGGGCGCCTTTCTGTATATCCGGCATCATTGAGGAATCGCCTCAGACATGTGGAATTGTGGATATGGAGATCATCTCTGTGTCAGTCGTTGCGTACTACGGAGTACATCATGATCACCATCTTCTGGTTCACGACAAGAGAAGTATGATTCAATCAACCATTCAAGCCATTTGGGAACATGTATTACATGGAAAAAACATATTTCATCCGCTCTGTCGCTGTGTTGATTTGCTCATACTCTTTGGTATATATACCCAAATAACAATTGTGCACCATGAAAGCTAAGAGCAACATGTGAAATAAAGATGAGAGCAAGGCGGTGTAGCTCACCACTAATAATCTTCTGTGACCTTTCTAGCGCAAGCCAAGATTCCAACTACACTAAGGTAAGAAGGTAGTTAAGTACTGCAGCAGTTCAATACAAGGGCACTCGCATCTGGGGTAGAATAGATAATACTCCGTTCCTTACCAAGTACTATGTAGTAGTAGTTCATATCGTCGCCTAGTCTGAGTCGCAACTCCCAGCAAGGTGGTCAGGTCACTCTATGACTCTACAATCTGCACTACTAACTACTTCGTAGAATAGATATTATTTGACGAATAATGTGAGGGGCCAACTGTCGGTGTCCAATAAGTCTGAGAATGCGATGATCGGACCACCAGTAATGGATACCTTGATCAACAAGCAAGGCGTCTATTTTCCTTTGGCTTGCTAATCTAAACCTGGGGTGAGAAACCAATAACTATATCTAGATTGAGAGATAACAACCAGCCCAGCTCGATCTCGGACAATGATGTTGTTGATAGTAGTTGATGTCATCACAACCAGCCAGCGCGGGGATACAAACTCTAGACGCGAAGAGAGTTTCTTGGTTACCCACCACCTAGTATACTTACGGAATCTCGTGCGGTGTACTTCACGTTGCTGTCTACCAAAGTCTTAAGGTTCGCAGGCTGATCTCGAGGTGTTTAATGCAGCTGGTGGGCTACCCAGTTTCGGGAAATGTCCTTGGACTAGGTGTTGAAGTACCCGTTCGCTAAGTTCCCAAGTGGTGTTTGGAGTCTGGTAAGTCCAAAGCCATTAAGCTAGATATCGGTCAGGTCGGATTATTGTACTGGACGCTTATCTTGGCATCAGTGTACTCGCTATCGAGCACTACTAGTTGATAGTGATCGTCGTCAATGAAACCCATCAATTTCTGGAAGGCCTTCTTCCAGCCCCCTCAGAGACATCGTAGAGATAACTGGCTCTATACATTTGTACCCGAGGCGATTCATTGACCGTCAACTGTTGGTCAAGGCCGAGGAGACCTTCAATGGCATATCGATACGAGCTTGGTGCATAATGCAAACCATGGATAGTTTCTACCTTATGGTTCTTTGACTCAACGACCTTGCCTCCCTTTCCGAACGAATTATCATGCTATGTATGCCACTTGTCCTTTCAAGACAGACTATGACCTATCTATACAGCTTTCAGAGTCTGAGGATCTTACTCCAGCTGCAGATCCCTCGGTGCTGGTCACTAGAGTGACTAGACTGATATCACAAATGAATGATGCATTGGTGTCGCAAGAAGAACAACAGAGGTCGAACGGTATCTGATTCATCATAATATACCCCGGTACTGTATAAGATACTAGCGTGTATCAATACGAACAACCTAAATACATTACCAAACGCTGTTATGTTGAGACCCCTCTTGGTTCCAACCTATTGTCCGTCATCATCATCATTGACTTTTGGAACTGCAAGCGGTACCATTCTCGCGCTTCTGAGTTCTGACGGTCCACTTGCGGACAGCAATGGTAATGATCAATGAGCTGCTCAATTTCACATTCTCGTGGATCACTTTGCTCAGTTGAAGACCAAGCTGGATTCGTGTGATTCGATGTTTATGTGCTTCAAACAGTTGTGCTAAACGCCTTGGCTGCCCAGCCATCACTGAGATCCTACCACTCAGCGGCTCGCTGGCTAGCTCATAGTTTCAGATTGGCTTGGGGAAGGATTCTGAGACCCGCGTATCAATACATTACACCGCCGATACAGCCATGCGTACTCCTGTAACTACGAATCCCAATACGGCAGTGTTGCCTCCATAGGTCCATACCGTACCGATGATTAATACATTAATGACTGCTCGAAGCCCTCTCCATCTTGCCAGTTGCCCCTAACACTTGATATCCTTACCTGTGCAAGGATAATCATCCTGTGTTTTGAATGAGATTCATTTCATTATCTCTATCATCAGGATCACTCCCTCCCATTTTAGCCTCAGTTTCACCTTGCTGGCTTGATTGCTTTCTCGGAGATCATCCAACACCTCCCGCCACTTTTCCCGAATCCGTCACGGTTCCGCAGGCCCAATAAACCAAAGCGGGACGACATCCGAGGGTGGACTCCCTGTGTGATCCCGCCCAAAATCGCCATCAAGGATCGCTCCTTCATGCTCGGTTCATCAGAGGAAACTCATAGTTCTCCTCCTCCTCTTCACCACTCTCCTTCTATCACAGACCACGATCGCGCTTCTACTCGGGATACGACACCCGTCACCACCCCCCTCGGGTTTGGCGTATCGTCCCGCAAACCAGTCAGGGAACAGGCCCTGGAACATTCGTGGGCTGGAAATTCACTCGACCCAGAAGACATTCATTCACCATACCACGATACTCGAGATTTTCGTACTCATCTGAAAGACGACCTCGACTTTCCTCTCTTTCCATCCTCACCGACCACCTTTGGCAAGATGGCAGGAACAGCTGCTCCCATCGACATTGCCACTCGTCAAACCTCTGTCTCTCCTCCGGGACAGCAGGCATCGAATTTAACATCTGCTCTGCAGAGAGCTGCCAATGGAGAGCGCACCGGGAGCATTTCTCATTCCAGTGGCGTGGGTCTCAACGTCTTCAAGGCCCCGCCTCCTCGCAAGGACTCAATCAGTGCAGCCACCGCGCAATGGGGCAATGGAACAAAACCAATTTCGATGGCGGGGTCCAACCGCGATAAACCCCGTCGAGAATCTCTTGCTGGGAGTTTAGTTGGTGGTATGAGTTGGGGAGGTGTGTCTGTAGGCAGCTGGATCCGTGATGAGTGAGTATCAGATCTGGCCCGCAGAGAGAGAAAAAAAAAATGCGGGGCTCTTGCCTTTGCGATACAGATACAGCTCAGAGAGCAGAGAACTGACATTTGCATCACTTCCATCTAGTATTATTATGACTGGCACTTCTCCATTCGCTTTTGGACAATCGCCCTCTTTCCACTCCTCCTCATACCTGCCGAAACTGGAAGCGAACTTCATGCGGGATTTTTCTTGCTGTGGAGTGACGCTTCCAACTCTTCACGATCTTTTGCAACACTACGAAGAAGCACATGCCACGAAATCGCCTCAGCAGAGTCATCGCCCAAGTCAAACTGATGGCCGAGCTGCGCTAGCCGCCGCGGCAATGGCACAACAACAGAACCAACAGCTTAACAATCAGGGTCGTGGTTTGCAGGTGGACAGAGGCTTGGATATGCAACGAAAATTGAGTCCGAATCCACCACTCCAGCAACACCCCGATTTAGATACCATCGATGACATGGAACTGGATGATGCCATGGGAGACATCGATCCGACCGCTTCGCAGATGTTCTCGAGCCAGGCGCGGGATAACACACAAGGAGGATACGGAACTCCTAACCCGAGGGTTCCGCAACTCAACTTGTCTATGCTCCCAAGCCATCAAGGTTTCAAGAGCTCGCAGCCCGGGACCCCAGTTCCTTCTGGACACCCTCTTTCCTTGCAGAACAATCCCACCGTATCTTCTGTGAATACACCCACTCTAATGGCGAACCCACTTCAAACCTCTCAGTTTCGGAACACACCAGACTCATCGGCGCCAGGCACTCCAGCAGAGCTGGACGAGAGCGTATTAGGCGGCTTCGGCGATCTAGCGATGCAAAACAACCCGATGATGCAAGGACAATCACAGTTCAGATTTGCTGGTGGTAATGACATGGTGGATCTCTGTATCGACGAGCCTGCGAAACGACTGTTCAGTCCTACTGGAGGACTCAACACGTCCAATGCGCACTTCAAACTTAGCGGAGCGCAATATGGTCCCAATAGTGAGATTGCCCGGCGCATCCGGGAGCAGCAGCTGCTGGCAGGCGTTCCCGATACCACGGCTCTACTCCCCAACGAAGAGCCCAAGCCTTTCAGATGTCCTGTCATTGGGTGTGAAAAGGCCTACAAGAACCAAAACGGTCTCAAGTATCACAAAGCTGTAAGTGAACCCATCTCCAAGCATGGTTTTTGCTGAGGTTCTAACTGTTTTTCGCTTGTAGCACGGTCACAACAACCAGCAATTGCATGACAACGCTGATGGAACTTTCTCGATCGTTAACCCTGAGACCTCCACACCATATCCCGGAACTCTGGGCATGGAGAAGGAGAAGCCATACCGCTGTGAAGTGTGCGGGAAGCGTTACAAGAATCTCAATGGTCTCAAATATCATAAATCGCACTCCCCGCCATGCAACCCCGATTTCCAGCTTGCCGCAGGTCGCAATCTGGCGTTCGGAGGAGGAGTCATGCAGGGGCAGAACATCAATGTTGCTGGGGCTGGCCTCCCCGGTATCGGCGAGGAAGGTCTTCTTTGAGGGGGTGACCTTTCTTTTCGCGATATCAGCCGCCTTTTCGATTGTCTTCTACGCTAATTTGACTCAAATGAACCTCACGGCCCTCGTCGCACTACATACGATTTAATGACCGGTTTAGGCTTGGAGTTGATATTGGTACGAATGTCTTGTCTTGCTCGGATGACAACAAGGGTTTTCTAGATGGCCATGTCATGGACTGTTGATAGAGCTTTTCGTTTCTCCATGGAAGCCTTTCATGACCTGTTCATTTGGTGGCGGGTCAATTTCTCGTTTCTTGTGATACTGTCGAATTGGTCTTGTTTTTCTACGAACCAGGTCACAATCTGTCGCGCTCAAATTTCCTTTGCCGCGTGCTCGAGAGAGGAAGAAGAATCGCATCGGGATTGAACCAACAGATGCTGACTACGACTGGATATTGCACTAACCAAGGAAGCCTCTACCCTGAACTTGCTTGTTCGACACATTTTTGCTCTATTGATTTCTCAGGGCGGCGGTTGTTGGATTCCTTGATCCTAGGGAGGAAACCAAAAAATTCAGAAAAAGTTCTCGGTATATTGGCGTCGACTCTTGTAGATAAGGGTTTTTTTCCTCTTCCTTTTTTCTTCTCTCCAGATTGGATTTTTTTTCTTTGTCTTTTTTTCCTCTCATGCGATCTTCATCCTTCTGCCTCGGTGGCGTTTCTGGAGTTTGTCTACTGCTCATCGCTGCTCGGCTTTTTCCCTACTGGATTTGCTAATTTTTTTGATAATAGAAACCTTTGTTTTATTTATTTTATTTTATTTTATTTTACTTCCCCTGCTTTCTTCTTTTCTGCTTGATTCCCTTTGACGTTCATTTGGTGTGCGAGGTTGGCCAGGATAAAAAAAGTTTTCCTTCTCTGAAAATATCAAGCTGCTGGTCTTCTTCTATGGTATATACTTGCGTAGGTCGTGTAGAGCAGACATCGAGCTTTGCGATATGCACAAAAGAGACCAGAAACCGCCGGATCATTTTTCATTGACTATTCTAGTACAAGCTAAAAGAAGATGAAGAAAGTGAACAAAAAGAGCAAGCCATCCTCATGTGCAAGCGCCGGGTTCAGGGTTTGAAAAGCAGATTTCGGCCGAGTGGCTGAGATCGTAAAATTGTTCAATCAGAGGTCCTTCGGTATTTCGTGAAAACGAGATCATGAGAGTCAGAAGAAAAGAAAAGAAAAATGAGAAAGTCAAACGCGTGCTCCTTGCCGTTCCAGGGGTGTATCAGATCAAAAATGACTAGATTGAGGTGGGTTTTCTTCTTTCTTCGAATATGTGAAACGTTCTGGGGGAAGAGTGTTGAAAGACGCACAAAGAAACGAGAAATCGAGGGGGTACACAGTGGAAGGTTTTGAGCTTCCAATCTGGGGCTGATACAGTCATTACCATTCGAATTCACCCTGGCCTTTGTGGAAGACATATCTGTTTCGCGTCAGCAACTGTAACCAATAATCGTGTGTAATGAGGACTGGACACTTACTCCTTGCCGCCTGTTGTCAGGATACCATCCTTCAAAGTGCACTTCCACTTGTTCTTCACGCGCTGCACTTTGTCGTATGTGCAGAGCATGACCTGCCCGACAGCGTCCTCGGCATCATGATCCTCGGCAACTAGGTCATCCGGGTCGTCGAGGTCGGAGTTGATGGCATCTTCATCGTCTTCCACCCTGTCATCATCTCCTCCTGGACCATCGAATTGGGCTCTTGGTCTCTCAGGACGCGCAAAAGGTGCGACGATACCCGAGGATTCCGCATCGATCGAAAGGAGATCCCGTCTCGATGTTGACGGCATGGACTGGCGTTCATCCAAAGGGGTGAGGAGACCGCCTCCTTCGAATTCAAGCATGCGCTGTCGAAGGTGGTCTCGTAGAAGCCTGTCACCCTCCCCATTCTGGCGTGCGGCAGCCTCGCGTCGTCGTGCAACCTCCGCTTTCCAGTCTGATAATGCATCGTCACAGGCACCATCCGTCTGGGAATTGTGCATATGAGGCTGGGGCGCGGACGGATAAGACGGTTCTTGCTTGATTTGAGGGATTTGACCATTGGCGATCTGTGGCGGGTTCTGGGGACGGGGTTGTCCGGGCATACCCATGGCGGCTTGAGACTGAGCCTGCAGTTGGCTGACCGAGCTAGCCGCGGCGGCACCATATCTCTGATGAAGCATATTGGCAGCCCGTTCTCGAGCAGATTGGGGGTTTGATGAAGGTACTGGCATCATGTTGTTCATATGTGGTAGGCCTGACTGGCCATTCAGACCAGGTTCGGTCTTGATATGAGGTGGTTGTCCCATTGGAGCAGGTGTCTGCATTGGGGGAACAGCTCCCGGGAGAGATTGGGGGTGTTGTTGCTGTTGCTGCGGCACATGTTGCTGCTGTGTTTGTATCAGGGGAGCAGGCCGAGGAGCATTTGAGGGAACTGGAGCTGTAGGTGGGAGTATTTGATTTTGATTCTGGGGAGGGGCGGGTTGTGGTGGTGCAGGATCCCAAGGAAAATGGGCAACACCCAGCGACGATAGCTTTTTTTGCCAGCTCTGTTTTGGTATGAGAATTCAGCAGCAATCCAGCTAAGCAAGGAAGAGATCAATAATAAAGATAAAGAAGATCTAGATCATGAAACATAAAACAAGTGCATGGGGGGGGGAGTATACTATGGAGGTGGAGGAGAAAAGGCCTTGGCGGACTAAACAACGCCCGCTCTAAAAACGGGCCAGAGAAGCGGGTAAAAGCGGCATGGTATAAAGAGACTCAAAAGCTGGTGGTTCCCCCAGAAGCAGCACCGCCTCCCGCAATCCTCGGACCCCCGCCTTGATGGGCCGGGAAAGTGAGCACGACAGCCCTTCAAGGCGATCATCGCTCATGAATCAAACGAAGCTCGAATTTGTGAAAAGCAAGGAGAAGAGAAGATAGAAGATTGTTTAACAAAAAACTCACCTTTCGCAGGTCTAACAGCGTCTGCTGGTCCACACCACTCTCCTCGAAATCGACCTGGGAGGCATCGCAGACCTCCTGGATGACACGGTCAAACACCGTGCCCTGCAAATCACCGGGTATAAGCCAACATCCTCATCATAAGACATCGAAAGACATCCAACAGCAAGACGGAAAATGGAAGAGAAGGGAAAGGAAGGCTGGATATCTTCCAGTGTCTTCCCCAAGCCAGGTAAGGCAGGACAGGGCAGGGGTTGTTCTAGCACTCACCACCTGCTGGTTGGACATGATTGCGGCAATGAAAAAAAAGGAACGCAACGAATGAGGACCACGTAGACAAGGTTCTTTTTTCTTATTTGTTTCTGCTCTGTTTTATCTCGACAGGCGAAGAGTTTTGTGGTTTCCTTGCTCTATCACAGGTGATGCTCCGTCGCAACGGGATCAGTTGCCACGGCCCCAATGCGACCGGTCAACCCCGACGGCGAACAATACCTGAACAGCTCCCGGGTTTGAGAACTGCGATTCTTGGAATCCCCTTCCTGCAGTCAATCAACTATAGTTTGAAATGTCAAGAAAGAGTGAGAAAATGTCACTCTGTGGGTGGAAATCAGCCGATGGAAAGAGCTCGCAGCGCAGCGTACTGTAGGGACTGGTTGAGGTCAAAGTCGCTCTCTCTGGGCGAAATCCATCCTCCCTCCGGACTGCTTAGTCATCGCCCAGCTCACTAGTGATGGTCCTCCCGTAGCCAGACATCCTTCCTTACTAGATCTATCTAGGTACTTCAATGACTGCTACTGTACCATCCCTTTAGACCCAAGCTCCGGTCGTTAAGATCTCATAGAGAAATTGATTCAAGTCCGGTGTCAATGGGAGTGTTGGAGTAACCTCGTTTGGATGTCAAGCTTGTTCCAGGTTGAATGAAGCAGAGCAATCCATACGAATCAGGCGAGTGAGAGTCAAAATGATCAATAACATCAATTAGTTACCCATAGTTCATACAAGAATCGAAGAGTGAGAAGATCAGCCCATAGCAACGCCGGTGACCTGCAAACGCCTCAAACAGATCCCAGACAGAAACCCCGAAAGCTAATGGAGAACCAACATGGAGGAAAAGCATTTCCCAAGCCCTTGAAATAGACACACAGAATCAACAGAATACGAAAAATAACTCTAAAAGTATCCATCTACCGGATAGTCATTGACTTGGTCATCTGAGCTTTGCTTCCAACACCGCCTTCTCGAGATGCCGAAGCACTAGTTCCAGCCTTGCGCTCAAAGATCTTCCAGAACTTCAAGCTCTCATCAGCAGCGGCAGTAGCCAGCAACTGACCGTCAGGGCTCAGGCAGCTGTGAAGGACTCGGGTCTCGTGAGCAGGGATCTCAACGTTGCGAACCAAGGTGGGATAGCTCCAGATGCTGAGGGAGTTATCGGGGAACCCGCTGGAGCTGACAATCTCCCGGTAGTGGTTGCTCCATCTCAAGCTGGTGACCTGAGAGCCGGTATCAATGCTGTTGGTACGGGCACCAGTGGTGGTGTTCCAGAAGTGGATGTGACGGTCGTAGGAGCCTCCGCCAGTAGCAAGAAGGTTCAATTGCCAAGGGCACCAGCTCAGAGCCTTCACAGCGGCGCGGTGGTTAGTCTTGGTGAACTTGGGGGCACTGAGAGACCGGGCATCCCAGATGTTAACTAGGTTGTCGTTACCACCAGTAGCGAGCTGCGCGCCATCAGGCCGCCATTCGAGACCACACACTTCCGAAGTATGGGAGACGAGCTCTGCAACCTTGTGTTGAGCAATACGAACATCGTGGTTGAAAACAAGACCGCTACGGGCACCGGTCGACAGAGTGTGCTTGGACCAACCCATGACTCCAACACGGGAATCATGGCCAAACATACTCCGCAGCTTTGTGCCCTCCTCCACATCCCAAATCTGGACCTCTCCAGTACCGAGACCAACTCCGACATATGCACCATCGCCACTCCACTTGACGCTGCTGATGTAGGTGTCAGGAGCAGACTCCAGCAAGCAGCTCACAGTCCCCGACTCTGCCGACCATACATAGACATTGCGCTCGAGACCAATAGCAACCTGGTTTCCCGAGCTCCAGTCCAGCAAGTTAAGATAGTAATCATCCAGCAGGCCCGGGGCATCCAAGACACGCTCAGGAGCGGTTTGCACTCTCCGACGAAACTGGGACGACTTGGACTTGCTCGACTTCAAAGGACGATTGTACTGAGCGCGCAAGTCAATGGGCTTGGAAGATTCTGGGGGTGGTGGCTTGAAGGCAAGAATGCGAGTGTTGAGATTGACGCCGCACGCATCAGCCAGTGACGATTCGTAAGCGACAGCATCAGGCGCGGGCCGGGTGTATGAAGTTGTGCTGTCGTTATCCTCAAGCCCCAGGTTCTCCAGGGCAGCGGTGAGATCGTCGTCTGTGCCGCGGCCGCCAATGTCAAATGCGCTCGCAGCACTCGCCAGGACCGACGATCCTTCATTACTGCTCGACTTGGGGCGTTGGTTCTCTTCGGGCTTGGCCGTTCCAGCTGTTGCCAGCCCTTCGCTAGCGGTACGGTTGGGAATGAACCGGTCGCCAGCATTGTGAGAGATGCGGACGGTAGTCTTGCCAGATCTCGTGGTGCGAGTGGAAACCTCCTTTCGCACTCGCTCCTTCGACGAGGGCGACTGAGCTGACGTCGGACCGGTACCGGTCAATGACCAATCTGACACACCGAGCTCCAAATGCCGGGGAGACTTGCGAACCCTGGCAATGTTTGATTTGATGGGTTTGGGAGACTCGCGGTACGCCCTTGATGTTTTCGAGATCGACTTGGCAAAGTATGAGGAAAGGTTACCGCCGTAGACGGAACGGTTATTGTCTTTTGCCCCATCGGCGGATTGACGAGGGGGAGTAAAGGGAGATGAGCGATTCGGTGTGAGGCTAGTTGTTCGTGTATGAGGAGATGGTGTGAGAGGCATGCGGCCGCCAGCGGTCTTGGATGAGAACAGTCCGTGGTGGGACTTCACCGGAGTTGATATCAATGGAGTAGCCATGTTTTAGGATGCGACAATCTCCGAGCAGCGATATATCAGAGCTTTACCAGAGGTGAAGGGGATTCTTTTTCTTTTTCTTTTTCTTTTTTTTTCCTGATTTTGATTGCCAAGTCCTGTCAATCAATGACCACGCAGATCTAAGACACAACGAAATAGTAGTTGATGCCGGTATAGAAGAAGCCAAAAGAACATATACTATGCAAAAAGATATCAGATACGAACGTAACTGAGGAAGATAGCAAAGAAAAGAGAGATTCTGGGAGCAGAGATCCAGAGATCCAGGGGAATAAATACAATGTATAGTTCTTTCTCCCCATGGCAACGGTTACCTGAGGTACGGCTGTACTAACACCGATATGGCTAGCGTAAACGTGACATGCGGCTCTTTCCCTCTTTGGGCGTCGATCGTCTTGGCATTTTCTCTGCCTGCTTCATCCTTATCGTCATCGCATCCCACCCTCTGATCCGATCTTATCGGAGAATGCTGTGTCAAGGCCTGAAGAGAAGCACTTCCAAGTTCCAACACTGATATGTGTGTTGAGTCTGTCTGTGTTTATTTTATCTCTCTGGCAGCTGTGCTGTTTAAGTGCTCGCAAACAGCATATCTTCCTCCAAACGCCTGATGGCGCGGCAACCGTCCTCCGCAGCTACCAGTAATAGTAACGCTCCCTTGGCATCCACCGCATTTGTCTCCCATTTCCGCGAGGACCCACACTTTTGGATCAGATCATCCAGAGGTTCGAACCCCATGGCATCCGTCTCCTTTGCTCATCAGAGACCCCAGAGCGCATATCTCATGCCTACCAGTCCAGCAAAGGGTCGCCGTGGGAGCACGGATTATCGTCCGGTCATTCGGAAGGCTCAGGGCAATGTTCCCGCATGTCTTGTCAATGCGTCAGTGACGTATTGCAACAACGATCAGATCTATGCTTTTGGAGGGTTCGATCAATTTACTGATGAAGGTTGATATTTTCCCGTTTCCTCTACTAGAAAACTCCTGTGGTGTTCGCTTGTCTGAAGTGCTAATTCTCGTCCTTGAGATAGTGTACAACCATGTCCTGAGATTGGATTTGAAAACGCTTCGGTGGGAACTAGTAGACAATTATGGCGATATTCCGGGTGTTCGGATGGGTAGGTCTCATCACCCCATGGCTTGCTTCTCTTCGGACTTTACTGAGACCTTCCTCTCCTTGTGATAGGCCATACTGCTACTCTGTACCAAGGCGACAAACTCATAGTCTTTGGGGGAGAAAATGAACACCGTGAATACCTTTCCGATATCGTTATTCTGCATATCCCCACCTCCACCTGGACCCAGCCGGAGATTCGGGGACAAATACCGCGCGGCAGGGGGCGTCATGCTGCTGTGATTTACGACGAGAAACTGTTCGTGATCGGCGGCGTCACGGGAGAGAACAATGTGATCCTCGACGACCTATCATACCTCGATCTCAAGACGTGGACTTGGTCTCGGAGTTGGAGATTCACAGCCCGGTTCGACCACACTGCCTGGGTTTGGGGCGATCGCCTATGGATTTTTGGGGGTCTCGATCCAGATATGGAACGCACAACGGATATCTGGTGGCTTGATCTCAAGGGCTCTCCGTTTCTTGGAACGTCATCCTCAAATGGTACTATGGAATCTCCTGGGACAACGGGCAGGATGACCCAGAGCCCCGATACGATGTATAGTAGCCCAACACAACAGTTGCCAGGTCGGTCCGGGAGCTACGCCGCGAATTCTGGAAGTGTGCAAGTGCGCGGTTCAGGTCGGCGAAAGCCCATTGCCCCCGGCGCCATCTCTTGTTTGAAATTTCGCTCCGGGCCTCATGTCCCTACACTGTGTTCTGGAACCCACTTTCAGGCGTATGCATCAGGTGTCCTTCTGGATCTGATCACTCCGTCTGAGACAGTAAGAACCTACGAGTGCAATTTGTCATCCCTAGAGCTCGACACCCTGCGATGGCAGAAATTAGCCGACGGACAGGAGATTTTCAAGCCCGGTTATCGATGGCATTACTGTACAGTCAACCCAAATGGTACGCAAGCCTGGTTGCTAGGGTGTAGCCTTGATGCTGGGGGCACACCCGGCACCAGTGACGAGAATCACATGAGCCAAGTGCTTTGTATTGACCTGGAGAAATATGGTCTCCTCGGCAATGAGCTGACGACCTTCTCTCCTGACCAGGGTCGGGTCATGGGGTCAGAAGGGTCAGGACTGCCGCCTCTCTCTGGACTGGGTGCGGATTTGTCGGCCGTGTTCGACCAGTCACCCCAATCTGGGAGTGATGCTGACTTCATCATCACTGCCAACCCGGATGACCTGGAATCTCTAGAAGAAGCGACAGCAGAAGATGCCTCTCCCTCCCAAACCCAACCGGAATTCCTGCCGCCCAATGCCCCCACTTCGCCTCCGATCCATGTGCATCGGATCATCCTACAGCTTCGATGGCCACATTTCAAGCGATTGTATTCTGCGCAGATGGCGGAGTATCACTCGAAGCGCATGCACATCCCAGAACCTTACTCTGTTGTGCGCGCGTTTCTCTACTATCTGTATACCGACAGCATTTCGGGGCATCCGGAGTATTGCTCCAGCATCATCGACGTGGCCGGGATGCTTGTGATGGCGAATTTGTACGACATGCCGAAGCTGCGCCTTCTCTGCGTCAATCGCCTGAGCCGGGAGCTCGATGTGGAGAACGCGGCCATTGTGTGGGAAAGGGCCGGGCGGACTAATGAGGATTGGCTGATGCGCCGTGCAGCTCAGTTCTGCCTTAGCCACTGGGGGCGCATTGTCCGGACCGAGGGCTTCAAATCACTCAGCCGTCAGAGCTTAATCGAACTGTGCGAGGTAGTTGACATGGAGGGCCGGATTGTGGCCGGACCCGAATTGGAACTAGTCGGTGCACTTGGAACGGAAGGGCTTGATCTCAGCAGGGATGCCAAACGGTCGCGGCCGTCGATTGGGGGCGCTATGACGGACGACCTGGACGATCTCGATGGCGATGAGGTCGACGGGATGGAGATTGCATAAGGGCTTGAGGCTACGAGCGACCCATACCTTCCAGGTGCATCCGAGAGAAGCTCAGCACGCCAACCAACTATATTCTTCCTTTAATCACTCACTTGACGGGCGGGTTTTTTTTTTTTATGATTTTTCCCCCTGGCCTCAAGGATACGAGATACAATGAACCCTTCTCCGTATAGCGGAAATTTTAGCAATGAGCCTTTTCCCCAGCTCGTACCAGAGCAGTCATGAGACCATGATGGATATACGAAGAGCAAACTCGATAGATAGATAGTTCCGATAGCTTAACTGTTGTATCATGAAACCTTTCTCTCTCTTTTCTTTTTCCTTTTCCCGATGTTCTACCGGACAGGCAGACACAGTTCTGCCGTTGACCTTTTCCACGCTCCAATCATCCAGTGCAATGCCTTTCACCTTAGCCGGTTTTGGCGGGCCGTCCTGCCGCGGCTGCTGGTGCTGCCAATGCGATGGTGGCTTCTGCTGCTCAGTCTGTCCTGCTCATCCTACTAACCCAAATCCATCAATTCAGACAGATATTCCACGATGCGAGTCCACCCCTCTTTGGTAGACTCCACCACCGGGGCGTGGCTATTCTGATTTCTGCTCAAGTGTTAAATGATTAAATCCTTCTGATCGATAAAAATGTTTTATTGGAAAAGTCTCTCCACATCTCTCTGATTATTCCGGCCGCGCTTCTGCTTCCTGAACCAACTGGGTAAGCTGTCGACAAGGTCTTCCTTTTCTGGGGAGCTCCAGTCTCTGACTCCGTACTCATCATGGTTGGATCCAGAGCAGGGTGCCCTCGGGGTGATCCATGAACCCGGGATCCAGGATTTGGCATGCACTGTTGGTCCATTTTGTCCACTTTGCTGATGATTCTCCAGTCGTTCCTCTTGCCCTCTCACCCGCCCTGCCTTTCCATTGCCTGATTGAGACGGGCTCCGGGAGAATGTCCTGACGACGAGAGAGACAGAGGGAGAGGGAGAGAGAGACACATCATAGAAGGATTTAAATATCCGGTCACTACCCTCTCCCGTTGTTTACTCGAGAGTCATATCCCACGCCCGACGTCTGCCTCTTTACCACTCTGCATTAAAGGAAAGAAGCCAGCTGTCCCCGATTTCGATTCCAACCCTCTCCAGCACTAGAAATCCATTCACGATGGGCTCCACACCTGCCTCTACTCTTCCTGCTGATTTCCTCTGGGGATTTGCAACCGCTAGGTATTTCGCAATCTCCTGGACTGCTTGTGGTTGATTCGCGCTGATTGTTTACTTCGATCTTTAGTTACCAGATCGAGGGAGCTGTGGAGGAAGACGGACGTGGCCCATCCATCTGGGATACCTTTTGCAAAATCCCCGGTAAAATCGCTGATGGATCCTCTGGTGTCGTGGCGTGCGACTCTTACCACCGCACCCAGGAGGATATTGCTCTGCTGAAGGGGTGCGGTGCGCAGGCGTACCGTTTCTCGATCTCTTGGTGGGTTTTCTTATCCTTGCATTTAGAGAAACTCTATTCATTTATTTTTTTGTTTTCCGCTCTTTCCAAGCCCCGCGCCCGAAAAAGAAATACTAACGGCGCATTTTGTCCCATCCAGGTCGCGTATCATCCCCAAGGGTGGCCGCAACGACCCTGTCAACGAAAACGGTATCCAGCACTATGTGAAATTTGTCGATGACCTGCTCGCCGCCGGCATCACCCCCCTCGTCACCCTCTACCATTGGGATCTCCCCGATGAGCTCGACAAGCGCTATGGTGGCCTCTTGAATAAGGAAGAGTTCGTTGCCGATTTTGCTAACTACGCCCGCATCATGTTCAATGCCTTCGGCTCCAAAGTGAAGTACTGGATTACTTTCAACGAGCCCTGGTGCAGCAGTGTCCTCGGCTATAACGTCGGTCAGTTTGCTCCTGGCAGGACCAGTGATCGTTCCAAGAGCCCCGTGGGTGATGGCTCGCGCGAGCCCTGGATCGTCGGCCACAATCTCCTTGTCGCTCACGGCGCGGCGGTCAAGATCTACCGGGAGGAGTTCAAGGCCAGAGATGGGGGGGAGATCGGTATCACACTCAACGGTACGTTAGATATTTTCTGCGATCCTTCCCCCACAGACAGCACAAAAGCGACTAGTAAGCTCACGAACGCGACTAGGTGACTGGGCAGAGCCTTGGGACCCGGAGAACTCCGCGGACGTCGAGGCCTGCGACCGCAAGATTGAATTCGCCATCTCCTGGTTCGCCGACCCCATCTACCACGGCAAGTACCCCGACAGCATGATCAAGCAGCTGGGCGACCGCCTGCCCACATGGACGCCCGAGGACCTCGCGCTCGTCCACGGCAGCAACGACTTCTACGGCATGAACCACTACTGCGCCAACTACATCAAGGCTAAGACGGGCGAGCCCGACCCGAACGACGTGGCCGGCAACCTCGAGATCCTGCTCAAGAACAAGAACGACGAGTGGATCGGCCCCGAGACCCAGTCGCCCTGGCTGCGGCCCCAGGCCCTCGGCTTCCGCAAGCTGCTCAAGTGGCTCAGCGACCGCTACAACCAGCCCAAGATTTACGTCACCGAAAACGGCACCAGTCTCAAGGGCGAGAACGACCTGCCCGTCGACAAGCTGCTGGACGACGAGTTCCGCGTGCAGTACTTCCGCGACTACATCGGCGCCATGGCCGACGCGTATACCCTGGATGGTGTCAATGTCCGGGCCTACATGGCCTGGAGTTTGATGGAGTGCGTTTCTTCCCTCTTCCTCTAACCCCCCATGACCATTACCAGCTCCAAACAATTCACTAACCATGCTCTCCCTCCGATTAGCAACTTCGAATGGGCCGAAGGCTATGAGACCCGCTTCGGCGTCACCTACGTCGACTACGAGAACGACCAGAAGAGAATGCCCAAGAAGAGCGCCAGGCTCATCGGCGACATCTTCAACCAGTACATCGAGAAGGCGTAGATTGGAATGTCCTCCCCCTTCCCCCCATATGGCCGTGAAAGGCAGGTTCTTGGATGGCGGAAACATGAACCATTTACAGTCTACCATCTACCATCCATCCCCTTGTATGACATGAAAGCGAAGGATATGAAACGCGTGTATATAGAACCCAACCCAACAATGATGATTCTCCAATTTTCCAAATCCAACCTCTGGCCGGGGCTGTTTTTTTTCCCTTGTCTACAAATCTACATACAGTAATCTATCTACATGATACATGCCACTACCACGTGCATTATTCCTCGCCCGTCGCAAGTCGCAAGCCACAGCTTCGCCAGCACTAACTAGTAGTTAGTACTATAGGGAAGTGTGGAGTCCCTAGAGAGGAAGGACGCTTGCTCCGTAGTAGTTACTCAGAAGTGAGAACTAGTTCCTAACTTCCTAGTCCTACGGAGTAGTAGTTAGTACCCACACTCCCGAACCCTGGCTTTAGGACTAACCCTATTAAGGAACGGAGTCTGGCTTCGGAATCCTGCCAATTCCGATGCGGGATTCTTGATTTCCGCGCCTGAAGTGTTCTGACTCCGTTTGGTGGGCAAACTTGCACTAGTGCATTAATGCATGATGCATCACGTGGACCTGTTATCTGAGCGCCTCAGTTCTCCACAACTCCAAACACTCCCTGCTGCTACTGCTAGCCTGCTGGGCTGCTGGGCTGTTTGGTTAGGGCCGTGGGCTTAACTGAACTAACTAACTAACCTGGACTGGGGTTTGGGTACTTTGTACGGACTGGACCACGGAGTTTGTTGGCTCTTTGAGCGTATAGATAGATAGATAGATAGATAGATAGATAAATGGATAAGTTCTGGGGGAAATTATTTGGGGTATTATATAACCGGTCTCGATACTTCTACTGGCAATCGTTCTATAAAGCATAACGGAAGTTCTTCGACTGCATATCCGTCAGATCCTTGAAGCCATCGAGGACGGCGGCTTCCTCGCGCATGCTGGGGCTCTCGCCTGCAGGAGCCCTCCTGTCCCGCCGCTTGTTTTCCCACTTCATGTAGAAGTACGCTGCGCCGGCCAGCACGATCATCCCGGCGTAGCAGATCAGGAGTCCCAGCAGGGCGGACTGATAGCGGGGCTTCTCGCGCGCGAAGAAGATGTTGGCTCCCGCGACGTTGCCGGCCGCGTACATGGTGAACCACAGGCCGTTGGCCATCGAGCGCTTCGTGTGTCCGCCCACGTTGGTGGCGAGCAGATTCCACGACACGATGACCGGTGCCCCGACGATGTACTGCAGCCAGGTGCAGCCGACCAGGGTCCAGCGGTGCTCGAGGCTGGTGAATCGGATGCCGAGGAGGCCGCCGAACGGGATGAGACACACAACGGCGAGGACGATGCAGCGCGAGTCGCGCACATATGTCGAGATCAAGCCGCAGATGGGCACCACGACCACTTCGATGGCTCCCGTGGGGAGCTGGAGAAGCGTCGCGTAGATGCCGTCGAAGCCGAAGCCCTTGATGAGGGACGAGGCAAAGTTCGAGACCCCGCCGTTGATGACGCCGCAGCCGATTCCGATGCACACACAGAAGATGACTTTGGGGTCGTAGATGGCTTCCACCGCCTGGCGCGGCTTGATCTGCTTGGTCTTGACGCCGATCATGTTCTCTGACACGCGCTGGACCGCCACGACGCGTTGCCGATGGGTGAGGAACTTCGCTGTGCTGGGTGAATCGGGCATCAGCCAGAGGAACAGGCAGCCGGTCAAGAGGTTGATCAGTCCGATGGTCAGGAAGATGAGCTGCCAGCTATGCAGGCTGGTGTTGTGCGAGTGGCCCAGTCCGAATCCAAGCAGGGCTCCAACCATCGTGGCCATGCCGTTTCCGGACAGCCAAAGACTCATCCGCAGCGGTTGTTCGGATCGCTTGTAGAACATGGATGTGAAGTTCATCACTGTTCTGGTCAGTCTCCTGCTCCATGCACTGTCTATTGGGTGGATCCTTACTGCACGGGCTGACACATGCCTCAGCCATGCCCAGCAGGAATCTCAGAACAAGAATCCCCGCATAATTCTTAGCACCGACGTGGGCGATGACAAGTCCGGCCCAGATTATGATGACCACGCCCATGTACTTTGCCAGAGGCAATCGCTGGATCAAGAGGTTTGCGGGAATGGCCCAGAAGAGGTAGCTTTCACAGGTTCAGCCATCTCCCACACGTCGAGTAGGGCAGAATCAACGTACCCAAAATTGAAGATGGCTGCAACCCAGGAGTATCTCTGACCTTCGAGACCCAGGTCCGGGATCAGAGTATACGCAGAGGCATAGTTCAGCGACAGCTTGTCTATGGATCACCATCGCTGTTAGCCGGGTTCCTGTTCAGCGTAATTGACAGGTTTCTTACCCAGAAACTGCAGGACATATGTCAGATATAGCTAATCACAGGATCAGTTAGTGACCCAGCATCAACAATCATGCGAAGAACGGTTCATGTCCAACCATAGGTAAGATCCGCCGATCCAACAGCTTGCGCACAACTTTTCCCTCTTCCTCCAGCTCCTCGGCTGTCAATTGTTCGCCCTCTGCATAGAGGTCGGCTCCGATATCTCGAATCTCCCCAGAGACAGCATCGCCCTTCTGCTCCACACTGTCGGAGCTCTGTACGTCCGCCTCATCAGTCTTCTTGAAGTCGGACATGGTTGCGATATGGATCGTCCTCAATGTAACAATGTCGACTCTCTACCCAGTGAGTGGGATTCTGGATTCTTCGAGCATCGTGTCATTGTACCCTCCGTTATAAATATGCCCTGAGACCATAAGGTACTGTCCTGTTATCAGCTGCTTGGAGATAATAGGTCAGGATCACTATCTCCGCACGCCTATCATGGCCTCTTATCGTAAATTGCATTGCATGCCAAGCTCATCCCCCGCACAAACGCGCAAAGAGGGCGAGCTAGAATCCCAGCGGACTAAAGTCCGACGGGTTACCCCAATCTATCTATCTGGTCAAGGAATGTGTAATCCAGATTGGCTTGATTGGACGGCATCAGAATGAATCGGCACTTCCAGGAGACTGATATGCGAAATATGAGTTGGATCCTGATTCGACAGCGCGGACAACATCCGCTCCCGTCATTCTGATATGCCTTCGGAATCGAAAGCAATGAGCTGCCCATGCATAGTCGACGATCCATTTAGCATCAGGTCAAATACGGACAATGTGATCCACGAATGGATAAGTTTCATGTAACACGAAGATTACCTTCGCTTGCAGGTTCGCCAACCTAGCTATAAAGACACCGAGATCGTTCAGTTGTTGGGATGCGGATTTGAATCCTCAATCACCCGGTCTAGAAAAGCCCATCGCATTCTTGATCTTGCAATGAGCATCGTAAGCTTCCTGCGATAAGGCTTTTCTGCGTGAAGCTCGGCTAATGGCTTGAACTCAGAAAGAAGCTTCCGAGAGCACAACAGAGACGTTCAGTCTCGTTGATGCTAGTATCTCGGATCTTCAGCACGCTCTGAACTCGGGATGGATAACAAGCGTCGATTTGGTCGCAAGATACCTCCAACGGATAAGCGTATATGATGCTTCCGGGCTCACATTGAGCGCCATTCCCATTCTGAATGCATCCGTCTTCGAGGAAGCGGCCGCTTCGGATGCTCGACGAGCCGCCAGCTTACCACCTAGATTCCTGGAAGGCATTCCGTATCTAGTCAAGGATAACGTCAAAGTGAAAGGAATGCCAATCGCCAACGGATCGCCGGCCTTTGAAAGTCTTATCGCCACGGAAGATGCAGCATGCGTTCAGATTCTGAGAGAGGCAGGTGCGGTCCTTCTGGGGCGGACAAATATGCCCGCTATGGCATATGGAGGGATGCAGCGCGGTTGTTATGGCCGGGCTGAGAGTCCTTACAACCCGGAGTACCTAACAGCTGCGTATGCATCAGGATCGTCCAACGGGTCCGCGACGGCTACAACGGCCAATTTCTGTGCTTTTAGCTTAGGAACTGAGACTGTCTCCTCGGGCAGGTCTCCTGCTTCGAACAACGCCATTGTTGCTTATACCCCGTCCAAGGGCTTGTTGCCTCTTCGCGGAGTATGGCCACTATATCCGACTTGTGACGTTCTTGTGCCACATACTCGCACCATGTCCGATCTCTTCCATGTCCTTAATGTGTTGGCAGTTGCGGATAAAACCCCGCACGGTGACTTCTGGAACGAGCAGAAGATAATCACTATCCCTTCTGTGGCAGATACTCGGCCAGACAAGTTCATGGAGCTTGAGGGCAGGCGCTCACTGGAAGGGAAAAGGATCGGAGTACCAACCATGTACATTGGCGGCGCCTGTTCTCTCCCAGACAAAGTGTGCACAAGGCCATCCATCTTGAAGCTCTGGGAGACAACCAAGGGTGCTCTGGAAGCCTGTGGTGCCACGGTAGTCGAAGTGGATTTTCCACTGGTAACAACTTATGAAGCCAAAGCTCATACAGGCCAACTCGTCAACGTCGACGGTCTTCCGGAAGGCTGGCCTGCAGTCGAAAGATGTCAGCTAGTTGCCCATGCTTGGGACGACTTCTTATCTTGCAACGGGCAGGCCGGGTTGAACTCCCTTTCTTGTGTTGATCCTGACACGATATTCCCCCTCGCTCCGGGCTCTCTTCCCGGGGCCCCTGACGCAGCAAACGCGCTCAAATGGCACGAGATGGTTGAATATCCCCAGAAGAGACATGACTCGATCTTCCAATTTCCGAAGCTAGCACAAGCGCTAAATGCACTGGAGAATGCTCGAAAGGAGACACTGGAGAAATGGATGGATTGCCATAATCTGGATGCGGTCGTGTTCCCTGCGAACGGGGATGTCGGACGCGCCAACGCGGACAAAGACCCTGACTCTTCTCTCTATGCCTGGCAGAATGGGGTTAAATACTCCAATGGCAACCGGCCAATTCGTCACCTAGGTGTGCCCACGGTGTCTGTGCCGATGGGCTTAATGGAAGACACAAGGATGCCGGTAAATCTGACCTTTGCAGGCAAGGCATATGAGGACAACAACCTCCTGCGCTACGCGTTTGCCTTTGAGCAGGCGACTAAACATCGTGTGGCTCCACCTCTTGTACCTGAGCTGGACTCTGATTTCATCAGTAAGAGCGTCCCTCATTACCGTTCAGAGACTTGCGCGCGGACACACTTGCCTCAGCTTCATGTTGTGGTGCAGTCGAAAGAACTCTCCAACTCAAACGTTCATCTTGAAATCCAAGGGACCCTGCAGATATCTGGTGATTCGAAGTTGGAGCGCATCTCCTGCTATGTCAATGGGATCTGCACGGATATCAAGGTCGAGGCTGAGAGATGGAGTCTGGCAACAACATATCCAGCATCGCCCCGTGACAGCACGTGGTCTCGGTGGACAAGCCCTGCTTCGAAACAGACAATCATTGTCCTTGTAGCTTATACGGATGACGGCCTAGCGAATGGGAAATTGCTCCTCTTGTAACTTAATGATATCTTTCATATGGTGGTGTCCGAAGCTCTATTTCTCACAATAACGTTTTGTCATGATCCTCTACAGGACGCCGATATATCATGTCTTCAATCATCTCTAGCACACCCTTGTGCAGATACTGCTTCTTCAACCTTGCCAAGCAGTCGTCCATCTTTTGTAGGTCCCAATTTACCCATTGCTGCTGTGTGAAGACCTTTGGTATCCAAGGAGCTCTCTGAACAAGAAAATCAAGGGCATTCTTGTAAGGAGTGGCATCGTGCCACCGGTCTGCAAACTGGTCTATGGTCTTCAAGCAAGCTTCTAGCGCTTCTAGCGCTTGTTGCATGAATCTCTGCTCGCGCGGTGTCACCCAGAAGATGTAGAGGAGCATGACGCCAGCTCTGAATTGGAAGACAAGCTACAGAATGAGTTCGTTAGCAATCGAATTAGTTTTTATGTCAACTAAAAAATTTTGGCACTCACTGCAGACCAGGTATAGCACATCACCTGTCCTTCCTCTTGGAGCTGCCTGAAATTGAGGCAGACCTCGACAATCGCGCAAAGAACATCCTCGATATCCTTGAACTTGAGACGGTGGCGTTTCTCTTGCATTAGAATGATAACGCTGTAGTCGTAGAGATTTGCCATCCAGAGTGGATGAAGGTAGGTGCATGGGGCGCCTTCCAGACCATACCGGGGGATATCCTTTCTCCAAGTGTCCAATGCAGACTTGAGCAGGTCATCTCTATGTACTTCTTCTGATTCTGCCTCTTGAGTTTGGTGCCAGTACCGCCGGATGTCGGCCTGTATTTTGCGGAGTCGGAACAGATGGCTCAGCGCTGTGTTTGAGGTCGACAACGATGGAACCTCATTGCTGATCGTGAACATCTATGGAAAAATTAGTATATATCTCAAAGTAATTAACCCAGACGTAGGGTCTCGTACGTCGTCGTCGATTGCCTTGTAGGCTGCAGAAACTGGTCTGTCCCACCCGGATACGATAATTTCGTTCAACATGTAGCAAGTGATGAACAAGGACTCTGTAAAGAACTCGCCCGTAGACGTTGCTACTTCCGGACTATCGTCGCTACCGTTATAGGATGTGTGTCTTCGTATCTCTGCTATAGTCGCAGTACAGAAAGGTATTATGGAGGAGACTGTGGTGGATATCTCCTCCGCCGAAGGACATTGCAGCGCGTACAGGATCATGAGCACCGACGCTTGTATCTGGAGGATGGTTGAGGCCTGCCCCATGACATAAGGATAATACGACATTGCAGATACGTAGAGCTCCGCCGCGCGTACAGAATGGCCTTGGTTGAATTGCAGGTTGTTGCACGACAATGCTCCGACGGCATGAACCATGTGTACAAAGAACCCTTTCCATTGATCCCTGGACTTATTGCGGCTCCAGTCATGATGCCAGGCCCTCCAAGAGTCTTGATCCAGAAATGGCCACACCCAATGCGTAATTGAAAAATAGAGATCTCCATACACTTCTTCGCTCCAGGATGCGGTGCCATCAGTAGACTCCGATGTGGATAGGAAGCCAATGTCCCGGTGCGGGGCGAATTCCATTCCTAAAGGCTCTGGATATACTTCAAATGCAAGCCTCGATATCAGGGATCGTTCTAGCTTCGGTGCTATGGATTGAGGGTCAATGACTTGCACAATTTCGGCGTGAGGACTTGCAGCATGGGTATGGGTCGGAGATTGATCAGTCGGTGTCCCATTCGACGCCAGTGAGGCAGGCCGCAACTCTTGTCTTGCTGATACACATGCTGAGAACCAGCCTCGAGAACAGTCAGGAGGCAGAGCACTGAGCTCGGATAATCCATTGGAAGACTCTGTCTGTACCCCTGCATCACGCAGCTCTGTTGAAGTTCTCCGTTCCCTCAGTGCACCTTCGAGCTCAGCAACTCTTGACTCTAGGTATTTGAGATATTTGACCGAAACGGTGATTTTATCTCCATTTTTGCAGGATCCGACGGGAAGACACTCCGCACCTCTGCGCCTACATTCTCCGCAAGTCGGCTTTGTGTGATCGCACTTCCGCTTCAGACGAAAGCATCGCGCACAGGCTAGGAGTCTCGGGCGCTTAGAATCTTCGGGCATATGTTAAGACAATAGACAATCTACTTCAGACCCAATCATGAATGACACCACAACAGAGTCGCGGATGCCTGTAGACTAGATAGATGAGCAATGGAGAGATAAGGAAGCCGAACCACGCGAAGAGTGGGGAATCAACATGGTGGAGACAGTAGAAGATAAGGATGGGGTGTTGCCGTTGGAGGCTGGAGTTTGGGGTATCAATTGACCCAGTCCGCAGTGCGCACAGATAGTGAAGAGAAGATTTCGGTATTCTTTCAGGCTATATTAACGGTCAGACAGAGAATCAACGGAAACATTAGCAAAGCGTTGGGATATAACAGATAGAGAATGATAAGGCTGATATACCCCCGTCTGTAACGCAATACAAGGATTGCAGAAGGGTATAAATCGTGAGAATTGCAGTCATACAAGGCAAATGCAGCATCGTAAGCAGTAAAAAGTCAGTATTTGATCCATCTTTGTGCTGCCTTATCATATCCGACCATCTTCAAGTCGATCTTAAGCATCTTCAACATAATGTCCATCGTGAACTCCTTCATAGTCAGGCCATTAGCATCAACTTTACCAGTTATTAGGCAAAGAAGAAACAAGCTCATCAAACTTACCTCATCCTCAACCGCTTCATCTCCCTGACCTTCCTTTTGCTTCTTTTTGCGCATTTCAACCTCGCCAAGAAGCTCGACCTTCCGCCGCTCCAATTGATCGTCATCCGCTTCGACATCTTCCGCTTCGGCACTTCCATACCAGGACTCCAACTCCTCCTGTTCCCACTTGGCACTGTTGCTCTGCATCTGCTCTCTCCAAGCCTTCATGCCACCCATCCGAGAGACCCGCTCTTGTGCTCCTGCGAAGACTTCCTCAGCAGCATCCTGACTTACGGCCTTCCATTTGAGAATCAGAGCCTCGAGCTCAGCATCTTTAGTCGACGACTCGATTTTGAGAGCTTGCTGCGCGGTATCGAGTTGGGAGCGGAGGGCAGAGAGCCTGGTCTGGAGAGTTCGCTGTTCCTTCTGGAGTTTTGATATCACAGGATCTGCGAGTATACCTTTCTTTGAGGGGGTTATCTGGCTTGGAATGGATTTTCGTTTGCGGACCTGCCAGTTTGGGGAGGGTGAGGTGGGTGTTGAGCTGGGGAGACGAGTGGATGTAGAGACTGGTGTTGATAGCAAGGAATGCTCTTGTGTATCAGATTCTCCAACAGCTTGATTTTCGGCTTCAGAATTGACAGAAGATGTCATATTCTTCGATGCCTCTTCCTTTTCTGTGCCCTGTTGAGCTGGCCTGCGGAGTGGTGACTTGAACGGCTTCGAGAGCGATGAGGCAGCCTGGTCGACGCGACGTCGTTTGCTGTTCAGGTTTACTAATGCCATTCTTATCAAGCACTGGTTGAACGACTTCTCATCTTATCTCATTGCCATCAACCTGATACTGTCAGGAAATCAAGTGATTGGAGAAACTCCTGTGCTGTTGAGAACATGAACAACCAAAAAGCTGCCTATCGATAAGAGCGCCTGCCCCGATAAGATAAAGCGAGGATTTGTATAAAATCAACTGCAAATCAAGACCTAACCACTAAGATTGAAATTGTTATTTGAAAGATTCTACGACAAGCATGATAATCGCTTCCCAGAAAAGACATATACAATTCTAAGAAATACAAGCAGATAACTCCTGATTCATCAATGTCCGACTCCTCCTGCAACCCATTGAGCAAACTCCGGGTCTCCAGGCTGTGGGAAGAATCCCCGATCATTCTGATTGTTTACAGCTGCTGGATTGGCGCCTGGGTTCTCGTTCTGTCTCTGTCTGTTGCGTTGTTGTCTCAAGTAGACAAGCACCAGTAGCGTAGCAGCCAAGGTCACGATGATGAGACCCTCCAGAACGCCTTCGTCAATGTCAAGTTCGAGGTCGTCATAATAACCGTCCTCATGGCGATGTTCGTCAAGGCGATGCGAGTCAGACTCCGAATTCAACATGTCATTTTCGCCTTCGGCATGTTTGTACAGCTGGGCATGGTAGCTGGCTTCCTCCTCTTCATCGTTTTCAATGAATGCCGCGATCCACTCCTTGAATGTTCGGCGAGGCTTTTGTTCTGAAGTCCAAGTCAGTATACACCGATAATCATCTCGCTTCAAACCTGGCCGTCCTTACCTTCTTCCTCCTGAATGGAGTTAATTTTTCCATTTGTAATGGTATTCCAGAAGCTCCGCATCCGCAGTTTGATCAGACTCAACTTGACGGGTAGATAAGCTTCTGTATTTGTTTCAAGAGCCAAGTCGTAGTATCTCTTGGCCATATGGAAATCCTGTTCCACGGCGACGCCATTCTCGTGCATCCAGCCAAGATTCCAGTAAGCCTGTGCACTGTAATGTGCTTCGGCGGCGGTATGATAACAAGTTGAGGCTTTGTCGGCATCCGCTGTGATGCCAATGCCACTAAGGTAGTAATCGCCCATTTTGATCAGAGAGTCGGTGTTCGCCTGCTTCGCCGATCGCGTCCAATAGATCAGAGCCAGGGCAGCGTTTCGAAGAAGTGATGGGCGAGTCTTCTTGGCCCCAGGGAGGATAGTGTCCAACGATAACAATGACCGCTGTTCATCAAGGAGGAATGCCACATTCGACTGAGCGCTTTCGTATCCTTGCTCCGCAGCCATCATAGCCGGTATCAAGGCTCGTTCCTCGTCGCCGCTCTTATATGCAGCGTTGGATTCAGCAAAAGAAGAATGAATGATTTCCGCGCGCTCAGCGACCATCTTGTAATACGACGCAGCCATGCCGCAGTGTCGTTCTCGGCCAATTCCATTGTTCGACAATTCAGCCAGGTAGTAGAATGCTTCCATAGAGCCCCAGCGAGCAGCTAGCTCGAAATAGCGAGTGGCCGTGGGTACATCTCCTTGGTCCAGGAATAAAGCGCCAAGTCGAATTTCCGACGAAGCAAAGTCCTGGTCGGCCGCCATTGTGAAGAGCGAGGCCGCCTTCAATGCGTCTTGGGGTACGCCGTACCCATGAAGATACATGAGTCCCATCTCATGTTGACAAATCGCGTCGCCATTGGTCAACCCACGTCTAAACCAGGTGAGCGCGGTGTTGAAATTCTGCTCCACGCCTTCGCCACGGAGGTACATCATCCCAACATGTCCCGCTGCTTTCGCGGCCAGTTTATCAATATTCATGGGATGATTCGGGTTGACTGACCCGTCCCTATTCCAATACCTTCTCGTCACTTGTTTGAAGTACCGCATTGCCTTTCGAAAGTTCCGAGGTAGACCTCGTGCCCCTTCATAGTGCATCTTCCCCAAGCTGAACGTGGCCTTAAGCTCGCCCTTTCGTGACATGAGATCCAAATACTCCAGAACGTCTTCAAGACTAGCCTCGGTGCTGGATTGAACACCATCACGCAGCGCGTTGGGTCCCGAGCTCGATACACTGGCACCCTCACCATAGATACCACCTTCTTCATCCGCCCAGCGGTATGATTCACGGACCATGCTATGACCCCCGGGCGGCCCAGATCGAAGATACTGAATCGCCTTATCCGCAACCTTTTTATAGTAATACGTTGCTTGATCGCAATCCTTAGGCGTCCCGATGCCAGCATGATTGCGATACGCAAGCGTCATCTCCGACCTTGTATTGCCTCCCTCCGCCGCAAATGTATGGTATAGAAGTGCCTTTGCCTGGTCGCGCTCAACTCCTCCTCCGATTCCAGTGGCATACATAAAACCAAGCATATATTGCGCCGTACTATTCCCGGTCGAGTCGGCGAGGCTCTGATACCAGTGAGCCGCGCGTTGGAAATCGCGCGGATGAGTAAAGTTGCCGTAAAAGTTCATTTCCGCTAAGAGGAACATCGCATCGGGGTTCTCATCCAGCTCCGCCGCAAGCTTCAGCTCCTTCACGGCCTTGACGATAATAGGGTCGACTTTCTGCTTTCCAGGAGTTTCCGACTGAGGTGAATTCAAGAAAAGGATGCGAAACATTTGTCGGATGTAATGCAGGGCATATCCCACCAGGCCAGACGGCTTCTCGGACTGAACGCCGGAGGTTTTGACATTGTGAAGGATTTTGATGGCATTTTCGACACGTTCTATCGGCGAGTCATATTATTAGCCTTCGGTTTCCCTCCCCGGGGTACCAGCAACAGCATCTTACCATTCCCGGGCCAAATGTAAGACCCCTCAGCGTCATCTGCAGATTGGCTGCCACGCCGATGTGCTTCAGGTGCGATGACTACTGATGTGTGATCATCGTGTGTTTGAGTCTGCGTTTCAACTGCAAGCACTTGCAAAAGCACTAGAGATGGTTGCTGGTTGTCAGTACTACAACCTCGGTGCTGTCATCATTAAGACCAGCGGGATCCGCAATGACTTACGTAGCGCCAGAGGCAGGAAGCGCCATAACCACAGGTTCTTCATGATGCCTGGGAGAATTCGGTAACAGTGAGTAGAAATAAGAGGCGCATTGCGACTCCTCTTCTCACAATGAATCAGTCATCCACCAGCATGTGGGAAATGGAGGGGGTTGGATGTCGGATTTGGGGGGAAGCTGGATCCTCTTTATTATAAGCTCACGCGGGAAACGGGCCACCTGGCGTTGCGGAGCTTCATTTTGCCGAAGTGTTCGACTTCCACATTGCTGATATGATAGAGGAGCAATGGACACGAATTACGCTGGGGATTTCTATGGTTTACCAAACTCCTTGAATTCTTTACTGATCCATTTCGTCTTAAATCCGTTTTATGTTAGGTTGCGTACATGAAATGAACAAGAAGTGGCAGTAATACACTCATTAACAACGTCCTCGAAGCACCAAAAGCATTCGCCAAACTCGAAGCGATGATTCACAATTCATTTCAAATCTAGAGCCATTGGTATTTCAAAGTGATGGATGAAGAGGGACAAAGAAAGGGGCGAAAGAAGAAAGAACATGCGTTGCCATCCCACAAGAATGAGTCGCAATTTCAGCGGGCAGCTCAGATTAATGAAGACGTGAAACGACAAAAGGCATTCAGGCTGAAACGTGAGAGGGAGAAAAAAAGGCATACATTCGAAAAGGCTGTAGACGCCCAGATTGACGATGAGATAACCAACCAAGTCCGCAACATAAGATGGAAAATGTTTTCTTTTTTATGGATTGTCCGGTAGAATGGATGATGGTACAATGATAGAACGGAAGCCATAAAGAAGTTGTCAAGGCAAGTACTAGCTTCACTGGCGTGGAGACCTGGAAAGTGTGTTAGCCAGACGTACAATCATCAATCAGGCAGGGGGGAGGAGGAACATACGATGGGCTGAAGGCCGGAGAAGTGGGACTGTATCCAGGAGATGTTGGGCCTCCAGGAGACGTCGGCGATCCAGCAAAGTTAGGTGACGTTGGAGAGTACGTCTGCGGGCTCGTAGGAGACCAGCCAGGTGAAGTAGGAGTGTATTTGGGAGAGGTAGGTGAAGTGGGGGATAGATGTCGGCCAGCGCCACCAATAGCAGGACTGGTGGGACTGTAGCTTGGCGATGTCGGGCTGAACGCAGGAGATGCCGGACTGAAGCTGGGTGACGTAGGGCTATAATTGGGCGACGTTGGCGAGAAGCCGGGCGAAGTGGGAGAGTAGGACGGTGAAGTCGGCGATGCTTGCCCATAAGCCGGCGACGTAGGCGAGTAAGCAGGCGACGTCGGGGCAAACGACGGACTGACTGGAGAGAACCCTGGAGACGTCATGAACCCTGGAGACGTGTTGAAGCGAGGACTGGTAATACCCGGAGCTATGGGGGAATAGCTCGTCGTAGGCGAATAACCAGGAGACGTTGGGTTGGCGGAGAATGGACTGGTAGGCGAGTAGCCTGCTGGGCTTGTAGCCGCAGGGCTGAATCCACCGCCAAATCCACCAGTAGGTTGATATTCGGTGAAGCCACCAGGAGTTTCCGCACCTGCCTGCCCGATGGGCGAGAACGCCGAATCTGGGTCTGGCGTACCAATGTATGCACTTTCCTGCATCGGCGAACCAGTGTCGTATTGCGTAGCAGCACCATCGGAGATGATCGCATCCTTGGCCCCAATAGCTCCCATGACACCGAATCTGGCATTGTTCGACACAACTGTGTTGAGGAGGGTCTGGTCAAGGTAGAGATCGAACTCTCCTGTCCCCGCTGGCGCCATCTGACCCAGAATCAGATTTTCAGACACACCACGGCAGTCATCAAGCTCTCCGAAGGCCGCAGCTTCCAGCAGAATCTCCACGGTTTCTTCGAACGAACACCTCATCAGAGCACCATTGTCGGCACGGTTGATACCGTGACGAGTGACTGGTGTGAGGTATCCTCGCACGGTCATGACATCGACCAGAAGGGCCAAATGGCGATGGTTGACATAAGAACCGTCAAAAGCAAGCACCTGAGTCAACTCACGAAGGACAGCTGTACGAGCAGCCTCGATACCGAAGACTTCAAACACCTCAATGAACTGATTCGAGTATGTACGGGAAGCGTCAACTCCAGGAACGGCCAAAACCTCTCCGAGCGAGGAGCCACTTGTTTCCAGAACCCATTCCTTGCAGAGTGGATCGGTCTTGCTGGCGAACAAGGAACCATCTTCGAGGACCCGGACCTTACTCTTCTCGTTGATGAACGCACGTTCGACGCCCTGAACACCACGAAGAGTAAGAGTATCAAGAAGATGCTGCTCCAACTTCTTGAGAGTAACATCGTACTCGATGTCATCATCATGTTCTTCGTCTTCCTTGTAGTCTTGAATTTGACGGATACGGATGACCTGCTCATCAGCGTTGTTATCACTGAAGATGACAGCAATATCCTTGGGGTACGCCTGCTTGATACGAGCAGCGACATCCTGTACCGTAAGACCCTTGTCGAGAAGCTTTGGTCGACTGAGAATGATACGAAGCAGCCACTTAGATTGACGAGAAGAGGCGTCAGTGACATCCTCAGGAATGATGAAGTAAGACTCGACCATATCCCGATCGTTCTCGATGACAGTAGTTTGAATGTCCGGATCATAGTAAATCTCGGTCGCTTCAGTGACCGATCTCAGACTCGTATGCTCGACAGCACTTCGCAACTGCTTGGCAGATTCCTTGTCGTGGCACTTAGAAGGCATCTGGTAGACAGTCATAGAAGGTGTCTTGATGTTGGTCGCAACATTGAGAATTTCCTTCAGACGAGGAACACCAAGAGTGACGTTCTTCGACGAAACACCAGCGAAGTGGAAAGTGTTCAGGGTCATCTGCGTAGCAGGCTCACCAATAGACTGAGCAGCGAGGACACCAACCATTTCGCCGGGGCTGGCAGCAGCCTTAGCAAATCTGCTCTCAATGGCACCAAGAACGTGCTGGAACGCCAGCTTATTCATCGAATACTCAGTGACTAGTCTACGGAATGCGAGACGGCTGCGAAGCTGAGCCTTGAACAACAAGGTAGCATTCTCCTGGGCCTCGTGCGAGATAGGATCGTCACCACGCACAACGAGCAAGCGGTCAAGCAGAGATTGAACCTGAGGGACAACTTCAGCAGGGTGCAAATCACTGATAGCTCCCTCACGGATCCTGAATGTGCTCCTGGCAGTTTCAAGAATTCGCTGTACGTTGATCGGAAGTTGCATCATTTCATCGTCTTCCTTCACGACACTGCGAAGGAAGGCCCGATCCTTGAGCAACTGTTCCCATTCCTCGTCAAGATATCTCTGAACTTCCACATCACCCGCAATCTCATTAGCTTGTTCCAAGACTTCAGGTCCCAGGCTCCTCTCGGGGTCCATGAGGTCAACACGGAACCGCTCTCTGAGCTTCTCATCGGAACACTTGATGATGTCAACCCGCTGGTTCTCGATGTGGCCACCATCCAAACCGTCTTCTCCGTAGATGAATTGAATAACATCACCCAGGGAGTTTCGCACAGTGCCATCGTACTTGACCATCACCTCTTCCAACGCCTTGACTAGCTTTCGCTGAATGTAACCAGTCTCGGCAGTCTTGACAGCAGTGTCAATCAAACCTTCGCGACCCGCCATGGCATGGAAGAAAAATTCGGTGGGTGTCAAACCACGCAGGTAGGAGTTCTCAACGAAGCCACGAGATTCAGGAGAGTAATCATCCTTCGTAAAGTGCGGCAGGGTACGGTACTTAAATCCGAACGGAATACGCTTACCCTCAACGGACTGCTGTCCAACGACCGCAGTCATCTGAGAAATATTGATCGTCGAACCCTTGGATCCAGAACGAGCCATTTGAATGGCGTTGTTGAGGTCCTTCAAGCTCTTTTCGGTCTCACTACCTGCCTCATCACGAGCGTTGTTCAGAGCGCGCGAGACCTTGCTTTCGAAAGTCTCTCGCACGTTCATACCAGGTAAGGGCTCCAGGGTATTCTCCGTAGCACTTGCTGTGATAGCCTCAACTTCTTGCTTCCGCTCACGCACACAGTTCTCAATCCGTTGGATTGTGACTGCGTCCGGAATGGTATCACCGATACCAATGCTGAATCCATTATGGAGCAACCAATAGTTAACAATGGTTTGAGCTCCATTGAAGAAAGCCACTGCAGTCTCCGGTCCATACTCGTTAAAGATCGTGTGGATGACACCACCACCACTAGCACCAACAGTCTTCTTGGACAGCATTCCATACATCAACTGTCCGCCGTGGATGAGGACACCGCCGTCCGTTAAAGGAGAGAACTTCTCCGCCAGGGAAGAGTTATCCTTCTCCACACGCAGCAAGTTGAGACCCGACGGAAGCGCCATGCTGATCATCTGTTTTCCGGTCCATCTGGGTCGAGGCTTGAGGATAGCCGGGGGAGGAATGACACCATCCCAATCGGGAACCCATAGCATGATGTTCATCACCTGTTCCTTGGTGAGGAATATATCACGACGACAGATCTTATAGATACCGCAAAGAGTGTCTTGTACAATACCCATGAGCGGACCGTTACGCTGGGGTGACACAATGTTCATGGGGACCAAAGCCAATTGGCTCAGTTCCGCACGAGATTCCTCACTCTGGGGGACGTGCAAGTTCATTTCGTCACCATCGAAATCGGCGTTGTAAGGAGTCGTGACGGACAAGTTCATTCGGAACGTCGAATAAGGCATGACACGGACACGGTGAGCCATCATTGATTCCTTGTGGAGAGAGGGCTGACGATTGAACAGAATAACATCGCCATCCATGAGATGCCGCTCGACCTTCCAGCCATACAGCAGTTGTTGACCTCCAGCTCTCCGGGCGTGGCGCAAATCGATACGCTCTCCATTGTCTCGAACGATATATCTTGCTCCTGGATGTTCATTGGGACCGTTGGCAACGAGCTGCTGGAGTTTCTCGATGTTGTAAGGAGTGACGACCTCCGGGTAGGTCAATGTCCTGGCGATACTCCTTGGCACACCGACCTCATCAAGTGACAGGTTAGGATCACCAGTGATGACGGTACGGGCCGAGAAATCGACACGCTTGCCCATCAAGTTCTGTCTCAGACGACCTTCCTTACCCTTGAGACGACTTCTGATAGCCTTGACCGGTCTGTTTGACTTTTGCATGGCCTTTGGCTGACCAGCGATATCGTTATCCATGTATGTGGCGACGTGATACTGCAGAAGTGATTCGAACTCGCGCACAACGTGTTCTGGTGCGCCTTCCTGTTCACAGCGCTGCACATTCTGGTTTGCTCGGATGATTTCAGCCAGCTTGTAGGTCAAGTCATCCTCACCGCGCTGGCCACTTGTGCTGCCACCGACAAGAACACTGGGACGGACAGGGGGAGGGGGCACAGGCAAGACAGTGATGATCATCCACTCAGGTCGAGCATAGTCATTACTCAAACCCATAATGCGGACGTCCTCCTGGGAAATGGTGCGGAAGACATTCAGAGCCATCAAGGGAGTGATAACCTTCTTCTCTGGCTGCTGCATATCATCCTCGTCCATCATGCTCTTGTTGGGCTTCCATGTTCCGACCAGAGTGATACCTTCTTTTCGAATCGTTGGCTGGGCGTTACCGCACCCACCATGCCGGCGCACGGGCTTGGAACTTTCTTTGGAGAAGGGCTCGTCTTCGTCCGCTGGGGGATCCGCTTCGCAAATCAGCACATCCTTGGAGAGTCTCCAGATGTGATCGAAACGTCGCTTGGGGTCTCTCATGCGCAAGGCTTCTAAGAACTTGGAATCGGACTGGTTCTATTGTCAGCATCACAGGCCATGTAGGATTTGCCATCCCATCAGGGATGACTAACCGTATCGGCTTTGATCTTGCCACAGTTGTGGCAGACAGTCTCGAGGAGTTTCTTGACTTTTGTCAAAAAACCTGAAGAAATGAAATGATTAGCCGGTTTGACTTCTCACAAACGAATCCTAAAACATGGGACATACCAATGTGAAAGACTGGAGTCGCGAGCTCGATATGTCCAAAATGCCCAGGGCATTCCTTCTGACCTTCCTCGCAAGTCTCGCAGTTCCACTGGCGATCGATCGTACCCAAGCGAGGATCGTTTAAACCCTTAGTCCGCGGTCGCATCCTTTGTTCGTCCTAATCATGATTTCAAACAGTGTCAGCAAACCCACGCCCACTGGCTTTAGTCAACAACGGAAGCCACGTAGTACGAACCATCGTCTCTGGATATTCCACATGCACCACACTCATCCGCTTAATCTCCTCGGGAGAGAAGAGCCCAAACTGGATCTCCTTGACTGTGCGCAAGGGCGCCTTGGAGTATGGAAAATAAACATTCGACATGGTGGCGGTGATCGGGTTGATATGGGACTCGAAAACGAAGCTGCTTGCCGATCAACGAAACGGAGAGCTGTCAAGTCGTTGGAGCGATTCAAAGCGATGCTAGATGCGTAAAAGATTCGATCGTAACGCGAGCGACGATAAAAGAATCTGCAAGCAGCTGGCCGGCTGAGGCCTTTGGCAGCCCTTGCCACGAGGGCGCCTGCGACCTGGATTTTTCCCCGGACTTCACGAAACTCGGGGAGAGCGGGCGGGAAAAAAAGGTATCTCGATCGATAATAGCGGATTCAGTCGTCCAGAAGAGACAGGTAGATATCGCGATGCGAACGCGATGATCTCGGGGAGGGTGGTTGAAGGATGGGCGAGCAGCGTGTTGAGATGATGAAAGGGAGATGGGATGTCACCTCAGTTGGCGGATGGGGCACGAGTTTTCTTGAGCCGCGCCGGCGCTCGCTAAAGGGCGGCAGCGCTAACTCCCTGAACTTGGAATGCGATAGAAGGAGATTCCGAGCTCCCCAATAGAATGCTTTGGATGATGGAGGGAAACAGACTTTTGATGCTGACTTTTAAACAGCTGCTGACCGCCCGGCAACTGCCCCGTCTCGTATTAAATCCTCCAGTCAAGAAGAAGTGATCACATTCACCTGCTATCGGCCTATATACCAACCAGGTGAAACTTGATTGCGGACTTTCTAGCCACCAGAGGTGCTGGATGAATTCTTCACGGCTATCTTTCCTGGCCTCTCATCAGGCTGGGATTTTATAACCCCTTCACTATACTACTCTCCACATCTCGCGCCACTCTCACCCTCAAACCTGCCACCCATCGAATGAAACACAATGAATTTGTCGCTGGTTGATCCCTTTGTCCTCGCTCAGGACTACCCGGATACCTTGACGGAGAAACTGAGTATGTGGGGTCTTTCCTTCACTCTGTCTGTCACTCATGACTCATATTAGACAGGGAGCGGACATGCGACATGTTTGCGCTTCAATCGCAAAGGCGATTACCTTGCTTCCGGCCGAGTTAGTCCCCGCGCGCACCGAACTATCGCCAATCTATATCCGTATTGACGTTGTGCTCTAGGTGGACGGCACCGTGGTGATCTTTGATATAGAAACAAATGGAGTTGCGCGGAAGTTACGGGGGCATACGAGACAGATTCAATCTCTCAGGTGGGATCATTGCTTGGGCGTCCGGCTGCGGGGGCTGATCAAAAAGGCAAGGCTGACTGGAAGTACAGCTGGTCTAGAGATGGTCGGTATCTCCTCAGCTCCTCGCAAGATTGGAAATGTATTCTGTGGGACTTGAAAGATGGTTCCCGAGTGCGCACCGTTCGATTCGAGGCCCCTGTGTATATTGCGGAACTACATCCTTTCAATCAGTGGGTCTTGCTCCTCTTCAGACATACACGGGCCGAAGAGATCTGTCTGACTTTGATTGATCAGTTTACTATTCGTCGCTTCACTTTTCGAAGACCAACCCGTCCTCGTTGACGTCTCATCTCCCAAATCGATCAAACGCATCCTCCCCTCCGCTCCATTCCGTCCTCCACCCTCCGCGTCTGAAGAAGTCGATCCGGCCGTCGCTGCAAAACAAGCCGCGCAGGATGCGAAACACTCAACATGCGTGACGATTTTTTCGGCGTTTGGAAATCACATCATCGCCGGGACATCCAAAGGCTGGATCAACATCATTGAGACCCAGAGTTGCACCACCATCCATTCCACCCGGCTCTGCAATGGTGTGGTCATCTTGCTGCGGCTCGCAAGCAACGGCCGCGATCTACTAATCAACAGCTCCGACCGCGTAATCCGCACCATCATCATGCCCGATCTCTCGCAGCTGGGGAGCGAGCTCGAGCCCGCCAACATCAAATTACAGGTGGAACACAAATTCCAAGACGTGGTGAACCGCCTCAGCTGGAATCACGTTACCTTCTCCTCCACGGGCGAATTCGTCACCGCCTCCACCTTCATGAACCCAGACATCTACGTCTGGGAACGAAGCCACGGCTCCCTCGTGAAGATCCTCGAGGGACCGCGCGAGGAGCTCGGCGTCGTGGAATGGCACCCGTCACGGCCGATGGTGGTCGCCTGCGGTCTCGAGTCCGGCTGCATCTACACCTGGTCCATCGTCACGCCGCAAAAATGGTCGGCGCTCGCGCCGGACTTCGGCGAAGTCGAGGAGAACGTCGAGTACATGGAGCGCGAAGACGAATTCGACATTCACCCGGCGGAGGAGATCCACCAGCGCCGCCTCGACCAGGAAGACGAGGTCCCCGACGTGCTCACCATTGAACCGCTCAAGAGCGGCGCAGACGGCGAGACGGAGGCCTTCCGCATGCCTGTGCTGTTGGATATCTCGGACAGCGAAAGCGAAGAAGACATCGTGGCCGTGGGCCCGGGAACCATGCGTCGTCGAAGCCCCGGCGCAGGTCGCGAGTGGATGAATCCCGACGGCGACGGCGAGAAGGAGACTGCGACTGGGAAAACAGGCACGGGCCGCGGCCAGCGGGGACGGCGCAAGTAAATGCCGTTTCTCGCGGGGTCTCCACATTTAGCAACAATTTTGGGGAGATTGTAACTTTGCAATGAAAGCATGGCATGGCGTTCGGTGATACATTGGATACTAACACGGGAAAGAGCCCGGGTATACCACAATTTCTCTCACAACAGGGTCTGATTGCGCAAGAGTTATGATTGAAGAATGAAAGAGAGAGAAAAAAAAAAAAGTCCCCAAATTCATGTATGATATGATATCCAATCCAACGGTATTTAATTAAAGGGAGGTTACTCGCGCGCAAAGCAAAATAAAATGCTTGTGCGTTATTCATCACCTGATTATAGTCATATTTGTCTTTCTTTGTTTTCTTTTTCTCTCTTTCTTTTCTCCAAAAATATGTGAACGTCGAACGACCCAAGTATCATCAAGAGCAAAGAGGAATATGACGCCGTCCAAGACAATTGAGGCATGGTTCATCTGGGGTATAAAAGCCACAAGCAAGCAAAGGGAAGACCAAGACCATCTCTCCAAAACGCCCAGAGACATGCTATGGAGTGCAATGCAACCCTCGGCTCCATCTGTTCAAAGTATAATAAAAACAAAGTAAATCACCAAACTCCCCGCGCTAATTCCGGTTCGCCCCTGGTCTGTCCGCCTTGAAAGTATAGGCGTGGTCATTATCATGCGTTTTGACACTCGTGGGTTCATGTTTCCGCTATATCACCAAGAGATCCAGGCCAAATTCATCATTGGTACCCTGCAAATGGACCTGCAGCCGGTAGCAACATATTGATGAATTCGAAGATACGTGCTGTTTGTCGGCTTTTCGGGAGTTTAAAACCCCTCTCCTGGGCGGGATAATCTGCCTGCTGGTCGTGAAAGGAAAAGGGCTAGGCTTCCCCTATAATATTCTCGTATAAGGTTGAATCCGATAAAGGTCAGAAAGGATAGGTGTCCCTATGATGCGCAACCGACTTCCTAGTCGATGTAGACCCGTAGGACATCTGCCAAAATAGATCGTATAGGTGCCTCTGGGCACAATCGGTAAAGGAAAATGGAGAAGAAGAAGAAGAAGGGACGAGAAACATCGCTCGCATTCGTCGGTCGCTTCAGGATTTCAGCAGGAATTGAAAGTATCTTCGACACGCTGTAATGGCTGCGCCGCGAGGTACAATGGTCGAAAGGGCGAGTCTCGTCAATTGGCCAGCGGTTTGCGTGCCTGGTATATATGCAAGATATTGTAAGTATGGATCTCTTTGTTAAAGGCTTCTGACTTGACATCAGCGGAGATCCGTTGTATCCGGTCAATGGGCCAACCAAACACGCGGCTAAAGGCGGCCAAACTCATCGTCTCAATGCTCTCCGAAATCGCCAGATTGTACCATCGAGCTACCTTTCTTTCGTGCTCATCCTGATGCCAAGGATTGAGAGGGAGCCCAACCATCTGATGGTCGATCTCAGTGAAGCCAGCTTCCTGCAAATTTCGAATCGTCTCGCGCGAGCTGTGAGCGACAGGCCGCATTCTTTCCTCGGTGGCTTGTTTCAGTAACTGGTACCATTGACGGATAGCCAAGCCATCCAAAGAGCGATCATCACAGCGGGGCTCAAAGTCGATTTCCACCTGTTCGAACCAGGCACCAGGACGAAGATGAGCGAAGACCCTTCGATAGAGGTTCGGCCAGCTTGCCACGCTCCCAGAGCCCATCTGCATGTGAATCAGGTCCCACGAGTCCTCCCCCATCTCCCAAAGGCTTTCAAAGTCGAATGGTGCGTAGAAGTCGCAATTCTTCGGGTGATTGGGAGGTTGGATGGGAGCCAAGTCGACCCCAAGGACGAATGCGTCTGGATACTTGTTGGCGACGTCGATCGCCCAGATTCCCGTTCCGCAACCCAGGTCCAGGAATCGACCGTTGCTCGGGTGCGGGGCGTAAATCAAGCCGTCAGAGACCCTCGCCACGGTGAAGAGTTTATGGAAAATGTCCAGGCGGTCCTGCTCCTGTTCATCGCACGGCAGCATATAGATTCCTTTGCGGTATCCATGGTAGGTTCGTCCGTTCTCCTGATAACATGGGTATCTGTCAGGATTCCTAAGGAGGGAGAAAGGAAAAAGGGAGGTTGTACATTAGTCACCCAATGGTAACAAAAAAAAAGAAAAAGGAATAAATGAGATAAATAATAAAGGAAAGTCATGCGACAGCTTTGAAACAATCCAAGGGAAAGGGTAGTACGAGGGTGCAAGGCAAGAGGGAGAGGGGGAGAAGTACTTGCTACTCGTAGCATTGATGCTGGGGGACCCATTGCCGTGCCATCGGCCAGCAGCCGGATCTCGCTCTGCATGACTCCTGTCCGTGATTGCATAGATATCCATAGCATCGGAGTTGTTCCTTGAACGACCTAGACCACTAGAATCTGTCGACATGGAAGTGCGAATGTTGAGTGGCGGGGTGGCCACCGTCGGAGGTCGCTGTCCACCCTGCCCGTTGAGGAACATCGGGTCAAGGAGGGACAATTGCAATCGAGGAAAGACGACAGGAAGGAAGCGAAGAACGGAGGCTGAAAGAGGACGGGGTAGCGGACACACGAGGTTAACCGGTTGAAGGGATCAGTAGCGGTGAGATAGGTGGATAGAAGATAGTATGGCGGAACTATCACGGTGCGCATCCAACATGGGGAACAGGACAAGGCTGAGCGCAGCGGCTGTAGAAATACTAGCATAGACAGATGGAGAAGAAGGAAGAGGTCACGAATCGCACCCACGGCGAAGAAACACATGGAACAAATGACAGGAAGTACCACACACGGGGAGAAGAACAATCCATATAACAAGAAAGACAGGAGCTTTTTTAGTAGTTCGCAGCTGAACCAACACGGCGACAAGAAAATCAAAAAGACAAGCGATCCGATCCGTCAGCCGTACTTCGATGAGCGAGATGATGAATGAGCGGGAGGCGAAAGTCACGCACACAGACTGTCAGAACAGAACAGACCTTGAAGCGCCGCGGCTACCTCCCCACAGAAGACCCAAGTCTCTGGAGAAAGCGCACAAGAGCAGGTCACGACGCAATCATGCAGCAGAGGGAGTTCACCGTGGTCAATCAGTGTAGGGGAGTCCTGTGGGTGTAATAGTGTTAAGCGTCGAGCGAACAACAGCTGTGCCTGGTGAGTTTAGTGGGCCAAACTCAACCATGAATCAAAGGTAATAATAATTGAATATGATTGAGGAGGAACCTATGGAGATGGAGCGAGGGGCGGGTAATTAATACAAGAAGAAGAAACGACGGAAGCGAGGGGAGTTTTCTTTTTTTTTTTTTTCGTCTGTTTTCCTTGTCTCTATTTTTTTTAATACTCTCTTTTTTGTTGTTGGGTTTTTAATATTAATACAGAAGTCAAATCAAATAAAATAAGAGAGAGAAAGAGAGAGAGAGAGAGAGGGACGGAGTACGTAGTACAGTAAGAGTAATAAGAAATCTCAACTACCAGGGAAGATAAAAGGAAGGTCTGATGAGAAATATCAAAGTGAGAAACAAAAAATAAAAATAAAAAGTAATTTGTGAAAATAAAAATAAAATAAAATAAAACAACAAAAGATCAAAAGTCAAAAATAAAAAAATTCCACAAAAATCCAAAAGATTGAAAAGTGAAAACAGCAACAAGAGCAGAGGCAGAGCACCAAGGCTTTAAGGTTGTGCAACCGCTGTCTCCCTACCCGTGGCCCACGGGCGCGAAGGCGGGGCGGTTGGAAGGGCCCCGAACTGAACTTCGGTCAGCGCGCCAGTGATCTGAACTTCTGAGAAAAAATAAAAAATATATATATATATATAAATGAGAGAAAAAAAAAACGAAAAAAGAAAAATTATAAATTAAAATAAAATACTAAAATACCGATCAAGAGGAGACGAGAGAGGTCACTGGTGCACAAGGGAAACCAAGGTCCAAAAAAAAATAAAAAATAAAAAATAAAATAAAATAAAATATAAAGTTTGAATAAAATTTGAATAAAAAATGAAAAACAAAATTAAAATAAAAAAAGAGAGCGGTTCCTGGACGATGAACAGCGGATAACTCTGGATGGAAGAGAAATGTTGTCCACCACCAGGTTAGAGACATGTTCAGAGAAGTCGGAAAAGGAGGGGGAAGGGGGGGGATTATACTCCGTAATACGTACGGTGCAGTCGACTGTTAGACTAGACTGCTAGTCAGATGTAGGGTATAGACACCAACGTCGATGAGGAGTTAGGTATATCAGAATCATTCTGTTCATTGGATATGGTTTCATACCAGGCAATATCAGCGACTTGATATAGGCAATAGTCTCAGGTACCTTGCTGTAATGGCATGTATCGATGTATTATTCAGGTTCTCGGGGCAAGATACTCGCTCTTTCATGGCTAACGACGTAAACTGTACACATAGGCCAGGGACCTATAGACAAGGTACCCTGTAGATTGATGCATGGATGATACAGAGATCCTGCTTCCTTGTGTAGATGACTGGAAATATGTCAAAAGAACGTTTTTGCTGGACTGACCAGATTGACTACATAGATAAAGTAGTCGTTGTCACTGCGAATGCAGCACCATGCCACCAATGTGCACAGTAGTCGAGGACATACATGTAGGGATCGTCATTGTGCTGCTGCTGATCGAGTTGTTATGACTAGACTCCTTTGCAATCCTGTATCACGAGCCCAACTCCCAGCCCCAGCCAAGGAAAATAATATCAATGCCCTCAGACCTCAGTCCATTGTTCTAAAAATCCCGGCTTAGTCGGGACTGGATAGCATCTGAGACTCTGCCTGCATTATTTTCGGGTATGTGAATCGGACAGAATCCATGTACTGCTGCGAGTAGGATAACCATATGCGCTGAGCACCCACAACTCTACATCTCATACGCTATATTATGTACAGAACTGAAAGTCGACTCCCTTGAAGTACCAACACGACGGACCTTAGGATGCACTATACTAAACTGTTAAATCTAGGGCTGTTGGTCTTTACCTCATAACAAGAATGGACATACTTAATTGGGTAGCCTCCTATTAAGCGACGTTGCAATAACAGGTACAGAGAACCCTGTATGTAAGGAGACCAACGAAAAAAGAGAGAGAAAGAAAATTAGTACAGCTTCTACTCCGTACTCCGTAGTCTAAGCCTTCTTAAAAACATACTTTTCTACATATTCTTACTTTAGACTAGACCAACTCAGCACCCGGGTTTTCGGGCTTGCACAAGAAGAAAAAAAAGGCCAAAAGAAAAATAAAATTAAAAAAAAAAAAAAAAAAAAGGCAAACCTCAGGAAAAAGCAAGGAAACTAACCAACAAAGGATCAGGGTAAGTGGCGGTAAACCCGCCGGGTGGAGTCAAGGCCAAGTCAACGATCCAGGCTGTACGGAGGGAGTATGGACTATAAGAGGAGACCTGAGGTCTCTACCTAGGTACGGAGTAGATAGTAGGTAGAAAAGGTAGGTAGGTACGGAGTATCTGGAAGGTAGGTAATTTATCCACAATACTCATCGTCTTTTATTAGTTGTTTGTTCCACTTCAGGAGGGATAATCAGATATTCTCACCTCAGAAAGGTGACTATAGTACTTTGTACTCCATGAATATATACTCTCTTCTCATGATCGCTCTGAAAAAAGCTAGGTTACCAACGTCCTGGATATCTCAAGGGACTAAGTTACTGACAGGTACTAGTCTCCGAAGCAGAACATAGTGTAACTGTAAGTCCTGTTCCTGACACCTGTTATCTACCTCGGGACCTAGGTATGTATCTAAAGTATCTATTCTCGACCACTGTATGTACGGAGTAGCTCAAGAAAGATAAGTGACCAAGTTACATGGGACCAGCTCAAGCTTAGGGGTAAAAAAAGATTATACTGATACTGTATGTTGATATCTGCTGATGAGCCCGAAAGATCCACCAAAATTACCAAGCCTGAAAACAAGATAAAACAAAGGCAAGGCAAAAATTTCAATTCTCCAGTAAATATCCACTCCCAGTCCATTTCCCACTTCAGCTTCAAAAGTGACTTCCGGGGCGGGACGCGGACCGTCTCACAGTCTCCCACACTTGAGGAAAGTCAAATTCGCCAATAGCAGGCTAGGACGGAACAGGGAGTTGTGATGGATTCAGATCATGGATGATGGATGACGGACGGTGGTTGACTGAAACCCAGGCTAAGGCAATTAATTCTCCGTGACTAGACGATCTAAAGTAAGATTTTGGACTTCTCCCACGTTTCAAGTCCTTCAATATGGCAAATAGTAACGATTATCATACTCTGTGAGACCGTGACCCATACTATGGTCGGGGCCCTGTTTTTCTGACGCTCAGGTACCAACACTCTGGTTGAAGGATCCGAAGCTTTTTGGATGTCTAGTTGTCTTACGCTCTTTCAGCTCCTTCTTGATTCCTTTGGGCTTTAGCGTCCGTGAGACTCTCCACGGCTGAATCCTGATCTAAATTGTCAATTGCTACCTAAATACAGAGGTGTGGTGCAAAAGTATCCGGCAGACCCACACACCTACAGCCAATTAGCATTCAGGAATTGTATGTGAAGAGTCACGTGACTGTCGTATACTTTTGCGCCACACCTCCATAGTACCTACGGGGTAGATAAACTACCTGTCTACTACGTAGTAGGACCTAGGTACTACTGTACTAGATATTAGATACTAGTTAGTTACTTGGCCTGTTCTGTTAGCCTATCCACGTGCTGTAAGTGTAAGTGTAACTGACTAACTGTAAATTATAATTACTACTAGTTTGGTACTACCTTACTTGCTTCCTTTCGAATAAATAATCCCCGGTCATACATTGGCCCTTCCATTGCCTCCTTTGGTCCTCAGACCCATCAGTCCACGGTATCGCGTGGATCCGTTCCGATAGTGGATCTTTCCATGCTATTCAGTGAATTTGTATAGAGTGTGATACGGCGAGTTGGTATCATATATATACTAGGTTGTATTATTATCATTCAAAATACCAACATAATCACACTTACCTACCGAGGTACCTATGTACCTTAGTCCTTAAATAGGTACATACTCTCAGCCAGAGCAAGACGTACCTTGGCCAGCAAGCAGCTATTTTGAGGTACCGTGGGAGGATACCTAATAATACTTATATGGCTGCAGAACTACTAACCTTCACAGCCAATTACACACTGAATGGCTTGCTTACAACCAGCTGTTTAGGCTGGTCAGGGGTTCTAGCTTCTCTGCAGGATGAACTGCAAGGCGCACTCGAACATGTACTCTGCGAGGTATCTAGACCACATTTCTCCGAGGTAAGGCAACTTGATTAATCTGGGGACTCTGGCGCAGTGGGCTAGATGATAGTAGATACAGAACGAAGAAGTGCCGTGACAATAATCAATCTACGGAGTACTAGGTACCTACCTACCTAGCCTCCGAATTGAGTTTCAACTAGAGTTGAGTTGGACTACACCGTATGTAAGTTGTAACCCGTACAGGCCAGGTACCTGAA